CTAGAATACTTTAGCTTCTTTATTATTTTATTAAAATTTAATTTCTTTCTTTATTAAGTTTATAAGAAGTTATAATATATCTTTATATCTACTTAGGAATTTTCTATAGAAGTTTATAAATACTATAAATTCTCTAACTTCTTTTAGATTTATTAATATTAGCTATTCTTTAATTATCTTAATTTTATCTAGACTTATTTATATCTTACTATATATAAGTATATATTTTAAGAAGTATATAGTATTTTAGTAAAACTAGTATTTTAATACTTTAACTAAGAGTTTATTAACTTTAATTTTATAGTTTTAGTATAAATACTTTAGTAGTTCTATCTCTAGCCTTCTGCTAAATAGCTTACTATACTATAAGTATTTCTTAGAAATCTTTATTATATTAGCTTTTAGCTCTCTAGTAATTATATATATTTCTAGAGGCTTATTATAGTCTAAATAAAGTGCTTTCTATAGGCTGCTCTCTGCTTTATAACTATATTCTAGTAAATTCTATTAAAGTTAGCTAGTTCTCTAATTAACTTATAAATTGCTTACTTATAACTAGAGTATTCTTAATATAATATTATATTTTAAAATTACTATAATATTTAATATAACTTAGTATTTTATACTTTATATATTAATAAAGAGATTTATAATTTCTATATTAACTACTTTATAGCTATACTTTACTATAGTTTCTTCTATAGTTATAAGTTAGTAGAGCTTATCTTTAAGTATTTAAGGCAATTATAATTTATTAATAAGATTTAGTAAGATAAAATTTTCTTAAGCTTTACTATTAATTATTGCTTAGATTTTTCTTTCTATTATTATTATATTAATTATAAAGTATACTATACTACTAATATTTATAGTATATAAAGACTTATTAAATCTTTATTAAGAAATTAGTCTTAATTATAATAATAGTTATTATTTCCTAATTTATTAATTCCTCTCTTATATTACTTAGCATGCTATATTAGCTGCTATCTTTATTAATTATTTTTTAATAGAATAGTTTATTAAAGCTTCCCTAGTAATTACTTAATTTACTATCTATATTAATTAAACTTAAGCTAAGTAAGTTACTTATAGTTATATAGTTTCTATCTTTCTTGCGTTATAAAAGTATAGTTTAAGTAGTATATATATTATCTATAGTATAGTATAATTTTCTATTTAATATCTTTAAGTTAGTTCTTTATAATTTAAGTTATATTATAAAAGTAGTTCTTCTTTTCTCTTTTTATTCTTATAAAAACTATTTACTACTTTACTTACTACTAAGGTATATATAGTAGTTATTATTATAATAGAAGGTTTAATTAAGAAGTCTATATTTAATTTTAAGTTTATCTTTCTTAGTTAGATAAATATACTCTTTATAGATTAGTTCTAGTAAAGGTTTGCTCTTTAGTAATAGTATTTAGTATTTCTAAAAGTTATTAAGTACTAGTTAAGTTTTAAATTTCTAATCTTTATTTAAACTAGTATAGTTTGCTATTATATAGTTTCTTTTATTGCTTACTATACTTAAGTTTTATATAAGTAAGTATTCTTAATTTATAGTATAAAGCTTTCTATCTTTAGAAACTAGCTTTTATAGCTTCTTAGAGCTTTAGTACTTATTTATAAAGTATTTAGTCTTACTATAATTATAATAAGTCTTTCTCTTTTCCTTATTTATAGTATTAAGTTTTATTAAGCCTAAGTATATTCTATAAGCTATAAATTTATAATAATAGCATTTAGTATTTAGCTAATATTTCTATAGTAGACTTACGTAATTTTCTATGCTTCTTTCTTTATATTTAAGTTATTTAGTATAAAGTTAATTATTAATTTTAATAATCTTACTAGTAAATTTATTAAAAGAGCTAGATTAGTCTTTTTTTGCAACTTTATTCTTTATGTCTTTATATAAAGTATTATAAAGTAGCTTTATTATACTATTATTATTCTAGTTAAGAAATACTAAAATATATTAAAATTCTTTAATAAAGTGCTAAGTAGATTCTATCTATTTAAGGGTTTTAATTTTATATATTACTATCTAGACTTTATTAAGGTCTTTAAAGGCTGTCTTAAGTTTCTTTTTAAAATTTATATAGTAGTTAAAAATCTAAGTAGTTTTATTCTTAAGTAGATTATTATTAAAGTAGTCTCTAAGAGTTAGCTCCTACTATTCTATAGCTTTTCTAGTAAGAAGATTTTTAATATAAAGTATCTTTACTATAGAGTTAGCAATAGTAGTATTAACTTAGAGGTAAGCCTTTGCTTAAGTAAAAAAGATATATATATTTCTCTTAATTTTATTAAATAGTTTAAGTTTAGGAAATTTAAGGAGAGTAAGTGCTTCTTTCTATTTAAATTATATAGCTTAAATCTATATAGTAAGATTTATAATTTATTGTTTTATCTATATAATAGCTTAAGTAGAGTTAGTAGTATTTCTACTTACTATTAATATTATAAAGGTTACTGCTTATAGTTTAAGGTAACTTACTAAATAGAATTAATTAAAATATAATAGTAGCTTAAGTTCTAAGATATAGTAGGTTTATTTCTTAGAAAGTAAGTTAAGTTAAATATTATAAAGTAGCTATTAAGTAGTATTATAATAAAGCTATTAAGAGTATAACTCTTAATAGTAAAACTATTACTTAAATTAATTAATAGAGAACTAGACTATTTACTATAGTAGAATACCTTCTTCTTAAGTACTTATTTATCTCTTTATTATAAACTAATAATTACTTTAATTATTTATCTATTTATTAATCTCTAACTTATAGTAATTAATAAGTAATTTAATAATTACTTAGCTTATAGTAATTAATAAGTAATTTATTAATTACTTTATAATTATATAACTTAGTATATAACGTCTTAGTTCTCCCCTATTATAGCTGTGCCTTCCCTAGTGCAGCCTAGTCCTTCCCGCGTTTAGTAACGTTTGTAACATGTAGTTATAGAGGCTTAATTTCCTTTCTATTTAGTTAGAGAGAAGAAGAGTTATTTATAGGTAAATTCTATAGTAGAGCTGCTAAATTAAGCAAATATAGTAGCTTTAGTAGCTTAAAATAACTCTTATAGCTATTTTCTTCTATAAAGTAAATTAGCCTTTATAGCTTATTAGTCTTTTTGTTAAATTTCAGCTAGTATTTCTCTCTTAACCTTAATTATATATATAAAGAAATATAAACGTAAAGTATATTAAATTCTTATATATAAAATATATATAAACGTTCTTTATAGGTAATTTGTATGTTGTAGTTGTTTCCCTTGTTTTTGTATGTATTTTTTGTAGTAGGCAGTATCTGCCGCTGACATATTATAGGTATACTCTTAGTTTTTATAATAAGTAGTTACTAAGTTATAAAATAGTTACAATAAATATTTTAAACTATCGATTTATCTTTGCCTTTATTAGTTAAGAGGTTTTAGGTTTTAGCTAAATAATTAGAATGTATATTTAGCTTAAATTTAGCGCCCCTAACTAGGCATATATTAAGTCTCTATTAGCTATATAGAATAGCATTAGGAGGCATTTTAATAGCTATTAGTAATATTTATATAACTATAATTCTTTAGCAGCTTATAGCACACTAAATTATTACTCTATTCTTCCTACCCTAGAGCTTAGCTAACTACTAGACACTAGTCTTATTTACTTAGTCTTTAGCTTATAATTAGCAAGAAATATAGAAGAAATAAATAATGCTAATAAAGAATTAAATATCTATATCTAGCGCATATTATAAGTAGACTAAATATTACTATTATTAGTAGACTAAGAGAAAAATATAACTATAGCTACTTAAAAAGTTAGTAAATCTCTCTAAATAAAAGCTAGCTTAGAGCTAATATAAATTATATATATAGCAATAGAGGTAAATTAATAGTTTGAAGAGATAATAATAATAGTAATAGTAATAGTACTAGTACTAGTATATAATAGACTTAATCTGTAGGCTTAAGTGTATATAAGGCACTATATTAGTGCCTTATTAAATACTTATTAAACACTTATTAAATACTTATTAAATACTTATTAAATATATATTAAGACTTATATATATATATATATTAGTATAAAAAAGAAAGATAGAGAATTTTCTCTTTTTCTCTCTTCTCTCTCTAAGTTTATACTTAATATCTGTAATGCTTACATATAGTCGCCTATAAAGCTAGTCCTAAATATAGCAAGATACTAGCTAGTATCTATGTAGAAAACAGCCTAAGCTTAGCTAAGCAGTAAGTAAAGCTATAAATAAAAAACTAGCTTCTTTATTATTAAGTATATACTAGTATAAGCTTAGCTTAAAGTATATAATAGTAAGAAGCAGTATATATTATAGGCAATAAGCTTAAAAGTAAGAGAGAAAAAGAAGAAAATTAAAGAGAGTTTAGCTAGCTTTATAGTTAAGAAAAGCCTAGGTTTAGTATTTTTAATAGTAAAAATATATATAAAAATATATAGTAAATATATATATATACAAAAACTAAGAGAATAACTATTGCGTACAAATTATCTATAAGAAAAGATTATATAATTTTAGATATAAATTTTAATAAAGTTTAAGCCTATATTTCTTTATATATATATATATATATATATATAAATTTAGTAAAGAAATAAATACTAGCTAAAAACAGTTAAAAAGAAATAAAAGTAGTTTTAGCTACTAAAGTATATTTTAAGCTACTAGCTATACCTAACTAAACTACTAGGCTAATATATACAAATTTATATAGCACAGCATAGCAGCTTAGAGATATAACTAAATTTAGGTATAACTAAATTAGGCTTAGTGCTGCATAAATCTAAACTAAGTTTAGTCCCGCACGAATAGCGAATTTTTGCCGCACGAATAGCACGACCCCTCACGGGTTGCAGGTCCCCAAGGGATTTAGCTTTGTTTGCCAACCGAATCAGCCGCAAGCTCTAGCTTCAACCACAGAGTATGCGGTTCCGCCTACAGCGACGCTCTCTTCATTTAAAGCTTTACCCGCTGGTAGCTCACTATCCCTAGGTAGTGACTTGGTGAAGGTTTCTGCAGTGCGGAAAGTTCGCTATCCGAATCGCTGGGGTCGCTTGTAGGTGTTAATAATGAACTAGACGTCGACGCGCAACCCTCGTTGCACTCTAATGAGAGTGCAGGTGAAGAGGTGTTCTCGTCAGATAGTCGTCTTCGTGGACGACCTCTGAAGTCACCATCGTCCATCCCGTCAAAATTTGATATATCTGCGTCGCCAGCGGGTGTATCGTCACGCCGGCGCTTGCTGGGGCTCGGAGTTCTACTGCCAACCCGTGATCGTGGCGCCAGTTGTGTTTTATACTGTAGACCCGTTACCTCAACCCGCTCACGGCGCGTTTCTCCGGATTTAATAACAAGGAGTGCGCGTTTGCCGCCGGAGAGGGTGAAGGTGCTCAGGGCGTGGATTGTGTACACAAACCGCGCAAATATAAATTCTACCGCAATGTCGGTAAGGGGCTGTACATGTATATTGTGGAAGTTCTGAGCTAGTTCGTCCTGTGATGTTCCGTACAAGACGTGAGTTACCCATTTGCGCTTCTTTGGGACGATTATAAATCGTTTCGCGTCGAAGACTGTGTGGGCGTCGGATCGCAGAAGAATCGTATTTCTCGGGTCGTCTGTTGTTCCCCTCTCTTCCCACGCCGAGTACTGGAACATGGAATTCTTTGTATACCACAACTCCTCTGCCTTGGGAAGTAGATGGGCCCCCTCTGTACCTAGAGTACTGTTTGTAACTCGACAAGAAACATCTCGGGTCAAAACGATGCTATTGCAGCTTGTTTCTCGGGGCAGACCGAGAGCCTTGGGAATTTTGAGATCGTCGGATAGCCACATTGGCGGCATTTTCCCATGGGGGAAGATGCTACTATCGAAATTGGCGACGACGTCATAATTTGTTTCTCGCGGTACATGGAAATAGTAGTTTGGTTCTGTCAGGATTTCATCCGCACTAAAATCGATCGCAGGGCCGGTAGATGACAACGAAAAGAAACCATCATAGCGAAAATCTGCCAGAACGGCGCAGGCTGCGTGTGCCGTTGCGTAATGAACACCACCATTATCTAGCGCCGCCAGCGAGATGAGGATGTTGTCACTATCTGAATACGCGGGGTGGCGAAAGCGAATCTTGGATATGTCGTCGGTCTGGCTACTAGGTAGAGTTTCCGGGTGCGCGGGCTTGCCGTAACGGCTACGGACCGTTACCTGTCCCTTGGGTTGAGCCATATTTGGTGATGTTGTCACTACAGGTGTCTGTTGTAGCTGTTGCGGAGTTTGTTGTTTTTGTTGCTACGTGACGCTCGGTGTTAGAAACCCACACAGCTGAGTCAGCAGATGTAGGGGCCAAGGGCCACGCACAACGCCCCGCCGCCCGCTTGGTTTAAAGTTGAGCTTACTTTGAATCGCGTGTGAATTGCTCGGCGGGCTCACTGCTCCACCACGCCCTGATTTTAGTCTAGCGGCCTTGATGCCACGCCCTATAGTATATTCTTAGTATAAATGTATAGCAGCAAAATACTCTTAATTAATTAAAAAGGTATATATATAATTCTTAGTTACTAGTAGGCTTTAAATTACTTAAAAAGGGGTATTAGGATGTGGAGACATGTTAGGCCTTAGCGCATAGATGCCCGAGCTCAAATGCGGCCTATGAGGGCATCGTGATAGCTGCAGCCTTTATACATTGCAGCCGGAAGGCAAGTTCCGTGTAACAACCGTTGCTATAGCTCGCGGCGAAGACATGCTCCATGCAGCTCACGTCGGCCTCTTTTTTAACGCTGCGCGGCCAGCTTTCGACTCGCGAACGCGTCCTGACTAGTAGTAATAGACGACTTTGAAAGATAATAATGGAAAATAACGAGAGTATTTCATTGAGAAAGCGCTATAAACGACTAATGTAGAAATCGGCCTGCCTAGATCCACTGGCCCATGTATTCCAGGATGTTAGACGAAAATATAGGTCGCACGGGGGCCGCACGGTCGCGCGCAATTGACCGCTTGGCTAATGCAGCAGCAAAAGGGAACGCTCCGCAATTGTCACTGCAATTGCGACCTACATGTTGTTGTTGACACAAGAGGGGGCGAGTGTTGCCCCCTCGCCATCTCGAGATTAGCCTGGCTAAAGCTGACTTCTTCTGCATCTAATTAGAAATATAGAGACAATGCAATTATTGCTGGAAACAGCAAATTTATTGAAACTGCATGCTCTCACGAGAGTTTCTACTGCAAGAAGCTTGCATTAAGGATGTTTAATAAGTACAGAATCTCTAGATTAATGCGACAGCTAAATACTAATAATAAGAAGCAAACGAGATAAATTTTGCTTTAATAGTAGCTCAATCTGTCTTGCACATTGCGCTATACCCTCCCGGGAGCCTAGAACAGACGAGAGCAATACCTACGTGGGTACCTCCATCACAATATGTCCGCGTAATAGCAGCAAAACCGCAGACTAAACAACTACCCTTAACGATCTCTTGCCTTGAATAAGTTGCTTTAAGACTAAATGCGAAGTTTTCAAGACGGACGTATAGTCTGTGTATTATTAAATGTTGCAGAGCACATACCTTGTGACAGGCCGAGGCCCGTACCAATCGAATGCTAGGTTCGTGGTTTCCTCTAGCCAAGATTGTGTGCATGCAAATAGCTGCCCAGAACACTGCTAACAACTACACGCTCGCTAACTTGTAACGGAAGCAACTAATATCGAAATTTATATACCTCTACGTTGCTAATGTCACGCCCAAAATCCTTGCAATGCTTGGGAATGCAACTGCTCACTCAAAGGGCGTCGCTCGGCTAACTATTACGGAAATCCAGATTCCTTGTGTGACCTACAATGTCTTTCGTGATTAAATTATGCTCGAGCTTCGGATACTCTAGGATATCGGCATTCTGCAGACGCTCTCTTATTGCCGACATAAACCTAGTATTCAACGAGCAGGTTTGTACTTGAAGCTCTGCTTGACACAACGGGCCGCAACGTCCCATGTCGATCGCGACACTAAGGTTTATAACTATATGGGTAGAAAGCTGTGCCAGACTGGCAAATTTAGCGCTACGGCATAAGGTCGACGTCACTGTTTAATGTCGACCTTCTGAATGAGACGTTCACAGTGCGCCTCTTGAGCTTGTGTTGGGCTGTTAAAATCACTAAAGTTCTGTCTATCTGGAGTATTCTGTCTCTATCTGGTCTATCTGGAGTATTCTGTCTATCTAGAGTATTCTGTCTATCTAGAGTATAAATATCTTGAACTTAGATTAGGTCTGCTTCCCCTGTCCACTTCGTCTGAAGAGTCTTTTTCTTGGGCCTGCAGCACACTAGTCGACACTATGTATGCCACGGCTTAATTCAAAATTTCGATCTCTATTAAGTCCGACTGAGTAATAGAACACTAGAACATACCGCAGTGGAAGTAACTTGTAAGCCTATTGCATTCACGCAGAAATCAACATGCATTCTAAGTACAAGCGTTGAAATAATGCACTTTATATTAACTTTAAAAAAATATACCTTTACTTACACTAACAGATAGCTCTATTCTTAGAAATTGCAATACAAATTACTAAATTCTATTTACATCAAGTTAAGTAAAGAAAAACTATAACGAGAAATGCGACCTTAAGTGCGCTAAGCTATTTTTGACTTCTAGACGGTACGCTGTTCCTCATTAAATTTTAAACGTAGTTACGAATCCTTTACGCTACACAATATGTCAGATGATTGTATCCACATAAGCAAACCCTAGCAACTAAGCACTCTAGTATGTTGTCTGTTTTGCCTCTATACTGGAGCCGCAAGGCACTAGCAGTGGAGTGGCCACGACATCCCAAGAGGTTTTTTTGACCGCAATATCGACTTATCTACAACTCGAAATATTAGCGTTGAGTGGTATGGCTCAAGTGTTGGCAGATTTTTACTGCCCCCTAATGTCAACTATAGACTACACGAGGTCATGCCCAATTAATTCTTGCATCTGCGGAGGCGAGTCCCCAGGAAGTACTGGCTCCGCTACCAGGCTGAAGCAGCATCCCTGCTCCAGGTCTGCTTCCTTTGCGCTGCATTACTGTCAGATTCTGTGGAGGATCGACCTTTGTCACCCGTCAAAGAGCCCTTGAAGCTAGAAAGCAAGCGGCCACGTATAGAGTTAGTGGCAGCTTGTAAATGCTGCTTTGTTTCGGTATACAAACGTAGGAACGTTGATGCGCAAGAGATTATAATAGCGATGTTTATCTCGATGATGCTAGGCAAAGGTTAAAATCTCCCTCGGGTGGATTAAAATTTAGAAAAGATGAAGCGAATAGGCAGCTCGGCATACGTGAACGGGGCATTAAGACCTTGACTCCAAAGCACGTCTGGATTGCGATAATAACAAATAAACTGAACCAGCCGCGTGAGGCTAGCAGCACATACCCTACTCTTGTAAGCAAAGATGAAAAGGCTCAAGTATGAGGCAAGCAGATTGTATAGGCTTACACGATGCCGAGCGCGAAGACTGTTATTACCCGAATCTTCTGTCCAGGGTATAGCTGTAACTTTCGAGTGTACGGGAACGGCAAAGCCAAGAGCCAAAAGTCTGACAAGACGTTGAAGCTGCCATTCAGCACGATGATAGGTCCGCTGTATGCTTTGCAAAGCGGCAGTGTTAATGCTCTGACGCCATTGCAGCGAAGGATCGAGGCAATGGCGACGCCGACCATAGCGCTGTAGAACATTGCCATGACCGCAGCACTAGCACAAACCAGCCGCCGCAGAGATTTGCGGACGGAGAATATTCGCACATAGAATAGTAGAATGGAAAGCTTGGCAAAAAACATAGTAACCGGATATGTAATGCCATTTGACGATATAAGCTACACCATGTGAGTCTGTATACATTTACGGCCCCCGTAATTAAAGTTGGACGTTTATCTAACCCGTGCATTTTGAGCGGGGAGCAGCCAAGATGCTGGGATATCCCACAGATGTCGGCCAAATCCGATTTTAATCACTAAGTTTAAACAGGGTTAGCGGCCGCAGTCAGGATGCAGAGAGGGATTAGAACTGAACTAAAGTGGTGCTGAATTAGATGCGACAGCGATCCGAGCTACTCCAAGATAGGGCATTAGCTCGATACTCGAAGCGGAGAATCGACAGCCAAACGCACAGCTGCGAGGACACATGCAACTACGACCAGCGTCAGTCCTTCTTGGCTGCTGATAATACTAAAGCTTTGCAGGAACATTTACCATCTTCCCACCCCCAAGCCTTCAACAATTTCGCCCGCACAAAGATGCGGACAAACACAGCTAATGCCGTGAGGGGGAAAATACGGCGTCAAAGATAGCAATGATTGGGCCCCTAGACTCTGGATTGATGAAGTTGGACTTGACACCCGTTGGAGGGGGGAGAGCAGGAAACGAGTCCAGGAAGCCGGAATAGGAAGATAGCATTTCGGCGAGCTTTGTAATTCAACAAATAACGCGGTGCAAGACTAGCAACATAGGACAATCAAGAAGAGGAAAAAGAAGCAATCGACGACGTGACTTGATAGTAAAGACTGCGGAAAGTAGAGAGATTGGAGGTCAGAGCAAGACCAAGAGCTTCCGGGAAGGCTGGCGAGTCCGGAGTCCTACAACACAAGGCTATCGTCAATATGCTACACCCCAAAACAATAAAACCGGGCCAAACAAGGTAGGCTATGCACAGAACCGAAATAGAGCGTGCTGACTGCATACCATGTACAGCTCAGCGTGCTATTCCTAGAACAGTGTCCAATCGTGAACTTTACGACCGCAGGTCAGCGTAGAGCCAACGCTCAAAGACCCTCGGGACCAAAGTGTTGCGTTACACGTTGCACTATGATGACCAGACACTATTACTCGCCAGCAACCTGTAAATTAAGAAGCCTGGTCAACATTCGACCCGAATACCCGGTGCAGAAGCGCTTCTATGCTCGGGGATGAAATACGCTCCCGGGGACGAGCTGACCACCCACTGCTCGTGGTCCATTCGTCCAGAACCTGTTGACCTCAGACTGACCTCGATAGGTAGTTACAGGTGCCCAAGTATACCTGAAGCTCCCTGCTCTCAGCCGACCAGGTTGAACCAATGCTCCCCTTCTGTGACAGGGCATAGCATTTCGTCCCACACTCCCGCACTCTCCGTCTTACAAGTGATGCCACTATGCTATGTAGATATGCGACCGCGGTCGTTCTCTAACTCAAAGTATTGCCTGAGGCTAGGCGGCTAATTAACATTCCTGGCTGGAGACTACTGAGCTGCATGTAGTCGCTCTCCCTTTGGACAGGTAGGCATTGCTGCAATTATTGAAGCATTCTTCTCATTGAGCGATGGCAAGCCGAGGCTAATTAAATTAAAAGGCGTTTGTGGCCGTCTGTCAACTCTTTGAAGAAAAAGTTCTTCCACTGTCGACTGAAGAACTGCTAGGAGCGGAACAGTTAATGACAGAACATTAAAGCCTCGGGCAGTCTGTGCTCATGCCCTTTGCGGCCACACTGTCTAGTTTGGAACGATTTCAATCAAGTTCTACTCTTACGGTCTTGCCCTGAATGTTGTAATAGCTGTCTAGGAGACCGTTTCGAGGAAAGAGATTGATCAAGCGCTCAAGTGTTAGAATAGCAATGGCGTCGTTGAGAGTATCCGACAAGTCATCTCTCATAAGACACATCTCACAGACTGCTTGAGAACACCCACCAAGTGTGCGTCTGAGTCTGAGCTGACGCATCTCTGGCCCCGCGGTGACGTGTTTGCTGCAGGGCGAAGTTTGCCGACCCTCCAATCCACCATGCAACTCGGCATAGTAGATGGATTGATTGCGCCTTGTGCAGAGGCCGCTAAGAGTTTTCTTTTCTGGATAGAACATAAGCCTATAATACAACCGAGAGCGGGTTAACATCTGCAGGCTTACCAGAAAGCTCTAGTGCGCGTCAAGAAGATGCCAGGCTCCACGAGACCTTCCGCGCTTTGTTTCGTTGCGGAAGCACTACATTTTTAGCAAACAAAAAACATCCGCTGTCGCTAAGCAACTTCTCTGGGCTCTTTTGGAGGAAACATTGGAAACAAATAGGTGAGAATGAGATTTGCCATACAAAGTGCAAAGGAACTCGAATTTTCACCTGCGGTTAGCCTCCCAAACGACCAAGCTCTCGACGCCAAATCAAAGTAGTGTCTGCTTAGAGGGCTGGACCACGGTAGTGAGTGGTAGCAGGACTTGGAGCAAAAACTCGATTCACAAACAATATCACATAGTCTCGAAGGATCCTAGTTCCTATCACGAGGGCCTGTATCAGGGGTTCGCAATAGCTTCTATTGTTAATGATGATAATCTCGAATGGTCTCAAAGGTCCTTGGTTCAACAATCTAGGGGACCCGACCTACGAGCTGTATATATACACGAGACAGGCTATGTGTGTAACCTGACTCAGTCATCTATATCCTCACCGCTACTACCTTAGCCGCCTTGGGCATTGAAGCTCACGATCTCCGATTGGCCCTATGCGTTGTGGTCGGGGCGGTGGCCTCTGCGAGGTCTCATGAACGATGGAAGGCATCGTTGATTGGGCTTTTTCCTTGTAACAGCTCCTCAGTCATTAATAAGAGCTATATAAACAAGCAGATGCCAGTGTGTGTGACCTAGACTGTTAGTTACGTGTGACGATAGCCTTGAGTCCTTGGCTGATCGGTCCGAGGGTTAGACGGTTGTATTCTTGTGTCTAAGGAATATGCTCTTGAACTGATGAATAAGCTTCCCACCCGCTCAGGACTTCGAACGGAGTTTTTTTACAGCCAATATCCCTTTTATATTGCCGAGAAGATGATTCCGAAAGCCTCCAAGTAAATAGCTCGGACAAGGACTTGAAAGAGAAATTCCAAAGTCCTACAGGAATGTGTCGGACTAGATAAAGGTAACCAGGGAGTTGTATCACCTTGCCTAGCCGTATACAATTTTTTTCAATGCCTCTTGAAATCCTCTGCAAACACTCGAAACTTTCTCAATAAGTCCTCACAGTTGCACTGGGGGGATCCGAACTCTAATAACGATATACTATAATAGTGTCAAGCGATATTATTAGTTCCCACAGCCCGTGGTCTTGGTGCTCCTAATATGTGCTCTTCACGGCGACTTGTTTCAAAGCTCACCAGTAATTGATCGTAATTGCCTGGCTGCGGAAACTTATAGCAAGGGATGGGTTCGACAAACGGTCTCACCGAATCTAGGGATCATCTCATCTGACTGCAATTTCTCCAGCCTGGTACTAGGCAAAGAATCACCAGCCAAATTAGCTGCCTGTTAAATAGTCATGCAAGAGGGTACAAATCATCTTTTCCCTACTTTTCTGACGAACATGCCGCTACGGTGGCTTTGACAACTTGCACGAAAATGAGACACTGCCCAGACTTTATTACTGAGGACTTGGCTCAATCTTTCGTTGACTTTCGACCTGGAAACTACTACATTTTACCTGCTACTGAGGTAGCGGCTGCCTTTCGATCTAGGCAATGACAAGTTTCATGGACCTTTGAAACGACTAATGCAGGTCCGCACAAAGAGACCCGGCCACGAGGATTAGACTTATAGTCTTCATCGCTATCACTTCTCGCCTTTTTAGCCTTTCTGTGAGTGCAGTCCATTGCGCATACGACAGCTAGCTTCTCTTGACGGAGCATGGGCTAGCATGAGGCGATACCGATGATCCCTGTGAGGAAAGTTTTCGTTTGCTCGTGCGCGGATCTTCGGCTAGATTTTGACCATGCTAGAAGGGCTTTCCATAGCTACTCCTTCTGGATATACTCCATTGCTCACTTACTTAGGATTCGAAACGATGCAGAATGTCTCGTTTGCCCTGAACGACTCGAAGCAGGCTCCGATGGGGTTGGGTTGAGTACTGAGTGTTACACGAAAAAGCCTCAACCACATGACTAGCTGCAATACACAAAGGTCGCAGCTATCACGATGCCCTCATGGGCCACCATTGGGCTCGGGCACCAAGGAAACAAGGCACAGATGCACGAGGCATCACCACTTAGCTGCCTAGTCAGATTACACACACAGGGTCCGTCTTGTATATATAGCCCTCATTGGTCGGGTCCGTCAGACTGAAGAACTAAGGACCTTTGAGACTATACCATATTATATGTGAATATGAGTCGTTTTCTCCAAGCCCTGATCTCCATGACTAGCCCTTGTTACACTGAGGCTGGCGAGAACTCGCGTCTTTATTGCTGATATTTGGAACCACGTAAGGTGTTCTGCCGCATTACTTCTCTAAAGTCTTCGTTGAGCTTACTTTCAGTTGGAATATCGTCGTTGATGTCTATAGTTGGGTGAGGGCCATGCAATTTCATAGATGAAAATAGCAAGGCAATTTCAAATGCGCCATTAAATAGTCTCAACAGCCTGACTATTTGTTGAAAACTATATGATGAAATATGTGGGATTCGCTTCCGGTCAGGGACTCGATGACTTCTCCTCGGGTACCTCGACTCTACTGCATTCCCGCAATATTGTAAACGATGAAAGCTATTAAATCTGCTCACAGATTCTATTCACACTAGCTGGCACTAAACCTCTATCGCTAGAATGCTTTTGCGAAATATATCAAGCAATGTCTTTCTCCTACATACAACCATCACATCATTTAAGCTCTGCTGTACATCCTTCTCCAAAGGGACATAACGTCATGTCTCATGCAAATTCATGTCCCTGATCTTTTCAAGTGTGCCGACATCGCGCCGCACGGCGATATTACTACGCCTCTTTTCTAATCTCCATCGCGTAGAAGTCAGCTTCGAGGCGGTTCAATATGGCGATCAGGCCGTTTCGCTTTTGGTCCTTGCCCCAGGCAGAAAAGCAGTCTAGTAATTAAAGGATTGTTATAGCTTAATGACGACAGAAGTTTAGTTTTCTTGAGGTAGATGCTCTCAACTAGTACAATCAGGGCTTAGGCAAGGGCTTAGGGGTAGTTCTCTTGACTATGCATGTTACCGCCTTCGGTCAATTCACCGCGGAGAGGGCTGGATTGTATAATCCACAAACTCCACTTTGAGAATACTTGAGTGTCTTTGTTTGATGATGCGCGGCCCTTTTTACTGAGCTGGCAGATTCAAGAGCTAGCGCCAGGGACAGACAAGTAGGTTGCTTTTACACTTGCACAAGGCTTCAAGTAAGATGGGTAATTGCTAACTTGTCGACCGTTGCTCTAAATAATTCAAGAAAATAGATAGCGTACATGCACCCGGGCTCTCCATTTCAGATCTTGTATACGAGTTTCTCACCGCTGACCCTATTTTCTCTCATCATTTGTAATCCTTCGAGCACGCCGTCAAGCCCGTTTCCCACGCGGGGAGGATGCACCTTGATCTTCCCAGCTGCGAGCAGCCCACGAGCCTCCTCCCAGAATTGGACGGCAAAGCTGTAATCCTCAGGCTTAGCGGGAACTTGGTTCGATCCGAAGACAAATGGCTCTCCAAACTGAGTGTATGCAAACGAAATGGACGACTGGATGTCGTCGCGGACGTGCTGCACAGGAAGCAGGGCGTGGTACTTGGCACCGTGAGTCGTCTGGGGGATTGCATCTGAACAGATCTTAACCGACTCGGGAACTGAAATAGTGTCAAAAACGATGCTGAGCTCATTGTTGGTGAAGTTTCGAATCTTGGCAGCGCATTCCGGGTCAGCGTAGTCGAAAGCTGCGTCAGCCCCCAGCGACCTCACTAGGTCGAAGTTGCGAGGCGAGCAAGTGGTCACGACAGTATAGCCCGAGAGCTTAGCGTACTGAATAGCTAAAGTGCCCGTGGCAGTGCTTCCGCCGTAGATGAGGATGTTGGAGGGCTTCTTGGTTGGGGCAGAAACCGGAGCTAGTTGGAGATGCTGGTACAAGCTTTGATTAACGGTAGAGATGCCGATCCCCAGGGTAGCAGCTTCTTCGAAGCTAATATTGTCGGGTATCTTGATCTGCACATCCCCCTTGACAACAATGTACTCGGCAAAAGTGCCATCTTCTGGTTGTACGACGTTTGCGCCGTGCGCCACGCCAGCAATTCGGTCGCCGACACGGAAGGGTTTGGTGACTTTAGGGCCTACTGCCTCAACGATTCCGGCATAATCGCATCCACAGACAGGGCCCGCCTCGGTAACGACGTGATCAATATGCTTCCAGTCGGTGGGGTTGAGGCCAACGGCGACAGTCTTGACGAGAATGTAATCGTCACGGAGTTGCGGCAGAGGTCGGTCTGCCACGACCTTGGCGACGCCGGGACCTTGGACAACTATAGCTTTGTGAGTTGTAGCCATGTTGTATTTGTAGAAGAAGATTGGACAGGGTCGAGACGAGAAGGCTGGTTGTTTATGCCAAATAGTCGCGTAAAACGAGGTCTGGTGCAAGTCCTTTAATACCAGACAGCCCAGCCAGAATACATGGCTCGCTTCCCACGGGCGTTACACCTGCATGCTACTCCGTAATTTTCAAGCGAATTAGAAATCAAGGCAATTACAAAGCTTCTTGCTTACAAAGCAGGTAAGATTGTCCCTTTCAGTTCCCTGATTGTTTGTGGTTTTACCAGGATGGAGCCGAACACTGGACGTTGCTCCCACCCTGCTCTTTCTTTCCCTGGTCCTGGTCTTGTCTTGTTACCAAAAAAGGGGGGCCAGTAATGGACATCAACTTATTTATTTACTCGTACTCCGTAGTGCTTTGCGGCCTTTACAGTAATTGATACCAACGACACAAGGTTCGCTCCCTTTATCACCCAACAACGCACACAACCTTGCCCTTGGTTCTGTTGCCCTCAAGCAGCTGATGCGCTTCAGCTACACGCTCCCACGGAATGACACGCTCAACAACGTGCTTGAACCGCCCATCTACAAGCCCAGGAAGTACATTTGCCTCGAAGAAGTCACGTAGTTTAATTTGGTATTCCAAGCTTCGCGACCTGAGCTGGCTCCCCTGAACACGAGCGCGCTTTGTCAAAAACCCGGCAATGTTCAAGTTGCCCTGCGATACAGGGCCGTCAAGCCATCCAAGCTGAACGATGCAGCCGTCAAGGGCCAACACGTCGAGATTGGACTGCAAGTATGGACCCCCTAGGAAATCAATCACGAGATCCACGCCCTGTCCGCCATTCTTAGCCTTGATATCGTCGGCCCAGCTGCGCTTGTCCGGGTGGTGCGAGAGATTTACGGTGCATGTTGCGCCGAGCTCGTTGACGGCAAAATTGCACTTGTCCTGTGTGCGGGCCGTGGCAAAAACCTTGGGTGCTTGCACGTTGGGCGAAGAGGTAATCAGATGCGCATTCCTGGAGAGCTGGATGCCCGCGACAGATACAGCTGAGGCGCCAGCATGCCATAGGATTGATCTGGTGGTCTCGGGGCTGTACTGGCCAACGAAGTGAAGTGCCTGCAGAGCGGTAAACCATGTCTACTGTTTTATTAGAGCACAAACATGACTCGTGAGCATGGTTGGGTAACCAGTTCGACGTACCTCGCAAAGGCCGCCCAACTGCTCGAATGAAAGCTCCTTCGGCTTCCTGATGAGCATTCTTCTGTCCACGTTCACGTACTCTGCATACCCACCGCCATACAGGAGTCCAAAGACTTCATCTCCGACCCTCCATCCATCCGAGATGTCCTCTTCTGCGTTCAGATGGGCAATTACGCCACTAAACTCGAGACCCATGATCTTGGTCAGATGAGAAATGCCAGGGTACTTGCCGTCACGCTGCAATATGTCACCTCGATTAATACCAAATGCTTTAATCTTTACGAGGCATTCCCCTGGCATGACTTCTGGAACGGGAACGGCGTCGTTGATGAAGAGAGCTGACGCTGGCCCAGCTCCATCTTTGACGTCCACCTGTGGTTTCAAGATGGGTCAGCCATCTATCGAGAAGAACAGAAAGGTTCAGCCACATACTGCTCGCATAGAAACAGGCATATTTACGTCAAGTGGGACTGGCAAGGGATGACCAAGGGCAGGTGGTGTCGTGGATAGTAAAATATTGTCCTGTAAATTATGCGTCAACTTTGGGGGGAAACTGACGAGGAAACAAATCATGTTTATATAGAATACAGCTTCCTGCGGCCATCCCTTCCAGTACTTACTATGGCTCATTAACTTGTTCAGTCAACCTGGCGGCATTTTGACCCAAATTAAAACAAGCGCGTCCATGGTAAAACTTCTCCTACCGAGGCTCCTCATCCGACCTTTGTTCCCAATAATGCGCAAGGAGAAAATAGACTCTCCCACAGCGCTACTGCAAGTAATTCCAAGTCTGGATTCGACCAAACGCAAAGATGCGGTCGTGCCACGAAAATACAATTGCCACCAGCATGCCGAGGCTGAGATGACGAGCCCGCTCTGCTGCATCAGTGACGGACGGCTGGGCGATTTCACCCAAGTGTTTTGTCCGGTTTGCTTTGCTGCTGGAGCCCCTGCTGCACGGAGATGACACCAGGGGGCCAGGTCCTACTCAGCATTCCACCAATTCGGCTACAGCTCGGATGTTTATGTTGCCCGTCTTGGTTGCCTTGTTGGTTTCAGCTCGTGGTACGGAGCAATGATCAGCTAAATCTTGGTGATGGCCTGGTACCGACGCATCACAGTTGATCATCTTCATCTACCGGGAGACCCCCACAAATGCTTATACAGGACCAGGATCAACACGACCCAACATGAAACCAACACGTCAGGCGCTATGGTAGAATCGTGTTCCCGGGCAATCCCCTTCTTGGACGCCCCGAGGCGGATCCACACGCAGTCATACGTACATCAACCGTGGCTGAAATGTCTGGTGTGCATTGACCCCCCTTCAGCCAAACATGCAGGATCCTTCCTTTCCACAGTCGTGCCGCGTGCGCTTCAAAACGCCAGGCTTAATAATCCATTGTTTGCCAACTGTATTGGTAATCAATTGCAACGGTCCAAGCTTTGTTCTGCTTGCTGTAAACGGCCGACACATGTCAGCTCACGTCGTGGCTCCATGACATAAATAAGGCTCGAGATACTGCTACTATTCTTCAAGTTTCACCCTCGCCAAATACATCTCGCATCAACAATACCATCAGTCACCCAACATGTCTGCTTTTGACAAGTCCTACAACCTCCCTGCTCCTCGCAGAATCACGGCCTCCAACCTACCGCTGCCCTCCCACCATGCCACCGATGACCATGCCGAGCCCGGTGTCGAGGTCAAAGTTGACGACCTCGAGGTCCAATCCCTTTTTGACGGCAGTTTCCGACGCGCCGTCATAGGCACCAGCAAGCAGCTCCCCACCAAGAATGATGGCCAGTAAGTAAGAGCGTAGCGTTCCACTGGACAGCACTGTTGACGTATCCAGTGGCGAGCTTCCCCTGGACGACGTTCCAGGCGCCGGCATCGTCATGCCTGGCGGCCTCAACACCTATTACCTCGATATTGCGCCTGGCACAGAGGGCGCGTTGGTTAGTCTTGACTAACCATTCCCCATCTAAAGTGCATAATTTGATGATTGGAAAAACTGCAGCACCGTACCACTTCAACAGACTATGTCATTGTGATCAGTGGCAAACTTAGTCTCATCACGCCCAAGCCCGACGTCTATCACATCAAGGATGGCAAAGCGACTTGCGCTGGCGACCTTGTTGAGACTGTCGCTCACCCTGGCGACGTCATTTACCAGCGAGGTCCTATTCATGCGTAAGTCAAAGTTCTTGCGTGGCTGTTCACGACGTGTGGACTCCCTCGTGCCAAGAAGTACGGACTGATGTTGTTCCTAGTTTATCTAACCGCGGGAACGAGTGGGTTCGTGCGCTTTGCGTCGTGCTGGGCTCACAGCCAAACAAGGTCCCGGTCGAGGAGGGTGGCAACCACAAGGAACTTCAGGACCATTGGCTTGCTTAAGTTTAGTTCCAGGCCCGGTAGGGTTGGGGAAGCATGTGTCAGGCTTCACAGGATGATACACCGGCACGAAAAAATTCCAGGAACGACTAGAGCAAGATGATTGTCTGTAAGAAGTGAAAGCTAGTTGTACCGCAATATAAATAGACCATTTGAAACTTGGGGCATTAAGTCAAAAATAGCTATATGAGCGCGTATTGGCCCTGGTGGAGGCAGCATTTCAAAAGATTAAAACGGCGGATTCTTTTCCGCCTACTCCTCCGACTTCGCGTTCCAGGTGACGTTATACTTCGCTTAGTTTCAGAAAATAAAAATAAAACATTAGCTAAATGCAGGAACGTAGTTGTAAGCATTTGAGTTGCAAGTTGCAATATCCAATTAACTTCGTGGATTTGGAGCCTAGCAGCCCGTTGCATCATTGATTTACTTCATGGGTTCTCTACTACACGGGAAAACAGTTATTTCTTTTCTCTTGTAGCAGTTACTAAAAGCCGGTTTCTGAAACTAAAAGAGTTTAGGCGGACATCCTCGTGCAAACTATCGGGTCAAGTCAATAATAAAGATAATTTATCATTATAGAGTATAGCAACTTCATTTTCACACAGAGGAAAAGTTCATTCAGCTTCAACAAGAGCTGGATTACAGTAGTGATATTTAGGACGCAGAGCAGAAGAACTTAATTTACATATAATATCGTGTAGTCTTAAATGCCCTTGATTCCTCAACCTCAAGGGCTCGAATAGCAAGAGCTATATATACAAACAAGAAGATGCCTGAGTGTGTGACCTTGGACTGGATGATTGAGGCATCAAGGGGGTTGATGCCTCGAGCCTTGTTGGCCTGTTTGTGACAGCTACCTGGGCACTCGGGTGAGGGCATTGTCATGACTGCAAACTTTGTGCATTGCAGGAGGTCATGTGGTTAATCTTCTGTCCTCGAGTTCCGTCTAACACTTGCCCTCCCATTCTCATGAAACCTAGCACTGATAAAATTTAGATAGGTCGGGACCGGCAAGATCAAACTCAACCTTGGTGATGCCGCCAATCCCCACCAGCCATATCGTCTTTAGATCATGTCCGGACCACTGAATGTTCTCGACCGGATGACTGGTCTGGATCCGGGCAATCTGGTTGCCTAGATCATCGATGATATCAACGCCCGGAGCTAGTCCGCCCGCAACAACCAAGTACCCATTTGCGGCGACTTTGAGCCCGTCCGGCGCCCCCTCAAGCGACTGGAATATGACGCGCTTGTTATTGATGACAGGATGTTTGCCGTCGCTTCCTGTTCGCGCCACATCCCACGCGTAGATGTTGCGTGCCCCGGTGCTGTTGAATTGGATGTACAAAGGGTAGTTGTAGAAGTCACCTGCGCCGCGTGTTGGAATAGGACTATAGCTTTCAAGACCAGAGTCGGCGATGAATAGTCTTTTACAATCCCTCGAGAACTGAATACCATTGGGATAGGAGAGACTAGTGTCCATAACCTGCACCTGACCCGTCGAAGGTCGGTACCGCCAGGTCGCCAGCTGTAGCTGTTTGGGAGAGTCGGAAACACCAATCACATAGGCGTAGTCCGTATCAGTGAACCAGATGTCGCCAACGGGATCAATGACGAGATCGTTGGGGCCGGCAAAGTTGAAACCGTAATAGTTGTTGACCAACCACTCGGCTTTTAGAGTCCTGGGGTCGACGCGTGCCAGTCCGGCATGCTGTTTGAGTCCATTAGGCAGAGACGCATTGTTGCCGTGGACAGCGTAGTAGATCATGCCGTCTTTAGGGTTGTAGAGTCCTCCGGTGGGCTGGTAGATGGGGGGGTCAGTCTGAACCCACGACTTAACGGGAGGGTCGTGGTTAAGGTCCAGCTGCATGATGGACATGCCTCCGGGGGGACCATCCTGCTGCACAAAAAGCTTGTTGAGCCCCGGGACGAATACGGGCGCCTCATGTATGACATTGAGCGTGGGCACGAGTCCGCGATATATCTTGGGCGCCGAACCGAGAAGCTCCAACCCTCTTTTGTGGTCATACAGCACGAAGTCTGCACCTTGTACCAGCAACCACGACGAATCTTCCGGGACCGTGGTACCGGTGTATGGGACAGCAGGGTCGGGATCGCGGGAGAAAGACGGCGGCAGAAGAGAGCCATAGCGATTAACACAGGTAACGTTTGCAGTTTTGGGGCCACATTTGAATGCCACGTGGCTTGTTCTCGTGTTGTTGACAGCGTCGCCACTTGTCCGGTGGGCAGCCTCTACAGCGAGTCCCAGAGATGTAGTAAGCAATGATGCCAGGAAACGCATGGTGGGGAATGGGATAGTGGTATAAATGAAGGAGAAAGGGTAAGCTGAGTTGTAGGAGAACAACATTTCAGAAGAGGCAGGATTTAAGTACCTTATACACTTTGACATAAACCGTTGATCGATGCTGTAATGCCGACCTGTGGCTATATCCGAAGCAGGTGGAGATTCTAGAAAACCCAGAAGTCTATTCCACCTTTTCGGCCGCTTGTTTTCGTTCCTGGTTCATGTCCGCACGTGGGCATGAAAGAGGGTCCTGCCGGGGGTTTCTGTCAGGACTATCTATTCATGCGGGCATGACATGGGAAGATCTTATGAGCAGCCCAGCCACTGTCACATAACTTGATTCAAGTTCGTCTTGGCACTAATCAGTCATTCATTAATTCTGTAGCCTCAAGGTCTTTGCTGACGTACACATCACGTAAGTCTGAACCACTGGATAAAAACATTTACCCACCTTCCAACTAAGCATTCTTTAGCTTTGCAATACGGTGGTTTAGTAGGCCAAGAATCACGGTGGGACACACTCTGGACAGCCAGGAGAATTGTACAAAGGGGTGGAGCGTGCTTTCGGGGCAAATATCCGTCGCAACACGGAAGCAGCCTTATACATGAGAGGGAAAAAAGGGCCGCCTATTTGAATAATAAAAAAAGAAGGACTGATCATGGTAGCAGTGACGACACCCTTGGTGTAGAATCCTTGCCGTGGGAGTGCCTACGACATTACCCTGTCCACTCCACACCACCCCGACGAAATCGAATCCTCTGGGCCTTTGGACATGGATCCCGACCAAGGAAGGGCGAAGATGCCCCCGGGTTCAGGCCGACGGGGCTGCTCGGACGCTCCCTAGTGCTAATGTCAGCTTGCGGTGGAGTTGGTTGCCGGCGCTTGCAAACCATTGGCGCTTTTTTTGGGCATTGCCCATTGTCACCAAGCGCCAAGGTGTCAGACAATGGCGGGGCTGATCGGGCCTTGCCGAATTCAGACCATCCAAGTTCACGCCTGATTGGGCGGGAGCCCCAGTCCGTCCCGTGCTACCCCCGTTAGCCAAAACCTGCGAGCAGGAGCCCCCACGCGTGAAAGTCATAGGGCTGAAGTGGCTGGTGACGCTTCCATAACAACGTGCCGCCCCGCAGTACATCTCGAGCGCTGCGCTTTGTCCAGTTCTTGTCTTGTTCTCCCACGTCAGCCTATTTGTCAGCGTGCCTGATTTGTAATGCCAGCTTGTGCCCAAACTTGGGTACGCCATCCCAGCAAGTAAACGACAGGCGACAACGTGCATATGCCATGTAATCGGGCGGATCAGAATCAGATATTTCGCGCAGAGACGTTCCAAGTGCGCGGTGGTCCGCGCCTGTACACGACGGAATCAAGGTGGATTGCATACAGGCATGCCCTGCATCGGAATATGGCTGAATTGAAGGGGGTATACGGAGTAGTGAGGCATTTGTATGCACTCTACCTCGTTCCCCGTACAACATTGGCCGCTGTAGGGTACCGCTGTCGGCTTGTTGGCTAGTCCTGGAGGTCTCATGGTCAAGATAGAACACAACTGGAGGCAAAACGTATACTACTGAGCAGAGAGAAAATATTCGTGTCGGACGGCAAGCTAGATTGTGTTATTCTGGGGCCTTGACATGCCACAAAGATTGAAAGTCGGCAGCATGTCCCCTTTCCTTGTTGCTTGACGCCCTGCTTACCCAATATCCTGGAACTCTATACATGCGCGGCTGCTGAAACCTCTAAAAAAAATTTCCGAGAAAAATCTCCTTCGGATCCATCGACAATGGACATGTGCTATATCTGCAACTTGAAATCCAAAATTGGCATGCTTGCACCTCTTACCACCCCCGTAACTGACACAAGCGGGACACCCCCAAGAATACGAATCCGACCATGACCGACAGCCCGCCGTAGAGCTGCATATAGGTGTAGCTGCCGTTGCCGACCCCAACTAGCACGCCTGCCAAGGGCGGACCGGTTAGACAGGCTAGACTGCCCACGCCAAACACCATGCCAACACGCTGACCCATCTTGCTGGGGTCCGCGACGAGGCTTGATAGCGTCGAGGGGAAGAGCGTTTGCACCGCGTTGGCACAAATACCGTAAAGTACGACAAAGGCGTAGAATCCACTGGTGGTCTCGACTCGCATCCATACTAGCAGCATGATGCTGGACCCCATCACAAAAGGCAGCATTGTGTTGAAAGGTCCGAAAAAGCGATCGGCGATGAAGGCCGGAACAAGGCGCCCAGGCACGCCGGCAGCGTTGAGGACCAGTAGGAGAGTGAGCGAATCGGAATCAGAGAGCCCAATAATCTTTCGGCCAAAAGTCGACGTCTACACCAGGCCCGGTAAGTTAGCAGGTGCGACATGCAAAAGACGCGTGAGACCAACAGCTTACATAGAAATACGCAATGTAGAGCCCCCAGAGTGTAAAGAATATGCCAATGGAATAGAACAGATAGACTTTCTCCTTGAACGCTGCTGGCTCTAATAATGGCCTCCTCTCTTTCTTGAACTTTCGCGGCCGGCCCAAAGCCAGGATGAGAAATGTGTTGAATACCATTATAAAACCCATCACCCGAACTGTCCAGGGGAAGCCTACAGTGCTGGAGAGCTGGCGGGAGATCTATCACCGAAGACGCGTAAGTAGGTACAACTAGTGGATCGAGATGAGGCAAGAGAAACGTACCAAGGGAAAGACAATACCGCCTATAGGCGCCCCGCATGCAGCCAAGCTGAGTGCGAATGCTCTGCCCTTGTCAAAGTACACAGAGACCAAAGCGACGCACGGGGTGAACAGCATGCCGTTTCCAATCCCCTGCACAAGACCTTGGGCCAGTATCAGCTGCCAGTACTTGGTGACAGCCGACGTTGAGAACGCGCCAAGAATCTGGAACGCGCATCCAACAACAATAATCGACCGAAAATGCCCTCTATCCATGAGAGGTCCAGACAGAATGCCGAGAAAAAAAAGGAGGAAAAGCATCATCGAGCCTACCCAGGCAATGTCCGATGGAGAAGCGTTCAATGACTCGACCCAATGAGACTGGAACAGGCCAAAGGAGGAAAAGTAGCCGAACCCGTTGAAGACGAGCAGGAAGCTAACAAAGACTTGCGACCAGGCTGTAAATCCGCCATTGAGCCGGGCATCGCTACTCGGCTGGTCGAAATTGTCGTTTGTCGACGGAGAGGAATCGTCGCTGAGATGGGTAGAGCTCCCGTCGCTCGAGGCCTTTTGTTGATGCGGAATAGGCTCTAGTTCTGTGCTATGCTGTCTTGGTATTTCGCGCGCCATTTTTTGCGTTGTTGAGTAAATGATAGAATGGGAAAATGCGGATGTGAAAAGTTCCAAGTGCGATCAAAGAGACAGGATGAGATCGAGCAATGAGCTTGGCTCAAAGTAAAGGCCGGGCCCGCGACAAAAGTGCAGCTGGGGTCTTAGTAATCCGGTCAATAAAATGCAGAGCTGAGTCCTCGGCGAAGTCGGATCCCGAGATGAGTTCAGAGGGAGCCGAAAGAGCGAAAAGTAAGGACCAACTGTCCCAAATTTTGCTTCATCCAAAATACACAGCTCAACTACCACATACCACTTAGATTCTGTGAGCGAGCCTTGCCCGGCCTGATTCATCGTTCCGTCTTTATATAAGCTTATTCATATCTTCGTCCCTCTTTTTTGCGCCCTGATCCACATTTGCTTGGCCGGCGTTGCCTCGTGTTCCTGTTCAACAGCCCGTGCGTTAGCTCTTATCGGCTAAGGTGATTTTGGAAAGTTATGCCGTGTAATTACTCACAGCCCTCTCTTCGTTGCGGCTCAGTTCCGAGCCACGTGTCGGCGACTTCTTGTTTCACCACACCGAACCAACAGCTACTTCCAAGCATCCTAGTCGTTCAAGTTGCGCGGCCTTTTGTTTGAACAACGAGCCCTGCGAGCCCCTTGGGTCTGGTACCGAGAATTTAGTGTCAAAAATATTCGCAACCTACCAAGCGTAAGCTAGATGGAGGCGTCTGGACACCCCTGGCACAGGGAAACCCTACCCGAAGTCCTGAGTAGGTGACTGAGGGATGTAGAAACATGTAAGACGGACTCGACGTGTATAAATACGGACATTATTATGGCTGCCTGTTTACTTTGATTTTGAATGGACGATAAAAAGCTACCTCGTCAAAAAGCGACTTGTTGAAAGTCATCCTTATAAGAACATCCTGAATTCTGACTGTAGATTCGTCTAGTCTGCCTTTCTCTCTTTCAAAGAACCTAAAAGTCTCGAGGACAAGTCATTCGCAAATCACTACCCCTCTTCAACAAGCCTTTAGAAATTAAAAGTTGAAAATGCCTGCCACCATTGCCGCTCCGGATGCCGTGGAGTCTACGAGATTCCCCCTCAACTGGACTCCCAAACTCGACATTAGTGGGCAGCAACCAGAGGACTTCTTATTTCAGCGGTTGCCGGACGCAAGTAATGAAAAGTTTCACAATGTCGAGATCACGCCGCCGGACACACCGGCGAGGTCAACAACTCCTGTTCACGACGTCGACCAGCTTGCCAGTGCCATCTTGGATGTCTTGCAACGCTACGGCCAGCATCAATCGTCGTCAGGTGTTGCAGCAAACTCGGGCCAGTGGCTGGGAAAATCGCTCTTTATGGACAAGGTCAGGGCACAGATTGAGAAGAGTCAAGCTGTGCGCTTGATCATGCCGGCCTTTCCCTGGAAGAGCGTCAATAAGTTGGATAAAGTGACGGGAATCTTGCCTGATTTGGGCGAAGAGCTTGCACTCTACCGATTGAACCAGATGTGCGAAGATATTAAGCAAGTCTATCCTCTTGGAGGTAAAGTCTTCATAGCCACTGATGGCCTCGTCTTCGACGATGTTGTTGGCATACCAGACGAAGATACCTGGGCATACGGCGAGGGTCTAGTGGAGATGGCCAAGAATCATGGCCTGAAGAACATTCATCTCATGAGAGTAATGGACATTCTTGGCTACACAGACGGCAAAAATCTCGACAAAGAGCTCTATCTCTCGCTTGCCCAGCGTTGCCGCGACGAGCTCCTCGCCAGCTACGGACGCACCGAGGCAGAAGTACGCCAAATGATGAAGGATGACCCGGACACGCTGCTGACCTACTGCGGATTCATCCGCTTCCTCGAAGCTGACCTGAAATTCAGCCCCATCACTGCGGCCACCAAGGCGATCAGCGGCCAGCAGTACCGCAAGACGGTCAAGAAGGTGGCCATACAGATGATGATCCGTGCGGAATCATTCACCAAGCTCTTGCAGGCCTATTGCCCCGAATACGTGCGTCTTTCCATCCACCCATCCTCTGGGGCGGTCAAACTTTCGGTGCCGCTCATCACGCAAGCTTCGGGTGATTTTCCACGCTCACCGTGGCACTCAAGCCTGGCCATCTCTCTGGATGGTTCTTACAAGACTGTGCACTCTAGAGACGTGCAGGAGTCGCATGATCTGGTTCCCAAGGACGGCCGCGGGTTCTACTTCCGCGAGAAGTCGGAGCAGTGGGACTTTGAAGATGATGAAATCGTGTGCGAGCCTCGATATCCCAACAGAATGATTGTCAGGCCGGCAAGACTGGAGCTTTTGGGGACGAAGTCACTGTCAGCGAGGCAGCTGGAGAAGCTGGCGGTCTTGAGGGCCGCGCATACGGCAGGGCCAGTTGTGGCCACGGGTTTTGCGCCCATCCACAAACATGGACTTGGAGACAAATTTTAGTCGGGAGCTGTGCTTGAAAATTTGATTAGAACCGTGGACTTTTCTCCGGCCTTGGAATTCTTGTTATGCATTAGTGTATAGATATGTATGTTGGACTGTGGAACTTGGATAATTATGTAGATTAACGTATCCTAAAAGCAAGTGTTGATTGATTATATCTGCTTAAGATGGAGCGTCAGTGACAATCCGATGCTGTCCTAGGTACGGTGGCACATTAGTAGAGGCCAGCAAAACGCTGCTAGATCAACTCCTATTACTTGAAACGTACTAAAAATTAATATAGAGCAATAATTAAAATTTTCTCTATAATAATATAAAATGTATTATCTACTATAAGGTTTTTGAAATATTTCTTCTTTTTTTTTTCTAAAATATTTCTATCTTCTATCTTCTAGTAGTAGAGCTAGAGTTATCTTTTGCGAAAGTAGAGTTAGAATAAAAAGAACTAAAATAATACTTAAACTACAAGTCTCTTAAAACAAAACTTGCCTCTTATTTTTCTGGATTTTATTTATATTTATTTCTTTAAAAAGTTTTATAACCCTAAAGTGTAGTTGTTTGTAATTTTGCGGACTCTAGACGCTCTATAAAACACTGGACGTCTTCCATTGCCACGAGGTCGGAACGACATTCCGTCCACGGAGATCCAGCATCCGACTGTGGTGCAAATGCACGACAGAGCAAAGTAGGGCTGAACTGGATTGCGTGGCTTGGGGTCCATCAAGCTTGACTATGCTAGCCTTGCACCGGAGCGTGCCCGGATACGTTTCACACATGGCTGTTTGGATTATGACCTAATTTTAGCAGCAGTTGGCCTTGTCGGTCACCGGGTTGCGACCTGTGGGCGGAATCCTGGATGTTCCAGAGTCCAGATGTCATTTCATTTCTTATTGGTGTTTCGGTAATGGCCGGTGCAAAAGGTAAAAGTGGGCCCCGCCGGGGCGCAATCCGGCCGGAGACGGTGGCAACCCGAATGACATCCCGAGTGACTCAGGTGCTAGGCAATCGATCCGAATTCAGTAATCGACGGGTTCAGCGTCGATTCGTATCTGGCTGCAGGAAGCTGCACCCCCTGCGCCCGTATTTCGGGACCCGAAGGAACAGGATTCGCGTGGCTCACACGTGGCTTTGACATGGCACTAATGCTTCAACCCATCAACCCTGCCTTCCCCCCCCCCTGGACTCCACGTGGCCGCAATCTTCAGCCTGCTTGCGCCATACAAGGCTTCAAACGTTCCTCTACAGGCACGGATAACTCTTACCGTCTGAAACCACCGCCGAGCAGGCTCATCCGTCGCGCACAGTAACATCCCTGTCGACACGAGTTGAGATAGCATCGATCGTTACCAACAATGCCTCGAGACCACGTGCTCCGCCGGGGACATGCGACGCTTGGCCTCACTTCCTCTACTTATGGAACGGTCCGAGGCCGCCAAGGATGCGAGCCGTCTCCTTGACGCCGCGTTGAGAGGGCCAAGGGCATCAGCCGCACGTTCACATGCTGGAAAAGGGGTCCGTTTGGCCGGGCGCTGCTCCAAGTCTACCTAGGTACTTGGGTAGTTGGGCAGACATATATACTCCAAATGACCACAGGCGTTAGAATCGTGGAGGAACATTTCTGCTCAGTGCCAACTTTGATCAACCCTACTTTCTACCTAGCCATGACTACTCTGTCAATACGCTCCCTGGGACCTCTTGTCTACTTGTGCGGTGTGGCGGCGGCCGGCTATGTATCACCTACCTTGCCCCAGAATGTAACAAACGGGTAAGATGGCTGGTCAAGTACATAAAACCAAGACATGAACTGACGAACGAAAGAAATTCCAAATGGGGGACTCTAGACATGGCCACGTTCCCCGACTCTCTCTCTAACAATGTAAGTCTATCAATGACAGCCCCAGCCACAAACGTTGCTAACGAGTAAAAGCCTATGCCTGGGGGAAAGCCATGGGGTCCTCGCCACAACCTGTCAAACAATCCCTACTTCGACCCCCCAGTGACTGGAGTGACCCGCTACTATGATTTCGACATTCGTCGGGGCATCCTCGCCCCCGACGGATTTGAAAAGAGCGGCATATTCGTCAACGGGCGGTTCCCAGGCCCGGCCATCGAGGCCAACTGGGGTGACTGGATCGAGGTCCGCGTTCACAACAATATCGAGGACATTCACAACGGCAAGCAGGAAGGTACAGCCATGCATTTTCATGGCATCACACAGAAGGGAACGGTTTGGTTTGACGGTGTGCCTGGAGTCACCCAATGTCCCATAGCACCGGGCTCAAGTTTCACCTACCGCTTTCGAGCTGATGTGTACGGCACGTCGTGGTACCACTCGCACTATTCGGCTCAGTACACTGCCGGTGTCTGGGGTCCGATGATCATATACGGGCCGAAGCACGTCCCGTATGATGTTGATATCGGGCCTGTGATGCTCGGAGACTATTACCACAGCGAGTATCACGATGTGGTCGCCGCCGCCGCTAGTAACTCGACCGACTTCAACGTCTACGTCCCTTGGTCAGACAATAGTCTGATTAACGGCAAGAACAACTACAACTGCTCCATGGCCCCTCGCAACTCAACATGCTACTCCAACGCCGGCCTCGCCCAGTTCCGGTTCCAGCCGGGCAAGACTCACCGCCTCCGCCTGATGAATACCGGTGCTGCCGCCCTGGTTCATTTCAGTATTGACGGCCACAAGATGAAGGTCATTGCCAACGACTTTGAACCGCTCGTCCCTTATGACGCCGACTTCATAACTCTGGGTGCCGCTCAGCGAACGGATATTCTTGTCACGGCAGATGCCAATCCCAACGAGACCTACTGGATGCGCTCGACCATTACGCGCAACTGCTCCGTCACCCACAACGCCGAGGCAAAGGCCGTCGTTGCCTATCAGGGCAACTCCAATATTCAACTGCCCAGAAGCAGGATCAGTGCCGCTGCCGCCGCTGCAGACGAGAAGTCTTTTCTGTGCAAGAATGATGACCTCAACAAGACGGTCCCTTTCTTTCCGCAGGCTGTTGATCCCGAACCCGACGCGCTGGAGGTTATCGAGGTGGACCTGTTTACAAACGCGACTGGCCATCATGTCTGGATCATGAACAACAGGACGCAGTACACAGACTACAACCGCCCGCTCATGCTTGAGGCGTACAAGGGCAACTTCACCTTCCCCGACCCCAAAGCCAACGTGTACGACTTTGGCACCAACAGGACCGTGCGCATTGTGCTCAACACCATCTACCAGAGCGCGCACCCTATGCACCTGCACGGCCACAACTTCCAGGTGCTTGCTGAGGGACCTGGAAAATGGGATGGCAAGACGATCATCAACCCCAAGAACCCCCTCAGGCGCGACACGCACATGCAGCGTCGCTACGGGCACCTGGTCCTTCAGTTCACGACGGACAACCCGGGCGTCTGGTCGTTGCATTGTCATATTGCGTGGCACGCATCCATGGGGTACAACATCATGATACTGGAGAGACCGACCGAGCTGGCCAAAACGCCAATTCCGTTCGTCATGGACGAGACGTGTAGCGGCTGGGAAAAATGGACCAGTACTCACGTGGTGGATCAGATTGACTCTGGCATTTAGGTTTTGTGTAAGTTATATATGGAGTTGACAATGAATACAATCTACTCGAACCCTGCAGTCTGTCCGTCGTGGCGGTGTAGCCAGCAGTGTCAACGGAAGTTTCAAGCTAAAGTTTGGCATCAATACATGGTGTCCTTTGGCGTCCTCTCTGCCCTCGGAGCTACAACCAATTCCCCGCAAGTCGTACTTGATGCACTACGGTAAATAATGGTACCTGGTACGACTAGGGAAAGACTCTTTCCACATACGAGAGACGCTTTGATTGGCTTGGTTACTCCGAAGACAGACATGCTCGATCAAAGCTGTGTAGCCGCAGTCACAGGCTACTTGTGACTAGGGCTTAGTAAGAGGCTCGGAGTAATGACTCGACTCACGGGTATATAGAAGTTTGATCTTCAGCACAGGTCAAGGTCAAATCCCTTCATCGTGCCATGCTTCTTTTTATTTGCACTCGCACAAAAGCTGGCAAGATGTCCTGGGCCAGGGTTGGGGTGAAGTGAATATTTTGACTAGATCTTTGAACGTGGCCCTCTGGCGGCAATATTTGATTCTCTTATTTTTTTCTAATTGTAGAGGCGCTTCTGGAGATAAAATTCACCTATCTCGCCCTTCAAGGTTTCCTTTCTCGCATATAGCAGCTGAGAAACGTCCCAAACCCAGCTGTATACACCAAGAGTCTCAAATCCAACCTTGTCTCTACACTCCCAATTTTTGACGAGCTTCCTTGGTCCCGAGCTCAAAGGCGGCCAGCAGAGCTCGCTGCATGGCCGGGCCAACTGCCTTGAGCACCCATCGCTTCATGGCTGCCTTGCGTTTCGGTGAGTCTCCAGTATGGATCGCAGTCCGCTTGTGCATTGGGAGCAGCTCAGCGACGGCCAGTTCTTCCTCCAAGGCTGTCGTCGGGACCTCGGGTGCAAGATCCAGCATCATGTCCAATCCCAACTCGGGGTCGACTTCAGCAATGACGGATGCAATCTCCAGCTGCGAGGCCGCACTGATGGTTTCGGCACTCAACAAATGTGCCGTTTCGGCAACGGATGCAGACCCAATGCCCAAAGCCTCGGCGGCACCAGCGGTGCCAGCAGCACCAGCAGCTGCGCCCTCAATGGCCATTGTAGTCGCCATGCCTGCGAGTCCCAAGGCCCCTATTCCGATGGCTGCGCCTGCCAACGCATTCTTCAGCCCGGCCGGGATATTAGAGTTGGACATTTTGCTCACATGATCGAGGGCTTGATCCCTGACCTCCTCTACCTTCTTCTTGACCTTCTCGTGTTTTTGCCTCTCTTCTTCTTCTTGTTTTCTCCTGTCGTTCTCCTCTTTCTCTCTCATTTCTTTTTCTTCCTGTTTTCTTCTCTCCTCTTGCTTTTTCCTTCTCTCCTCCTCTTTCCTTCTCTCCTCCTCCTCTTTTCTTTTCTCCTCCTCCTCCTTTCTTCTCTTTTCTTCTTCTTGTTCCTTCTTCTTCTCCCCCGTCTCCCCGGCTTCCCCCGCAGCTTCCAATAAAGGAAAGTGTCCGCGCCACCCGACAGCCGAGCCGACCTTGTTCATAAATTCAATGGCATATTCTTTTGTAGACTTTCCGAGAGATGGCTTGAATTCAGACCATGGCGGCTCATTCCACAGAGGAGCCTTTGGCGGGAGTCCAGCCAACTGCGGCTGCCCGCCACTGATGGTGTACTTGTCAAACTTGGGGTCGTAGTCGGGATTCTTGACATATAGATGAGACAGTGCCTCAAAGGCTCCCTGCGGGTCTTTTTGTGCCGCTTCCCAGTCGTAGTCCGCTGGTATCGGGACGCAGCCCTCTATCTGGGTTTCAAGGATAGCCCCGAGGGCTGAAATTTCTAATTCTTCCTCAGTCTCATATGCGTCAGATAAAGATTCCGCCGTATCGACCATGTTTGGTGTCGCATGGATGCGGTAGACCCAGCCCGGGCCTTTGGTCGAACTGCCGCCCGGTCGAACCGCAAACTTGGCGGCCACGGCAAACGAACTCGAGGTCGAGATATACTGGCTGTGGGGTACCGCAGAATCGGAGTTCATGTCAATAAAGGAGTTTATGTGATCCCATAAGCCATACGCTTCCGGAGTCTCTGGGTTGACCACCCGCGGCAGGAATCCCCCAGCTGCCTTGATCGTCGCAAGATCTCGTCTGGCCCCACGAAATACATATTGTATCGAAGCCGGTTGGGGCGACGCTGGTTTTTCCACAACGGCCGCACCATTTTGTCGTGGTTTAAGCTGCCCTCCGCCGGAAGTACCGCCAAGTCCTGATCTTAGCCCTGCGCTGGAGGCACCGAGCAATGCCGCAAAGGTGGCGAAATATCTCATTGTGCCTGGCAAGCAGAAAGGGAACAAAACCCATCAACCCTCACTACACAGCCAAGTTATTTTCAAGCACACACCCTCGAGGCAGTATATAACCATAGCTGTCTGACAGTATTTTTGTGCCCTCATCATTGTGCCCCATGCATTCGACGCACCTGTTATCAACGGCCGAGGGTGGAAAAAACGACGCAGCCACGAAATATGCCGGTCTGGTAGCTTATTGCCAGGGAGCAGCCAAGTGAATCGGTGCGAGGACACGAACGTGAGCGCTCCTCCAGCACCAAGAAGGCTGCGAGTCAGTCGCGAGGGATATTTATTCACAGGTTATCGTATGACGCGCTAGGGCAAGAGAAGAAACAAGACTGGAAACGAAAACGCCACACAGCCGTCCTACGAGTACCCAACTTGTCGCCGCAATACGGCTATACCTCGTGTGCCATTTCCATCGTGACCGTGCCGCTCGCTAACCCACCTCAGTACGCATAGCCGACTATTTTTGCCGCCGAGCGGCCGGCACTAAACAAGGTCTTACCTCGACATGATAGTAATATCATGGCCTATAATAAAGAGTATTTTTACTTGTATTAATCCAGGCATAATGACATCAACAAGCCTTTATTAATAACCCTATATAATGCTCCCGGTATTAATTATCGTCTCCAAGCCGAGACGGTGATTAAGCTATCCTTGCCTCTATCAGGCCCCACAAGGACTATAAAATGCTTGCATGGTGAAATAGCAGGGCTGATTTCCCAGTTGGCTTCTTCTAGGATTGACAGATAATCTAGGAAAAGCTCGTCCATTAGACCCAGCTCTCTCTCCAAAGGCACCTACCTGCATCCTTGACCATGTCCACTCAAACTTGGCAACAGCGGGTGCTGGGTGCGCGGAGTAGACACTGCTGCGCGATTTAACCAAATTCACATGGTATATGTATATGTGTGTTCTATAGTCTAGTCCTATATCACAGCGTTTAGCTACAAGCGGCACCTCCAATCAGAAAGTAAAGTCTCCAAATAGCGCCACTTTTGCACAAAGACAAAGGAGAAGAGAGCAACGTACACTGCAACCTGCGAAGTTGGCCTCCGCTCTCGGCAGTACGGCTAGCACTTTTCCATTGACTGCGTTCTCACCCCAAATCCTACGGCAAACGGTGCAGTGCATTTTGCCAAGTTTCAAAAAATCAACGTATATAACCTGCTATTTCTCCGCGTCTGAGAAAACCAAGATGCGTGAAAGCGGGGGGCGTATTCTGCTTCACCTCATACTATCCCAGCACATCCTCGGAGAGCTGCTTTTCCATCAACTAAGATTGTCCATCGACCTCATCTCCAAACGTGGGTGATGGCCATCTTGCCAAATTTAGTGGCTTCGTGCTTGTTGGTATCAACGTCGCTCAGAGACGGCAGTCAGGTACGTTTAGCTTCACTGCTTGGTCCGCTCCACTCGTCGGCGTCACGGAGCTGAGTAGCATAGCAGAGTGGACAAGATAACCTTCGGCAAAGGAAGTGGGAACTCGGGGGTTCCTGTTATGAGCGAACCGAGTTCTGCTTGGGAACCAACGCTTGGTGCTCTAACCCTCATTACTACAAGGAGGCCGGCTGCGACAGCCAGGATGCCTGCTTTCGTGCCGTGGTCTCCCGAAAGCCCTGGAGATATATGCATACTGATTGCCTAGCGGACTTTGAGCGCTGTGAAGGCACAGATGCCATATGCTCTAGAATCGAGCATCCGGTCTACCGTGGCTTGTGCTTTGAGGGTCACGTCAAGGGTATGTTTTTGGAACCATTGTCTCAAAGTTGCCTTGATGCCGGCAGAGTGGACGATGAGGGTTGCAGTGGCACCAAAGCTTTTTGTCAGGCTCCGGCACGAGTTGCGGCGTACGGCTCTACAGAAGTCTGCTTGAGCTACCGAGAGAGAACTGCTTCGGAGGAGAAGGAGAAGCTGCCTTTTATCCATCAAGATGCCGCCAAATGCTTCGGAGATCCCACGGAAGAGTGCATGGGCACGGAGAGTTTCTGTGGAAGACTGCCCAAGGCAGAGAGAGCGGCATGCTTTTCGTCGCGGCGGCAGCCCCCCTTTCTGCATCCATACTCTGCCCTTTGTGGTGGACAACGCCAAGCCAACGACGAATCCTGCGTTGGAACAGTCGAATACTGTGACACCAATGCTAGAATATCCTTGTATGGATCCAAGGAAGCTTGCGTCAGGTATCGTGGAGCGCCCCAGAAAGTAACTTGGCTCCAGCCTGCGGAGAAATGCGACAACCCAGGGGAGAATTCCACCGAGGCCTGCGAGGGAACAGAAGTGGTATGCCAGATGTATTCTGATCGACCCGAAGAGTGCTTTGCACCACGGGGGTTTGCCCCTTTTCTGCTACCCAATTCATCCAGCAGCGCGAAACATAATGTCGAGCAATTCTTTGGAACCGACGAGTGGTGCCACAAGCGGTACAAGGAGGCAAACTATTTCAGAGAAAACGACTGCTTCAGGAAGCGCAATTTCGACCAAGATAAGCTGCTCACTCGAGTCAGGGACCACTTCAAAGAGAAATTCAAGCAAGTGGTGTTGAAAAATGCGCAAAATGTTACTCAGGGGGCCGTGATACGAGCACTCATCGTTAAGAGAGGGGATGCGAGGGCTGGCTTGAATGAGGTGAGGGTTAGTTTAAAAGACTACATGGATACCATCGAAGAAAGGGTTATCCCGCGGTCTGTCGAGGATTATTCTCGCCAGAATATCCGAATCTACAGTGTAGTAGTACGTGTACGTTCGAGGGTCCATCAGTTTCGCCTTTGCTTTCTTGCCCATGCATCCAGACGCACTCCTGACGTCGAACACTTGTGGCTTTTGCGATAGAAATCAGTGAGAAAGGCATCATGGATAGCCAACTTCTTCTTGCCCCCTGGTCTCGGTGGCTTGGACTTGGGAGACTACTACTGCTTTACCCGTGAGGAAAAGAATAGAGAACTCCGTGGACTTGTCATACAATAGAACACCTCAAGTCTACAGGCGGTCCTAAATAAAAATTGACAAACCGTGCCCAATAAGCTTAGCCAGAACTCGAGAAGAAACGATTCACTGCCAAAAGAGTGTGCTCATGAAACCCTTTCAAAACGACAGTATATATGCGAGGCCACGCAACCCAACTGACCTAGAGCAACTCTGCTGATGATGGACACGTACCTAATATTTCGATGGCAAGACAAAGAACGTGCATCCACTCCAATCACTTCCGGGAGCGCTTCTGGAATGATCAGCTGACAGGGATCAAGGCCCTCTAGTGATTGGAGTTCAAGACCTCTATGAAAGGCTACTTGTTTTCATTGTGTATTGAATATGAACCAACTTGCTTGGTGAATCAATTCGCTCCAGCAAGGGAACAGATATAATGACTCGACGGATTGAGCCAAGACGGGAGGGGCTGCACATAGCCAAACATGGACTGCAGACATGCATGCGGTGGGCAATTCGGGCTCGACACGTCCCTGAGGCCAAAGAAAATCAAGGCCTATTGTTGACTGCCCTCAAATTGGAAAAATTGGCATAACAACAGACTGGAAGTGACTACCATAGTTTACCAACAACACCCACAATCATTTGAAGAGCCAGACACTAGTCGTTGAGCAGGGAGCCACCCGAATGTTCTTGGGATGTAGTATTTAGAATAGTACGAGCAGACAAGTTGAGCTTTTTTTGCTCCTTTGCTACATCTCACTCTTCTGGACTTCAAGGGTCTCCCTTGATAGGAAGCCCTCTCGTGTTGCGACTGGGGATACACGACTGCGTTTTGCAGGGTTGATGCCGTAACGTAGCCATGCGACAATACCATCTTCGAGGCGATTGCCTATCATTTTGTACTGTACAATCGGGTGCCCGCCGAGCGAAAGGTCCTGCTGTAAAAGGAGATCCTGACTGTTCAGCGTGAGAGGGTTGCGATTCTGCGAATATGGCGCGAGGCGCTCGATCGAGTTGATGAGTTTCTGATCAAAGTACATCTGACCTACGTAGGCAGCCGTGTGATCGATGATGGTGCCGTCGGGGTACGGCTTCGCATTCGGGTGCAGCATGACGTGAATGTGGATAGTGCGGCCCTTGTAATGCCCAGGGAATACGGTAGAGAACTTGACGACTCCGTCGTCGTCAGTCTTCTGAACTCCACGGAGGAAGGTATTCTTCAGGTTCTTTTGGTCGGCCAGCCCATTGCCGTTCTCTGGGTTGACGACACCGCCATATACTCCGGTAGCATTGGCCTCTGCAGCAGAATCGTGCTTGTTAGCTCGTCAAACAATGGCGGTACGTATCTGGCGCGAAACATACGCCAAAGGTCGACATATTTTCCCACTACCGGCCTACAGGTGGTTGCATCGATGAATTGGACGTCAACCTCCACCGGAATGCCCGGTTGGCTTTCGGTGATATCCGACCGGACACTCTCACCAGCGACATCTAGCGCATCGGGTTAGGGTGTGAGAATCACAAGATCCATTGGCATCTTACAATAGGGTCCAACCATTTCTTCGGGAGCTAGGACGCATGACGCAGTGGACCGGAAGAGCGACTCTCGAGACGCATGCAAAGCGTGCCATGATTCGGAGTCCTGTTCATCTTCCAATCGACGCTTTCGCCGCAGCCTATTGGTCATAAACAACCTGCGCTGTATATCTCGCCTGTCAACACCAGAAGACTCTAGTTCTTGGGCACAGTGATCCAAGTTGCCAACGTGGCCCTGCAGGAATTCACCGCGAGCCCGTAACTCGGCTGCGTGCTCCTCGCCGGGATGACAAGCGGCCAGGCGGCCGGCAAGTACACACGAGAGTAGTGTCAAAATGTGCATCATGTCGGGATTGAAAATAGCCTCGAGGACTTGGAGGGTTGGGGTTGTGCGATGCTGAGATTCCGAGCCACGTCCTTCAAATACGTGCACATGTTGCACACGTGTGACGGCGGGGGGAGCTCTTTTAAAGCGTGCTATTTCGGCCGAGACAGCCTCACTCGGAAGATTGCATACACTAGCACGAGAGGATGTGTGCTACTCCGTACTCCGTACTGCCGCGGCAGATCTGCATGAGTGGTTGAAATTGGGAATTGCAGACCGCTGCTACGCATACGCTTCGGCACGGTCCTCAGGCAATCTGCGCTGCGTGTCACAAGAAAAGCCACGGTTACGGAGTCGACGCCCTTCCAAAAACAAAAGTTCAGGGGTTCAATTCTCAAGCAGTGGAGGTAATATTTCTCCTAGCCACCCGATTGAACCAGTCTCTTCATGCCGGATGAGAGTCGTGCCTAGAAACCTCGAGGCGGCTGGGACGTGGTAGTATCCATCACCAGGAAACCACGGAACAGCTTGATGCAGGATGCAGGGTGCAGGGTGCAGGGTGCAGTGACCAAGCCCATCCCGCACATCAGATGCAAGCAAGGGAACTTTTGTTTGCTAGATTGGATCATGTGTCCAGACGCATGGTCGTTCATCCGTCATCCAAGACAATACATGTGGCGCGCAAAAAAAGTCGACTACTACACTCGTGCTCACGCATTCGCAACACAGTGCAGACTGAGATTTTGTGCTGGAGGCTTGATTGACGCCTGCATATCCTTTCTTCGGTGAGGAAAGCCATGGTCGAGCCGTCCCAATCCGAAGCCTTTACGTAGCTCATGCTGGCACAAGGCAAACTTTTGTTCCATTCCGGGAGCACAGCGTCAAGGTCAGTGACTCCTCCCACGGTGCCGGGTCACGGCTCTCCAAGGTTTGGAATTCCTGTGCTATGCGAACGTCTCCAACTTCGGTGAGGGCGTATTGCTGGCCGACACATATGCGCGGCCCTCCGTTAAAGGGAAGATACTCCCATCGTGGTTGCATCTGCTTGCTCTGCCAGCGCTCAGGGCGAAATTCGTGGGCGTCGGGCCCGTAGAAATCAGGCCGTCGGTGCATGGCATACACATTGTAAGCAACCTGCGTCCCCTTTGCCACGAATACCGGCGACAGGCCGTCACTCCCACCGCCGAGCGGCAAGACGGTATCTCGCAGGGCCTCACGAGCATTCATTGGCACGACGGGATGAAGGCGTAGCGCTGGGCAGGCAGGATTAGTCAAGAGGGACAAGAGACACGTGTCATGTGTCATGCTGTCTGCATCGTGTATGTATGTACCTACATTCGCTCATGCAGCATTTGAGATACTTGAGATTGCGGAGCATCTCATAGGTCGGGACTCGGCCGTACAAGGATGCTACCTCTTGTCGGAGTTTGGCCCAGACGGCCGGATGCTTGGCAAGCATGAAGAACATGTTGCTCAGCAGGCTGGCGGTGGTGTCGCGACCAGCGAGGAGCACGTTCATGAGCTCGTCGAGGATGCGGCGCTTGTCCGAGGTGCGCATAGCGAGCTGGTGTGAGAAGATGTATTTCTGGCCTGGCATATCCGACTTGTCCGTCACGTCTCCGTCGGGCCGAGGCACGCGGACGGCCTCGTCGACAAATTGCTGGGCGAATTGGCGACAGATGCGATTGCACCTGTCGGCTTTGGGGTCGCGGTAGAACTTGGCCAGCGGTCCCAGGATGCTACGCGTTCTGATGGCGTCCTGTGCATAATTGAAGGCCTCGGCGAAATCCAGCTCCGTCTGGGCCGTCCTCTTCAGGCTGCCGACTGACTGGCCAAAGAGAAACTCGGTGGCGGAGTCAATGGTGTAGCGAAAGAAGAGCTCCTGGAGGTCGACGGCAGAGTGTCCATCCCGTGGAATTAGGGCGAAGAGATCAGGGATCAGCCTCTCAAACGATGCCAGGTCTGCCACCTGGTCACGGGCGAAGTTTGGTCGGATGAGGGCGCGCGACGTCGCCCAGTGGTCGCCATCGGTGTCGAATATGCCGGCGCCGAGGAGCGGGCTGAATCGTTCCAGACGATGACGGACGCCGTAGTCCTTGAAGTTGAGCGCGAGGATGGTCTTTATGTTGTCGGGCTCGATGGTCATGATGACGGGAGTCATGAGCTGCCTCGAGGTGAAGGTATTGCCGAGACGGGAATACCGCTCGCGGCTCGTTTCGAGGGCCTTGTGGTCCCGAGCAGCTCGCAGGTTGGCACGTATCATGTCAAGGCCCAGGAACGGGTCCCTGTTGCAAGATTTGGCAATTGGCCGACAGCCATGGCTGCGCGCAAACTGTCGCCGGGCCAAGAATCGGCGGATGAAGGGGGTGGCGAAGGAGACGAGGACGAGACCGACGGCGGTCCATGCCAGCAACCTCAGTGGATGCGGACTCGAGATTTCCATGACAAAGGCAACGGTAGCGGCAAAGGCAACGGCAGCGACAGAGGCAACGGCAGCGTCGGGGGCGAGGCCGAGGGGGACATGGGTTGCAGCAGCGGATCGCGGTGTCACGGTGTTGAGTGTTGAGAGAGATGCAGAACATGGACGTCGAGCAGTTCCTCGGCCCCCCACGTTTATCCCTCGGCAACAGCGGCCAGGCGGGTGGTTCGTCATGACGAGATTCAATGTCCGGACTCACGGCCCCCCTCCCTGCGCCACGCCCCATGCCTCACGCCCCACGACCCGCTGGCCGCGCGCAGAAGGATCGCCCCCGCATAAGTATGCAACCAACCAACCACTGCTTTTATCGGGGCGCATGTGAAGCCCGTCCTAATACCTGATACGCCCCGCCCCGGCGGCTGCCATGCATTACTAATGGAGAATGCAGATGACCCGACCATTGCTCGCCTTCCTGCTGACCATTGTAGTTGACCTGACCTGACCTTTCCTAATTAGGCAGTATATATCCCGGAGTTAACCCGAACACCTAACCTTAACCCTTACCCTAGCCTTAACCCTAACCCTAACCAGTGCTTTTAAAATTAAGGCCCCACTAAATTCTCCACTAGCAATGGTCAGGTCACCTCAGGTAGGCGAGCAATGGTCGGGTCATCTACACTCTCTCTTCCGTAGAGGAGTACTGGTAGCCTGGTTCATGTAGACCATCGTGCACTGGCCGTCTTTGATTGTTCCTTGTCCGAGGCGCCTTGGTGACAGAGACGTAGCGTGAAGCCTAACCCTTGGTTTCAAAAACTACACGTGCCCAGTCAACTAGCACAACCAACACGATCTAGTCACTTGGTGACGAGAAAATTTTCAACATTCATTTTTCCAACTTGATACCGCATGTGCAGTCGACTCCCAGTTCTGAGTTGACTCGGCTTCCGCCAGACCCACTTCACGACGTGTGGTGGGTCCCTGCCTCCCTGTCTATCGCCATCAGGCAAACGCTTCGAAGTGAAGTCAGGTTTGAACCTTCACAAACCTCCAGGGGCCAGCACCCTCGTTCTGACGGGCCCTGAGTGCAATCCGCTAGAACGAGAGTGCCATCGAGAAAGCGCTTATCGAGCTCGTTTCCCTGACAGCCACCTCACGATGAGCAACAAGCAGACACGCCAACGCCAGACTGGTGGTCGTGGTCGCAGCCGTGGACGCCGACGCGGCCATTCGCAGGCATCTGAGAGAAGGAGTCACGACACTCACGGCGCTCTTGGTCCTCCTTCACCCGACAGCGGCAATCAGACGCCGCCGTTGCCATTCGACGCAAAGCCTCCCCTCACAGAAGCCGTACCCCTCGACACACCGAGCTTTTCTGCGCTTGACGACCAGCACCTCCATCCCTCACTCACACAAGCCATCACCGAGGACCTTGGCTTCGACCACATGATGCCTGTTCAGGCTGCCACTCTCTGGGAACTCTTGCCGCCGAACCGCCACGACTGTCTTGTCCAGGCCAAAACAGGCACGGGCAAAACCATCGCTTTCTTGCTCCCCGCCCTCCAGAATATGATCACCAAGAAACAGCCCGGCGCTGCGACCATCTCGCTTCTCGTCGTCGCGCCAACTCGCGAGCTTGCATTGCAGATTGCTCAGGAAGCTACATCTCTGCTCCAAAGATTACCCGAATACCGCGTCCGCACCGCCATCGGCGGCACAAATAAGGACCGTGAAGAGAAGCAAATTCTTGACAGCTGCCACGTTCTCATCGCCACGCCCGGGAGACTCATCGACCACATGGGCAATGAAGATATATTATGGGCTCTCCGGCAGCTAGACACGCTAGTCTTGGACGAAGCCGACAGACTCCTCGACATGGGCTTCTTGCCCGCCGTTCGAGAAATTGTCAGCAAGTTGCCTGACAAGAAGGACGTCAACAGACAGAGCATGCTATTCTCAGCCACCATTGCCGACCGCGTCAACAAGATTGCCGGCCTTGTCCTTTCCCCCGGATACAAATTCATCTCTACAATCCCCCAAGGCGAAGCCAACACACACGAACGCGTACCATAAGTTCTAGTCACTGTACCGACGTTTGCACTGGTCGCAGCGGCCATGATTGGCGCAATCAAGCAAGAGGCCGCCAGCCACGACGACTTCAAAGCCATTGTTTTTGCGCCCACGGCTGCCCAGGCCGGACTCTACGGGCACATTTTGTCCATGATTCCCGGACTGCCACCAGTCTCTACCCTCCACAGCCGGATGACGCAAAACAGGCGAACCAAGATCACAAACGACTACCGTGACGCACCGTCGGCTATCTTGGCGGCCACGGATGTCATTGCCAGAGGCATGGACTTTCCCGGCGTCACGACCGTGTTCCAAATCGGCATTCCCTCCGAAAAGGAAAGTTATATCCATCGTCTGGGGCGCACGGCACGAGCAAATGCTGAAGGACGTGGCATTTTGGTCATTTGCGAGGCAGAATCATTCTTTCCTCGGTGGACGCTGAAGAATACCACCTTTATACCCCACGAGGCAGATACATCGTCTGCTGAGCAAGTCGAGCGGATCATGGACACGATTGACGAGGATGAAAAGGCGCAGATATACAAGGCATGGTTGGGATATTACAATAATCACATGAAGGGCTTGAAGTGGGACAAGGCAGAGCTTGTGAGGCAAGCCAACGTGTTTGCGAGCGACGGGCTGGGCACGCCGGAGACGCCGCCCATTCCGAAGAGTACCGTGGCCAAGATGGGACTGAAGGGTACCAGAGGACTGAATGTTGTGCCTGATAAGCCCAGGAATAAGGCTACTAATAAGGGGGGCCGATAAAAAGAGATGTTGGCTGCATTCGAGGGTGCCAAGCAGGGGTGTCTGAACAGAGGGGAAAGTCGCTGTCGGGCAGCTCCATGAATACACCGTCTTGGAACTTGCCAACTTGGCAGTGAGCACAAACGCGTCTTTAAGTCGATGTGATACTATGATAGACAGCTTTGTTTTTTTAATACACCCGACTGATATGAAGTTACTTTTGTTGTCTCGCGCACTGAAATTTAATCCGATTCAGGTCTAGCGTCTGGAGTGGGCAACTCGAAGACAAAGAGTGGATCTGTGGCAAGACATTGCCCCACATACTACCTCTTTTAGTAAGGCGCCCGGAGAATCCCGCGGCTCAACTTGGGTCAAAAAAAAAATTAATGAAAAGCTCTCCGTCGCGAAGCCATGTCACCAGCTTAACCATATCGTAACGCGTACCATCTATCCGAGGAATTTCTATCTGAATCTCCTCCTGCCCACCTCTCTCCGTGTACGGTGAAATGGCTCTGGATCACGGAAGAGACCCGTGTCCCTATGTAATCCTGAACGATTTCGGCGGCGCCTTCGCCATGGGGGTAAGGGAATCCTCGGCTCCCCATCAACGTACCCTTTTGACAAGGGCATCCTCCCAATGCATCTCACTCATTCTCGCCACAGGCAATCGGCGGCACGTTATGGCACGGCATCAAAGGATTTCGAAACAGTCCCTACGGCGAGCGAGGCATCGGTGCCGTCACAGCAGTCAAGATGCGCGCACCAGTATTAGGGGGCAACTTCGGGGTCTGGGGCGGCCTCTTCAGCTCCTTTGACTGCGCCATCAAGGGCGTACGGAGGAAGGAGGACCCCTGGAACGCCATTGGCGCGGGATTCATGACCGGAGGCGCTCTGGCCATCAGAGGCGGCTTCAAAGCTGCTAGAAACGGCGCCATCGGCTGCGCTGTGCTGCTTGCCGTGATTGAGGGAGTAGGCATCGGCTTTCAGAAGATGATGGCGGGCGGCACGAAATTGGAGGTAGGCCCGCATTCCCACATCGTAATGGTCATGAACTGCATTGCCTCATGTTTGGAAACTTTCATCTTTACACGCTCGCCCAAGTCGAGGACATCAAACCTCTCCCGCCACGCTCGTGGGCATGTGTTTCTGACATTCAAGTATTAGGTGCCCGCTCCTCCACCGACGAATGAACATGCTCTTGCGTAGCCTTTTTGAACGCTGCGTAATGTTGGTTTGCCTGCGCTTGGGGCTTCGTCTTGGGATGGAAAGCATTGCATATCGGTATATATATCCATAGACTCGGTGTTTCTGCTACTGGCAATAGAAAAGCGAAATAGACTCGTGGAGAGCTCGGCTTGTGTTGGCCAGGAGCCAACACGACATGTATAACAATAGGCAGATAGCCGCATCAGCCCCAACACTGTATCATCTATACTTTCATCATGTCCTCCTTCGGTCGATCATAACACCGTCCACGCCGCATCACGTGCCAAGTTTCCTTCCGTGATGTCACGACAACTTACATATCGTCACGACGCCCCGAGTTCCGACTTGATGGACTGGACCCTGGGATATCTTGGGAAAGCAGGAGCATATAGCTCGCAACTTGTAAGCGACACGACGAACCAGGCGAAAAGAGGCCTGCACATACCGACTTGCATCGAGAGTTGTAGGCGCTTGTTAGCCCTTTGACCAGTGACAGCTCGTCTCCCGGGACGCCTACTTTCACCATGTTTGGAGACTTGGTCGAGAACTTGCCCCAACCCGGGCCGGCTGCCGGGTCCTTGATCCATGCAACAAACCAGTCGTGGATGGAGTCGGCCAGTGCCTGCTGCTGATGGGTGACGTTGCGCAGTGAGTGGAAACATTCATTGCCGCCGTGAAAAAAGGGAACTTCGGTGCCGTGGGTGGGAGCCGTGTTCGGCGGCCCGACGACGTTGTCATATGCGCCGAAGAAGCGGTAGACCCAGGTGTCTTGGGCGGCGCTTCGCATCTCGGTGAGATAGTCAACGGGGCAGTGGAAGCGGGCATCGCCGTACTGGGCGCCGCTGCGAAGGGAGCCGCTGGAGAAGTCGGAGGCTTTATACGCTGGAACAAGAAGGGATTCCGGAATATGAGCACTGTCTGCGTCAAACGTTTTGGTCCACGAAGTGAAATTGCCATTCCGCGGTTGGTATACGAGGCTGAAGATTGTACCCTCACCATGCGCATTGCCGGTAAGTAGCGGCACACGCGAGGCATACTTGCCAGTCGCGAAGCGGGCGCGGTAATCAGAGTGACGTGTGATGTCGTCGATGACGGGGGTGAACCATGTGTGGAAGGTTGAGTTGAAGCGTGCCGTCTGCAGGGCATACATGTCAAGACGGCGCAGGCAATCCAACTGTCCCTTTCCCGCTGCGCTGGCAGGGCAGCCGAGTTCAGCCGCAACGGCGTCAAGGGCCTCATTCATGGGAGCGTAAGCAGGGCCGGACATGGCGTTGGCGCTCATCTGAACGGCGCCCTTGAGCCAGGCGTCGGGATGATTCCACAGGTAGTGATCGACGAGCACTGAGCCCGAAGAATGACCACCGAAGACGATGTGATCGGGATTGCCGCCGAACGCTAGTTTGAACGGTTAAAGAAATGATGCATGAATTGTATTGTAATGTGTCTGACTGGCAAGGATCGGTCCCATGACTCGTACCTTTGATATTGTTCCGAACCCAGTCGAGCGCCTTGTCAACATCTAGGATGCCAAAGTTCTGCGACTCGTCCGGATGGAGCTTCTTCAGCTCCGCCGAGTGCGGCGAGGCGAATATACTTTGACGAGTGTTGAAGTTGACGTAGACGACGCCCTTGCGAGCAAAATTGGTGCCCTGGAGCTGCGGGTTGCTGTTGGAACCGGTAACCATGGCACCGCCGTACATGTAGACGAAAACGGGCAGGTCCCTTCCCTTGGGCGGCGCCCAGATGTTGAGATTCAAACAGTCCTCGCCCTGGGGACTGTAAGCAGACTTGCGGATTGCCTGAGGACATGTTGGGCCGTAAGCCGTGGCTTTGAAGACGGACTTTGACGGTGGAACAGGTTGTGGCGGCCGCCACCTAACTCGATGCAATGCCGTCAGTCGAGTTGAGCTCGAGCTTGTCCAAGAGCGGCGTGCGAGCCTCGACACGAGCCTACCTATTCTCCCCGCCAGTCGTGGCCGCAAAGGGGATGCCTAGATATACCGCGTTGCCGTAAGTATCGCGAAACCCAGTGACGACGCCCTGACGGGTTTTGGCGATTGGTGCAGGTAGGCGGCACGAAGACGGCTTTGACACCGCAGGGACGATCAAAGTCCACAGAGCTGCCACCAGGCCAAGCTTCATGATGCATACTCTGGTGCGGACCATTGCTGAGCCTTTGTCTGTGAGCTGCCTCGACGCGCTTGTCCTCACGAGAGGATACGGAGTACAGAAGGAAGCACGAATCGGCGACGCGGGCTGCAAGAAATCATTTCTTGCATTCGGCCACGAGGAAATGCCCCACTGGCCGTTTCCAAGGAACCATGGGTTGATGTGAATGCCACGGGCTTGCCGACATGGAGTTGAATCCTAACAAGCAGAAGCATGGTGTTCGCGCTCAATTGAACCGGGCTGCACAGTGGAGACCACATACAATGTGTACGGAGAACCTCTCTGTACAACTTGTACTCGACTACCTCTTAAGTACTTACCTACTTACTTAGGTAGGTAAGTACCTTAAGTAGGTTAGGTACCTAGGTACTTACATTAGGGCACCTCTCTTGTCCCTACTTGACATGCCACCCACTTGCCCAGGGCCCAAGGGAGACTCCCTATAAGTACCTACTTAAGTACCTAGTTACTCACGTACCCACCTGATCCTCTATTGTTGGGCCAAAACGGGCTTGTGGCCAGGGCTTCAATTTTTGGCAGTTCCCACCGTGTTCAACAAGAAACTGTGCACTTTCATCGGCAACAACAGTGGTGGTTTTGTGACATTTTTTTTCCCCCAGCCCACGACCACACAAGCATCAGCCTCCAACTCCCCAGTGCCTGTGTCCCGGTGACGTCGTTCAAGTTCCAACATTCTAACATGGATGTTTTGGTGCGTGCGGGATGGGCCGTCAAAGTTCGTGTTCCGGCAGACGGGAGGATCCGCCCGTGAGTCGCCAGTTTGGTGGTCACTCCGTCAAGCGCCATTTAGCAACCGATGATTTCTAAAACCTCATAACCGGCCCTGTATGATTCAACCTTAACCTTAACCGGCTGACCTTTGAGCTTGCTGGCCTTGATAGCAACGGGCACAGGCAGGCACCCCTTGCCATGGTACTAGATGGAGAAAGGGTTTTCGCTTGGCAAAATCCGTCATCGCTTGACCACGTCCGAGAGGATCCGGCCGGCAAGGATCATGACTCTGAACAAGCTCAAGTCCTTGGTCCGACAGTCCGATAGTCGTGTTTTGCAACTTGTGCACGTGGAGGGCCCGTTACCAGATCTGCCGACGGGCTGGTTCTACGCGGCTCATCTCACACCATCGGACCAAGTGTTTCATGAGCAAAAGACGGACGGACTAGCCCGATCAGCCATCTAGGCAGAAATGCCTCACACCATGCGCCGCGAGGATCCCTGTCCGCGAGTTGCTAAAACGCTCTGGCATCGCACGCGTCGTGACGAAAATCATGCGGTGTCTGTGGGCCGTGGGACAGGAAAAAAAGCCATGACTCCCCTTTATAAAAGTGAGTCGCTCAGTCACTCACGCGGGCTGTCTGCCGGGACGAGATCAACCAGCTGATGAAATACAATGTCAAGGGAAGGCCTTGACCAGGTGGTACGTTGCATGCCAAAGGGGAGCTGGCCGGCCATCACTAACATTGAGCAACAGGTATCGTGGTACATTTGTACGGCTGTGGCGGTGCTCTTCGTGATTGCCCGCCTGTTCAGCCGTTACCACAGACTCGGGTCACTCTGCATTGACGATGGCCTCGTTACCTTGGCGGCATGCTGTCTTATTGGGGACTTGATCATCCAGCAGTACATGTGGAATCTGGGCATGGCCGAGATTCGCAAGGCGAGCCGACAAGATTTCATCCAGATAATGAAGGTAATCGACTTTGTGCAGCGATTCCACGGGGCGGCCGGCTGATTGTCTGGCGAGAGATACAGATGATTGTTCCAGGGTCGACTTTATACGTGACGTCATTGTGGGCGGTCAAGATCGCTATGGTTCTGTTCTACAAGAAGCTCGCAGCGCCAGGGACAAGACTCCAGACGATATACAACGTTGTTCTAGTCGCACTGGTTGCATTTTGGGGCGCCATCTTCTTCAACATCATCTTCCAGTGTTACCCTCACGACAGGAGATGGTCCAAGGACCCGAATTGTACGTATCTGGCCGACGTGCATTTCACAAATGGCTAACTGCCGGCAGACAAATGCGATCCGCGCCAAGGGTCAATTAATTATTGGTTAACGGTTCTCTGTGAGTGGAGCGGACCACGCGTGCTGTGGTGTTTGAACTGGGCTAACATGGCACTCTCCAGTAAACATCATGACCGACGTCATCAGTATGAACCCCCCCGGATTCCCACCTTGGTCAGGTAGAGACTCGTCCCGGCTGACCACCAACAGTTATTAGCTTGCCCATCTCGATGGTCCTGACGCTCCAGATGAAGCTGAAGCTGAAGCTAGGCGTCATTGCCATCTTCGCGCTCGGCGTTTTTGTCGTCATTGCAAGCAGTACGTGTTGTTTCCTGGACGCCAACACAGCGCGTGCCTGACGCAGATGAAGTTTTTCGAGCATACTATTCTAAGCGAAAGGAGACCATGCTCACCTGCACCGTCTCCATGGTTGAAACAGCGGTTGCCATCATTGCGTCCTGTCTTCCTCGTGCGTGTCCCCTGTACCCGACACAGGCATATATTCACACTGACCTGCGGCGCCCAGCCCTTCGTACATTGTTTATAGGCCCCGCTTCGCGCGTCGGCGCCAAATCCACCAGCGGACGTTACGAACTATCATCCGGTGGCGGCCGTCGATCCTGGGGAACGAATCGCGCACGCGGCACGACGGATGGACGGGGAGGCACGCGAACCAAGGCCAGCTCCTCCGAGGATGAGTTGGTCAATAACACAAGCACGCCATTTGCTTGCGGGAGTCCCTCGGCAAACGATGGGAACGGCGAGATCAAAGTAGACACAACCTTCCAAGTGCACTATGGCATCGACGACGAGGCTCGGGGCCAAGCGACAAAGCGCAGCGAATTTTGACCTCGGCATTCATGTAGCCGTAGTCTGGCCCCATCAGACAAGACACTAGACTTGTATTTAGCCGCATCGGTGCCCCCCTTTGTGTTGTTGAAACACCTGCATGTTTTCTCATCTGCCCGAGAGAAGCATTGCGCGCCTCGTCGACACGCTGCCTCGTCTTTCACCATGCGCCTCCACCGCGACAGGCCTGCTAGCCTCACTTCCTTGCCATTTATATGAGAGTGCTCCCCTAGTTGACCCGGTGCCGGTTGTCGTGACTGAGATTGTATGGGGGCGTCACTGCCTCGAGGAAAATGCGGGCCGTGCACATGTGCTGATGAAGCGCTTCGACTGCTTACGCCAGCTTGGTTTGCACATAGTTTTAAGACTCGATTCGAACTTTCGCAGAGCCTCACTTTATAAACACCCCCGGGCACGGCTCTGGCATCCAAAGTTTTACACCACCAACGGCAGTGATTCAAGGTCGTCTGGACCAACAGCAAAGCCAAGTTTCAACTCCACAAGGCGGGTTTGGTTGGTGCTTGTGGTGGCGGCGCAACCATAAGAATCGTAGGCTCTCATTAAAGAAGGGAATCACGGTTACCATTTACGCCTTGCTTCATAATTATCATTGCCAATTGGAATCGAAGTGGGCCATTTGTTACTTCAAGCCCCCTCGTGACATTACACGCGCACGTGCTGCAGCACCACAGTCCTGAGCCCTGTCCCGCCGCTCCCCATCAAACACAAGCGCAGACAAGCTGCTCAGGCAGCGGCGTAGCATTTCTGGATCAGCTCGCTGGCCCTGTGGGCAATGGCCGCGATGGGCGCCGTCGGATGGCCGCTGATTTGCTCGGGGAAGATGCTGGCGTCGACAACGCGGAGACGGCTGGTTCCGTGAACGCGGCACTCCACGTCAACCACGCTGCTGGATGGCGCCGGCCCCATCCTCGCGGAGCCGACGGGATGGTAGAGGGTGAATGCCCTCTCGACCAGGAAGCGCCCGAGCTGCTCGTCGGTGATGGCGTCAACGTCACTGCACGAATACGGCCACCAATACGAGGTTGTGTCGTCGTTGGTGGGGACGGGCTCCAGGTACTTTTGGAATGACGGGCTGCGCATAATCTTGAGACAGAGGCGAATACCGACTATCAGGACCTTGATGTCGTTGTCTTCCTCGTCGGTCAGGTAGCGGGGATCAATGATGGCTGGGTTTGGGGTCGGTCAGTCAGTACAGCTCCGGGGTAGGGTACGGGTACGGGTACGGGTACGGGCATGCGTGCCCTGACCCCCTCGATGGGACGGAACTTACGGTGGTCAAAGGCATTGGCGCTCTTGAGGCTGATGGTGCCGCTGCTCCGAGGCCGCAGGCCGATCGGGGCCAGACTGAAGACGTTGGCGTCGTCCAGAGGCCGCTCCTCGCCGTGGTGGATAAAGGCAATGGGGGCGCCTATAATCTCCACGTCGGGGGCCTTGTCGCCAGAGGTGTAGTCTTTGGGAGGGGTTGCGCCGGCCGAGGCAGGAAATTCGTATTCGAAGCTCCTGACAAATGCCGCGGCCTCGCCGACATTGCTGGTCAGGGGGCCGGTGCCGAACAGCAACCATTGCACCAGGGCCGGGATGGCCTTGATGTCGTTGTTGAGGTAGTCGAGGGTGGAGCCCTTCTTGGCCTTGCACAAGACGCCGTTGCTGCAAAGGTGGTCCTTGAGCTGCCTGCCGACGTTGTCGTTGGCGACAAGGCGAGAAATGGAGTGCTTTTGCAGCTCCTCGGCCGGACCAATGCCGCTAAGCATGAGCGTCTGAGGCGTGTTGACAGCGCCGGCAGAGAGAATCACCTCTCGCCTGGCGTGGACCTGGTAGCGCTCGCCGCCTTCAGACACTTGAAACTCGACGCCGATGGCCGCGGGCTTGGGGTTGTTGATTCGATCAAACAAGACCCGCGTGACGTGGGCGCCGCAGGCCACATACAGGTTGGGCCGGCGCAGCACCTCGGGGGTCAAGAAGGCCGTGGCAAGGGAGGATCTCTGGCCCTTGGTGTCGATGAAGGTCATGAGTCGGGTGACGCCAAGGCTGCCGTCGGCGGTGTTGATGTCGCTGTTGGGAGGAATCCCCGCATCGTCGCAGGCGGGGATGAAGCCGTCGTCGACGATGTGCGACAGCCAGGAGTAGCCCGTGTGCCACTGGCCGGTGCGGCCGCGGTTCGCAGCGTCGATGGCTGGGCGGGCCGAGTTGGGCGTGAACCTTTCGACGCATCGAAAGTGCGGAGCGAGATCTGAGTGTCCCCAGCCCGTGCAGCCGTGGACCGAAACCCACTCGTCAAAGTCGGAGGGCGAGCAGTGGTGGTATATCATGGCATTCATGGACGACGAGCCACCGATGATGCGCCCGCGCGGCCAGTACAGTCGGCGGGAGGCCACGGCCGGCTGCTCGACGGTGTAGTAGTCCCAGTCATGCTCGCTGTGGAACAGCTTGGAGAACATGAGCGGGACCTTGGACTCGAGCACCTTGGTGTTGTCGCCGCCAGCCTCGAGCACGAGAACGGACACGTGCTCGTCCTCGGACAGCTTGCTGGCGAGGACGCACCCGGCCGCACCGGCGCCGACGATGACTGCGGGCGGTCAGCCTGGAGCCTACTTGAGTAGTTACCCTACCACTGGCACGGCACTGCACGTCACGTCACGTCTCGTCACGTCTCGTCACGTCACGTCACGTCGCCGACGGCGCAACTCACCGTAGTCGTAGCCGGGCAGGGCTCGCCCAGCGGCAGCGGCCGTCACGGGGGGGCCAGAACGCGGCTGCAGCGCGGCATAGTGGAGGGGGTGGTGCAGGGGGTTGGCGTGTCGGCGACCCATTTGATGCGCCGTATTCCGTACCGTGCGTTGGATGCGTGCGTCGAATTATGACAAGATACAAGATGGCCCGGAGTGCAACGAAGCATATCAAGGAGTCTGGCTTGGCAAGGGGACAAAATGGCACAAGCCGCCGCAGCTTTATACGGAGTCACGGATCGAGTTGCCTCCCCACCTCTGCCGAGGGCTCGCTCGTGGCCCGTCCGGGGCGGGGGCAACTGGAGGGGCCGGTCAGCTAGTGCCCCCGACCCCAGGTTTGATCTACTAGTGTTGGTCGCTATGCTCGGCAGTGCAGCCAGACTCGGCGCTGTTTTGGCAGTCTGGACTCTCCGACCCGGGTGGTTAGGGAATTCTCATTTCGTCTCGCTGCTTTCGACTTCGACTGCATACAGCACACGCCTCTTTTCACCGGATGGCTACCGAGTACGGAGTAGTGGCTCGGCAATGAGCATCACCCAGGGGCTAGACTTGATAACTCACGTGTCAATCGCCACGTCATATCAATCAACCCCTGGTCCGAGCGGAGAACGGTCATGCTCCATCCAATCCATCCACCTCGAGCATCGTGTCCGGCCGTGTCCGTCCTGGACGAGTCGTCCCCGATCGCGACAAGCCTGCTGTGTCTCGCCATCTTTGGACGTTTGCATCCCGGAGCGAGAACGCGATAGCTTCTGCTGAGAGGCGCGGCGGGGCGGCGCACCAACCTGACCAAGTACGGGGTGTTGCTGACCCGAATAGGACGACGGTACACGGACAACGGTTCTCTTTGGCAACATTGTCCAGGTTGGAGACGGCCAAAGGACGGGACCCGAATTCATTCGTCCTCGCACCATGGTTGGGTAAGCCTTCAAGCTCACGTTGCAGACACCACCCATGTTGCCGTTTGCTGCGATTGGCTTGCCATAGTTGCATCGCGACATGCGGCGCTCGACGTGGCCACCCAGTTGAAGACACCGTGATTCTGGGCCATTTGCAGCCATGTTGATGATTTCGTGCCCGCCGCTCCGTAATGTAGACGGCAGTGCTGGGGGTTAGGGTTGGCGCCGGCAGGCAAGAGGCACGTCGACTCTGCAGCGCCGCCGCCTCTGAAAACTAGCCATCCCCTCTGGTATGTCAAGGACCGCCGTTGAAGCCAACAGAGCGTCCGGGCGACGGGGAGCAGTCATTCATTTATACCGGTGTAACCTGTGCCTCCCTCCAATGTAACCATGCCATTTCAGGACAGCATCGACCGTGGGTGGCCCCACCGGGCTTCCAAGGCTTCCAAACGGCGTTGCTGTGGCTTCGGCATGGCTCCAGCTCTCTTCAGCCCCTCTTACCTGGATCTTAGCTGGATACCTCCCTCCCGGCCGAGGGCAACGTTGTCGACCCTGCCAAGCTCACGTGGTGCCACGAGGGCGGCGGCGTTCATCACTCATCATCGGAGGTGGACATTTTGGGCAACTCGACAGTCAAGCGTTAGCTGGAGATGAGATGATGGATGGCTGCCGTCAGTCACCAACGGACCAGGATAGGTCAGTCAGTACGGAGTACGGCGTCCATATGGACGGGAGGAGTTCGACCCGCTACCTAGGTACTTAAGTAAGTGCCCAAGGTCGTTACTTCCCCACGATTCACGATTCACGATTCACGATTTACGCCTTGTGCCTTACCGCTCGCCACATCAGCGCCCTTCGCTTGGGCTCGAGACTTCGTCCCACACTGACTCCTTCTCCTCTGCTGTGTGCGCCCAACGACGACGCCGACGCGCACCAGACCAACACCTCCACGGACAGCAATGTCTACAGACAAGAACCCGGCCGGCGCAACCGTGCCTGCGCCGGCCATCGAAGCTGCCGACCATGGCGACGCCGCCGCCCACCAAGATGCGCCCGTCAATCTCCCAGCAGGATGGAGGTACAGGCAACGCCGCATATTTGGCGTCGCCATCCCGTGGTATGCCTCGCCCCAGACCCAGCTCATCATGGTGTCTTTTGTCTGCTTCCTGTGCCCCGGCATGTTCAACGCTTTCGGAGGCATGGGAGGAGGTGGTAAAACCGACGCGACCCTCGCCGACAACATGGTAAGCCGGCCAGCCCACACGACGCGTCCTTACCCTAGCGGCGGTTGCTGACGGACACTGGCCCGATTGCACAGAACACGGCGCTGTACAGTGCCTTCGCCGTCTTTGGTTTCTTCGGCGGCACCTTTATCAACAAGCTCGGCGTCAAGTACACCCTGGCCTTTGGAGGCGTCGGCTACTGCGTCTACGCCGCCAGCTTGCTCGCCTCTGTCCACGCTGATGTCTCTGGCTTCAACCTCTTTGCCGGCGTTTTCCTCGGCATCTGCGCCGGTCTCCTCTGGACCGCCCAGGGCACCATCATGATTTCCTATCCCCGCGAACACGAAAAGGGCCACTATTTCGCCTGGTTTTGGGGCATCTTCAACATGGGTGCTGTCATTGGTAGTTTGGTAAGAGCTTCCGCACGTCGCACTGCCGTTGTAAAACCACTGACTCGGCCCGTGACAAGATTCCGCTCGGAGAGAACATCAACGTCAAGGTCAACGCCACCGTCACCGACGGCACCTACATCGGCTTCATCGTCCTCATGTTCTGCGGTGCCGTCCTCGCCCTCATGCTTTGCAACGCCAATGACATTGTCCGATACGATGGCAGCCGCGTCATCCTCAAGAAGAACCCCAGCTGGCAGAGCGAGCTTCTCGGGCTTTGGGAAACCTTGCGATTCGAACCCATGGTTGTGCTTCTGTTCCCCATGTTCTTCTCCTCCAACTGGTTCTACGTCTACCAGCAAAACGCCGTCAACGGGGCGCGCTTCACGACGCGCACCAAGGCCCTCAACAGCCTTCTGTACTACCTTGCCCAGATCGTCGCTGCTTGGATCACCGGCCTTCTTGTCGACGTCCAGGGCGTGCGCCGATCCGTTCGTGCCAGAATTACTTGGGTCGTTCTGTTGGCCTTCACCTTTGCCCTCTGGGGTGGCGGCTACGTCTACCAGAAAGGCTACACGCGCGAAACCGTCAACGTCGAGTTGAACCCGGGATATGAGCCGACCGACTGGACTTCACCTGGATATGTCGGCCCCATGTTCTTGTACATCTTTTACGGCTTCTACGACGCGGCCTGGCAGGCATGCATTTACTGGCAAGTCGCTTGCTCGCCTCAAGCCGTGCCGGCAGCTGACTCGACTCTTAGGTACATGGGGGCTCTCTCCAACTCTGGCCGTCGTTTGGCCAACTACGTCGGCTTTTACAAAGGCATACAGTCCGTTGGTGCGGCCGTCATGAACAACCTGGATGCTCGCAAGCTTTCCTTCATGAAGGAATTTATCAGCAACTGGGTCTTGCTCGGAGCCTCTCTGCTTATCGCTGCCCCAGCCATCTTTCTCAAGATCCCTGACCACGTCGAGGTCGAGGACGATCTCAAGGGTACAGACGAAACTGTGGAGGACGTCCTCCCTGTTGCCCACGGTCATTCCGAAAAGGCCGCGGCTTAGAGCCAAGGACAAGCTATTTCCTCGCCATCCATGCAAAAGGTAGTTCGCCAGCCAGCAAGCCAGATCGTGTCTTGTATCTTTTTTGGAGTAACGTTGCCTTGGCGTCACAACAGGTTGTATTCTTCTTTTGTACTGTAGTAGGGGTCACTACTAGCTTGCCTCCATGTACCAGATGTATTTTTTATTTCTCTATTTCACACATTGCGCTCCAGCACGTTCTGTATCGCCTTGTCACTGCGACAGCTTGTATTGAAACCAATTCATGAGCATTGAACCATGTCTGCATTCACATGAGTCCTGCCAAAGCTGGACACGAGGGGACGATTTTAGTATCGCCGCATACTCTGCCAGGCTCGTCTTGATGAACGTAGCCCTGGCAGCCCCTAGATGATGGTGACACAAGGGCAATGATCAGGGCAAGGCCACAAGCTGGGTCTCGTGTCATCCACACATGTAGAGAACCAAACCTTGAATACCAAAGCGTGTTGTACATTGAATTGAGTCGGACGTCGCTCCAAGTCCTCGACACAAGGGTGGCAAACGTTGCGTCTGTTCACAAGGGAGGGCCATCCACATTTCATGGGCATTGCACGAGAAATCCGCCAGATGGAATGTGGTAAACACGGCCGCGACAGACTTGGCCGCTGCAACAAGCGCCCTTGCAAATGCTCCTAATGGGAAGGGTTCCGATGCCAAGTCGACAGTGGCTGGCATCCAAACGTCTGCCACCAAGAACATTGCCCGTGATCCCAACTGGGGATGCGTTTGGCATGGTTGGTAGGTTAGAGCTCAAGTTAGGGTCATGTATAAGCGGGTTAGTTAAACGTGGTGTGTGTGAGAGTTGGCCAAGTCAAATGCAGGTTAAAGAAAGCCATCGATGGACTTCGGAAAAGAATGTTGTCTTGTGGTGACTGCGAATGTCTAAAATGACTAACCCCCACAAGGCCCTATTTCCATCTCTACATACATTCTTAACGACGGGCCTTGTTCAAAGCTACATTCTATATGAAACTTGGTTCAAGAGACGTAAAGCACATCGGCAAATACATCAACCAAAGTGCTGCCAGACTTTCCGTATCTTGGCCCTCGAATTTCTCCTCAACACAAGTACCCCTCAATGGTACCGCCTAGCATCTTCATAGCAGGACCCGGGTCCATGAGGCTGAAGTGGTTGACATCATCAACGACGCGAATAGTAAGCTGCGTCTTCCCAAGTATCGTCTTCCAGCCGCTGGCAGAGAAATCCGTCCTGTTATTCAGCAGCCACAACATCTCGCGAGGATCGTCCGGGCGCATTTCAGGACGCGGTCCGTTGGGGTCTTTGCAAACGCCATCGCGTGCATACACCAGGAGTGTTGGGGGGGCATCCGGCAACGCCGTGGGTTCATAGTCATCGAGAATGCGGATAAACTCACGAAAGTGCGAGCGCAGCCACTCAGGCATCTTGTTACGCCCGCCCCCAAAGATTCCAACAGAGTCAAAGAAGTCATACATCCTCTCTGGCGGATTCTGCAGGCCAATTGGATTTGGTGATTCCAGTAGAATAAGCTTGTCCACAGTCTGTCCGGACTTTCGGAGGACGCGCGCGGCTTCAACCGCGATGATGCCGCCGGCGGACCAGCCGCCAATGGCGAAAGGAACACGGCCGCCGGCGTTGGGCTTGTTCCTTTGGCCGAGCAGTCGCTGGATCTCAATGACATACTTTTCGGCGAGCGCTGCCATGTCGATATTCAGGCGCGTCATTTCTTCGGCGGTTTTACGCCAAGGACAATTGAGGCCGTAAACAGCAACCCCCCTGCCCATGCTCCGCGCCAGGGCGGCGTAGGAGGAGGCTGAGCCCGAGCCGTCTGGTAGTAGGAACAAGAGAGATGTTGCCGTCTCTGCGGACCCCGACAAGAGGATGGAAGTCGCGTGCGGTGGTGACGAAAGATCCGGGCGGTAACTTTCCAAGCACTGATCGTCCCGAGAAGATGCTTGATTGTACGACTGGGCTTTCTCTCGTTTGTCCTTCCTTTCGTTTAACCCAAGTGAGCCAAGAACGGCCCCTTCGACCTCTTGGAGCGTGGTGTAGTTTGCGAAGAGGTCTCGAGGTACCGAGTCACCAAAGGTCTCGGTGATCTTGGCCATGATTGTGAGAGAAAGTATTGAATCAATTCCAATGTCTGCGAGAGATGTCGAGGGTCTCAAGTCGCCAAGCGACACACCTGTTTCCTCGGCTATAGCACTCCTGAAGATCCCCAGTGTTTCCTTCTTTGGATCACCGAGGTCACCAGAGACATCGGGGTCCAGTTCAGATACTGGGGTGGTAATATCAGTGTAGCTGCTGAGGGGAGAGTCACACCGTGAATCGGGCGTTGGCGTATCCTCATCTGAATCGGGTGTTCGGGCTCCAAGCAAGGCCTCTAGACTACCGACCGTTGGGCAATCTACAAATAGAGATGGTGAGAGGTCTGCCTTCAATTCTTCACGGGCTCTCGCTAGAATTGTGAGTGAAAGGAGAGAGTCAACCCCGAGATTAGCAAACTCGCTCTCCGGCTGGAGCTCGACCGGGGAGAGCCCAACTTCCTCGCAAATGATGGCCAAGACTTTGTCGAGAAGGGAGGATGACGGCTTGGGTTTGCCCCTTGACTGAAAGGCTGTCTCTTTTGATGCTTTCTGAAGCTTTTGCTCCAGGACACTGGCTGCTTTCGCGCGGCTCCCAGAGGCGCCATGCGTTTGAGATGGTGCGCCAGTTGACGCGGTCAAGGTTGAGGTCTTGCGAGGCAGGACATGATCAAGGACTTGGCGCGGGACTCCTTGGAACTGTAAAGCAGGCTTGTTAGCATCTCTCAGCTCAAAATTCGAATTCCATCGCCGCTGGCCGCCAAAAGCTTGGACCAACATAATCGAGGGTGATGTTACCTTTACTCCTTCAACAATGGCCACGATCCGCCCGTCATGAAGGACATACGTGTCGCCCTCGTACATGGTCTTGTCAGCTCGCTGCATTCGGTTGTACGCGTAATATGTTTTGGCTCGGTCCAACTTGTCTGCGATTCGCAGCCGCTCCCATCCGTGGTTGATGAAGACTTGTTTCTTGCTTTCGACGGCATCATTGCCATTCATGATGAAGCCTGCGATGCCTCCGAGGCTATCGATCCAGTGCGGGTTTACCACAAAGCCGTTGTCGGCAATCTGGAAATTGACAGTCGAGACTGCTTCGAGCCTTTCGCTGTCTAGCACGACCTCCTCCATACCCTGGTACTGCTTGCTATACTCTACCACCGCCCCGAATAGCTTGTACACCATTCCGCGCTTCATCTTGTGGCTGTTGCCACCATGGATGCCCTGGTTCAAGGCCTCTATGCGGGACATGATCAAGTGAGAATTGCGCTTCCAGTTATCCATCCAACGCTGCTCAGGAACAACCCGCACTTCGAGCTTGGCGTGCGACGTTGTACGCTCGCCTCGGCTATTGACGCTGAAGATGGACATGGTGATCAGGTTCTCGCTCCACGCGGCCGCTGCAGAAGCGCGGAACAAATGCTCGGTTTCTGCGGGTTGAGCAATGAGAGGCGCATCGACCTTGACGTCTGCCACGTCGAGGCCGGTCGTCGAAGCCGACAATCCTGGGCCTTGAAGCATGTATTGTGCCACCGTCAAGGCAACATCTGCGTAGAGGGACTAAATCAAGCACGTTTAGTACAATACAGGAAACGAGGACGTTAACGGAGGGCTTACCGAAGGGCAGAGCTGAGTCCCGTTAACCACGTGGCCTTGAAAGACGGGCAACAGCTTCTCGTTGAATACGTCCGACTCCACAAGCAGTGACGACTTTTCCTTGCCATGATGAGCCTCGATGACCCTCTGAACCGAGGGCGACAAATATTCATACTGCGGCACGTTGGGCGCGCCCAGTGTTGGCCGAGGAGCGCCATCTCCGCCCGTTGCGGGCACAAGACCTTCGCCCTTGGCCAGGCAGAAGTCATTCCTATACTGGATCCAGTAGTTTTTCAAGTCCCAAGAGTACCTTGGCAGCTCGACGACCTTGTGTGAGTACGGAAAGTGTCGATGGTATTCGTTCCAGGCGATGTCGAATCCTGCCGTGTACAGACTCTCGAGTGACGAAACCAATGACTTGTATGCATCGACGTTCTTCCGCAGCGACGGCAAGGTGGTGGATTCGGCTCCAAGAGTGCCTTTTATCATACCACTGCACGTGGGATGGGCTCCAATTTCCAGCCAAATGGTGCGCTCGTTGACCAAACCATCGTCCCTGGCCGCCTCGAGAGCGCCCTGGTAGTCGACGGTGGCGCGACAGGCACGGACGAGGTAGGACGCGTCAAACACGCCAATCTCTCCGGCATGGACCACTCTGGACTCCAGGGGGGAGACTATGGGAATCGTAGGAGCACTGTACGTGATCCCTCGAGATGCGGCGACTTTGAACGGGGCAAGAATGGGCTCGACATGAGCCGAGTGAAAGGCATATGGAAGCTCTAATCGGACAGTCTCAAGTCCCGCCGCGGCAGCCTCGCCCTCGGCGCGAGAAATGTTCTCGGCCAGACCACTTACTACGTGACCTGTCGGCTGATTGATACATGCCAACTCGCATCCGGTACTGCTCATCAACCGCTTGACAAGGTTGGAGGGAGCCTTGACTGCAAGCATGGCGTTGGTGCCGGGGACGCAATGTTGCTCCAGCAGAGCTGCCCGGTGGCCAACAAGGTAGATGGTGTCTGCCGCGCTCGCGACTCCCGCGGCATACATGGCGGCGTACTCTCCGAGGCTATGGCCGATTACTGCGGCGGGAGTCAGGCCCCAGCTGCACCAGAGCTCAAAGAGAGCCATCTGCACGCAGGTGATGGCGAGCTGCGAGACCATGGCGCTGACGTCCTTGGCGTTCTCTACAGACTGGCTGCCGTCGACGAGTCCGATGAAGGGGGGAAACCCTTGATCTTGTGCGAGGCGATTCATGCGCAGGATGCTTGAGCGAAAGGCGGCGTGTGTCAAGTACAACGACTTGCCCAGCCCGGAGTACAGCGTGCCTTGGCCAGTGAATGCGTACACCAGCTTTGGAAGCCTGACAACAGGTGGAATCGGCTTGATGACTGCCGGACTCATTGTTGACAGCTTCGTCTTAATGCTGGACTGAATGGACGCCATGTCCGAGCCTGACACGGTGATCCTGTAGTTGTGATGCGTGCGGCGCGCCGTCGTAGTGTACGAGAGACGAGAGACTGGAATCTCGGGGTGCTCTTGGAGCCACGAAGAAAGCGCTGTGAGGTTGCCGAGCAGAGAGGTCTTTGATTTTGCCGTCACTGCAACCAAATGCACAGGTCTCGGGTCTTGCTCAGCCCCCGGTGCCTCGGTCTCGCGGGGGGCGTCCTCCAACAAGACGGCCGTGTTCCCGCCGGCGGCGCTGAAGTTGTTCAGGAAGACGGAACGTTTACCGGAAACACTGTCTTCTCTTCGCCAGGGGGTTGGGCTGAGCGCAATGTGCACGCCACGCTCGGAGAGGTCCAACGGGTAGTTGTGGTTGATGCGCGTCTTGATGCCGCAATGTGGTGGAATCTCATTCTTCTTCATCATCATGAGCACCTTTATCAGCGACGAGACCCCGGATGCCGATTCGGCGTGTCCGATGTTTGCCTTGGCAGAGCCTATATAGAGAGGCCTAGGGGGCTCCAAGCGCGTCCGCTTCGTTTCCGGTACAAATACGGACAGGACAGAGTTCATCTCTGTAAAGTCTCCTGCCTGGGTGCCCGTCCCATGCATCTCGATGTAGCCAATGTCAAGAGGGTCAACGTTTGCGTATCTCATGATTCGTCGAAAGACGCTTGCTTGGTCCCCCTCGTGTGGGCGAGTAATGCTGTCGGTCTGGCCGCAGTGGTTGGTGTTGGTCCCAACAATGACGCCGAATATCGGGTCATGATCTGCCTCGGCATCTTCCAGTCGCTTCAGGATTACTGATCCCACGGCGTCGGCGCGACAGTAGCCGCTGGCCTCGTCATCAAACGGGTTGCAGTTCCCTAGCAACGTTAGACAAAGCCTCATCGCGGGGGTATCAGCCCGGCCTCCTCGACAGACGTCAGACATACCAGTCGTCGAAAGAAAGTGGCCACGGTCTAGACCGGCAAAGTTGTCGGGATTTGTGAGGACATTGGTGCCGCCAGCAATAGCAGTATCGCATTCACCCCTCCAGAGGTAGCTGCAAGCAGTCTGGATGGCAGCAAAGCTCGACGAGCAAGCTGTGTCGATGCTCAAGCTAGGGCCGGAGAATCGGAAGAAGTAACTAGACCGAGGAGAGAGGTTAACTTTATCACGAAAAGGCCCGGCCTTGACGAGCTCTCACCTAATACGCCCGGGTACAAAGGCACGGTTGCCCCCGGGGATGAAATACGTATCGACATCCTGGCCACTGTTCACCTCACGCCAGTCGTCGCTGGTGGTGCCAAAAAAGACGCCGACCCTGTCCTGTTGCGTGCTCGGGGTGCGGTTTCGCACGAGGCCGGCCATTTCGATAGCTTCTAGGGTCGTCGTGATGGCCAGCCGCTGTGCTGGATCGGTATTCTCTGCTTCTCGCGGCGACATGTGGAAAAACTGGGCATCAAACACTCCTGGCTCTTGGATGAAACAGCCAAACTTGACGCGGCTGGTGTTTTTGCGCTTGCCCGTGGCATCGTAGTGTGTTTCCCAGTCAAAGCGATCGGCTGGAATCTCGCGGTGGACATCTCGTCCAGCACGCAGGAGTTCCCAGAAAGCTTCGTTGGAAGCAGCATCAGGGAATCGACCCGAGTAGCCGATGATGGCAATCTTGGAGTTTGCAAAGCTGCCCGAAGGGCTGGCCGGTCGGTTTTGGGGCTGTGCCACGTGCTCAACCTTGACTCGGATGCCATTATCAACTGCCAAGGCACTGCTGAGCATCGATGCGGCGTGGCTTGAGAATGACATGATGGAGCATTCCTGTGTCTGCGTGTCGGCCAGCAGGGAGCGACATGAGGACACGACCGACTCCCAGCGGACGGGTTGCCGCAGAGTCTCGCTCACCACAAGACGAAGAAGCTCTTCAAATGAGGGGACTTTGACGACCTCTCCCGTAGATGATGACAAGAATGGTATCCCCGGAACTCGCGGCGCTGCCGAGTTTGCGACCTGGCTCACAATCATGTCCACGTCCGCCTCGTCGAACAAGCTCGGTGCATGGAAGGGCGACTGGATATCAAGGTACCGTGACCGCAGTCTGCCGGACGCCTTGGAGAGGAAGCCATGCAGTGACGACGGCGGACCGCTTATTGTGGTTGATTGATCCGGTGTTGTGGCACTGACGTAGAGCCTGGATTGCCCACGGTTCGACTAGGTGAAACGGTCAGTCATTCAGGGTTCAGGGTTTCCGAGGGGAGAGAAACAAAACAAAACCGTACATCAGGCGTGCCCATCTCCTCCAACAGCTGCCCGACCGACTCGTTGGCATCTCTTGGTTTCACAGCAGCGGACCATGATGCTGTTTCCGAGGTTTGGCGTGGCGCCAAATCTTGACCTGCCAACCACGAGCAAAGCGCCGTCCGAAACGCAGCGAGAGACGCTTCAACGGCAACTGGAATCAACTCTGATAGTGTCTGGGAGCAGCTGATGGCGGCGGCTGCGAAGCCTCCCGTGCAGGGCCCAATGATGCAAGTCCCCCTGGGCGAGGGATACGGCTCGGAATTGCTTCCATATTTTCTGCGAGGCAAGTTAGCACCTCTAGATCAAACGTGTACCTGCGGCCCGTCGTCCAAGGCCTCTTACACAATGAATTGCGCAATCTCATAAACACACAAGGTAAAGAATCGCAACACTGGCGCGCCTTGGGTACTTTCGAGCCAGGAGACGAGGTCAATGAGGGTTGTAAAGCGAGGGAACAGGTCTTGTTGCCGAAGTGGTAGGTTGCCTATGAGCCTCCGGAGGGACAGGCCGACTTGCTCAAGGAAGCAAGACAGAAGTGGATCGGTCTTGATGTGCAGCAGACGTCTCAGTTCCTCCTCGAAGCCGGACGTAGACAAGTCGCCAAATAGAAGCACCTCATAATGCCGAGGAGCAACGTTACGAGGTGCGGAATGCGTGCCGAGGGCCATGGTGGAAATGAGCATGGAAGCCCCTTGTGCAATTTACAAATGGTGTAAATCACACAGTCTCTCTCGACCCTAAACTTGGCTCCAAGTCGAGGGCCTCTTTTGTGTGCTGAGGCGGCGCCGCTCGAATTCGCTTATATTCGTGCGCGGGTACGTGAAGCGTCGTGTCTGTAAGCACTCGGGCTCCGTCTTCCGAGGCCAGGAGGCTGACGCCGAGCCGGACCCCCGACAACCCTCGCTGTTGGTCATGGCACGGTGAACCTGGCTGACAGGATTGTCTCCGAGGGAAATAACGTCCAAGGCTTGCTTCGGGGTGTCCTGGCCGACGGTCCAGTTCGTCATCAAAGGATAAGTGGCCTCTGCCCCAAGCCCTCCCAGATTGTGGTTCTCCAGCCAACATCTCCCACTGCCTGTTCAACCACATACGTGTTGCTCGCCGTAAGCCAAACACAGAAATATTCTTCACCTCGCTTGATTCAGCATCTCCTTGTCTGTCCGCCACGATGGCTGGAACCCTCCAATCAAGGCAGCTTTATGCCATCACCATATTTGGGTACAAGAAGGAGGGCATGGACGAGAAAGAATATCACGACTACGTCAGCAAAAACCATGCCGGCCATCTCAAGGCTTTGCTTGCCAAGAACGATATTGTTTCATACACCATGGTAAGCCCAGAATCTAGTAGTCCGGCCCGTGGATGCGATTTTTTTCGCACCTACAACCCGAGCTGAGCCATCGAGACTGGCGACTGACCGTGGCGTACTGCGTGCGATGTAGCAACATAATACTACGGAGACAAGGGCGCTGCTACAACAAATTCACCCCGGTCTCCCCACTGAGAAGCAGGCCGACTGCGACATGGTCGTTCAGATTGTCTTCAGGGATATTCAGGACTACCTACGAGTGCGCCAGGATCCGCACTGGCTTAATGTAGTCAACCCAGATCACGTCAACTTTGCTGATGGCAAGAGGACCAAGTTTGCGACTGGTTGGTACGAGGTCCATGTGACGGACGGTGTGGTGGTTTCTCAATGAGCCATTCGGTAGAGCAAAGTAAACATAGTCTGGGATTGATCATGCATCTCCGACGGCTATTCTGCCACTTGAATACCACGTTAGATTTGAAGCCCAAGATAGATGCTGTTGCTCTTATCTTGTGGATGCTTGAGCCATTTCCAACCTCTGCTCTTGGCCTACATGTTTGTGTACAATTCCATGGCGACCTCACTCGCCAGCAAGCTGTATCTGCCACAATCCACGGCAGCTGTGCGAACTATACTGCTCGGAGTATTCCACCTTGAAATTTGGACATGCTTCTTTCAACAATGCCATCCATTCAGTTGATGTTCGTTGCTTCGCGTTGTGCATCGTCATGAGTGTTACATCCCGTCTTCGGAATGCCCTCTCTACATGAGGCTCAAACGTTCCCCAGGCTGGCGAGACCAAGTCGCAGACGAGAAGCGTCGGGTGACCAGGGGACTCGAGCACAGGAATAAAGCTCCTTAGCAGCTTGACGCAGCTATCATCGTCGTGACACCACATTGCGCTGCGCACAAGGAACACAAGAGGTGCAGTGCCGTCATGACCGCTTTTGGTGTGCTCCGTAATAGAACGAGTCAAGAACAGTTCCCGCTGGTGGAATGTCACTCTCTCCGAGAGGTCTTCCCGGAGGATTTCCTTGCCTTTGCTCAAAGCAGTGGCAGACGGATCCTGCACTTGGACATGGAGATTTGGAAAAGCATCGGCGAGATCCACGGCAAAGGAACCTGTCTTTCCAGCGACATCCACAACTAGACATCCTTGGTCCTCGCAAAGGTTGGGTCGGCCACGGAACCAGTCCATTATCATGCCATTGCCTGGGTCGAGTGCTTTCAAGGCCGTCAGCTACAGTGACCCGGTCGCCCAAGCAGTCAGGAAATTCTTACCCTTCGAGACGCTCTCCATGGCCTTGGCGAAGCGTTGGCCCTTTTCCGGATGTTGAGCATGCCACTCGTACATGGACTTGCCCCATCTGTGCAGGAAAATCAGTCGGCCGTAGTTGTACAACTTTTCAATTTCCTTACGCATATTCAAAGGCCGACTGCCCTGCCCAAAACGGACTCGGGCGCCTCAAAGAATCAGCCAAGTGAGCGCTGGCAACTCTCGTTTCATAGAGCCTGTACAGCGAGAATGGATAATTGGTCAACTGAGCTCGTTCGTCGCTCACGGAGCCGTGGCGGACTCACTGGAACGCGATAAAGGACTTGAATCCCTCGTCTGTCACCAACTCTTCCGAAACGGCTGTATGTGCGAACACGCCATCGTCGACCTCCTTGAGGATACCGGAACAGGCGGCAAGTCGACAGATGCGTAGCAGTTTGTCCGCAGGCAAGGCTGCCTGCTCGGCGAGTTCACCAATGTTGGCAACCCCGTGGAGAGGAATAGTCTCCAACACTCCATATTCAAGCAGGGTGTACAGGGCGCCAAATTCCCAATTTGTCGACACGTATTCATGCAGAAAGCCATGGGGACCCTGCAGTAGCTTGTCCAATTGTTGAGTCAGACCATTGATAGCCGATCGAAGCTCTTCAATGGGCCCCGTGTGCGTAGTCCAGAGCTTGGTACGCGCACCAACATCGAGACTCGGGGGGCTGATGGACTCCCTCGACAGGTATTCAACGAGGTTCTTGGCGTGCAAGTGGATTTGCTCGGTGACGCAAAGAAGCTCACTCTTATTGGCAAGGCTCATTTTCTCTTCGGTGAGTGGTCAAAGTTACTTTTCCCAGGGCGGTTCGATTGGAACGAGGAAAGGACGGGCACCAGGGGAAGGGAAGACTGAGTAATAGAATAGGAAATGTCTGGCGAGTGAGATTCTGGGTCAGTCTGCCTCGTGTCTTGCCGAAGCTAACGAAATCCTCCCGCCACTTTCAGCCCTTTGTTCCCCCAAGTAGTTCAAATACTGATGCAGCCCGAGCTCCGGCGAGCCACAATGACTGTCCTCGAGATGACATTGCTGCGGGTCTCGGCCTCCGAGACGAAACCGCTGGCGATTGAGGCGACGGAGTCGGCCTTTGCTGATGCATGCAAGCCTCGGACACGGGTCCAATACCGTCTGAACAGCAGAGATCGGCACAATTACTGCTTTGCTGACACCTTAAAATAGCTGAAACAGTTGCTCCACAGAAAAAGACTCCTTCTGGGCGTTTTCCAACGCACGCACGTCGTGCATTTGTGTACGACCCTGATGCGAACGACACGTGGGAATATGCAATGCAATCGAGTGCCGACGTCGTTGATCCCGTGAAGCATTCAGCTATAGTATAGTCTCGTGGGAATTCTATAAGAAGATTCTGTCCGCTCGGCCGTAAGAGAGAGCAGAGTCTAGAAAAAAAATAGACATTGAATTACACACAGAATTCCTTGGGTCCAAGTTTCCATCTTTTTGTTCCCCATCATCGCTCGCTTGTAGACACAAAGCTTCATCATGTTTCCCCCTTCAGCTCGGCCCACTCGTGGACTTGGGTTCTTGGTGAAGCTGCTGTCGGCGTTGGCAGCATCCACCATCGCCCACGCTCACAGTGTGATCCATAGGGACGTTGCCATCATCGGCGGTGGCGCATCAGGATTATACGCTGCCCTGCGTCTGCGTCAGATGAACCATTCCGTCGTCGTAGTAGAGAGCAGGCCCGAGTTTGGAGGTCATACGGCGTCATACACCGTCCCAGGCACCAACACTCACATCAACTACGGAGCACAGGGCTATGGCGGGGATGACGAGGCCATCAAGCGCTTCTTTGGATTCTACAACATCCCCATTGAGCTGGTGAAACTGAGCGAGGTGGGATTCGGCAACACGCGCCACGTTGACTTTGCAGCGTCGACGGAGCTTCCTGACTTCCGGCCAGACAATAACCTCACCATATTCTCTCAACAAGTTCACAAGTACCCGCGACTCTCATTAGACACAAAGCTCCCAACCCCGGTCCCTGAGGACCTGACGTTGCCGTTTCGTGACTTTGTCGCCAAGTACGGCATCCAGTCCAACATATACAGTCTTTTCTTTCAGACCGAGGGCCTGGGTGACCTCTTGAGTCAAACAACTTACTACGTGTTCAAGTATCTCAACCCGGACTATCTTGATGGCCAGCTACCCACATCCCCTGTGTTCTATGTCACCAAAAATGGGTTCAATCAGGAGATTTACCTGAAAGCCCAGGCCGACTTTGGCGCCGACGCACTGGTCTCCTCCAGGGTCACCAGTGCTGTCCGGAACGGCAGCGGCGTCGTTCTGACCGTCAGGACTCCTTCGGGTCAGAAGATAATCAGAGCCTCCAAGCTGCTGGTCACCATGCCGCCAACCCTCGCAAACATGCGTCATCTTGGCCTCGACCGTCACGAGCACAACATCTTTTCCCGTTTCCAAGCACACGGCTGGTACGTGGGCCTGGTAAAGGCCGAAGGGTTTGCCGACAGGGACGAGTTTGTCAACGCCAACTCGGACAGTTCAAACTACAATCTTCCCCAACTGCCAGCATTGTATCAGATCTCGCCCACGGCCGTAAAGGGCATATACCTCGTCCGCTACGGTTCATACGGTTACATGAATGAGCAAGACATAAAGAGCGACATTGTCGCCACAGTCGAACGCGTGCGCCTTGCCGTCCTACCCAGCACGGCTGGTCTGCCTCCAGTGACCTTGCTGGCATACTCCAGCCATTATCCCTTCAGTTTGTACGTCAGTCCCTCTGACATATCGGGCGGCTTCTACAACCGTCTCGATGGACTGCAGGGCCACAGAGACACGTGGTACACGGGCGCTGCCTTTAGCTCTCATACGGCCGCGCACGTGTGGAGTTTTACTGAACGTCTTCTCCCTCGCCTGTTTCCGGAATCGAACATGACGAGGATGTATTGATGCGCCGCTGGACGGAGGTCAGATGTCTTGAGAAGAGTAGTAGAGGTTTTTGCACGAATGTAAAGGCAATGTACAGAGTGTATTATGTGTCATATCATAAGCGTAGAAAGAATGGGATAGACAGATACTTGCTGTACTTTTAGACTTGTGGACGGGAATAGATGAGGAATTGCACATCTTTGCAAATTCGTTCGCCTGAACCCCAGAGATCGTGACCCTGGACCAAGTGTTTCTTCTCTGAAAAGATTCTTATATTAAATAAAGTCCCAACATTTAGTTCGACGCTTGATCCGCACTTGTGACAGCGAGTACGCCTAAGCCTTTGCTACTAATGGGATACTATAGGAAAAGGAGGTCCTTTCCCGCTCGCAGCCAACCATACCTCGTAGCTGCGTATGCACAAAGCCTGCAGGCATCGCGACATGTGTCAAGGGCAGTGATGACTAGGCTTGCGATGGGTTTATTCTGTTCAGGCTAGCATTCAGGTTTGGGGGCAAGTTTATTCCAAGAAACCTGGGCCCTAAAGCCGCAATATCTATATATATTGGCTGTATACCGTAATATCCCAAGGCATTCATCCTTCCTCGGGCTGCGTTCTATTTCGGCGTCCCACCTCCGAGCCATCATAAGTCGTGACCATGTTGTGTAACCCATGTTGACTCGCTTGGCTGGGATGTTGAGTCGGTCAATCCTTGTTGCATGATGCCTCACTGACTCGAGGCAACAACAAGGCTGGAGGCGAGATGGGCTGGAACCACAAGGCGTCAGGGTCTCGATGCCTCGTCCTCTAAGCGAGGTTACACAAGCACTGGTCATCGTGTATATATAGAGCTCGTCAGTCGGGACTTCAAGGCAAGCCACCCAAGGACCTTTTTGAATACGGTACAAGATATCTTGGTACAGAGTTGTTTCTGCTCTAAGCTCTCTTTTCTGTCGACCCCTTTGCACGTAGGACAACACATCCCGGACCATGGATCTTTCAAGATGACGACGATTTGAGTGAAGCGTATATTGCATCGAATTGTCCCAAGTCTATTGCATTGTTTTTATTTTGTGCAACCGTCCATGCTCGTTCCCTCCTCCGCCTCCCCTGTATGCCCCCCCCATTAGGGACAACTTTTGCAAAATCCCCTTCCGTCGAGAACTTGAAGAGTTTCAGGATTGAGATTGTGAGTGCGCTTCGCTACGTTTCTTGACCCCCATGAACCAGTACAAGTTTCCAAACGGCGGCAGAACTTTGGTCTGGCCGAAATGAAAAGTCCAGTCGCTGACGTCTAGACCTTGCTGCTCTTGCTCTGCGACCATGGCTCTGATTTCTTTGCCGGATCTTGTGCGGATGCAAGAGACATAGCCGTCCCAGGCGAAGAACAGGGGCACTATGGGAATAATGTAGGTGAATATAACGTGCATGGGAGACCACCAAAACCACAACAGGGTCGTGATGATGGGAGACAGGATAACAATGGACGTGTTGAGCAAGGCAGGCAGGCTGCGCTGAGTCATCTCGAGTATCCTGCGAAGACATTGTCAGATACAAGCGAGTCTTGGCTTGGCTTTACAGTCGGGTAGCGGACAGCCATTGACGTCTGGGACGGGCTTACACAAACGCATCAGAGCCCTTGATGGACGACCTCAGGATCTTGGCAGCCTGGCCGTCGTCGAAGTGGTGAAAACAGAGATTGAAGAGGCGGCACTCAAGCGTCTCGTCGTCGACGTAGCGGGTGGCGGTTGTGGCGTCGATGGGCCTGTCCGTGTATGAAATGTTTTCGGAGGCCGAAGCGATTTTCTTCCACGCCGCCCAATCAGGATACAAGTCTGCCAACAAGAACTTGACGGGCCTTCCGCCGGACGTAGGTACCAGCGCGTTGAGGTTCTTCTCTAGCATGGGCGTTGGGCCGCCGGCCCCCGCGCAAGCGTCGACGAAGGTGTAGGCGCTGGGCTTGACGGGCAACTTGGACAGGATGATGTCGCAAGCCTGGGCGGCGGTGGAGCTTTTTTTACCTGGTCCGACAGTGTTCCACATCTGGTGAAGAGACCGGTGGGAATATTCTCGGAGCCATGACGGGCACCATGGCATGTCCTCAATTTCGAACAGCTGGAAGCGGGGAAACAGAGCCATGGCAGGGGATATCGAGGCCGGGAGATGGGATCAGATGGAGGGAATGGATTCTTCTATCTTCTAGAAAAGCCCTTCAGTGCTTGACAGGGGCGGCGTTGGGAACTGTTTGGAACCAGGCGCTCATGTGTTATTATATACGCCTCGTCGGGAACGCGCGGCGACGAGGACACGACAGAGGCGCAAAACAATTGCAGTCGTCGCCTTGGGTCCACTCGAAGACTGCGACCAAGCGGCTTGGTCACTAGCAGTAATCGTGCCGGGCCCCAGTAATCATCGTGCTCGGCCGGCGTGCCTTGAAGCAGACGCCCTCCGGTTCCTGCATCGTCGCCCCCGACGTGGGTCGCCTTGTCCGGAAGCCGAGGACCGTGATGGTGCTCCCTTTCCCACGACCACGATTATCCCGAATTGTACGACAGGGGCTGAGTTATGCCGCTTGAAATTTTGACGCAAAGTCACTCCGGTGAGCCCTTATTTTCCATTGGCGACTGCCGTGGGTGTCCTGCCGGCTCGTGACAGCGCATGCCGGCTGAACAAATGCATTGTCTGCGTTACTAAGCGGCGACTCGGCATCGCACACAATACATATACAGGGAATCCCATCCTTGGCACGTACTTGAAGGCTTTAGCCCTAGGCTTGGACCGCAAGACCTAACGCAATCCAGTAATGTCCGCACGAATCATGGACGCCTCGGCGATGCCTGTATTTGGCTCTCGCCTCAACGCCGTGACGGCCATCGCCCTCGGCCTTCTCTCCATCTTTGTTGTGTCCGTCGTCCAGCAATATCTTTGCTGGCGTCGGATGCCTCCCGGCCCGCGACCGCTGCCGCTGATGGGCAATATCCACCAGATTCCGCGTTCCTATCCATGGCGGGGATACGCCGACATGTTCAAGCGATATGGACCGCTTGTCACGATGCAGTTTGGACCCCAAAAGGCAGTCATGATTGGGTCGGTAGAGGTGGCTCGCGATCTCCTGGACAAGCGCAACTCCATCTACAGTTCCCGCCCGCGCGTCCCCATGATACAGGAGTGCATCTCGAGGAATTTCCGCATTCTGTTTCTGCCCTACGGCTGCCAGTGGCGGACATACCACAAGCTGCACGCATCCGTGCTCAACGTGCGCGTGTCGGATGCCTACCGTCCTCTTCACGATTTGGAGAGCCGCCAGTTGCTGCTGGACCTGTCCGAGGCCGATGCCGGGGAGCGCTTTGCCTTTCATTTCTTCCGCTACTCGGCGAGCCTCATTTACAGCCTTGCTTATGGGATCAGGCTCCCAAAGGGGGATGAGCCGGAAGTCAAAGTCGCGTACCAAGTCATGGAGGAGCTGAGCCAGGTGTTGCTGCAAACCTGGGCCGTCGACATCCTGCCTTGGATCAACGTGCTTCCCAGAGTGCTGGCACCGTGGAAGCGCATTGCTGACAGAATGCACGACTTCGAGTCGTCGTTTCTTGGGGGCCTCGCGGCATCCGCGCAGCAGAAACCGGGATGGAACTGGTCGAAAAACATGCTCACGATGAAGGAGAGCAAGAACATGTCGCGTACGGAGCTCGGTTACATCTTGGGGGTTCTCTACGAAGCCGGCAGCGACACCACGGCGATTGCGCTTTCAGTCTTTGTGATGGCCATGATTCTGTATCCCGGTGTCGCACGCAAGGCGCAGAGGGAGCTCGACCAGGTGGTTGGCCCGGACCGGATGCCAACTTTTGATGACTTGGATCGCCTCCCATACATCCACGCCATCGTCAAGGAAACGCTTCGCTGGCGTCCAGTCATACCCGGTGGGATCCCTCACGCCGTCACGGAGGATGACGAGTACAAGGGTTACCACATTCCCAAAGGATCCATGATTATCCCAAATCTCTGGGCCATGGCCATGGATGAGCGGCTGTTCAAGCAGGCTGAGCGTTTTATCCCCGAGCGTTGGATTGAGAACCCTGCCCTACCCCTATTCCCCTTTGGCTTTGGGCGTAGAGTGTGTCCAGGTACGTGTCCATCTGTTGTTCAGGCGCACAGCGCCCTTTCTGATCATACGTGCTTCTAGGACAGCATGTCGGCAAAAACTCGCTGCTGATCAACACGGCGCGAATGTTGTGGGCGTACGACTTCGAACATGCATACGAAGTGCGAGACGGGGTCAAGGTCCAATGCCCCGTCGATGCCATGGCGTTTACCAACGCTTTTAATTCGCAGCCCCTTCCTTTCAAGGCTGCCATCATTCAGCGTAGCGGGAATGTCCGCGAGGTCATGCAGCGTGAATGGGATTTGACCGAAAAGGATCATCTCGTCCACTTGGAGCATCTGCAGGCCAAAATGGAAAACATGGCAAGGCACAATGACCAAGCCGCCGAAGACAAGTAATCGTTCAAGTCGGTGTACCTTGACCGAAGCTGTTCGCCCTGGCATAGTTTCTCCCCCAGACCCAATACCTATGCAGCGGCTGCAAGAGGCAGACGATCGTGGCTGTGACGACGCCCGCGGTGCTTATCTGCGACAAATCTTGGAGAGTCAAATTTGAATGGAGATGGAAACAGAAAGAGCTAGCGGAGTCAAATTAGTGAAATTATCTGACGGCATTTATACAGCGCAATTTGTGTGCCGGACTAACTGGACGTGGAAGTTGTGACAAGGCCTCGTCTGCAGCAGCGCAAGAGGGCTTGGAGCAGTTTAGCTCCATTCGCACATGACACGCACGCTTGTTTATTCAAGTTGATTGGTTTTTCAAAGGTCTCTGCGGCCAGAGGCTTCTGTTTATGTAGCAGCCGTCAGCCCTAGGACTCGTGACCAAGCCCTCGCGTCACCAGCATCCGTGTGAGAGAAGTATCATCTACAGAGACACAACCAACTTTGTCCTGCTCACGCCTGCCTTGAGGCTCTCCAGACCCGTACCAATCGCCTCGAAAGCTTTCCCAGCCACGCTAACCTGGAGTGGGAGATTGAACTTTCCCTCCTCGACCAGCTCCACGAGTTTGCTCATGGCTCGCATGCCCCCCGGGAGCTGGAACATCATGCGCCCAAAAACAACCACAGACGACACGCCGTCAGGGACCGCAATTTTGTCGCCCGTAAGTACCTGGCTGTAGATCCTCGGACCATCCACACGTAGAGCGCCAAAAAGCTCGGCATTCTCTGCCGCACCTCCCACGGCGTCAATGATGGCATCAACTCCGCCGCCGCCCGGGGAAACGCTCTTGACTGTTGCAACGAGCTTGGGGTCATGGCGGTCAACGCACAGCGTTGCTCCTAGACCCGTAATGTCCTCGTCGTGCCTGGGAGAATTGGTCGATATGATCGTGGCCAACGGCAAAGCCAGTCGTAGCAGCTGAACCGCCGACGCCCCAACACCGGAGCTGCCGCCGACAACCAGAACGCTACGGATGGGAGCGGCAGTGGCACCATGGGCATCGGGGCCATCTCCCACCGGTGAGGAGTCCTCCCGCAGATAGGGAAGAGGCGCGCCCAGGGCTTTGGTGACCGCTGTAGCCGCCGTGAGGTAGCAAATTCTGGTGTAGGAGTTGTTAGCACTTGCGGCCTTTTTTTTTTCTTTTTCAGCAGTACACCAGATGCCCTGGGCGCATTTGCGGATAGGTTGAAATACTCACGGAACCGACGAAGCCTCTTCAAACGTCCACGCTGCGGGCTTTTTGCAGACGAAATGTGCCGGCACCGTAGTGACCTCTTGGAATGCTCCCGCTCGGCCGCCGTGTCCTGCCAGGCTCATGACAGCATCGCCAGGCGAAAACGCAGTCACGCCGCTGCCTACCGACTCCACAATGCCGGCGGTGTCGATGCCAAACACCTCGGGCCAAGACTTGACCATCTCCCCGTAGTACAGGTTCTTCCAATCCAGCGGGTTCAGGCCGACGGCAAGGTTGCGAATGCACACCTCGCCAGGTCCTGGAGACGGGTAAGGCCCAGTCACTACCTGGAAGGGGCCGCCCTTCTTGACGGCGACATATTGCTTTATTGTCTTGGCTTCCATCCTTGGAGTGACAGGCGCAAGTGCCGCGGCAGGGTATCCGACGAGAATTGTGGTGAAGGAGTAAACCGAAACGGGAATAGACGGGGGATGGCGATACGTATCCGTTACTCACTGAGCCTTCACAACTAGGGAATAGCTTGGCTTGGGGGGGAACTTGGCCGACGTTTAGCTCAGATGCATAAATCTCTCCGACGTGCTGGTCCGATTGCTAAAAATTCCGTCAGACTTGGCCCAACTTGGAAGGCCCCACCTGAGCGGTCGGTCTCGGCGTCCGGGCGCCGGCCCCCGTGATCGGCGGTCGGCCGACCCGCGGCTGCGTGCGGACCTCCAACTTACTCGGACCGCCTCGGTAAGCGTCAGGCCAGAATTCCACGGGATTCTCGGCGCCCGGCTCGTGAGTGGTGGACGGTGGGCCACGCACTGCGGAGGTAGTCAGCTCACCGGCAGCTGTCAGATCAAAGCCTCAAGCTGCTGGTCATCGTGGGTACTTTTTCCCAAGGATCAAATCGAGCGACTCGTTCGGGGCGTGACTCGAGACACAGCTTTGACGCGTCCCGACTGGATATAAATGTGTCAAATTGGCGACATTTTCAAGGGTACAACCGTACATGTCACACTGTCAATATCGTCAAACTCGGGCATTCTGTGCAAACACAGCATCCGCTGGCTGATGGTATTGTAGACCTTTGCGGGTGTCAACACTTTGCTCTGTTTCGATTCCCTGCTCAATAGTCTTATCCACCCCTTGCTTCGAACAGCGGCGGCAGACTCGACATGGACGCCAAGCATGAAGAATACGCATCGACGCTGAAAGTCAACCACTTCAAGCCAGAAAACGTCCCATGGCGAAGACTCGGCCAGTGTACGCCTGCCCCTGCAAAAAGACCCGTTACGGTGGCATTGCTAAGGCGAAAGCTCCTTTTTGCTAGATTTTTGGCGGCCCATTGAAGACGGCTCAAACACGCAGTATCGTCTGGGCGTTATCGAAAGCCTGATCCCGCCGCGCAGTGACGGCCCGGTTTTCCATTTTCATGAAATGCACGATGAAGGATTCTATGTGACGGTCAGTCGCGCCTACGGACAGAGACAATCTCGAGGGTTCCAATTCGAGCCCCTTGCTAACTCCATGCTAGAAAGGCAAAGTCCGCTTCCACGTCCCCGGCAGGCCGAGCGTGGATGTCGCGGCCGGCGAGATGGTCACGGTCCCCGTCCGGCTGCCACACAAGTTCAGCAACCCGTTTGACGACGAGGCCGTCTTCATAAACACCGCAACCCCTGGCTTCTTCGTGCGATATTTCGAGCATCTCGAGAACCTGATTGGGGAGGGAAAGGTCCTGACACCCGAGGTCAATGCCGAGGCCTTGAAGAGATTTGCCACTATTCCGCTGGCACCTGGAGATGTCGAGCGATTGGAAGAGACGGGCATGGCGGGTGAAAAAACGCAAAGGCCAACAACGAAGTAAATTAGATCGTCAGGAGACAACGAGGGACTATTGCATCTTGTTTAGCCTTGGGGGAAGCCGCGTCAAATTTCAAAGCACAGAATATACCTGCCTGCCTCCCGCATAGCAGGTCTCATGTTCATCAGCGGCCTGTAAACTCGGAAATAGATTGCAAATCGCAAAACGACGACGTTTGACTATATCGTAGCTGAGCTTCCACTATATTCTCGCCGCCGTACGGACATGTTGTCTGAAATCAGATGTAGAGGAAAAAAAGGCCGTCACCTTGTGCGAGATTCTTCGGTCTTCTGGCCTTGTTGAGTTGCGACGTCCCCCGCCGGCTGAAAATGTGAAAAGTTCGAAGCTGAAGCGGGTCTCTCCATTGTAATTATTGGCAGGAATTCATTCCCCCCATTCCGGGCAAGGCGTAGGTAAAACAGTTTCAGGCGCCATTTTTCGTGTGCTCGCATGATGCTCGCATGGACGGCTTGTTAGGTGTTGTATTTGGCACCTACATGACTTTCTAGCACGATTTATCTATATATACATGTTCTAACATTTTCAAACGTGAAAACGAGAAGCAAGGGACTGAAGAAACTATGGTTAACAGCACTAGTCGCATTACTTCTGTAGCAATTGGTGTCCATCTTGACCCGTAACTGTCGTAAGATTGCCGAATTAATGACTCCAACCCAAGTTCTCTCTTTCGCTGTCATGAGAACTGCGTCGCAGCATCGATCCGCTTGGTAGAAAGGATGATGAAGAGAATATTCTCCACCGCCAGTCTTTTGTATCTATTGCCAGAGTTCCTTCCTTTCCTTGATAAAGGAATCAAGATCCACGGGCTTGCGGCCTGTGAGCTTCTCCACCGTGTCGTCCATGTAGTCTTCGGCGCCTCCAGCAGCGAGCTTCTCCAGGCTGACCATGAAGCCGGCGTATTGGGCAGGGAGCTTGAGCGTGTTTGTCATGTGCTCGAGCCTCTCCTCCGGTGACATGTTGACGTGCCGAATCGGGCGACCGAGGACGTTGCCAAGTCTGGCAGCAACCTGTGCAGATGAACACGTGTCAGATATGCGTCCATGGCCCGACGCGTGAGGATGGTGAGCGGGCAAAACGGCACTTACATCGTCATGGGTCAGCAGCGCGGGACCAACAATGCGGAAATCCTTGTTTGGCGGCTCTGGCTGTGTCAGGGCCGCGTAGGCAACGCCGCCAACGTCCAAGGAATTCACAAAGGGCACCTTGGCTTCGCCGACGCAGCTGTAGATGGTGTTTTCCTCACGAATGGTCTTGAGGTGAAAGCCGTCAGAGAGGTTATCTGCACCGAGGGGCGAGGATGATTTGGTCAGCCTCGGGCCCAAGGCGCATGTGAAGAAAAGAAGAACAGCTCAGGATACATCACGGTGCGGCCGAGTGGCGATACTTACCCATGAACCACGTCGGGCGACAGACGGCCCATTCGACGCCCTTCTCAACCATGTGCTGCCATACTTTGCCGGGGCCGGGTCCGCCCAGACTGGCCGACGTGCCGGCCATGAGCACAAATCTCTTGGCCCCACGGGCGGCGGCGTAGTCGATGAATGCATTGATGTACTTGTCGGGCTCCGGCACACGCGGCATGATCATGTATACGGCTCGGATGGCATCGCCATTGGGGAAGGCGTGTGCAAACGGGTTGGCGTACGAGTCGGCATCAGTCCAGTCAAACCGCACGGCCGGCGCATCAGTGGCCCCAGTAGGATCCTTGGCGTCTGCAGCAGGGACAGAGTCGCCGCGACGAGAGGCGAAGAGAAACGGAATCTTGGCTTGCCGGCATAAAGTGGCAATGCGTTGGGAGGTCTTGGCATAAGCGCCGCCGGTGAGTAGGATGGCCATCTTTCTCTCGTCTGTCCGGGCACTGTTCTTGGTCGTTTGCAAGTGTGATTCAATGAACGGCGATGCCAGTCTCGCACAACACCTCGGAGCGCCAGAAAGGATGGTCTTGACTCTTGAGTCTTGGATCTGCCGTCACGATGTACCGCGAGCGTAGGAGGAGCGGGGGAATGTTGCCTGCTCTTATGCACTTTGCTCGGCCATGTCATTCTTAAGTAAGCGGAAGTTTTGTGCCCAGAGGCTGCTTCAACCACGGGCCAGATCCAGACAATAGATGTAGAGTCCAGAGTCCAGACCATACCCCGGTCCCAAGTACCCGGCAGCTCAGTGGTTATGAGCTTATCTCCGAGAGCGGCACAGGATCTAGGGCGATCTGAGCTCATCAAGCTGGAGGCGCCCGTCAATAAAAAGCCATGTCAGTCCAGCTAGCCAACCCTGGGTAACGTCTGAACCATGTCAGCCAGCCCAGCCACCTTCTCTGCCCCCTGGCTTAAATCCGATCTGGACGCAGTTTGGTTGGACGAAAAATGAGCCCCAGTGGATATATGTAGGCACGAAAAGGTCGCACGGAATGGGGGGCAATCAAGACACATGAAAGGTGGCCTCTGCTACGCCATCTTTTGTGCGACTGGATATCAGTCCGACTCTCACACGCAAGCAGGACAAGGACACGGAGTGCATGCACGAGACATCCAACACAAGGCAGCCTGGTAAGGCTACAATCACGTCGGAAGCTCTCGGTGAAGGATCATATAGTGAGCCTTTTGGCATTATACTTCTCGATTGCAAGTTCAATCACCAGTGGACAATAGTAAGGCCATGATCCCAGCTGTGGCTCACGGCTGCCGACGCCTGCCCATGCGCACGTCACGTCCAGAGGGAGCGAGAGGGAGATGGGCGCAGGCTCCTTGTTGCAGCAAAATACGTGGCTTGCATCGTGTCCGACCCTCGCCCTCAGCTATCAGACATGCCGCTTGAGCCTGTGTCTCCGGACTCACAGTCAGCGCTTCAACCTTTTTCTCGAGCCTTTTGATCGTTGCTTCGGCCATCGCTCCAGCCTGCCTGCAACTCCGTGCTCAGGTCTGACAGGACGCCACGATGCGAAATCGGGAATGGCGAAATGCACAAAGGAGCGCGAAAAGTAAAAATTTGCTGTACAAGGCGGGTTCGACGGATACGCAAACCAGGAAACATTGCGACAACAACCAGTCAGGAAGGGGGCATTTGGGCAGCTCACATCGCCTCAACACTTGATACCCGCTTCTGTAGAAGCACTTGTTTTTTCTAGTTTTTGGTCAGACGGCTCAGCTGCTACGTCTACTATCAGGACTATATCCTCTTGAGCTACTACGGCTCGCTGAACGCCTCTGCCGCTTCTTGCCCCTGCTGGATAGTCGGTCTCTGGTTCCGCCAGAACCGGTGCTCTGGGCGCCTTCAGCCCCGTCATCGCCAAACTTGATCGGCCACGACACGCCTTCGATCGCCATCTGATCCGGGAACTGAGGCACCTCGACCTGCTTATCCCAGATGCTCTTGGATGCAGCAGAGGAATATCCAGACTCTGACGTCGACGCCATGTCCGCCGCCCCCGACGCAGGCCAAGTCAGCCCCGACGTCTCTGGGATCTGTAGACAATATGCCTCAAGCCCGTCCATGTCAAAGAGCGGCGACGGCTCTTGCAGCAAAAGTGACATGGGCGTAAGGCTATCCATCAGGTTGGCTCGAGGCTGGGTTGCCGCCGTCAGCAGCTCTACGACGTCTTGTATCACCGTTCCGAGTTGATTGGTGGAGCGGGATAGCCGAAAGTTTGCGGCGCCATCCGCTGGTTGAGTTACCTGTCTCAAGGCATCGAGGAGGCGGACATCCTCACGAGCCTCGGCACCGTCCTGAGTGTCGTTTTGCTCATCTGTCGGTAGCCTGAGGCTTCCAGACGAAGCAGGAACGAGCCGAATCTGCATGATATTCCTGGCCAAGATGAACACCGCGGCGGGAGGAAATGAAGCCCATAGTTTGTGGATGGAAAGAGCAGGACCTGGCGGAGCGTGTGGAAGGAAACGAGCAGGTTCCGCGGCCGGCAGGAGTGGTGATGCCGGCGTCGATGACGGCGACGACGACGATGTTGATGACGACGGTGTTGTGAACAGGGGGGCTTGTCTCTTCGTGGGCAGTGTGATGGATGTCTGTCCTCCGAGGAGGCACTCTAGTCTCCGCCAGTAGTCGTCGGCAAGGGGTCTGCAGCACGATACTACAAGCAGTAAGCAGCACAGACGGGAGTCGTGCAAAAGCTGGTGGGAGACGTTGGTGTCGTGGCCATACAGGGCCTGGTTCAGTCGAATGCGCGTGCTGAGAAATGCCAAGTGCATCGACACGTCTTCTGTCGTCGACGGGGGCGTGGAAGACGGCACGTTGACGTCTCGTGACCAAGCCGTCAGACGATTCTGTAATTCAGAGAGCGCGACGCGCTGGTCTTGACTTGTGAGCGCGCCCGGTGTGAGGATCGATAGCAAGTCGCCTTGTAACCGGGCGAGATTGTAACGTGACGGTGAGCCCGAACCTGGACGGGACTCGACATGCCGCAGATTGACTGACGACACGGAACTGCTGTTGCTTGGAAGCCAGCTGATGGTGCCTCGCGTGATTGCCGCACACTGGTCGCGTATGAAGAGTGACTCGTACACCTTTCTTCTCTCCGTTGCTTCGATTTGGGACAGGCCGGATGCCTGAAGCCCGTAAACGGACTGATCCAGGCCCATGGCTTTTGCCAGGATGCAGGCTTGCATGAAGAGTCCGTTGCCGAGTTCTTCGTTTTGGCAGTGGTGCGCAAGTAGGCTCTGTGTGCGGCAAAAGGCAAAATAAAACAGCCATGTAAGCGTGGGGATTACTTCAAAGGCGGCGTGGGAGTCCGAGCAGAAGCACTCACCACCAGAGACAGGGTTTGGACGTTGATGAGCTTCGGAGCCAGAAATATGCTCGGCTTCTTGATTGCGACTTGGGATGCCTGCAGAGCCGGGCGGATGAACGGATCATCGATGAGGTTTGGATTCTCGGCGCCCAAGACGACGAGGATCACGAGATTGAAGTACACGGCCCAGGCCTCGGACGAAGGCCCCAGCGGCTCCCTGTACACACGCTCCAATGCCTCGTACGTGATTTGGGGTTCGGAAATGTCCGTGGTGTAGTCGACGAGCTTGAAGAAGGTGTCGAGGACGGCGCTGAGGAATTGCTTCGACGGCAAGCGGACAGCCTCGTCGGGCGCCGCCTTTCCAAAGTCTCCCGAGTCGTCGACGGCGGCGTCCTGTGTGAGTTTGTTGATGTGATTCTCCATCGCCTCGTCCACGGTCTCGTCGCCGTTGGCCAGCATGCTCGCCTTGACGTCTGCCGCGAAGTCGTGGCACTGAGAGACCAGCGTCCACGTCCCGTGATACTGCTCGATCTGGGTCCCGGCGTCCCGGAAAATATGTCCCACGCTCTCTCCCGCATTGTCATCGCCGAAGTCACCCTCGGCCGCCCTTGAGAGGAGGTCCCGGTCCGGGGGATCCTCCTTTGTCGGGTCTGTTTTTAGCCCAGGAGCGGCGTTGGTCTGCTTGAACATGCTTGTCAAGGCGGCCAGGTCCTCTTGCACCACAATGAGACGGGTTTGTATGTCTTCAAAGTTCTGGCATCTGGGTTCAGGGAGTCAGCTTCAGCGTCAAGGCCACAGCTAGTCACGGCCTCGGCGGCGCTCGCTCGGGTCGATAGCTCTCACAGTACTTTGATGTGGTTCACGCGCTTCGGCGGTGACGAGTATGCACATTCGGCGCCATCGCGACGGCAATTCCCACAGCGAGGCCGCTCCCGGCCGCACCGGACCTTGCGGGCACGGCAGTTGACGCATGCGCCGTCAGGCGGTGTTGACCAGTTCTGCACGCAAATGAAGACGAGGAAGAAAGGGTCAGCCATGGTGAAAGGGCGTTGTACCACCTCGTGGCCACATGAGCATGTATGTCTTGAATTACCTCCTTTGACATGACGTCGCCTGGACTCCCCCGTTTCAAGGTTGTATCCCTTGGCAGTGGTGCCCTGCCCGCGGCTGAAGCGGTATGTGCGTGTGCGTGTGCTTGTGCGTGTGCGTGTTCGTCTATGTGCTTGGGGCATACGTGTAGATGGTGATGCGCAGGAACCCCGGCTCGCTTTGCCAAGATGCGACTAGTTGACGGCTGGTATATTGGCTACTGGGAAACAGCAGGCCAGACACGCCGGTAGTTAATATATCTGTGCCTGCTCCAAGCTGCCAACCGCACGTGTCCTCGACACCCATCGCTGGCGATAAGCATACACACACCAGGAGAGACGTGGACCAGGGATTCTGAAGAGTGGCGGTATAATATCGCTTTAAACACGAGGCTAATGGAGCGGGAGGCGCAAAAGACGTTCGGAGACATCTCCAAGCTGACAACCAATGGCTTCCTCATGGCTCATGGCTGATGCCCTCCTGTGTCGCCCGCCCCCTGACCAGCCAACGTGGTTGGGGGCGGGTAGCAGCATGGCCACGATGACGGGACGGACAGGACTGTTCCAGAACTCTTGTCCGGATTCGCCAACGCGCTGGATGGAATGGTCCCACAGTAATACGGCACAAGTCTGGCCAAGGTCTGATGGGCCTTGACTCGCCTTGGGCTGTGAGGTGTGATCCGGGTCAGCCAGGAGCCAGGGCAGAGTCAAGCCCTGCGCCAGGCACAGCTGGGAGCCAGATCGGGTTAGCCGGCATATACGGCAATCTGGGACGGACGGACAATGTTACCGTCAACCCAGAGGCGGGCAGGCCAGGTCGAGCACGGCGATGCCCCCTTCTTTTCCTGTGGTACGGAGCAGAGCGGTGCGAGTCGCCTGCCTCTGCTGCCTACATGGCCGTCTCTGCGTCCACGGCCAGGCTCGGAGGTCGGGAGCCGGCTCCGGGTCTCGGGCAGACGACGCTGAAGACTCACGGAGCGGCCACGGCTTACGCAGGCGTCGCGCGTCGCGAGTCGTGACTCGCAACGACTCGGCGTGCCTCGTCGGCCCCCGGTTGCATATGACAGGTTACGGGAAACGCCGGCCGGAAACTCCACTCTGTCGAACGGTATATTTAACCAAGCGGCATGGACTCATGGCATGGCAGAAGACTCGTCGCCTCGCCCGTAAGCGAGAAGAGTAAACGAGACGTCGCCATGGCTGTCCCAGGCAAAACGGCCAAGCCTGCCGTCGTGGAGTGCACCAGCTCCCCCTTCTTTGGACTCTGGAAACCACAGGCGCACTTGAAACACCTGTTTTACGGCCCCTCTTGCGTCAGCAAGTACCTCGAGACCGTCTTGCCGTCTGACGCATCGAGGGTCTTCATCGTCACCGGTGCCACGCTGGCAAAGAAAACGCCACTCGTGCACGAGGTCGAGACACTGCTCGGGGCCCATCACGCCGGGACCTTTGCCGGCGTCAGGCAGCACGGCCCCGTTGCCGACGTGGAAGAGGCCCTCGGGCTCGTCCTGGACGATGCGTCGATTGACACGGTGCTCTCCCTGGGGGGTGGCTCGCCCATTGACGCGGCCAAGACGATTTCGCACCGCGTCCACGAGCAGCGCGGCCACTTCCTCACTCACATCGCCATCCCCACGACCCTCAGCGCGGCGGAGTGCACGGCCGGGGGCGGCTACACGGGCCCTGATGGCACCAAGGTCGGTTTCATGGCGCCGGGCATGGGTGTGGCGGCAATCTTCTACGACCCCTTGTTCTCGCGGTATACGCCCAGACGGCTGCTGCTCGCCACGGGCATCCGCGCCGTCGACCACGCCGTCGAGACAGCCTACCACCCGACCTCGTCCGAGATGCCCTGGAAGGCCCTCGCCTGCTGGGCCCTGCAGGTCCTGTTTGAAGAGCTTCCCCGGCTTGCAAACTCGAGCTCTGCCCAGCCCAGCGGCCACGGCCAGGGCCAAGATGGCGTCCACGGCTACCACGACTCGCTGACGCGCCTGTTCCTGGCCGCCTATGCCACGTCCGGTCTCAGAGGCGCCAACTTCACCGGCAACATGGGCCTCTCGCATGCCTTGGGCCAGGCTCTGGGGAGTCCATATGGGATTTCACGTATGTCGAGTCACCGAGCGCACCCCTCCCCCCAAATCCCTCGGTCCACGTCCTGTTAGGCCACGAACCTGCTAACAAACCATGGGCATCGTCCTTCTCACGCAGACGGCGAGACCAGCTGCCTCACACTGGCCCCCGTCATCAGACTCAAGGCAGAACTGGACGTGGAGGATGCGCGGTGCATCAGCCGGCTGCTCCTGCCAGCCACGGGCAAGACTGGATCTGGAAACGTTTTGCAGGACGCCATGCAATTTGCTGATGATGTAGCGGAACTTGTGCAACGCCTGGACCTGAGGCCCTTGCCACTGAGCCGACGGGGAGTTGGGCACGACCAGGTTCCCGTGATTGTTCAACGAGCAATGCGGGGATCGGACAATGAAAAACTGCGCCTCGCCCTGACGGCACTGGTGGAGAACTTGCTGTAATTATCACGCCAGCTTCGACTCGGGGGGGAGGGGGAACGGGGAAGGCGATGTGAGCTGGTAGGTGGCGCTCAAGAGTCAAGCCCAAGGTTAGCTAGCCGCCGTGCCCTGCCGGCTCAACACGCCGCCTTCATCGTATTGTACCACCGCATTGTATTGCCTCGCCGTCCGCATACTCTGATGACGAAGTGCCTCCCGGTGTTGGTGCGCAGACGTTGACGGGTGACGGGCGGATTCATGTGTTGGCGAGCCGCCTCGTTCCGCCCTTGAGATGCTTCGAGGCACCGCCGGCCAGAGATGACGTGATGTCGAGAGCCGAGGGCCAAACCTACGTGTGACAATGACTATATCCGGTTACACAGCCATAAGCGATGCCGATCTGCGGCTGCTTACTCCGTATTTGTTGATGGCAGTTTCAGATGCGAACCCGGTGCCACGGAGCCCGCCCGTCTCGTTCGCTGTGGAGCTTATGCAGTGCGGCTGAATTATACTCGTGCCATCATCGTTTTGGGGCGGAGGCAGAGAGGTCTGGCTGCTGATGCGTTGCTTACTCGACGCTGTGCGTGGCTGGCGGCGCCCGTCAGTGAGGCTTGCTGACGTGCCAAACGTGGGAGGTGCTTGCGATGTGCAGAGTCCCAGAGGCCAGGAGCCATCTCATGCGGGATCAAAGACTTGACTTGACCTGCCAGAGGCTGCCTAGCCCACGCGGATGGACCATCATTGCGCCGTCGTCGAGTTTGCTTACGGGCCACGGCAGTTGGGGCGCGGCATCTGCATTCCCGGACGGGCGTTCTCTTGTTTGCTCGTGGATTCGACATTGTGAACAGTGAACATCCGTGGTGTTTGCCCGTCTTGCCGCCTGGAATCCCTGCTCTCATCTCGAGCGTCGCCAGTGGACGGGGTGGTGTCGAGCCAAGGGGCCGTCTCGTGCCATGCTGAATTCATCGCTGCTTGTCCGGTCCAAACTAGTCACATATGAGGAAGAAAGCAAGTCTGCAAGCATGTGATTTTGCGTGGCAGGGCAACGCGGGACACACCAACGAATGTTGCCGCGATCGCACGTGCAGACGACGCCGGTGAAATGGCAATCCATGGCGTTGATATTGCGTCAATCTCGACTTGATTGGCACACGACAGCACTCTGCAGCATTGGTTGCCGCGGGACGAATGCAAGGCTCCCGAGAATCAGAATCACCGCTCAGGCGTCATCCACACACGTCCGCCTCCACGGGGGTTTGCAAGTCATAGGGTCAGTCATGTCTTCCAAGGGGCAGAGCAAAATACTAGGCTGCAGAGACTCGTGTCCATGCAGTCGAGGTTTTTGACAGAGCAGCACGAGTGGACATGTAGTTATTTTGTCTTGCCAATGCCCTCCATCACATCTGCACACGTTGGGGCAAGCCAAGCACGACAACGGCCACCAAAAAGAAAAAGAAAAAGAAAAAAAACAGTAGACGCCTAGTCTTGAAGACGCACATCTCTCATAGAGCGTAGCCAGGTGTGTCCCCTGTATTTGTCTACAAGACACTAGCGATGCCCTTCCATGACTACGGCATTCGCGCTCTCTACATCGGCCCAAGGATACGTGACACGGGCCCAAGGAGTAGTCAAGATGGAAAGTTGACGGTAATCCATCAGCCTTCGACCCCATCCCGTGCCGGCACGAGCCTACAGAGAAGAGGAGGCTTGGCCCAAAACCCCCATATCTTCTGGCCGTTCAGCCAGCCCACACTCGCGCTCGTTTCGACAAGCTCAATGTCAAACCGCCAGAGCATGCGTCCCAGAATGAGCCTGAGCTCGGCCCAGGCCAGGTTCCTCCCGAGACAGGCCCGTGGACCGTGAGAGAAAGGCTTGAACGATTCGGTGGCATCGCTGCCGCCGCCCCCGTCGAGCCACCGCTCCGGTCGAAAGGCGCCGGCGTCCTCGAAGTTAGAGTCGGACCGGTAGCACGCCAGATGATTGACACCAACGGTGTACCCGGCGGGCACGAAGCGTCCGTCGATAATCTCCCCGTGGGCGGGCACACGGCGCGGGAGAGTAATGGCGACGGGCGGGTACAGACGCATCGACTCGTTCAGGACGGCGTCCAGGAAGGGGAGCTTGCCAGCCATGCTGGACAGCTTGATGTCCGACTCGGCGGCGAAAGTGCCGCGTATCTCTCGGACGAGTCTCTGATGGGCATCTGGATGTCGCAGGAGGAGGAACGTGGTGCCGGACAGCGCCGTTGCGGTGCCTTCGGACCCGGCGATGCTGATGGAGAACGCGTTGGCGTACATTTCCGCGTCCGACATGGTGCTTTTTGCGTCGTGGACGCCGCTCTCGTGCTCGGCGATGTGGCTCAGGACGTGGTGCCAGATGTCCTTGCGGTCCGCCGTCGGGCCTCGAGCGAGACGGGCGCGAACGGTTTCTGCAGCGCGCCGCATGTTCGCTGCTCGCGAGCCTCCCGTGGAAGATGGCCCCAGGAGAGCGGACAGAGGGCGCAGAAACATGATGCGGTAGTAGCGCAGCATCTGGTTCACCGTGAGCTCCTGGGAGCCCGTCTTGATGGACTCGACAAACGGCGAGGCCGCGCCGGCCTCGAGACATCCAAAACTCTGCCCAAACGCAAGGTCGCCCACAAGATCAAACGCTAGGGACAAGGTGTCAGCTTTTCGAGCCATTTGTCGGCGACAATGCCGGAAGACGCACTGGCAAACGTATACCAGTCCAGGAGATCGACGGGGCCGCTGCGGCATCGCTCCTCCAGCTCGGCACACAGCTTCGTGCAGTAGGTCTGCAAGATGGGTTCCTGTTCCCGCAGTGCCTTGTCCGAAAAGGCGTGTGACAACAGGCGTCGTTGGCGTGTGTGAGTCTTGCGGTCTGCTGTGAGGATGTCTGTTGCGGGTGATTAGAACGGGCCGCGGAATCACGTCTTCAACGTAGGGGCAGGATCGCCTCAAATCAGATCCCACCCGGGGTCGAGCGCGGGGCCGTACTGACTTTGAACTCCCGAAGGCGTGAGGAGCGAGAAGTTGGCATCTTTTGACATCTCGACAGACCTCTGACCATAAATCGTCTTCCAGGCGGTGGCTGAGATGTACGATATCTCATCCGGAGCTACCCTCGCAACCGGCCCGTACTGCTTGTGGATTTGGTCGAGACGGCGATTCAAATCACCGCGGTACTGGTTCCAGCACCACGGCAAGCGGGTCGCTGCCCAGAGCTTGGGTCCGGGGTGCTTGCTCAGAGGGTGGAAGTAGATATTCCGGATCAGATAGAGACATGTCTGCGATGGTGTGAGATGGACGGACGCGGACCACCTTGATGGCAAGACGGGGACGTACGAGAATGAGGAAAGCTCCTGCGACGACAGAGACAGCCAAGACTCTGTTGGCCAGTACGAGAGCCAAAAAAGCTTCCCGATCCCGTCCCATACTGGCTGCCATGTCAAAAGTCGATACGCCAGGCAAAGGTCCTGGAGTCTAGCTGCACTCAGTAGAGCAATGCCGGCGCGCCTGCCGTGATTCGCATTCGACCAAGAGACTATATCAACTGACTCTTGCCATTCGGCGGCTTCCCGGGGTATCCAGTCGCAAACGACCGTGGCCTCTGGTCATGCTTACCGGGGGCCGTGTCGGGGGCCGGCCTCCGGCGGCGCAGCTTACATGGCCGAAGCCTGCTTACAATTGTTGACGGCGCCGCCTCCGAGCTTCAAAAGGGAAAAGGCCTGCCAAAGCATGAGCCGCTCCTCCTTCTGGGTGCATAAAACGTCCACTGGACATGGGTTTGGCGCCCAAGTGCGATATTTCACATCAACCACACGTCGAGTCTGTCCCGACAGATTTTGAAAGATCGCTGACCAGTCTGGCTGTTGTCTCGGAGCGAGGATACCGCGTGTAATCAGACATGGACCACCAGGACGCTCATGTCATTGTTGTCGGCGCTGGTACGTCATCATGCCGACTTGTCTGGTTTCCCGTGTGGCTGACACCGTGTGCTTGCTCCGTTTTCAAGGAATATCCGGTCTCCTGATCTGCCAGGCGTTGAAGAAGGTAACTGATTCCTCGTCCCTGGCCCGACTCGGACCTGACCAAGACGTTCGCACAGGCCAACATCCGATTCTCCATCTTCGAGAGAGAAGAGACGTTGAATTACCGCAGCAATGAGTGGACAATGGCGATCCACTGGGCTCTGCCCCTTCTCAAAGACATTCTCCCCGAGCAGCTATACGCCAAAATGTCCGTCATTGCTTGCAATCCCACAGTGGGCATCCACTCGGGTCTCTACCCGATAATCAACGGCGAGACGGGCGAGCTCATCACCGGGGTGCCGTACGAGAATGGGCTGCGCGTGCCGCGAAGTCGCATGCGAGCCTTGGCCGCCGAGGGAATCCATGTGCAGGTAGACAGATGATAAAATCCCTCTGGCCGACTTGCTTCCGGCTCTTGCTCGACCCAAGCAGAGCCTCGGGCTGACGACGTGCAGTACGGCAAACTCGTGACCGACATTGCCTTCAACGAAAGCGGCCGGGGAGTCGTCGCGACCTTGTCCGACGGCACCATCGTCCCCGGAACCATGATCATCGGCGCCGACGGGCCAAAATCCACGGTTCGCCAGTTCGCAATGGGCAGCGCGGACAAGGCCGCCGTGACCAAGTTTCCCATCTTCCACACCAACATGACTGTTTGCTACAACGACGCCGACAAGGCCAAGACGGTCAGGCACCAGTACCCGACCAGCTACTTGGCGCTGAGCCAGCGTTCTTTCCACGCATTTCAGTCGAGTAAGTTGTCTGCTCTCCCCGGTCCGGCCTGAAGCCCCGAGCCTCGTCGGACACGAGCACTCGGGAGAACACGACGACTCAAAAGCCTGACGCCTGTACTAGTCTCGAGCATGCCCGAGGGACCCGACCACCCAGAGTCGTGGGTCTTCCACATGGCCATGGCGTGGCTCGGCGAGGTGGACAACAGCTTGAGCTACAGAGACCGTCTGGCTCTCATCAAAGAGCGCGCCGCCGGCATGGGCGAGCCCGCGCGCTCGGCCTTCATGTGGCTCCCCGACGACACGGAGGTGCACAAGGCCGACATCAGCTACTGGGTGACGCAGGCCTGGGACAATCGCCAGGGGCGGCTCACGCTCCTCGGAGACGCTGCGCATCCCATGCCCCCATGTGAGTTCAGTTCCTGACACCAGCTCAGCCCTCCCGGTGTTGTTCAGGCAGCTCCTGACGCGCTCGACCGCAAACATAGATCGTGGCCAGGGCCTGAACCACTGCATAAAGGACGTCTCGCTTCTGTCCGAGGTTCTCAAGGCGGTACTTGGCAGCCCTGCCGCGTCGCTCACGCTCGCCAAGGGCGTGGCTCAGTATGAGGAGGAAATGATTCCTCGCGGGGCAGAAGAGGTCCGGTGCTCCGTGGAAAACGGCATGCTGCTGCACGACTGGAAGAAGATCCAGGAGAGTCCCGTCTTTCGCCGCGGCTTCAAGCCCATGGATGGTCACGGCGACGCCGTCCATGTTGCCGGTCCTGACGAGAATATCAGCGAACATGCGCGGGTCCAGATGGAGCGAGATGCCGAGCTGGCTGGTACTCTGGCTGCCGTCTCTTCCTAGTTGTGAGACGTCTTGGCTCGGACGTGGCCATGTATTGGGCATGGCAGTATGTGGTAGCGGTAGAGGTCGTTTAGGTTGAGGCAAAAGATGCAACAGACTCGCCCGGAAAGACGGTCCGCCGTCGGACATGGCAAGGTCATGGTAGTGGCAAACGCAAATTCCCTCCCAAGCAAACAGGCCATCGAAATAGTGACAGCGTAGCTACGTGCTCAGTCTTCCTGCTTCTGCACAAGCTCAACGTCAGGTCCCGACTCTCCCGGCTGTCCAAGCTACACATGAAGTTGTTGAAGCATGAAGATGGCCCTAGTTTTGGTCACACCAGAAAACGGGTGTGGCCACACCACTCGATTTTGTGTGACATGCCACCTTATATACTATGCGACACTTTTCCAGGGGGCTCATGTTGGAAAAGATTATGCCTGCGCGAGCCCCAGCTCAAGCTACGGGTGTAGCACGGCTTAACGGAGGCTCTTGAGGATATTTGTCCAACGGCAACAGCTACCTTCTGGCAGACTCAACATGACACGTATTACAGCCGAGACCATCCCGGTCTTGGCAGGTCCTCGAGGCAACATACGACGGCTACTAAAGTGGACATGGTTCCGCCGTGGTCTGAGGAGCTGAGATGGTACGATATTCAAATTAGCGCTGGTATCGTGGAGTAATGAGACTCGTCAAAATGGACAGGTTGGTAGATCGAAAACACCAAAGCCCATGGACGCTCGACGTTGGGCCCCATTATAGGTTCTTTGTCGCTCGCCCTCGCCGTCCTGGTCGGGACCGTCACTTGTCCGTGGCGCCGTGAGTCCAACATGGCAGCATGGAACATTCAAAGCGGTCTCGGGGGCAATTCCCGTGTGGCATCTGCGCAGCCCATCAGTCTGGGGTCTCGACTTGCCTCCTTGCCGGGTAAGATTCGCCCACCCCGTCAGCGCGGCGACGGCATGATCAGATATCAACACGGTCACCACTCACGACTCGCACATACTGGTGCATGGACAGCCCGCTTACTTGCTTACATGGACGTGCTTGCTGCCCTATTCCTATCCGGGATGATTGGCTGAGTCCAGCTGCATGTGCTCTTGGTTGCAAGCCTCAGAGGTCCTCTTACTACCTTGGAGCGATGATCCGTTTATCGATTGGGTCGTCTTTCCATGGAGACGGGACACCTGGAGCTTGTCAACAAACGACGGAGCACAAACCTTGCAGCATCTCCAACAAAGTCTCGGCTCTCTAGCGTATAGATCTGTGCCATGATACGCCCATGTTCCGTGGGGACGCGCGGCAGGCCAGAGCCCATCACCAGGATTCCGCAGAGTTGCAACGCTACCGCGGCACATTCCGATCGAACCGTTGAGCCGTCGGGACCAGTGACAGAGGACTACGTGGGCCGACGGCGTCGTATTTGGACGCCAATGCCGTTGGTGCTCTGCGGCGGCTCGAATCGTGGCAGCCCAGCCCTCACTGTAGTCTCGTATATGCCTCCAACGCGCCGCTCCCAACAAGCCTTTGATGCTCGTACGTTTCTCCGTAAAAATAGCACGGTGTTGAAAACCCTTCAACTCCCCGTCAAGCAATGCAAACGGGCCAGTGCTGGGCTTCCCAAGGCCATGACTTGAACAGCCCCCGTCAGACTCGGCGCGTGACCGTGCTCAGCTGAGCCAGCCATGTTCATGGCTAGAGGAAACGAGGCCTGGTCCTCTTTCCGGCCGTGGCCGCGCCTTGCCAGGACATGTAATCGGGCTCGGTCGATTATTGCCTCGTTGCAGTTCCTTGTCGACTCGAGTCATGCCCTCGGACACCGGTTCGAGCCCGGATACGGAGTCTATGCATCAATATAGCCCCCATGAGCTGTTAAGACGGCATTAAAATGGCGTAATAATCTCACGCCAACCCTCGGTCTCGGGTCTCCCTACCTGGAGTCCCTTGACCACTGGGTCTCGTGTCTTTGACAACGCCTGCAAATCGAAACACGAAGCAACGAGGGAGCAAAAGAGCCCGGCGTGTACTTGGTCAGACTGGGCAAATGCCCGGTTTGCCTTGGCTGCTGTGGCCGAGCAAGGCGCAAATTACCAACCCGCCCCCATATCAGCCCTCGAGGGGTCTGATGTAGGTCGACTCTCGAGCATGGCAGGGCGGCGGCGGCGTGACGGGCAAATAGACTTTGATGAAGACGCCTCTTGTTCGCCGCCGTGAGACCGAGAATAGTGACAGCGCCGCCTGGCCCGCCGCCACATTGAACACGAGTACCGGTGGTCCTTTGACGCCCGCGGAGTGGAAGACGAACTGAGGAGGGCGCCCGCCGGGACGCCAACAAGGTTAAAAGGCCCTGATCCAATCACCGGCGGGCAGGTCGCCGTCATCTTCGCGCCCACCGTGTGTGGAATGGACGAGTCGGACGCTCTTGGGCACGAAGCGGGTGGCAAGTATACCGAAACGCCAGCGCCTCTGGCTCGCACCCGCCCGAAGGCGCACCGCTCCCTTCGGACACCGGCTCCATGGTGGAGATGATTGATGATGGGCTCGCCCGGATGCGCCTCATTGTGTCAACGTCTGGCCGACAGGTCCATGTGCCAAACGCAGCGCGCCTGACGCCACGCTCTTGGACACGAAGTCTACCAGAACGCAACCAAGGTTCAGCCAGGGTAATCTTATTCCTCGTTCCAACGCCTCCGTCGTTTCCGTGTCTATACAAAGAAACGTGCCGGGCTATATAAGTCCCAGCTCTCCCCGCGGTCTTGATATCCTCCTCTCGTCCCTGTCAGCAAGAAAAGAAAACGGTGCTCCTTACAAACACCATCCAACACCAACGAATCTTTCCCAAATCTACTTGGTCGACCAACGAGACCCTTTCAAGCTCTTTTCATCATGAAGTTCATCATTGCCGCCGTTGTCGCCCTTGCTTCTCTCGGCATCGCTCAGGAGGATTCCTCCGATGATTCCTCCCGCAGGTGCAAGCCTGGCACTTACCAATGCCAGGGGAAGGATGCATGGGCCGTTTGCAGCACCGCTGGCCAGTGGGTGGTGAGTATCGAACTCGTCTCTGGCCGTTTATTCGTTGGTGATATTGACAGTCGTATTAGTTTGCTGGGAAATGCCCAAAAGACACCGTCTGCAAGTTCTATCCCCCAAGTGGCAGCCCCTACTGCGTGCCTCCCGGCTTCACCATCCCGTAAATACAGCTCTCGGGGCTTCAAGAGGGGGGTTTGCGAGTTTTGATTCTGCCCCAACCGCGTGGCAATGAGCCTTGGAACGAGTGCGACTGTGTCGGGAGAGTTGGTTCGGGCCCGCCCCCCGTCAGGACTGACGGCATGCTGAGCCAGATTTTCGGCATTTTCGTTTCGCCTTGGCCGCGTTTCAGTCTGCTTGAGTAGCTACTTGTGAATCTAATGACTACTTTATTTCTTTCAGTGAGACTCCGTGGACGTAAAGACAATCGTATCTGCCACGCCGTAGTCTGGACACGGTGCAAACTCGTATTCGTCCTTGATCATCGTGTCGATGCATGGAAGGGAAGGCTTTCATGCTCGGCAACCACGCCCGAGTTTCGAATTGTCACGAGCCTACGCCGTGCGGCTCATCAAATCCCGTGCCCAGACTTTTGTCGCGTCGTCACACGTAGATGCTGCTTCTCTTGGCAGGAAAATGCAACATGTGCCAAGGTCGCATTCACCTTGTACATCATGTACCTAAACATGTACGTATGTATGCGGATATACGTATATATGTACGTATGTATGCGGATGTAGTTACGTATATGTGTACGTATGTATCTCTGTATACTGTACGTGTGTATGTGTGTCCGCCCGCATTGATATTACCTTGAGCCCTTTTCGTCATGTGCTTTCTAACCATCCTAGCGCACCTTGCGTTTTGCGATTTCCGCCAGCGTACCAGCCGGCCGTCTTTCGCCGCGGTTGTGGTTGTGTGTGTGATTCTCGGCAAACGAGCGGCGATGCCACGTGTAGGAAGGGTATTGTACGGCGCAGCGGCAGCATACTCATCAAGGAAGCCTGCAGTACACCAATGTCCTGCCAGCTGCGCAGACGTTGCCTCGGTGCATTGTTCTCGCCACCGGATTCGACGAGCAAATGTCAGCTTCTCAAGCCACCATGGCTGCCTCACGTCAGCTTCAGTATATCGAGGCGGCGGTCCTCGTGACCAGCTTGTAGGGCCGTCTGCGGGATGAAGACTCGCATGGGGCAATGGTTCGCAGAGACTGGCTTTTGCTGCGTCTCACGCCCGGATGAAGGAGTGCCTGGAACGACACGTCAGCGGTCCAGCGTCATCATGCCGGCCGATCAAGACTCGCAAGGCTACCTGCCAATGCGACGCAGGCACGACTTGTAACCCTGGGAGCCAAATGGTAGGCACAACTCCAAGTTGGATGCCGGGGCGGCATCTTGCCGAGGGCTGCGGTTGTTCCATGTGTTTGCTACACGGCTCAGTAGTTATACCGTGATGTAATAGCTGCCCCTGGGAGTTGCTGTATTGCAAAATGAGAGCTGAGGGCCGTCATTCAAGTGCCAGGCTCCATTCCCGGCAGACGCACACAAGATAAGCTTTGGGGCAATGTAGTATTGGTACATTCAAATGAAGCTAGGTTGACGAAAGCCTAATGTGGCTGACGACGGTGGTGATGCTACTCACCTGGGGCTCGCTGTTGCTGGTTGACCTGTGATTGAAAAACATCAAGCTGGTATCCGACCAACCTTGTAGCAAAGCCAAGGTCAAATAGCCTAGTTGGTGCCCACTGCAAAAGATGCACATCTCGTGCTGTTTCACTCATCTTCATCGTGAATCAGGCCTTGTGATTGTGCGTGCCTCGAAATGGCAACGCATGTACTCCGGGAGCAGAGTAGCTGCCATGATACGGAGTACCTCGTCCAGCATTCGCGGCCGTGTGCATCCCAGCATTCGCAGCCGTATGTATCCCATCTCAGTTCCAATCGCTTCGTAGCCAGCCAGGACTCAAGACTCACGAGCAACACCGTCACGAACGTAGGCACAAGTCACGCCACCCTGCGGAGCAAAACTCGACGAGACATTTCCGATGGTAACTTACTACCACTTTTGGCCTTGTGCATGACGAAGCCGAGGTTGCAAAAGCCAGGCAAAGCACAAACGGCTTGCCTCGGGTCAAGTCAAGGGATGGTGGCACTGGTGTCACGTCTCGGCAGGGATGTGATGGAGGTATAAGTGCTTCTCCATCGGCTGTGCCACCCACTGCGCAAACCTTTTCCATCATACTTCTCTTGTCACAGGCCTCAGAAAGCAGCTCCCGTCGACATGAAGATCACGAACCGTCCCGACGAGTGGAGGATTGAGCAGGGGCTGTCGGCGGCTGTGCTCCCGGTGCTGGACATGACCCAGCCCAAGACCAGAGCTCTTCCTGTTCAGACTTTTGGCCCACTTGCCAAGGATGAAAAGGCCATCAGAGAGGTGGGAGACCCGAACGAGTTGTTCGTCAGGGAGCGAGAGGGTTGGACCGGGTACGTGGGACCTTGATCCGGAGCTGAGGAGTGCGTGGAAACGGTCCTCAGACTATTCACTCTACGTCAAGCACGATTCTGATTGTTGAGACTTGTCCAAAGCTTCGTCGAGTGGGAGAAGTATCCGGAGAAAAAAGCCGCGGCGCACAAGATCTTGACCGCTCAGACGTTCCCGCCGAATCCCGAGTTCCAACTCGGTCCCATCCCGGGCACAAACCCCGTCCTTCCCGGCACGCGCTGGAAGATGTGGCACCGCGCTGTCGGTGGCGAGCTGTCCAGGATTCCCGAAGACTCGTGGGCCACCGTGCTGAGGGAGAAGCATCCGGACATGCTGCATCTTCTCCAGTTTCCATACAATGGGGAGCCTCCCAAGCGTCTCGTCACGGAGAAGGAAATCACTCCCAACTCGCTCCACTTTGTGAGAAACCACGGCGGCATCCCGCTCATCGACAGGGACCACTACAGCTTCCTCTTGGACGGCCTGGTTGCGGAGCCCAAGGAGTTCACGTTGGACGACCTCATGGACGAGAAGAGGTTTCCACGCATGGAAAAGACGGTTACCATTCAGTGCTCGGGCACGCGTCGTATCGAGCAGGTGCTCAAATATCCCGGCCAGGGCGACGAGGTTCCTCAGGCACCTTGGGCCGAGGGCGCCATCGGCACTGCCAGATACGTCGGCATCAGCCTCAAGAAGGTGATTAAGGAGTGTGGAGGTCTGGTCGAGGGCGCAAAGCACCTGGAACTGTACGGCGCCGACACCTACTTCAAGAATGACCAGACGATGAACTATCTCGTCAGCGTGCCGTGGTCCAAGGTCAAGGCAAACGAAGTGATGCTCGCGTGGGAAATGAATGGACAAGTGCTCCCCGCCATCCACGGATATCCTCTTCGCATCGTGGTCATGGGCTACATCGGAGCCAGGAGCGTCAAGTGGCTCTACCGCATCAAGGCCATCAGGGAGCCGTCACGAGCGCCGGTGCAGAGCCAGGAGTACCTCTACTTTCCACAGCAGGTGGGAAAGCACAACCTGAGGCTGACGGACGGAATCCAGATCCAGGAGATGCCGGTGAGCTCGGCCATAATGTCGCCGTGGACCAAGCAGGCGTGCATCCACGACGGCCAGATTCGCTGCAAGGGCTGGGCCTATTCCGGCGGTGGACGGTGGCCCGAGAGGGTTGAGCTGTCCAACGACGGCGGGTTCAACTGGTACACCGTCCCGCCGGAGAAGCTGTCCAGGAAGCGGAGATGGACATGGCGCACGTGGGAGTTTGACCTGCCCTGCGACGTCGAGGGCTGGGTCGAGATTGTCTGCCGCTGTTGGGACAATGCGCTGAACACGCAGCCTCCTGATGTTCGGACAGCGTGGAACTGGGGCCTGCACGTCACGAGCTCCTGCCACCGCATCTCTGTGTACAGCGTCAACAAGTCTCGGCCAGCGACCAAGGCTCGTCTGGACGAGTTTGAGCGGAGAGGGATTCCGTTTGGCCCCATCACGGTGCCTCTTTCGTTCCCGTCTCAGACGTGGGAGGACTATGACAAGTTCTGGCGAGACAATGACCCCCGCGACGCCGAAGATGATTGATTGCGGGGCGGGAACTGCGCTATCGTAGCCGGAGTGTGCTCTCTTTGATGGTCATCCAAGACGCGACACGAAGACGTGCGACGTGGTTTGCGGGGAGGTGTTTACTGAACGGAGAGCGTTTGCCGCATTGTGTGCGCAGTCTCTGGTTTCCTTTTGCTTTGGCGCTTCCTGGCAGCAAATATTTCCACGATTGACGAACATGGCGTCTTGTCTCGTGCCGAACCAAAGACTTGTTTGTGAGAAGCCATTCCCATTCGCGCGTGCTGGGCCCGCACAGAGGGGGGCGGACAAAGAAATGAATTTTCACGTGACCAACGCCAGTAGCATGTAGAAAATGTATTGTTTCACACAGGGGCAGGGGAGGCACGCACGGAGTACTCAATGGCTGCAATTCTACTTTTTCGCCCCCGTGCAAAAGCAAGCCATGTAACGACTGGGGGGGCTTTGTCTTGAGCCTTGGGTGAAACTGCTTGGAAGTGGCGACCAGTCTCTTTCGTAACCGAGATGAGTCATGTCAGTCCTCCTCTTCTTTCACCGGCCACAGTGAGACGTGGCAAGGCGCCAATCCTTCTCGCTGCAGCAGCACGCTTTTTCACGTTCCCGAAGCACGGCAGAAATCGGAGGTCCGCGCAGCAGAAAATTCCAGAGACGTGGCGGGGATGCCACCCACAGGAGATGCGACAATCGCTCCGGGTGGCTTTTCCATGACCCAGTCCAGGCTGAACTTGACTTTGCCAATTGACGGCGTCCCGGCCGAGGCGGTGAGACACCGTGGACGTTTTCGTCGTTTCAGACACGGAGGGGGAAGCTTCTCGAATGCTCCCAGATCTCATCTAGATCCGACGAGGCCTGGCAGATGGCTAGCCGACACGGGCCAACCCAACCCCTGAACTGTTCCGTATTGTGAGGCAATACGGAGCACCTGACCAGGAACATGCCTACGCGCATGTACGCATGTGCATCAACTCGCGTCATGGGGCGGCACGTCCCTCAGCCACGGCGTGCCTGCAGATTTGACTGGAAAGGCGCTCTGCAACCTTGGCGAGGCGCCGGCCGAACGACGCGCCACGTGACAGGGCCGTCGCCAAGTTGCAACAACGCGAGGAGGACCGGCCAGGGAAGCGTTGCCGGGCGCGTATGCGGTAGAGACGGGAGACGGACAGATGCCATCACCGTGTCGCCGGTCTGTGTGCGAGTCAGAGGAGTGAATCATGCACGATGCAAATCATTGAATACTAATCTGCACCTCACGGGACCGCGCGAGCGTTTTGAACCGTTGGCCAACGCGCCAATGGCAAGGGACTCGAGTCCGAAATGGGGCTCCAGGACCAGGACCAGGACCAGGATTGGTGCGCATCTCGTCAAACGTACGGAGGACTCGGGAGGAGTAGTTACCACGAGTACTACTAGTCCAAGTCCGAGTCCAAGTTTCGCCGCCTTGTGGGTAAAAATGGCTGGTGCATGGCGCCAAAGGAAAAAGAAAAGGAAGAAGGAAAAAAAAAGAGAAGCAAGAAAGAATACAGAGACTACCCTGCACGGAGGACAAGTACGTCAGACCGTCCAGTCAAAAAAGTGCGCGTTCAAAGGGCGCGTCGACATATATAGCCGTCATGTTGACTCGCCCGTGACGTTGCGTGCCGTCTCGTCCCGTCTCGTCTCGTCTCGTCTCGTCTCGCCTCCCTCTTCGTCCCGCGACCCGGGCGACGAACCCTCTGGATTGCAAGCCATTCGACATCCACGAGCATATATTTTGACAGACCGTACCTCCCATTCCCGTGCCTGTCTGCTGCGGCTGGCTGTCTCGCAACACCGCCAAGATGATCGCCTCCGGCAGCTCCACCGACGTCACCTCTGTCTACTCCGCGCACACGGGCGACAAGGACAAGGAAAACACAACCTGGGAACAGACGCCTGTGCCGACAAGCGCCGCCGCTCCTCAACACACATCAGAAAAGCAACCGCCGGCCGAGACGGGGGAACACGCGGTTGCTGCCACCAAGGAAATCGCCCATGCTGGCGCGACGTCAGACGCCAAGCCCCAGGGACAGGGACAGAAACAGGAAGAGGACGACGACGATGAATCCGGGTATCCTGCCAAGTGGAGGCTGGGGCTCATCACCATCGCTCTCTGCCTGTCCGTGTTTTGCATGGCATTGGTACGTTCGCTCCGTCTAAAGTCAACAGACAGTCTCGTCTAGGGGACGAGAGCCGTCTTCCGACGTCAACCTGATGATGATGTTAACTGTGCCGCACAGGACAACACCATCATTGCCACCGCCATCCCTCGCATCACCGACCAGTTCCAGGCCATCCAGGACGTCGGCTGGTACGGCTCGGCCTACCTCCTCACCACCTGCGCCGTCCAGCTCATCTTTGGCAAGCTCTACACCTTCTACTCGGTCAAGTGGGTGTATCTCGCCGCCATCTTCCTCTTCGAGCTGGGCTCCCTCGTCTGCGGCGCCACGCCCAACTCCGTCGGCCTCATTCTCGGCCGCGCCATCGCCGGACTCGGCGCCGCCGGCGTCTTCTCCGGCGCCCTGCTCATCATCAACCGGGCCGTGCCGCTGCGCCAGCGCCCCATGTACATGGGCGTCATCGGCTCCATGTACGGCATCGCCTCTGTTGCCGGTCCGCTCATGGGCGGCGCCTTTACCGACCACCTCACGTGGCGGTGGTGCTTCTACATCAACCTGCCCTTTGGCGGCGTCACCGTCGCCTTCATCATGGCCTTTCTGCGCCTCCCCAAGCCCCGCGTCGCCAAGAACAAGCTGAGTCTCCGGGAGCAGCTCAAGTCCTTTGACCTGCTCGGATCCTTCCTCTTCATCCCCGGCATCGTGTCCCTGCTGCTTGCCCTGCAGTGGGGCGGCACCAGGTACCCCTGGAGGGACGGCCGCATCATCTCCCTGTTTGTCGTCTTCGCCGTCCTCATCACGGCCTTCCTGGCCGTGCAGGTGTGGCTGCAGGAGAGGGCCACCGTGCCCCCGCGCCTCTTCACGAACCGCACCGTCTGGTCCTGCGCCGTGTTTGGCGCCTGCCTGGGCGCCTCCTTCTTCGTCCTCGTGTACTACCTGCCGCTCTGGTTCCAGGCCGTCCAGGGAACGTCGGCCATCCAGTCCGGCATCAAGAACCTGCCCATGATCCTGTCCCTCGTCATCTTCTCCCTCGTCTCGGGCGGCCTCGTCACGACCCTCGGCCACTACGCCCCCTTCATGATTGCGTCGACGGTCCTCATGTCCGTCGGCGCCGGCCTCCTCTCCACCTTTGACGTCGACACCGGCCCCGCCCGCTGGATCGGCTACCAGGTCATCTTCGGCATCGGCGTCGGGCTCGGCATGCAGCAGACCATGGTGGCCGTCCAGGCCTCCCTCGACGGCGCCGACGTCGCCATCGGCACCGCCATCATCATCTTCTCCCAGACCCTCGGCGGCGCCCTCTTCATCTGCGTCGCCCAAAACGTCTTCCAGAACAAGCTCGTGTCCAACGTGGCCGGCGCCCATGTCCAGGGCCTCGACCCGGCCCGCGTCGTCTCCGTCGGCGCCACCCAGATCCAGTCCATGATCCCCAAGGAGCTCCTGCCCGTCGTGCTCGAGGCCTACAACGGCGCCGTCACCAACACCTTTTACGTGTCCGCCGCCATGGCCGCCTTGTCCCTTGTCGGAGCTGCCTGTGTGCCGTGGAACTCGGTCAAGGCCAAGAAGATTGACATGGCGGCCGCCTGAGCACCCCCGAGTTGGCTCGTGTACGATAGGATGAGATGTAGACTAGACGTGTCTTTGGCGTTTGCGGCCTTGCCCTGCTCTTTGCTACGCCCGCTCCGTGTCGTTGGCAGCGGCAGCGGCTGTCTGCTACATTCGGGTCGGAGCGGACGGCACGTGGGAAATACAGTAAACGCAATGTAGAGAATAGATGGCACATGCCGCTCTCCAGCAGAGCATTGACACCAGCCCGGTTCCTTGATCATCAACTACCCAAGTACATGGTTTATACAGTCCACTCAGCAGCCAGTTGTGCTCGCTCGCTCGCTCGCTCGCCCAACCGGCGTCAAGAGTAATCTCGGTATGCCGGCGGGATGTCAGGCCAGGCGTCCACGCCGTCGAGTATCACCAGCATCATGCCCCCCGACCTGTGGTTTTCAATGTGACAGTGTAGCAGCCACGCCCCGGGGTCGGTGACGTGGTACCGCACGGCAATCCAGCTCTCGCTGTCCCGGGCCGGCATCGAGACGAACGTGTCCCGCCGCGGCGGGTTCTCGAGGTTGAAGCGGTCCGGCATCTCCCTTCGCGCGTCTTCCACCGACTTCCATCTGAAAGGGCCTGTTCCCGAACCAATGCGGTACATCTTGACGCCGTGCTTGTGGATGGGGTGCGGCGGCTGCGGGAACTCGGAGGCGAGCAGGATGAGATCCACCCACGTGTTGTTTCTCGTCACGACGGTGGCGTTTTTGAACCTCGTCGCGTTCGGGCTGAGCAGGAGCGGCGGGTCAGTGTCGCTCAGCACCGCCGGGTCGAGGCCCGTGGTGTTCAAGGCCCAGCGGTACGAGGATCCGTCCAGCCTCATGTTGAGGACGTACAGCGCGTCCGCCGTCCGGGCGATGGGATCGGCGGGGAACGGACGGGCCGTCGCCTGGTCGAACAAGGCGACGTCGGGCGAGGACGGGTTGCCGACCAGGTCGATGTACTGCCGCGGCTCGGGCGGGTTCACGACGAGGCCTGGCACGCGAAGGATGGCGTTTCCGACGATGATCTGCGGCGCGGAACTGGCGTGGAAGCGGATCTGGAAGTCGCCCGGCCTCGTGGGCCTGACCAGGACCGAGTATCGCTCGCCGTTTGACAGGGCGAGCGCCTGGACCCTTTGCGGTTCAATGTACGAGCCGTCCACGGCGTATATCCACATGTCGTGGTCGTCGATGGCGACGACGCCGCTGACATAGTTGACCGCGCCCACCACGTCCAGGGCGACCCACGAGTCGGCGCCGTGCCCCGGCGCTCTGACGACTTCGGTGAGGCCTCTCGTCTCCCTGCAGCCGTGGTAGACGCCCGGCGGGATCGCGCTGGCGTTGTATGCCGAGACGTTGCCGCCAAACGCAGCCAGGACAATGGCGGGCAGGCAGCTGGAGACGTGTGAGCGAAGCGAGCGAGTGCATGGTGCGAGCCGGGCCACGACTTATTACGGTCCATGTGTCTTCTTACCCTTTGTCCGTCAGGGTTTGGCCCGGCACCAGGGCCAAGTCGGCCTTCTGCACGGGGCTCAAGTGTGCCGTCATTTCGGCCACCGGCAGACATCGCACTCTGCCTTTTCCGTTGAAGAGAATCGAGTCGTAGCAGCTGATTTCGACCCCCGCCCTCGGCGTCATGACCGACTTCTCCTCCGAGGTGATGTGCATGTAGTCGCTCACCATCAGGGCGTGCGCCGCCCTCTCGGCCTTTTCCATGCGTCGCACAGCCCGCGGATCGTCGGATATCATCTGGAATGGCTTTTGCGTCCCCGGCCGCGGGTGTATCAGGACACGTCCGTACAGCCCGTCCTCGATTTGCCCCCGGGCATGAGAATGATACCAGTGACTGCCGTATTGCGTGGCTTGGAAGGCATACGTGAAGCTGGAGCCGGGAGCAACGGGACGCTGTGATACTCCCGGCACACCGTCAGACCACGGCGTCTTTTTCATCTCGATGCCTTTTTTTTTTTTTTTCAAGAAAACAGCATCAGTACCGTTGCAGTGCTCACATGAGCTCATCGGGACGGGACACACCGTGAAAATGAACCGTGGTGTTGAACGGCGACTGATTCCACACATTGACGACAACCCAATCGTCTTGATCGACTTCGATTGCAGGCCCTGGCGTCTTGCCATTGACCAGGAGCATGTGTCTTGACACGCCATCGGGGGCATGCTCTTGCCAGGTCACCGTCAAGTCGAAAACCTTGGTTCCCTTCAGCTCGCGTAGGTCGGGCAGCGCCCAAACAGCCAAGGGGAAAATAAACGATGCGACCCAACGCCCAAACATCACGGGGTCATCTCTGAAGCTCGTGGAGCTCGGGAACGACCTCTGCGGACGAGACTCGTGAATCATAGCTTGACATCATGAAGGGATATTCGACTGCTGACTTTTCAACGTATTTGTAATGTAGAAATGTACGGAGTACCTGGCAGTGTATTACGGGGTACAAAGTGTCCAAGCGTTGCATTGCAACAAAAGACCGGTCGTCGAGATACAAGACCAAGGGGTTCTCTCTTGTTCAGCCGCAGGATTCAAGACCAGCCTCGTGGACAGCCCATGCAATCTCAAGTATCACACCACGACAAGTATAATTTCTCTCGTCACAGTGTGCAATTTACGAAATTGCCGTGAAAAACGGTCACCTGCTGATTTGTGCGTGGTTCGCCAGCCGCATCGAATCTCATTCTTGGACAGTCGTGACGCCTGGTACCGAAACATAGACAGACGGCACTCGAAAGCAGAATGTTTCCCGTCCCATCACTTACAGGGGCCAGGCCCTGACGGGTTCAAATCCCCCATCCGTGTCTTTGTGCCGGACCTGCTGGATGTCAAGCACATTGTCGTGCAACCGCGCAGTGGTGGTCCATTTGCTTTGCACGGAGCGCAAGAAGAACTGGCCTTGGACAAGCCGTGGTCAGCTCGAAAGAGCCACGCGGCTCGAACAACAGCAAATTATGGTGGCACGGCGTGTCAATGGCCTGTTTTTCCTTCTCTAGTCTGGCCTCGCCCATGTCGTACAACATGCCGTTTTTCCGCGGCAAAAAAGGGCGAGCAGCACGGCTGTGCGATGATGGTACGCATAAGGCTGCAGGTCTCTGGTGAGTGCTGGGCCAGACGCGTCCGTCTCTTCCATTCGCCTTGCTTGCCATCTATTGACAACTTCCACCGCTGGGGCTGCTGGGCGTTGCTGGACTCGTCCTTTTGCCATGGCAACTCGTGGTTCGCCGTGGTGCGGCAGACGATTCTCCTCGGCGACGTCCACAAGATCAGGCGAGGCCAATATTTGACGTAGCCGCTCCAGAGCACAGCGTACACTCGGCTGCGCCGTAAAATTCTCCGAAATGGATGGTCATACCAAGCCCCGTGTGTGTGTGCTTGTGTGCTTCGTACCACGGATTCACAGGCACGGGACAGAGGCTTATCGTGCTTTGAGGAATCTCAACACGGCGGAATTCGCTGTTCAATTCTTTTTATGCTACGTGCTCTCCGGCGTCTGCGGCCGCGTCATCGACAATGCGGGATGGGTTTCCCATGTACACTTGTCATCCTCCCGACCGCACTGGGACGGATCGCTTCGTGCTCTAGTCATCCAGGCCCGGGCAGTTTTCAGAAACAATATCCGTAATCTGGCTGTATGGCCACGGGTCGATCCATATCTCATCGAATCGTTTCTTGGGATATTTTGGGGCGCTGTCGGCACCAAGTTCCTCGGCGATGTCACTCAACGCCTTGTGCTCCCAACTGCGCAAGCCCGAGTCAGCCGCTTGAGACGTACCCTGATGATACTCCGTACCAAGTTCAGCTTCGGGTCTTTTTAGGCCTACCAGATCAAGATGTTTCCGGGGCCCTTGTACTTTTGGACAGCTTTCCTGACGCACTTGCTGTCATCGCGGTCGCACGAGACGTCAACAGTGAGGCCAAGGCGCTGCGTGAGTGGCGAGACGGTGTCGAAGGGGCGTTTCCTTGAGCCGTCTGCTCCGGACTCGGCAGATTGAGCGTGTTCACTCGTCAGCATGGCCACGCGCTGCCTGGCATCGGACCCGATGGTTCAACCGCTGTGCGACGGTTGGATGCGTACCTGGCTTGTAGGCCTGTGCCAAGATATAGCCAACATGGTAGTTGGATTCGGGGCCGAAAACCTGTGTCAAGCATTGTGCGCGCTGCTTGCCTTGGGCGCTCAGTCCTGGCTGGCCATCGTCTGCTGGCTTCTCGCCGTGGCGGATCAGAAACACCATGGGCTCCGCGGCGGCGATGCCAGTGACCAGAGAGAGGATATAGGCAGCCTTCATCGTGACTCGTGATACTGACACTGACACTGACACTGTACTTTGCTTCCCCAGGAGCCAACAAGTATGACCTGTGCCCTTGGTGCGAGTGCACTCCACCACAACAGGAACTCGTGACAACTTATACGCAATTCCAGAGGTTGGCATTGACTACACCTCGTGAGCCTCGCACGCGACTGATCGGAAGGCGAACCTTTCGGTCAGATGTCCATTCGACCGTCCGCCCTAGCCGTCCTAGCCGTCCGTCGGGTCAGCTCGATGCATTCGCCACGCCACGACTGGCAAAAGTCAATGGACACTTGGGTCTCATTGGTGACTCGAATTCTCGGTGGAAGCCAGGGTGGTCATTAGTTGGTGGGTAGCCGACTTGGGGCATGTTTGTTGACCGAGCTGATGATGCAACCTCGGACGACGGCCAGACGCATGTGCCTGCTGCTGCTGAATTGTGCTGGATGAGAGTGTAGAGTGTAGATCACCCGACCATTGCTCAGCGACGCAGTTGATCTGACCGGACCATTCATTGGTGGTGGATCTGTTGGGGGAGAAATAATTTGAAACGGTACCGATTAGGGTTAGGGTTCTCCAAGATACAGACTAACTGAATTTGGCAAGAGGATCCTCCTCGCCTCACTACCCAGCAGTTTGGCACCGCCAACTCTGACAAGCCACCACCCCAGGACCCGCGGAATACGCCGTGATCGAGCTAGCAAGGCATCATCACCATCAAGGCCGTCAGCCCTGTCCCCCCTTCCCTCTGTCGTCCTGGTCGGCACCGCCATCACCATGGCCGTCATCGTCGTCGAGCGCGCTCGCCATCTGGTCCCGAATAGTGTCCCAGCTTGTCAGGCGTATCCTCAGCTGACGCCCCAACCTCACGGCACCGACGGCAGGATCCCACGCCGCTCCAGACGGCAATTCTCGGCCCCACGGCACGCTGACGTGCCCGGGGAGGCTTGTTGGCCGGCAGGCATTCAGGGATGCTCCGTACGGCTCTCGCCCGACGCTCACGCCTCCGCAGCATCGCGTCTGCGGCAGCACAAAGTTGATGGTCTGCAGATCGGGCAGGCACCATGTCAGCGCGCGTAGGACGTGCTTCCACCTCTCCCGCATGCTCTGCGCCGACTGGAAGGCCGGGATGTCGGAGAACCACGCTCGCCACTCGACCCCGACGTGCTTCACCCGCTCCAGGCCGTCCACGTCCACCCCCCTCCCCGCCTTGGCTGCTTGCGAATCGTCGCTGGTTGCGGTCCATGTAGAGCATGTCCCGGTCGGGGTTGAACCAGACGTCCGGGCATCGTGGGAGGAAGAAGCCCCGGCGGAGCGCGGCAGCTCGGGACTCTCTGCACACCCGCGTAGCGACGGGATGCCGATGCTTGGTGTAAAATACGAAGCGCTTGGGCGACGGCAGGCCTTGTTCTGGGTGCGTGCTGAGTGCAACGCACTCCCTGACATGGAACAGGCGGCGAGGCGGCAGAGTCGCCTCCCAGACCAGGCAACGGATCTCCGGCGGCAGGTCGTTGAACCGGGCAAACGTGTTCAATTCAAAGGCTCACATGCCGTCGGGCCTTGTTCTTCTTCGCAACCGGCCGCCATTGCTGCCTGGGGTAGTGTTGCAGAGTGTCAGTGGGTGCGTGAGCGTCGTGCAACTCGCGTTGCATCAACCGCCGGCTTGTGGGATCACCTCGCCACGGCTCGGCTTTGTTCAGTTTCTTGATGTTTGAAACGGAGGATTTGCGCGATTCCAAACTGTTTCGCATTCATTTGGGATTCGATTCGTCACGATTTCAATGGCGGGCTGTGGAAGCAGCCGCGTCTTCCGCCGTCAGCTCCAGGCACCCAATTCTGGAACTTCAAGCGTGCCACAACGCAGACGACTGTGAGACCGGCGTGGGCTATTTCTCATTGGCCCTTTTCCCTTCCATTCCGTCGCTTCTGTTCTTTGTGTTTCCAGCATCGCCGCCCCAGCTCTCCAGGTAAGCAGTCTTGGCCCGACTCGAATCCATCAGCGTCACTCGACTCTACTCGACGTGCTCGCCATCCTGATCCCACAGCAAGCTGGCTTGGGGACACTGAGCCCAACTAACGCATCCGCCCATGAAAATGCCGACAGCTGTTGGTATGGCGCTGCTGAGAATGCAGTGCCTCAAGGTGGATAGTGTATAGGTTAGCATATGAGTAGCCTGCGAAAGAACAAGTCGAGCGAGTGCATTCGTTGGAGCTCCAACCCCAGCAAAACGTCCTCATGGCCCCTCGGGCTCAGCATCCCGCGGCAGCTTTTGCAAGATGGCCAAGATGGACTGCGTCTTTCCCCAAGACATGCTCGAGTCGTAATGAGATTTAGCTCCGTGGATGCGTCGCCCACCGTCTCGCCAGGAAACAAGAGGAAACTACGGCTTCTCCCGAATCCTGCCTGGCGCCGTCACTGCTAGTCCCTTGATCTCGGTGCAGAGAGGCTAGAAAGACCAGTCTCCAAGACTGACCGGGGAAATGGCCGCATTCCTCTCCAGCGCTCAGAGAAGCAGCCTCCGGAATGGCCCTGCATGAATCACGCCCAAAGAGCTCGCTGTGCCTCGCCCCAAAGGCTGGGTCGGCAGATTCTACGCGTACACAAAAAAGATTCAGACGAATATCACAGCTCCCAGGCATCTCGGCAGATCTTGCGTTGAAGAGTAAACTGTGCGGAGTACCGTGCTCAGCTACCTCGTAGTCGTCCAGTCGAGCCACTACCAGAATCTTGTCACCAACAACAACTGAGAACACATCGTCTCTTCTTCCTGGTCCAGCCCAGCCACCGCCACGGCCACGGAGCGCCGCGCCGCCAGCGCCCGAGTATTCCACACCCTTAGAGCGCGCCGCGACAACGCCATTGTCCAACACGAGCCCCTAGCACCAGACTCGTCCACGCCACTCGTAGCAAACGTTAGTCGCGCTTTGCCTGGACAGGACAGGACAGGACCCTTGTCTGGTGTGGTCTTGATATCAGTGTCGCCGTTGATTGTTGACGGGAGGGTGTAGTCGGCTACGGCTGCCTCTTTGGTCGCAGAGTTTCTTCCAGACTTGGCTTCGACTAGACACTCCCGAGTTGGACATCATTCTCAAATACGAGGTGCAAACCTTCGACGACACACTTCGCGTGGGGGGCCCCCGAGTCTCGACGGCTCATGGCTCATGGCTCATGGATACTCGTGCAAAGGGGCGGCCTCGCGCACAGATGAATCGTGCACTCAGTACTCCCCATGTTCACCACCACGCGACGCCGTCTTCGGGCCGGTACCCGACAGAGCTCTACTCTACTAGAGACCAGAGAGTCGAGACACGGGTGTCAGTCTGCGCCCGGGTGAGGCTGATGTCTCGAGACCCGTGGCTCCATTCCATCCGCTGTGCCTCGTGTCCAATCTCCAATCCCGACTCAAAGCCAAAGCCAAAGCCAGAGCTAACCCCCGCTCCCTTATTTTTAGGCCCGGCAGCGGCAGCCGGTACGAGCAAGTTCGCCATCACAGCCTCAGTGTCAACGCCATAGTCGCTTTCAACGGGCTAGACCGGCAGCGAGCAGCGGCGGCTCCTCCAACAGCTCTTTTGGAAAAGCGACGACCCTACGGCAGTGCCCCCAAACCTGGTAGGGGCATGCAAAGGCTTCCGGCACGTGTGCGAGCGATGCTCAGCTCATGTGTTCAAGGTCAAGAGACGCTGGTGTCCAATGCAAAATATTCTCACGGCATCTAAATCCAACTCTATGCTCGCATAATACATATCCGACCCATGCGCCTACGGGGTATTGGTGTTCTGCTTTAAAGCCGACGAAACAGACAAATGCACGCAACCACAACTCCTCGGGATCATCGCCACAGATGGTGCTAGTAGTCCTCGCCATCGCCGCGTGTCCAGTTGTCTGGCTTGGGCCTGGCCGTGGATGGCTGAGCCCACGGGCCCTCGATGCACACGCGTGCGTCTCCGTCGCCGCCCTCGTCGCCATCGGCGGTGAACTTGAAGCCAAACGTCCTCTCCATGTGGTCGCGGGCGTTTTTGCACATGTGCCGGCTGCCCCGATGGGTCCTGCATGCGGTGTGTTCCAAGACCCGCCACACGTCCGGTTCCGGGTCAATGTTGGCCTCGAACAGCTCGGCGACGGCGTAGAGGCGTCGGCCCTCGCGCAGGTGCTTGTTGATTCTCGAATTTTCGTCAATCATGTGGAAGGGGTGGTCGCCCTGCCGCTCCGACTTGGTGCAGTCCTCGCTGCAGAGCACCTCTCTCATGCTCATCTTGATCATGTTGATGTGCATAAAGAGCGGCGTGTGCTCGGCCCTGTTGGTGGGATCTCCCTGCAACATGCCGATGCCGTCAGTGGTGCCCTGGAGAAAAATGGTGACGATGCTGTGAGGGACCTGGTAGTACGGCTGCTGGGCGGCTTTGCAGGCCACGACAAAGGCGTCCTTGTCGCCCCATCCCGCCCAGCCGTTGTTGAAGACGGTATACCAGAAGTCGGGCCCGAAGTAGTTGTAGTAGGCGGCAAGCACAAGGCTCTGGGACGAGGTCAGCAAGCGACACCGGACACGGGGGACGCGCCGCTTCTGTCGGCGTCGGGTGGGCGTCGAGAGACGGCACGTACCTTCCAATGCGTCTTCTTGTTCCAGTAGATTTGCCCTGATTCGATGCTCATCTCTCGAACCAGCATGTCCGACTTCCTGGTGTCGTTGATGCCGACGAGATACGGCAGCCACGGAGAGCCCGTGTGTGTCCAGTAGTCGGGCCACAGTATCACGCCGTTGCTCTGGAAGACGGCAGACTCGAAGACAGAGTCGGGATTCTTGACTGGCATCGAGTCGGCGTCTATGAAGAGAATCTCCTCAAACGTCGAGTAGAGCATGGTAAAGACCTTCCACTGGTACGGGCTCGGCAAGTCATCCAGGCTCATGTATTCCGTGAGCCTTCTGCACGCGACGCCCTCGGGCTCGAGCTCGCGACACCACTCGTCGTCGCCCCCATCGTCGAACCACAGCTCGACCGGCAGCCGGCTTCCCGACTCCCTGAGCATGCCAAGGGTTATGGCCGCAAACTCGGAATACCTTCCTCCGGCCAGGATGACAACTCCGCGGCCGCCAAAGCGCTGCTGGGGATATGGTGGCAGTTTGCCCACAAGCTCCTCGTGCCTTGCCCTGGTAAGGTCTGCTTCTTCATCAGTCAGATCAAAGAAGGAGCCGAGTTCGCTCTCCCCGGGCTTCTTCTCGGGGGCGGGCTTGTCAATATGCGCGGGTTCCGGCTTGTGCTGGTCGAACAATGGCCGCAGTGTGTCCCACAGACCGGCGAGAAACTTGTCATCTTGGGCTGCAGGCACTTTGATGGAGGCTGGCTTCTTTCGAGGCGGGAAACATCGTACGTCGTGGCGAGCGCGGGCGTGCCTTGGATTTGGAACCAGCGTACCCCCGTTCCTGTAATTGAAAATGGCAAACAGAACAATCAGGTTGAGAGCAAAGGCCAGGGTCAACCGGAGACCTAATAGAAAGAAACATGTGAGGTTGAAGGTTCTGCGGGAGGCCGTAAGAGTCTCTCACCTCTTGCCGATTTCCGAATCATTCTCTTGGGCTTTGGCTTCGCAAGGCTGCTCTGCCGTGGGTTGGAGCTGTTGACCTTGGCCTGCAGATGCAGTCTTGACCGCAACGCCGAGGACTACCAAGACGCATTTGCAGCAGGCCGCACAAGCTCGTGTCTGGAGACGCCACAAGTGCGGCGCTACGGTTGAATATCCAGAAGTAAGAAAGCAAACAGGCCGAAAACAACAATGAAAAATAGAAAAAAAGGAAAAAAAAGGTGGTTGAAAACCTCCGCCCATCCCGAACAAAGGGGGTGAATAAAACCCCCAAGAAAAAAGACGAATAAAAAAGGTCCGGAAACAAATACAAAAAGGCACGTACATGGCCGAACGCAGGCGGCGTAGATGTGGATGTGGATGTAGATTGACAGACGGGCACTTTAGCCGTTTGAAAACGTGGCGAGTCAAGCGGTCATGCCATGCCCCGCTATCTAAGCGCGCGAGTCTGCACTGCCCACGAGACACGCGCCTGGCCTGGCGCACTAGCAGGCATGCCGGAGTGCCGGAGCGGGCTTATAAGCAGGGGCTTGTAGGCAGGGGGGCGTCTGGACCAACACGACCAACACGAGTCTGCGTACCTACTCAAGTAGGCAGGCGATGTGAGTGGGAGCCAATAGCATAGTAGTGCTACGTACTTACGTAAGTACCTTGCATTAGGCCTTGAATCATCTTCACTGGCTCGAGCAAAACATTTCTAGACGCTGCATTGCAGCACACACTGAAAAAAAGTCGACAAGCCCACAGGCGCCCTGCTGCACGCCGAATGGTTACTTGATACTGCAGGCCCCGAGGGGAAATCAAAGAATCCTTCGCGCCCAATAAATGTGTCATTGCAATGCAACCAAGTCAGTCCCCAAGCCCCCTTCCCACGGCCCTCGTCCATGGAGCGTCACACTTGGATCCGTTTCAGGACAATTAGCTCCTTTGGAGTCAGGACAAAGGAAATGCCAGACCACGACACGTAGTTACCTCCTTAGGTGCCTGTCAACTGTCTGTTGTGACTCCAGCAGCCTCATCCCATCATCCAAGACACCCGGCGGGCTCCTTCGCAATGTGCAGGCGTTGAAAGTACTCGACTGTGCCGTCGGCCGTTGCCAGCGACGGGCTCGGAAGACGGTTGTAGCGTCCTCGTCAATATATATCCAGGCGCCGCCTGTCCAGGACGTTGGGCACGTTGCATTCAAATTCAAACGAATGGCGACTCGCTTGCCGCCAAGGAGCTCTTCCCTTGTCCATCGGGCTCATCCTTCGGAAAGCCTTGGTATGGGGAGACGGCGTGGCCACTTCTCACCTTCAAGACGACTGGTACATGTTCCACCACGTCGTCCGCTGGCCCTTGAGAGAAAAGTAAGCCAGGAGGTGTTTGCAAGGGAGCTTGTATAGGCGGAGCAAGGGAATTGGCCATACACAACTTTAACGCCCTTGGTCGTCGGGACTTGCCGTGCAGCGGACTGCGGATTTCCTCTCCGTCACCAGGACAAGTGGTCCAGGAAGAACAGGGGAGCTCAGGGTACAGGGATAGAATGTCTGAAAATCTACCCTTTGTCCTGGCGTGCCGCGAGCCAGAGCGGGCAAAAAGAGACGCAGGAGCCAACAGGCTTTGGCCGTCACGCACCGCAAGTCCATCATTGTCACCCTCGACGCCCCCGTCGCCGACGGGATCCCCTTGGGAGTGCCGGAAGACGGACATTGCGGTAACAGGACAAGGCCAGTAAGAGGGACGAATCGTCCGAAGGTGTCTCGGACATATGGCGCGACTGACGGTGTATATTGAAAGTCCAATTCCCGACCCCTGCTGAAAGCACTGAAAACAATGACTGCATACACTCTGCAGCCCTCGCCTGGTCAAAGTGCAGTCGCAAAAGCCTGCCGCCGCCCGTCCGGGGCGCTCTCGGTTCATCGTCTCTGATGCTGCGCAGTTGGGCTCACTCGAGCCCGTCTTCCAGGTCACCAGCTCGTCTTTTTTGCTAAATTTGAATCACGGCTCGCACGCGTCCCTGTTCACTCAGACCCCTGACGGCCAGCGCCTCATCAGGGACAGCAAGGCTTGAGTGACAACGACGCTCGCTCTCTTGGGCTCAAAGGCCCCGGGAAGCAGTGTGCTCTGGTGGCTCTCACCTCGCTCTCGCTGTTGTGTCTTGTCGTCTGGAGCATGGCTTTGGAGCGTCTCAGCGTCACCAACTACGACTGTTGCAGGCAGATTTCTGCCTGGTGCAAGTTGCATGATGCCCTTACCCTCCCCAGAACTGGACGAGGCGTGGAATCGCATCTCCATCGCAGGCACGGGGGGGTTGAGAAACTCGAGGGACGACCTGTCGCGTCTCAACAAGACAGCCGACGCGGACATCACGGCCGGTTTCGGCGACGGCACGGACAATGTACAGGTTTTGCTGCAAGTCTTCCATCAGCTTCGCTGCCTGGTGAGTCTGTCATCAGGCCTTTCCCATCATCACCATCACCACCAAAGCTCAATACTTACGAGCGCCATACTTCAGAATCAGATCCACAAGCACACCTGGCCCGATTACTACACGTTCAAGGCGCCACCCAACGGAGACCCTGCTGCTGATTTCAGCACTTTGCACACTTGCCAGAACTTTTCCAAGATTCAAAAGTATGTCGAGGACCACGCGGAGCTCTGGGGCGTCTGGGCCTTGCAACAGTAGTCGGATGATTGCACTTGCGGCCACAGACGCCGCTTCTCCCTCTGCATTCGGAAACGCAAGAAGACGATAATAACAGCGTTACGCCGTTAGAAACAGCAGCTCTGGCGGGCTCCGTAGCAACAACCATCGACAAGCAGGTAGCAGTTGGCATAGCATGGCCGAGATGGCCCAATACAAGCACGCTGTCCACCAACAACTTGTGCAGTCGTCACGTCTCTGTCGTACGCGCCTTGGCATAGCCACCATGCTTGTCCATCACAGGCGCTGCTGTGTGCGTCTCGTGCTCTGTAGCTCGGGCCTGCAGACAACCGCACAATTCGTTTCGTTCCGTCCAACCCGTGGCCCTTGCGTTGCTTCCGACTCAGGCCGCAGGACCACGGAAGTGTCGATGCCGTTGAGCACGGATGCCATACCCAATGCGGCTCTCCTTGTCGTCAAACACGTCCATCAGCTGCCTGACGGCGGCCCATAGGCCGACCGCATTCATGAAGAGGGCCTGGCAAGGGCAATAAGCAAGGCGTTCACCACGGCGAGCGGGACGTTGTTCCCGTCAAACTTTTCCCGCCAGTTGCGGTGGTACCAAGAGACGCCGCCGATGCCAAAGGTGAGCCAGGCAATAAAGGCAGCCGAGGCGACGGACAAGACGGAGTCCAAGACGGTAACGGCGTCGGCAACGGTGAACGAGACGGCCCAGAGGAGTGTTGCGCAGGCGAGCCACGCGCCCCAGGACTTGAGCGAGGCATCAGCAAGCCGGTGCGTCGAGGTCATGGCCCGCACGGCCACGACGTGGAGATGCTTGATGGCGGCGTGGCTAAAGACCACCCCGTGGACAGAGTGACCGGCAGGGGGGCGCGGATCCCAGAGCCGGCGAGGCCGTGTACCGGCCCGACAGGCAGGAGATGACGACTTGACGTAGCGAGGGACAGCGCGACGGCCAAGACCGGCAGCGCCGTGAGTCCCGGCACCAAGTCTCTGCCGGGCCTCTTCACCTCGGCCGTGTACGAGACGAGGGCGACGTTGCCGGCGTACGCGCAGCACACCTCGAGGACGGCGTTGACCGCGCCGGAAAAGGACGCCACCACGACACCACGGCGAAGCCTACAACGGCAACGACGGACGGCACGATGGCCAAGACGTCGAGGATCCTGGGCAGGGACAGAATGCCCCGGCCGACTTGGTTGGACGCGAGAATCAGAACAGTGTCGCAGCGGCCCGTGGTTCTGTAGTTTTTGCCGCCTCGGCTGAGAATGTTGGCATCTTGCTCGCTGTCGTCGGCCAGCGCGGCTTCCGCTTCGGCTTCGGCTTCCGCTTTGCGCCATCGCCTTTCTCTAGACACAACATTAAAAGAGCGGGAAGAGTAGAATGTGGCGCCGTCTGGCTAGTGATTCCTCGGCCTCAAAGCCTCGCTCTTCCTCCCCATGCCAAGCTTCTCTCGTGCCTGGTCCCGGTGCTAGGAGTCGTCACTATTGGTAGTACAGAGCTTATAAGCTACATGCTGTGTCTGGCCCGGCAGTGGAACTGAATTGGCACCAAAACCTTCTTGGCTCTCGACCAGCAGCTTTACTTGTGCCACGTGTTTTATTAGTTTCCTTGTTCCTTGACAAGCAGCTAGCCCATGTTCCAAGTTTGGTTAGTAGTATCAGACAGGCACATTGGCCCAAGGGACCAAGGGCTCATGGCAAAGCTAGACAAGTGTTAGTGTTAGTTTAGGGCAAGCAAACACAAAGTCAACTGAGCTGTTTAATTCCAAGTAGAAATGAGTGCAGGGCTTATAAAAGGCCAGTCAATCCACACATATTCAGCAATCCCTTTCCCATTTTATAATTTGTCTTCCTCACCTCCTTTCCTCCGCTCAACTCTTTTTTCGCTTCCTTGCGACTTGGACCAGTATGGAAAATGATGACGAAATGCCTTTTGTTTTGTATTGCCTTCTGGCCCCCTTCAACGCCATCGCCGCGCCTCTGCACCTGGCCGAGACTCACATCTTCCGCATGCTCGGCCTCCGCACACAGTCGAGTTTTCGCATGTTTCCTCCGGCTGATATTACCCCTGGCAGACCCGAATACATACCCTCCTCACGTTTCTTTGCCGTAGTCCTCATTATGCTCTTACATTCCGAAGTCTCTTGGGATCGATATTTAAACGGCAAAGCAGCACTTGGAAGGATACTTCGTCCTCTAACCAGCCGGGCCGGCCCATTCGTGGAATACTTGGTCATGTTCGCACGCATATGGCTGACTGTTGCTTGGGTGAATTCGGCATTTGATCAGTTTTATACGGGACCAGCCACGCCCGCTAACATTCGGATATTTTCTTTGAAGGCTGGGTTGACGATGTTCCTGCTGTGATGCCATCAGAGTACCCAGAATACTGACGCGATGCCTACCTTCAACTTCCATTGGTGACAGTGTTTCAAAAGCCTGTTGAAGCCTCAGTTCGTGCTCCTTCTAGTTGTGCCACGGTGTCATGGCAGAATGAGGCCTGGGGGAGAGCCGGAATATGTGACGGTCAAAGTCAGGGTACGATCTCTGTGCCAAATATCAATTTTCTTTTTCTCCTTCATGTCAATATTATCAGAGTGCACCTGGTAGACAGACGACTAAATCATTTCGAAGTCCGTTTTGTCGAGTTGGGCTACATCGCAATGATGTGGATCGCAGTTCCTAAAATCCTACTTGTCATCGAGGACGCAGTCAGTTGCGCGAATTTCTGCTCCTTTATTCATTGAAAACTCACATGGAACTAAGAAACGGGACGAAAAATGCTCTTCGTCCGGGCAAAAGAACGCAACTGGCAGACAGAGCACCTCAAACGCGATGTTGATAGTTGTTTGAATGAAACAGTTAACCAAAGCACGACATGAACCAAGTCAGAAGAAAATCAACTCACCTTCATTAGTCATAGACCATCCCCCATGAGATCCTTGTCGGATGGCCGGAGAACACTGTCCGGCCGTCGCGGACAGGTTACTTATCGGAACAAGTCCTCACTTGGCAAGGCTACAGTAGCATAGGAATGATAAAAAAGAAAAAGAAGAAAGAAGAAAAAAGAAAAAAGACTTCTTGAGCTGTGAAGCAAGGCTGAAGTCGCCCAGGTATGTAAAAAAACTTCTTGAGCTGTGAAGCAAGGCTGAAGTTGCCTAGGTATGTAAAAAAAAACCTTGAGCTTGAAGCAAAGCTGCCACCTGATGAAGTTCCAAAGATTCGAGAAGTTACTGTCTACAACAGGTTGCTCAACGAGCTTTTTAGAGGTTATGGGGGTTCGGTACCTTCCTTGTTGTCAATGACAATACTCCCCAGTGATCTCAAGCAGGTGGCTCATAGGGAGCTCCTTAGCGGATGCCGATGGCTACCGTCCCAGTATCATGGATGTTGCCACCCCCCGTGACGCCAGGATGGCAAAAGAGACAAAAAATGTATCAGACCAGACTACCTGTCTGCCGACTACGTCGGACATGACGTAAGTCTCGAAGAGAAATGCTAATGCGGCGGACACAGCACTATCAACGAGCCATTCTCGGAGGTTTTGCTTCCAACGAGCATCTTCCGAGGGACACACGGGAGAGATCCATCGAAGGAACGGGCCGAGAGCGTCATGTATCTTGATCCCTGCTAGGATGACGAGGACAAGGAACAGGGTGCGCAACCAAGAATTCATGGGATAAAGTAAAATATAAGAGACAACGAAATTCCTAGGCGGGTGAAGAAAGGAAAAGAGAGATCAAAAGAGCCAGCAACCTGGGGGAGAAGAGAAGATATTCGAATGAGCAATGCATCGAATTGGGAAGGTACGAAAGGCAATGTTGGGTTTGGAAGGAAGCCGCGAGCGAGGAACGGAAGGAATGGCTCTGTGTCTGTTGCCAAAATCTTGTTCTTGAGCGCCTCTTGAGCCGAATACTTCCTCTTCGACGCAGCCATGTCGGGAAAGAGACGTTCTCCGCTGTGTTCAATCTCGTCTGAATTTGAGCCAGAGCTACGCTAGATATTCGTGCACATCATGCAGGTCCTGTGCCAGCGCGCCCACGGCATGGAGACGGCGGCCTCAAATCGTGATGAAGCTGGCATTGCAGCACGTCGGCAACCACAGTCACACGCCGCCTGCCGATATCTCACAAATTGGGCGCTCGAGCTTTACACCTTGTCGGAGTTTTTTCTGTTCCTTCCACATACATTTTATATACAAAGTATCCCCCATGGGGATACCGACTGCACATTTCGAGGGCTCAGTTTGTTCGCTCGCCGCCCTTCGACTCCCTCAGCTCGTCCATCTTGGCCACTCGCTTCTTGAACTCAACGTACTGACACTTTTCGTAACTGTGTCTCTCGTCCTGTGTCTTGCCATTAGCAAACGCCGTGGGCCTAGAGCCTCGGCCCCTGCGTCTCGCATCGCCATTGATCGGTTGAGTCTCTACCTACAGAGCACTTCCACGGCGCATACCACGTCTCCTTTCGGCACTTGTTCAGAGGCATTAGGAGGTGGGCGCAGCTATCTCTGTAGGCGAGCGGGAGCCGGGCATCACGCATCTCCTCGCGGGTGGCGGCTGCGAGTGACGGTCAGCAAGTCGGCCAACGTGGAGAGTCTGCGCCTCAAGCAAGCGATTCGGCGGCGTGACATACCCCGCGTGTCTGTAGCTGCGTCGGAAGCCATCTCTGCGACTCGACTGAATCTCCAATTCGTTCGTGGTTGAGGTGCTTGTCCGAGCTGCAAGTCGTGTCGGCTGAAGTCGGGCCGGCCTGGTGTTGAAAAATTATGTGGCCGCATATTCCAGGCCACAAATTTGGCCATGGACCGTGGGCTTGTAGGCGCTTTGATTGGCCACAGACGTCTGGGGCAGCCCCGGGAGCCGTCAGAAGATGCAGAAGGTAACGTTATTGGGTGTTCGCGCACATCAATCAAACGTGGTCTCGAACTCTGGCTACTCTATTCTTTTGTGTGAAACAGTTTGACATGAGCGCTCCGGAATCAACGCTGCAACTGACATGAATCCAATGAGAAGTGAAGACCTACACCACCGACAACCACTGCCATCTTGATACACAGCCTACAGAAGTCAGAGTGTACGGGCTACAGGTCAGACGTACTCGACTCGACGACAGACGACAACTCGCAGCAACTTGACATTCAGGATTTTGACGTCATGATTGATACTGTAACCACCAGACGCAGCCTCCACTGGGGCTCACACGGCAGAGAGAACGCCGGGCCAAGGCTCACGGCGCACGGAAAAGTCACCATTGGGCGCCGACGAAGCCTCTCGCGACATCCCCGTGTCCCGGCATCGCGGCCCGTCCACTCTGCCAGTCACGCCAAGGCGTTGATGCCCGTGAACCTCGTCGCGGTCGGCGCGTAGCGAAAGCCTTCCCCAGTGCGTCTGCGGGAGATGGACACGACCAGACCCGGCAGTCGCGTGGATGCGATTGACTGAGCAATGATAAGTCAAAACGACTGCATGATGCCTGATCTTTTGGTACGGACTCGTTAGTCCACGTGTAAAGTGACTTTTGTACAGTACTTTTGAATCTGTGATGCATGAATATATTTGGTCGACAGAATCATTCAAATTACAAAACGCTTCTCCAATGTCTCCCAACTCCGGTAGTTTTTGTAGACTATGCTTCCCATCTCCAAGACGAATAAATCAAAGAAACAGGGCCGCAAAATACAGAGCTGTGGGTTTGGTGGTTGTCCTTTTTTTTTTTCAGAATCGTTTATCTGCGACGCTGGTTCGTCCATGACACGACTCCTCCATCGTCTAGCCACCGGCATCTGCTTGTTGCCCGTCGTTCTCGCCCTCCACATCAGCAAACCGCGTCATGCTAAAGTCGGGTGCTCGCTGTCGTTGGGCTCCGCGGCCGCCCTTCTTGTCCCGTCTCATTTGCGCGGTGCGCGCTTCTTCCTTGACCAACTTCTTCTCGCTGTCCTTGTCCAGCATGGTGCCCTCCAAGCTGAGATAGCTCGTCTCTCCGCTCGTCCCAGCGTCAAAGTTGCGTATTCTGAATCGGATCTTGCCCTTCACTCTGTCCCCACTGCCGTCGACCCAGAACCCGGTGCTGTGGATCTGCCGGACCACGCCGTGGTCGTCGGCTGTCATGACAGAGGCCGTCTCCTCGAACCCGTGCGCCTCGGGGGATTCGTTAGATACCCATTTCCACGCCGGCGGAAGTCGTCTAGCCTCGACGGACGCGTTGAACTTGCCGAAACAAACCACGCCGATATGCCCCTCGGTCTGTAAGTTGACGCTGCCTTCCATCCAGGCCCCCCTGCTCGGAACAAAAAGCTCAACGTCAGCCGTGATCCAGCCAAAACCAACAGCGTATTCGTTCTGCGACACCACCGTTGTCGGCGTCTCGTCATCCGTGGCGGCACCGTCGCGACCGGGCTTGGATCCCAATGTGACGTTTTTGTAGTTGAGTAAGACCCCCCGCAGGGAAGGCACGTATTTATTCTGGAGGTGCTGCAGATGCTGGTATTGGCAGCTGGTTATAGGTTGGGCCCAGCCATTGGGGTACAAGGGCTCGTACAGCGAGACAGTTTGTTCGAAGAATGGGAATTGCGGGTTGGCGGGGATATCTGGTGGCTGATAGACCTTGGAAGACTTTGATGTCGAGCCCGACGGCTTGTCAATGTCCATGGCATCGGCACCGGCATCGTCAAGCGTGGTGAGTTGTCCATTTGACTTTGGCTTGTCTGAAGTCACCGTGTCCACAACATCGTCAGCGGCATGGCCGTGCTTTTTCTTCTTCTTCCTGTCTTTCTTCTTGGATTTTGATTCGTCGTCGCTCACTTCGGCCTTGACGTCCATTTGCGCGGGTATTTCCATCCCTTCTTTGTGGTGCTTCTTCTTCTTTTTCTTCTTTTCAGTCTTGGGCTCGTGCACTGGCTCCGACTCTTCAACGGTAGCTTCAGCAGTCTTTTGTCCGTGTTTCTTCTTCTTTTCCCTTTTCTTCTTCTCCTTCTTCACATCTTGGGGGCCCGGGACATGGTCGGTTTGCACAATGGCATCGGCAGCGACGCTCTTTGATCTTTTGTGCTTCCTCTCGCCATCGCCTGGCGCAGGGTCTTCCTCACGAGCGCGCTTCTTTTCCGACTTGGACGACCTTTCCTTGTGGGTTTTCTTATCGTGTTTTGGTTTCGCCGCTTCGGGCGATGCAGCTGCCGACATTTTGATCGACGCCTCGTTGAGGCTGCTGGAGAGGGCTTGATGGGCTTGGTGGCCAGCATTTTTTGGAGTCGTTACGAGTAGAAATTTTCCAATGAGCGAGGACCTCTTATCGATTACGGCACTCAGTCCTCGCCGTGGAAGGTGGGTCACCTTGGATCGCTGGTTCGCAGCAAACTCACACCTCAAGGACACCAACAATTGCGGATTTGCAACATTGAGTCAGCAGCTCCGCACGTCGCTGCTGTGTGAGATTTGTTTTCGTTGATTTATGAGTATACAAGGAAAAAAAAAATTCCATGTCCATGGCCTTCTGTTTTTCCTGGCAACTCAGGCCACTGGCTGGCTTGCGGGAGGCCACAATCTTCTTCTTCTTCTTCTTCTTCTTCTCTGGACCTGGCATTCATCGGCCAACTTCACAGAAAAACGACGACTTGGTGAGCACATTGCCTAAGCGGTCTCCAATCTACAACCAACTTGGCCACTCGGGGATCTTCTGCAATGAAGACGGCAAATCACGAGCCGCGAATCATTACCTATAGCTTTTGCTGAAACTCTCCGAACGACATGTCTGAGCGTCGCGGTCGGCCCCCCTTAGCAGGCCAACTCGTTGGATGGTGGAGAATGCACATCGTGCTACTCCGTACGCAGTCCAATAACCCGGACCCCCTGAATTCATAGATGGAGGCGCAGGTATTTGCCCATTTTCCCCCTTCCTGCTAGTGAAGTCGCTGACGCATTGCTGATCCACAACAGAGGTTCTTAACCTGTATTCCAACCAAAGTTGGCAATGCTTAGGGCGCTTGTTCTGAGCCATATTGCATCTCTTCCGGCAATAGGAATGGTGAGATCGGCAGAAGCAACGGGAGAAGTACAGAATCCCGCACAACTTCGGAGTTCCACCCGCAAAGGAAACCGTCCACCTAGGGGAACTTATTGGGGGCGAATCATGTCTTTGCCTGGAGGCGTGCCCACTCAAAAGTAGTTGTCGGCGTCTTTTGGTGCTAAACTCAACCGCCATCAGAGCGAATCCTCCGCCTTGGGAGCAAGTAAGCCAATTGTCTTGCAGGCATGCTTGCCACCAACGAAAACAAAAGGAGAGGAAGAAATATTTTGCGGGGGGAAAGGGGGAACAACGCATCACAGTCCAAGTATAGTGCCAACATGCATGACGGCTCGTCTGCGGTTTGGCACTAGTAAGATGGAGAGGCCCAAGTCATGTGTTTGTCCTAACTTTACTGCGAGGCTTTTTCGCCATTCCGACTCCTAGCTACATTGAAACCACTTTTCTGCTCTGGAAGTGAGTCTGACGTCTTTGATTTGTTCGACGTGCTTAGGTAGGCACTAATACACTACTCTATCTTGAGGCACAAACGGCATGATACAGGCTGACCCTGTGTTTTAGCTAAATGCTTGGCAGTTCAAGGTTGGGATGGTGGGCGGCGGCTTCAGGAACACTCTAGGTAATGAAAACAAGGTGCCGGAGCGTGCCTGACCTAACGGGCTCTGTGTGGGTTTGGACGGTTTGGACGGACAACGCCATGCTCCATTGAAATGCTCCATGAGACCGCCGCTAACAGAGTCATGTTGTTTCCACGTGCACAGCCATTGCAGTCTCCAACAGTGGCGTAAGCGGCCCAGGAACGACGCATGATCCCCGACCCAGGAGACCTCCTGAGTTGAAACCTGTGGCAATAGACTCGAGTCGGGCTTGTGTGTGGAGAAGTGGAATAACGGATCAAAGGACTTCAGACAAGCAAGGGTACTCTGGTTAAAGGCGAGTACAGTGATGAAAAGTCATAGCATCCTCGCAACCTCATAGGATGGCCAAGCTGTCCTCCCATCGGCTGAGGATCCAGCAGCAAGCGACCCTGGTACTTGCTTCATTCGCCTTGGATGGGCATAATGGAAGGTCAATGCAAGCTTTGCAAGGCTTTCACATTGACAGGACAAAGGTTCTGGCTATGATTGTGACGAGCCGCAAAAGGTATAAGAAAGGCTTCGATCTCCCCCCCCGGATTTTCGAGCTTGTCACATATAGATCACCATCCACGACCGTTCTTTGACTGGCTCAAGACGTCCATTTGCTTGAATTTTTATACACTCCTTGAAGAAGCTGCAACCCTGGCGGTTGATACATATACACACTTTCACAGCCGCACATACACGATCACAGATCACAGATCCTACTCCCTCCTTTGATAACACCCCTTGTCAAAACACACAAATACAAGCACGGGTGGGAAAATGCTCTCTTCAGTCGCTGCCGTCATTGTCGCCTCGGCTGCTGCCGTCTCTGCGGGTGCCATCCCCAAGCGTAGCCAGACTGCCAGCATGACTCCCCATGACAAGTATTCTTCTTCGTGTGGTGCGCTCGGATGCAAGATCAATACCAACCGAATTGCCTACTGGCCCTCGGCCGTCAGCTGCAACGACATCTGCGTCAAGTTGACGCACAACGGCCGCAGCCTCCACCTCCTCAAGGTTGACCAGTCGGGAGGCGCCCACGATATCTCGTACGACGCCTATAGCGTGCTCGTCACTGGCAAGCCTGCCGCCGAAAGCCGCATAGTGGGAGGCCCCGTCGACATGGCGTGGGAGGTTGCCGATCCTAGTGCGTGCCGCGACCTCCTCCCTCCCAGCGGCAAGTTGCCTGTCTCTGCCGCCAACAGCATGAACTTTATCTCATCCTGCCCGGCTTCGACCTGGGTTGGCCAGAATCATGAGCTTTTCAACATCCAGGACCCTGTCTGCCACTTCGGTGTCGACCAGACTTGCACCTTGGACATGAGCAAAAGCAACCAGCCCCAGTGCCCTAGTCCGCTTGGCCTAAACACGCCTCTGACTGGTCAAGAGGTTTACAATATCGAGTATAGCACCGGCAACAAGGTTCTTGCTTAGGATGTGGAAACAAAACAAAATTATAGACAATTTCTCTACGTTGTACATATATATTTATGACTGCTGTTGTTATTTTTTTTCTCAAAAAGAAGTACACATAACGACTCTAGAAAAGGATAGACTTGAGATGATGAAACACGAAAGATTCAGACTTTGATTATCTGCATATGAATGACGTTTCGCTTTGAAGTGTTGTGACGCACTTGAAATGCCACGGAGTGTTGGTGTAGAAATTAAGTAAAACATGAAATGAAATGACATTGTCTGGGCATGTAAGTGTGTCCACTGTCGAGTCTGTTTGATGTCTCCCATTTCCAAGGATGACATAAGTCATGATACATGGTGCTGTTTCAAACTGCACGTCGAGTTCCTCGGCAGGTCAGAGCGGTCCACATTTTTGGCGGCGTGGCTCTTTTCCATGATTCGCCGAGGTTCCAGTCCCAAGACGGCCAGACGGACCAAGGACAAGTTGCAAAGCGCCGACTCTCTGAACTGACAACTACCTGGGCAATATCAGGCCGGCCTCTGTGTGCACATCGTGGGCCAATCTCGACACTGCGACGAGACGACGAGACGACGAGACACGCAGCTCCCGAGGCTTTGCGCCTGGACGACGAGCGTTGCCGACGCCCAACGCCGACGATGCCGTCCGACACGCCTCCCAGTCCCGACGCCGGCGACACCAGCCATCTGCCGTCCTTCTACTCTCCGCGCTCGACGCCCGCCGACGCAGCTGCACCCAGCAGCCACGGGAGACAGCCTCCGCAGCAAGTCGACGAGCTCTGCCTCTCGCAAGAGAGTCCGCGGTCGCAGTCGCAGTCGCAGTCGCAGTCGCAGTCGCAGTCGCAGTCGCAACCCCCTCCGCCATCCTTGCTGTCCCCCGCCTTCACCCCACCGCAGACTCCCGGATCGCAGACGCCCACGAGAGCCGGGCCACGCGGCGTCCCAGTCGACAGCTCAATTCCCGACGGCGGATGCGGCAACAAGAGGCCAAAGTTGCTCCGGACGCTGCCCACGGTGCAATGCATTGTCCGCGCGCGCATCCCCACCGTCACGGGCACAGAAATGTTCCTCCACCTGTACGCCAACGACGTCGACGACAAGGAGCATCTGGCCATCGTGTTTGGCAACCACATCCGAAGCAAGAGTCTCGATGCCCGCCGCGAGGGAGAAACCGAGATGGACAGGATGATCCGGGGCGCCTACACGGGCAGGCTGTTCCCGGGCCGGACAACCAGCGGCACCAACGCCAGCCATGAAGCGCCCGCCGCGCCGCAGCAGCAGCAAAGCGCTCAGCAACCGCCGCCGCTGGTGCGGATCCATTCCGAGTGCTATACCGGCGAGACCGCCTGGTCGGCACGCTGCGACTGCGGCGAGCAGCTCGACGAGGCCGCACGCCTCATGGGCATGCCCGGCAACACCTCTGGCGGCATCATCGTCTACCTCCGCCAAGAAGGCCGGGGCATCGGCCTGGGCGAGAAGCTGAAGGCCTACAACTTGCAGGACCTGGGGTCGGACACGGTCGAGGCCAACCTGCTGCTGAGGCACCCCGCCGATGCGAGGAGCTACGGGCTGGCCACCGCCATGCTGCTGGATCTGGGGCAGCAGCACGTACGTCTGCTGACGAACAACCCGGACAAGATTCGCGCCGTCGAGGGTCCGAACAGAGAGGTCGTCGTCAGGGAGAGGGTGGCCATGGTGCCGCTGTCCTGGAAAGGCAAGGGTGGCTTCAGCAGCCAGGAGGTGGAAGGCTATCTCAAGACCAAGGCACGTTGGAGTGAAGTGAAATGCGCTCAAGCGCTCCGTCAACCTGCCAGCCGATCATTGCTAACGATTTGCAGATTGAAAAGATGGGCCATATGCTCGACAGGGAGCGGCCCACGTAAGAGCAAGAGCAGAACAAGAACAAGACGGGGGCATCTCTTGCCAGGCGCTTCATTTTTCGCACAGTACGGAGTTTGCGGGCTGGCATGCTAGAACACTCGTAGCGAGTATGTATAACCATGTAGATTACGTGAAAAGTTCTACAGAAAAAGGATTACAAAAAAAGGGAGTAGGAAACTCTCCTGGAAATGAATTCTCTTCTCTCGGAGAGGGTCTTGTTGGACCTGGACGCATTATCCAGGCAGAGAGAGCCAGATTTCTACCCAAGTACGACGACAACATGGTGACGACCCGTCGGACCCACAATAATCTTCCACCACCCTCAAATACTGTCCCTCGGTGCCTAACATTTTGTTCACCTTCGAACCTCTGGACAAAATTACAGCTGCCACTGGCAGCCTTTTCTCGCCTCGGAAATAGGCTCTCGCGACGCTCGTGTGCAATTATGCTGCGGTAGAATATGTCGACCAAAGACATCCGATTGCGCCTCACCGTCCGGCGACACGGCGTGCCGGAAATCAAGCTCCTCTGGCCGTGTGCTTGCTCTGCGGACACGACCATTGCCAAGCTGCTCGCCCAGGTCAACGAAGTGGTGCCGCTCGAGAGCAGCGACTGGGGACTAGAGGACTATGCGGTCGAGCTTTCAGATGACAGTGGCGGAAGCTACGAGTGTCTGCATTTCCAGCGGGTCTCGCAGATTTTGAAGGACGAAGATCATGTCATGTACGGATTTTTTTTTCTTTTTTTTTTGGCCCCAGACTCATCTACCGTTTCATTCGTCTGGGACTTGGCTGACCTGACGCATGTAGAATCCGGTCCCTTTTGACAGATGATATTAGAAGACGCCGGCTCAGCGGACGCCATCAGATTTCAACAGACGGCAAGCACCTTGTCGATGGACTGGCGTTCGGGCGACCATGGCTGCGAACACCGTGCGACCGGCCGGCCTTTGAGCTGCCGCCTCGTAAAAAGGCGCGAATCGACCGGGCGCCGGAGCAATTGCTTTTGGAGGGCCCGCCTGGATGCGTTGGAGCGCACGGCGGGCGTTTACAATCCATCTGCCTCGATGATGGTGAAAATCCCGACATGTCGGGGAACGAAGACGGCGAATTCGAACCTGGTCAGGACATTGAATCTGAGAGCGAGAGCGTGTCTGGGGATAGTGAAGGCGATGCCGACGTCGACTATTCGCCCAGAGCGCTGGCCGAGGAGGTCCGGCTTCTTGGCGAGGACGAAGACCGCAGCGGCAATTGCCAGCCGGCTTTGATCGAGCCCACGTTGGAGCAACTAGGCGTACTTCGGATGGCATTCCCCCTGTTATCCTTTTCGACCATTGAGAAGGAGCTTTTTCTACAGAAGCAAGACTTGAGAAGGACATATGATGCGCTGCGACGATCGACTGCGCCGAGCCTTAGTTTCGACGACATGATGGATCGCATGGTGACGGGGCTCTTGGGGCAGCATGAGTCCTCGCCCGTGCCTCCAGCCGTGCCCTCCTTGCTTGGTCAGCCACGCCCAGCTTCAAAGCCTCTCATTGAGGAAGTAGCAAGCGAGGGCTCAGCAACGTCATCTTCAGGGTCAAGCTGCGACAGCACGTCCGACTCTGGCTCTGACGACTCTGACGAAAGACGCTCCAGCTACGCCCAAGACACGAGTAACTCTCCAGGTGACAGCTCGGACAGCGACGGTGACGAGTCATACGATGACAGTTCAAGTGATGCTGACGTGTCCGAGTCCGAGTCCGAGTCCGAACACGAGTCTAAGCCCGTGCGAGAGATTTCGAGGCCCACGACGGCGTTGGTCAAAAGTGAGGGATCTGCACCTCATCAGGGCCTCTCGAGAACACAAAAACGCAATGCTCGACGGAAGCGGGCCAAGCTGATAAGGCAGCAAGAAGAAACACCAACGCCGAGCCCGGAGGATGCAGAGCTTCTAGCCCGGAAGGAGGCCTTGTTGGGCGCCCTGTCCGAGAATACCATCCCCGTAGAGACGGCAAGTGAGCCAACCCTGGCCAACGGCGAGGTGACAACACAGACGCCAGACAAACCTCACAATGTGGCGTCGCCGACGAGTAAAGATTCATCGGGACGACGTGCTCGGGTGGACATGGGGGCGGGGAGAAGAATGCTGTTTGGGGCGTTGGGCCTCAAGACCCCCAAGTCCAAGGCAGACGAAGAGCGTATCAGGGAAGGCCTCATGAAGGATGCCAAGGGTGTGAATAAAGCCAGGATTGTCCAGGTCGTCGATGACAAGGACGTCAAGGACGTCCAGGTAGCCAGCGAGGAGGCCGCGGACGCTGACGCATGGAAGTCGAAGATGACGTATCGGGCGGTGGAATGCTGTCACCAAGGCATGGTTTTGTCGGAGCCCCCGTTCCCCTTTGTCCAGCGGTGGGATCCCCAACAACAATATGGATCTATGCGGAAGCGGAAGAGAGAAGCTCAATGCTACGGTGACGGTGCTTGTGTTTACGAAACGTCGGGCGCGACTGGGCACGACGAAGACGCAGACGCAGACGCAGACGAAGACGCAGACGCAGAGACTACCGACACCAACGGCAGCTCAAAGAAGAGACGGTCGACGACAAGTCGAGACCTGTTTGGCAACCATGTGAATGGGGAAGCGACTACCAATGGCGACGCCGGCGACAATTATGCGCCGGTTGAAAAGGATTTACCAGCCTTACCCGAAGACGTGAGCAGTCTTGCCACGCTGGAGAAGGGCAGCGCGAGGGCAGGCATGGTGATTACATGGAAGCGATGTATCATGTCCAAGGCAACGCAGTGGCAGCCCGTGATTGCGTCTGTCACGGGGGAGGTTCTCCCCGGTGGAACCGAGTCCAGACTGGATGTACGGCTGGCACTTAGGGACCGAGAGCACAACCACAAGGTCTACGACGACAAGGGTCAGAGGGTCTATGACAGGTTCGAGATGCCTGGTTTTGAAGAGGACGGGGAAGCGGCGCCGGATGATGGGCTTCGGACTATTCTCTGGGACGAGATGATTGAGCCCAAGATACTGCAGGGCACATTGCCGCCGCCGACGAATGGAAGCGAGGGATGATTCATGTAGTGCTGGGTCGGTCACGCGGCGGAAACGGCGGGTTGTTTTGGAGCGCAGTCGGTGTATGTCGGCGTGGGCGCCTACCAGATGGATAGATAGATACCCTTGACGTGTGTAGTAGGATTTGCAGGTTGTTTTCTCCACACATGTTGAAACCAGATGCGTATCTACGATTGCAGCACAGGCGACGGCCTGGCGCACAGCTCCAGAGCCTCACAGGCAGCGTTGTGCATGTAATGTAATGCATGCCGGGCGGGCAAGGGGTCACGGAAAACGTCGTGTACCGCGAGCTCCCTCCGTGTCTCGGCCACGGCAGGCGTAGGCGCGAGCAGTCTGGTCTCTGGACGCGGGCGCAGAGCGCTGGTGGTTGGCGGTTGGCGGTTGGTCATTTGTGCTCAAACAGTCTGACGGCATGTGGGGATTGGAGACTGGAGACTGGAGATTGGAGAGAGAGTGAGTGACTGGGTGGTGGCTGATGTATCTGGACCCTCGAACAGGGACACGGCCCGAGGTTGATGAGATGTGGCTTTTGCTCTGGCCGCAGCTCTGCCGAGTTAGCTTTACCAGGTTGAAGTACGGAGTAGGCAACTATTGACTTGTGGAAGACGGCGGGAGCGGGAGGCGGGAGGCGGGAGGCGGGAGGCGAGAGGCGAGATGCGAGATGCGAGATGCGAGAGGTGGGAGACGGCAACTGCATGTGCAGGCCCAAAAATGCAAGGCACGCTGGAATGAAATGAATAGATAGATGGCTGGATGGGACGGATCGAGAATGCGCGCGGTTCCAGATGCAAAGGGGGTTGCGGATGCAATGCTGTCGGCAGCAAGCACCAAGGACCACGGCGATGATGATGTGACGATCGCCAAAGGGCGGGGGATCCCCAGAGACGGGCCAAAATCGACTGGCAAAGGCACGCGCAAGGGTCCGGCATGTAACTTTAAGTAGTTATAAAGGACGAGGTGGGGAGGCGGGGAGGCGGGGAGGAGGTGCCACCAGCATAAATGGACGACATCTGGACACATCACCGCGAGCCGAGAGCTCCGTACGTACTGCGCCCGCCCTCGGCAGCGAAAGTAGTTGGTGTTGGCAACGTCCATGTGATCAGGACGCCCGTCTTAGTCATTTGTGAACCCCCAGCCAAGCCAAGCCATGATGACGCCTCAACGCCGCCTGAGTCACGACGCCCTGCCCTGTCTTGTTGTAAAAAGGCAGCATTTCTCCCACCATGATTTTCGACATGTGCATCATCTCCTTGCCCGCCTCTGAACCGTCCATTTCATCTGCCTATCCAGACCCCCTCTTGACCGTGGTTCGCAAGCCGTGCGAGGGAAACACGGCATTCAGAGAGAGGCCTCGGCCAGACACACCACACGAACACACGAGACCGATATACCGCCCCTTCTCCGAGCTCATCCGCCTCTTCAACGCGAGACTCTAACAAGAATTAAAATTTAAAAAAATTAAAAATTGCTGGCAGTGCCCTGTCCGTGGTCCCTACAATCGTCGGGGGCCCAGGCACATTGCCATGTCTCCCCGAACCCGACCAGCCCTGTTGCTCGTCGCCTTGGCAGTCCTGTCGATATCGTCGCTGCCCGCACGCGCAGAGCGAGACGCAGTCGTCCCAGACTCCCTCGAGCGGATACGCCACGGGCCCGCGCTCCCTGCCAGTGCTACGGGGTTGAAAAGCGCCCGCCACCAAGACCATCACAAAAGGGGGGACGAGCACGACGACAGTGATGACCGTCATCCACGTCCGGCGAGCAACGCAAACAATCACGAACCACATGGTCGTGACCCCCAGGGAGCTAGCCACGCTCATGCTCCTCCTGCCGGAAAGCGAGATGAGCCCCCTTCCGCGCCACCGGCCTACACCCCGATCGTGACGCCGGCGCCCGACCAGGACGCCGCTCTGGCCAGCCAGGGCTACAAACAACTCACATACTACGCATGCAACACCGTTGCCGGCAGCGAGCACTGCGGCTGGCATTTGCCCGTCGTCAAGGCCCAGGGGGTGAGGAGGGATTCGGCCACCGTGTGGCTGGTTGTCGGGTGCTTGGCCGGCGTGTTTGCCCTGGGGTTGATGTGACGGCCACGATGATTACTATGACGATGACGATGATGACAATGACGATGCTGATTCTGTATGGGCGTGGATTTTGCTGGCAAAAACCGAAAAAAAGAAAGGAGAGGGATGGAGAGGAAGGCAAGGAAAAGAGAACAAACAAAAAACGAGAAAAGAAAAAGAGAACGAGAAATGGCATAGACGCATGGCTCCTTCAGCTTGCCTGCTCGCGCATGACCTGCGGTCACGATACCCTGCTGCGGGACGGCATCGTTATTCAAATAACTTCCACTTTACCACGGTTGCAACTTGCAGCAAATTACATGTTCCAGTGCCACGAGTCGTGTCCGGTGCTCTCGCCGGCGGGAACAAATGCCTGCCCTGGGCCAAGCAGCACGTCGTGTGACTCGCGGGGCAAACATTTGCGTTACACCAGACCTTTGGGGAGAAACACGTAAACAGGAGAAAAAGAATTTTCTCAAGTCACATGTATTTGTAATTCGTTGGTCCGAAGCCGAAACACCCGTTGTTGATCTCATGCTAGTGTATTGAAGGTAGACCATGGAAGCCGTGGTCTCATACCCCCCCGTCCGCCCCCAAAAAGCCGAATGCGTTCCCAGAGGTTCGTGAACATAGTTTCCCTGATGCCCAAGAAATCCAAGCGCCCCGCGGCAACACTCTGATACCGCGTGCCCGCTGCCCCCCTTTGCCCCATCTTCACAACGACTGCACGTCACGCTTATTTGTCCTTCTTTGCCTTGGCGCCCTTGACCTTTGCTGTGCCGCGGAGCGTCTTCTGTCGGTTCTTGCGCTGCTTGCCTGCGGGGGGGGAAGGAGGAGTGTTAGCTCTTTGTATCTCTTTTTTTCTTCCTCGTCTCTCCCGAATCGCTCGGGTCTGGCTGCACAAAGCAAGAAACAGGAGATTTGGATGCTCGGCGACTTTCCAAGCCAAGAGGGGGCATGCGGGTGAGCACCTACGCTGCTGTCTGCTGGCGCGCTCGGGCTTGGTGGCCATGCCGACACGGACAAGGCGGTAGGTGGGCTCGAACTTCTTCATAGCCTCGGGCGAGTCGTAGATGAGGGCGAAGCCGGTGGTCTTGCCGCCGCCGAACTGGGTTCGCAGGCCGAAAACCTGCACCTGGTCCTTCTGCGCCTTGTACATGCCGCCCAGCTTCTCGCGGAGCTCCTCCTTGGAGATGTTGGGGCGGCTGGGGTGAAGGATGTCACTGTATTCCCGATTGTTAGCATTTCCCGCGTTTTTGGCTGGTGTGCAACAAGTCATTTCGGTCGTGCCGCGCAAAAGAGTAAAGTATCGACGCTGTCGTCGACTTCTTCACGGGGCCGTGGCTTGGTCTGCTGCCGACAGTGACAAACGATAGGTGTGCCCGTCTGCGCGACCCTTGTCACAGGTGAATTGGAGGCTTTGCTCGGTGGTTTGGTCGTCTTTTTTTTTTCATAAATGTACCAAGCAATCGTTTTACTTGGTTATTTGTCGTCGTCGAGTTCATCGCAGGAGAGAATTTGCGCGCCGCCTCCACCATTTCCCCCGTTTCTCCCCCGTGAAGTCGACATTCAATTGCGCGGCACCATCGAAGAGAGGGTCAAACTCACACGACCATCTGCTTGCGACCCAGAAGAGGGTTACGGATGAACTTGCGAGTTCGCAGGGTAACGGGGCTGTCGTTGTCCGCCATGCTTGTGGTGCTGAGATGTTGTCTCTGTGGGTGGTGACGGAGGGCGTTGGGCGTGGCGACTTCGAATCCGTGGTGGTTGTGAGGGCTTGCTCGGCGAAGTCGTGACCCATGGCGAAAATTCCGTCCGCGTCGCTTAAACTGGGTCCAACCCTAACAATTTGTGCGTGTGTTACAGATGTGGAGAGCCACCAGAAACTGTATGCCTGAGAAACCGGGCCGCCGACCGCACGAAATTTCGCAGCGCGGTCACGTGATGCGTCGGCCAAGCCTCGGAAAGTACATTGCCATTTTGGGATGGGAATTGGTCAAACCCCACACTGCCTCCGCGCGGGTGGCATGAGGAGGAGCACGCGAGCTTCCACAAGCTGTCTGTCAGTGATTGCAACTTGGATTGACCATCTTCAATGGACGTATCCTTTGAACGGACATGGATCGTCCATGGAGCCAAGAGGTAGATCGGTTCTGTTACCAATACCTTCAACTAGAGTCAAATCTCGACTGGCCTCGAGATGAATTCCTCCGGTTGGACGAGGTTCAGGATGCAATTTACAAACGCATCTTCAAGGCCGAGGCGTCCAACGTCGGACCCCCAGACAGATATCGGATCAAAATTTTGAAGGAACTTGTGTTCCGAATAGAGTCTGCAATAGATGATTGGGACAGACATGTAAGTTTTTTCCTCCCTGTAGTGTTGTCCCATCCATACTGCCAAGGCCCAAGGCCGCCGTGATGGTCGTCCTGACCAAGGTTCAAAAGGCAGTCTCTGACGATATCATGGCGACATTATCAGCAGCTCTGGCCATTCCCTTGACACCTGGTGCGATATCAGCGCAGAGGAAGTGCTATGTGACATATCATCTGTCCTTGCTTGAGCGCGGGACGCAGTTGAAGACGGCCGCTCCACATCCGAGCATTACGCTACTCGAAAACCGAAACCTGATTGCCGCCGGCGGCACTACGGGCCACAGAACCTGGGAGGCGGCATTACAGTTGGGACAGTACCTGTGCCAAAATCCGTCCCTTGTCTCAGGAAAACGCGTGCTGGAATTGGGTGCTGGCACCGGGTATCCGTCGGTGCTCTGCGTCAAGCACTTGCAAGCGGCGCACGCCATTGTTTCGGATGGATCCGAAGACGTCATTGACAGACTGCTGGATAACTTGTTCCTCAACAGCCTCCAGGACTCGCCGAAAATCAGCCCCATGGGTATCAAATGGGGACACGCATTGGTTGGCACGGAGGAGGAGAAATGGAATGGCGGCCAACCAGTCGATGTCGTGCTGGGCGCCGATATCACATATGATGCGCGAGCGATGCCGGCTTTGGCCGCGACTCTTTTCGATCTCTTCGGCATGTATCCCAGTGTCAAGGTATACATATCAGCAACCGAACGAAATGCAGAGACATACCAGACGTTTCTAGAGGTGTGCAGGCAATGTGAGCTAGCTGTAGAGGACCTCCACGTTGATGTGCCTCCTCGATCGCAACAGAATGGCCCGTTTTACGACGACCAGCTGGCAATACACTTGTGCCGTGTGTCCAAAACTTGACGGATGGCTGGGTTTCCCTTGACCACGGCGGCCGCGGAATGGGCAGCGACGACATGGACAAAAAGGGGCACATTCAATAGTTACCAGGGAGGTTGAAACGGGTGACAAGTTGACAAGTTTTTTGGATCGTCATGACTGGCGTCACTTGATGTGGAGGCCAAAGTGCGCCCCCGCCGGTGGTCTGTTCTGACGCCATCCGGCTCACGGGGCGGGGTCGCGGTGTCTATCGGCGTGTGGAGAGCGAGACTATGAGTGAGGTCATCAATGATGGACTTTGCACAGGTCGGTGATGGAGGAGAGGGTGAGACGACACCACCAAACGCAATTGGCCGCACGGCGTGTTTTCCAGCAAAGGGGGGATTGTTCCGGCCTCGGGGACCGGTTGTACCATTTACAGCTAGGTAGTTTTGGAAGAAACACGCCAGATGGCATCTTACAAGGCCACTCTTGGCGATGTTCCTCACTGCCTACGATACTTGTCAAGGCCTGATCGTGGTTGGTGACGGGCCTCGCCTGTGTGCTGGTTGACCAGCGAAACGTCCACAGTCCGGGGACAGAGTGAAAGAGGGAAGGGAAAGGAAAGGAAAGGAAAACAGAGAAAAGGGGAAGGGAGGGCGGGCTGAACATGTCTCACTCTCGTCGGTGCGCGCAAGTTTGCTTGGACACCAGCAAGCTAGCAAGAGCAAGAACTAGAACGACGAGGCAATGGGAGAACTGAAAAAATTTGTGCGTCGACGGAGAAAATCTGGCAACACAGCTTGCTCGTCAATTGTCTAATGGTAGGCTTTTCCCCCCTACTTGCGGACTACATGACTTATATGATTGCGGCATTGGATCCGGGACCAGGCAACGTTCGGCGCTGAGTTTCGTTTGCTCGGGATCGTAGCCGAGTCAGTTTCTCGACGGCGCGCATTGTCTTGTTTGCTTACAGCGCTGTGTTGTGACGATTAGTACTCGCGTAGTGCAGGAAATGCTTTTGTGAGTATCATGGCCCTTTTCCCTAGTCGTTCCTCAGTCCATCTTCCCCTATCAAGGCCACTTTTTTTGCGGATCCACCGCGATGAGAAGAGTGTAACTTTAGGTAGTTAACTACTCTGTGCTCCCCTGCCCAGGTCCCTCTCCGTACAACTATGGTAGTTGGTGTGTACGGATTGTGTTTCGCGATCGCAGCACATCAAGTTAACATCTAAGCGACCCCCGTCGTAGGCATGTCGCCGACACGCATGGTCTGTGGCAGTATTCATTAGTGAAGACACGGTTGACGTTCTGACATTCAAAGCTTGGTTGGCAACTTCACTCTGACGACGCGGCTGGATTTACCGGGTAAGGCTGACGAAACATGACGAGCGGCCCAACAGTCAAATTGACAAGTTGATGGGATAGCCCCCGTCTCCGGTATCAAGAACCGCTGCTGCAATGCAAATCGTGTCCTAGACTTCTCAAGACTCTCGCAGAAAATGGCAAAAGAATCAATTCTTTCGGAATCTTTTCGTTTCCCGAACTGGCCGCGTACGAATAGATGCTTCAAGGGAGACGCTCACCTCTCACCACTGTCACCTGATGCTTGACTTGCAGATTTGTCCCCTGACGGCTGTCTTCTCATCAATCAAATCAAAAGAACCTGCAGCCGGTCAGAGTTTTAGGCTGGCAAATCCTGCTCATCAGTCCCAGGTTATTCGACCCTCCAAAGGATCCCGGGCCTGATTCTGGACCAGTCTCGTTCCAGTCGGGCGCCACAAGCATACCACCCAAATCACCATACCACCGGACGGAACAGCCACTGACCAGAACACAGTTCATGCCGTCCAGCGCGCAAAGACTGGTCTTTGCAACTTGCTTGGTCACGGATCTACATGGTGCAAGCAAATCACAGCGGACTTGTGTCTGGGTTTGCCTTACCAACCAAACCCCCCGCGAGTGGCAGCTGGTGTGTGCTGTGCTGTGTCATGTCGTGTCGTGTCGTGTCGTGTCGTGTCGTGCCGTGTCGTGTCGTGTCTGTGTTGGTGTGTTGTTCAATCTGTGAGGACGGGTTGGCTGGCCGTCGGGGTCTCTCGATTGCTTGTTGTCTGGCCCAGGGTGTCTTCGCATCTCTGGCCAACAATCCAGCAGCCTACGCCATTGCAACGTGTGTGGTAGCGCCATCAAATATGCAGCGCCCAAGTGTCTGGCCGCCATATCTGCCTCGTGGCCCCCGATTGGCAAAGCGGCGGCAGGGAAAATAAATTGCATCAGACCTGGTAAAGTTACTTGGTCCCGGCCCGTCGCCAACAAAGTTGGAACAAGATTTGCCTCGAGAAGCGGCGGCGAGGTGCGGTTGGCGAGGTGCCAATGGGGCTTCAAGGTGCCGCGTTCACACGTTCGGCCTCTCGAGCAGTCCACCACCCCCCCGCTCCTTCCGTACGTATTCCACCAGACATCGTCGCCCAATGTGTCGTCAATATTCTGTTTCTAGCTTTTCTCAACAGCTGAAAACATACCCTGAACTCGACAATCAATGAAATCAGAGTCGGCACCCCCTCCCCCCCTTATTGATACGTCTTTATACAAACGGCACCCCCAATTTCCAGCTCGGGCCAGTAAGCAGCAGCTACTACTCCGTACATTAGATTGTCTCCACCGGGCTATCGCTCATTGAAAAGCTCCGTGCATAATACAACAGTGACGGCTCCCCAGGTACGGAGTAGGGAACACAGAGTCGAATATTACAAAGTACACCTCCTCACCTGCTCTCGCACTTCCTGCCACTTTCTCCTCTTCCAAGGGCAAAAGAGGTGGTGATTGACAGAAATCCCATATCAGCGTGCCGGCAAAGGGCGATCCAAGACCAATTACTCCTTTCCGCCACCACGTTTCTTTCCTGCTGTACCGGTGTATGCATTCACATCGGCTGGCTCCTTATCTTCCAACAAATCCTGGGGCTGTCTTGTGCCTCGATGCAGCTCTGCTTGGCAACGGCTGACGAGAGTGGGCTTCCTCTGCAGCCGCATCCTGCATCGTGGCAACGAACCCCCTGCTCATAGTACGTACCGCCTACGCCTCTGCTATACCGACCTCACTTCCAATGGGCTTGTCATAAAGAGTCCCTTATCTCGATTTGAATAACTACCTGGCTCCCCCCCCGCGATCCTTGCTATTCTTAAGGCAAAGGAAGCACCGTTGCCGATTTTCTCGTCCCCTCTCCTAACCAAGTCAAAATGACGTCGAGCAAGAGACAAACCTACAACTTTGCTCTGCAAAAGTATCTTCTGCTGCAGGAGCAGCATGAAGAGCTCTCTAGCCATCTCGAACAAATACGACCGCGGAAGGACTCACTGAGGAGCGCCTCAACTCGATCATCCAGCACATCGTCCATGTCGACGTCGCCTAGACGACACTCCGAGAGCGGTGAACGTCAACATGGTCGCACTCGAGCCCACGGTGGCCGGAACACGCCTGGCGCCGGCTCACTAGACACAATTCTGGATGAAGAAACAATACATGCCATTTCAGCCGAGGAGCAGCGTCTGTTCGACGTCAATGAGAGTATCAAACGCGCATTGACAGAACTCCTCAACTATGACGCAGTCCGTGGCGACCACACCATGCGCATGTGGGCACAAGCCAGGCTTATGGAGACGGAGAAGGAACTTCGCTCAGGCCGGCGGCGCAGGAGCTCGCCTTGCATGGAGTGAGCTCACCGGACGCCAGCTGTGCAAAGCGGCAATAGCCTCTGCGAGGTCTCTTTACCTGATCATTGTTGCGAATACCTAGGCAATTTGTGGCATCGGCGCTTCCCTCGTGTGGAATTCTTTCCGCTTTGGGGGGATTTTGGTTGCAATTACGGCGTTGATGGACAGTGGCATGGGCCTCTTTGGTTAAAAAGCGATATAATGGCATTAAGGTCCCACAAAATGGCGGTACTCTCAACGTCGTGAGGACAATTGTTTGCATGGACGTTTCTTCTACTATACGACTTACCCTGTACTTTTCTGACAGCACCGGCTGCAGCGTTGCTACAAGCATCCATCTGCCTAGTAACGTTTTCCTCTGCACAGGCTACGAAACCTGTGGTTTTGAAATTGCAAATATTTTCATCTGAATTTGTCTCCGAAAAGTGACGCATCGCAATTGGCCCAACATGATAAATGTGACGTGACGTGGAGTAGTTTAGTTTGACAGCGGAAGAAACCAGCAGTTCATGCTGGTGACAAACCTGTCTGTCCCAGTTACTAAGCTAGTACTTGAGGAAAAAGAGTTGGGATTAATCCTGCACACGTCGGAAGAGGTCCACTTGCTGGACAGCCAACGAAGCTTCCATGTACCTGTCAGGAGTTGTCGTATATCTGCACTAGTTGCTGAGCAAGGTCGACGTCCTAACTTGACCTAGGCATTGATTGCACTCATCGAGCATGATTTACGGCGCAAACTATCTACTAGACGGCCTGCTATGGCCACCCCCCCACCACGACAAGTCTCGAGTTCTTGTTTTTGCTCCACTGGAAACTCACCAGACATTTCCTGATGTCATCACTGCTGCTGCCAAAGGAAGGTCTTACCTGCAACAAACAGGGTCCACAGTAGGGACGTCACGTGAACCACTTACTAGTTTCCGGGAAAACATCGGCAAATAGGTATTGCAACGAAACCCTCCAGATTCTATGGTCCAACGGTACGTCCAAAAGTTGGTCGTAACAGCAGCTTCATCAGCATTGCCTGCACTGGGACAGTCCCGACACTCGTCGCAATGTCGGTTCTATTGGAGACCAGCGTTGGTGATATTGTTGTCGACTTGCTGGTCGAACATGCGCCGAAGCTTTGTGAAAAGTAAGCGACGTTTTTTGTCCTTTGCTAACGAGGTGTCGCTAACGTCCTTCTGAGTAGTTTCTTGAAGCTCTGCAAAATCAAATACTACAATTTCTCTCCCATTCACTCAGTGCAAAAGAACTTCACATTCCAAACTGGCGACCCTCTCGGGCCTCTGTCGAAACAATTCGATGGGGGCTCTTCAATATGGGGACACATATCCGGAGACCCTTCGAAGCAGTCATTTCCTGCTTTTTTTCATCCCAAGCTGAAGCACGTTGAGCGCGGCACAGTTAGCATGGCCACGGTGCCCCTCTCTACCGACCCCGATACGCGCCTTGCTGCCTCCCAATTCATCATTACTCTTGGCGAACATACCGATTTTCTAGACGGCAAGGCCGCTATATTTGGAAAAGTTGTAGAAGGGTTTGATGCATTGGAGAAAATCAATGAAGCTATTGTTGATGACAAAGGCTATCCTCTGGTCGACATCCGCATCAAACACACAGTCGTGCTGGACGACCCATATCCCGACCCTTCCGGTTTACGGGAGCCTAGCTCAAGCCCGCCGCCAACGGAGTCTCAGCTTAAGACAGTACGAATTGCTGATGAGGCAGCTTTGCACCAAGATGACGGGGTAGACGAGGCTGAGTTGGAACGGCGACGCCGTCAGACCGAGGCCAACGCACAGGCCTTGACGTTGGAAATGATGGGAGACTTACCGTTTGCCGAGGTGAAGCCGCCGGAAAACGTTCTTTTCGTCTGCAAATTACATCCAGTCACAGGTGACCAGGATCTGGAGCTAATCTTTGGTCGGTTTGGAAAAATTTTGAGCTGCGAAGTGATTCGAGACGCAAAAACAGGAGACAGTCTACAATACGCATTTATCGAGTTTGAAGACAAAGCATCTTGTGAAGCCGCCTACTTTAAAATGCAAGGCGTACTGATAGATGATCGAAGAATCCATGTTGACTTCTCCCAGAGTGTAAGTAAACTAAGCGATGTTTGGAGAAAGGACACAAATAGCAAGCGACGGGCAAATGCTTCGCGTGGTGGCTGGGGCGGTGTTGATGAACTTGAAAAGAGAAGGCAATACCGAGCTGAGGCAGAAGCTCCGCAGAAGAACAAGTACGGCATGATCTATGGTGACGAAGAGATGAAGGGTCGCCATACACGGAGCGGACGAAGGGATATGCATGGAGAAAATCCCTCATCAAGGGGAGAGGATCGGCGAGATGACGACGCTCGAAGCCGCAGCCCGCTTACACGAGAACGAAGCCGTGATAGACAACCGATTTGGAGGGACTCTCATCGTCACGGGGACGGGAGAGAATGGGACCGTAGAGATCGGAATCGTAGGTACAGCGACAAGGACAGATACAGACACGGGGACAGGGATAGGGATCGAGATGGACAACGGGATAAGGGTACAGAACAGCGCGACGACTCGTATCGTCCAAGACGATGAAATGAATCTTTAGGCTGAGAGATACATTTGGCGCACCTCTCCAGACAAATTTATTGCCCGACGTCTGATGTCCTTCCTTGGCCGGGGAGAAAATCCTGGCATGACGAGGACTCGATTCGTCAATACCCCATCACGACTCACGACTGTGGCACTCGTGTTACGCCGCGCACTCTGAACATTGTCTGGAGCATATTCCACTCCAGCATGCAAGATGGCCAGAAACGACCTACTCCTCTGACCGCTTATGCAAACATAGCATCTTTGGCCAGGGACCTGCGCAATTCGACCAGGCCATGTTTCACAAGTTGAGCCACCTGGCGGCTTGGAATCGCCGACAAGCGAGAATCGCAGACGCATTGACTCCCCCCATCGCTGCTGGTCTCAGCCCCCAGTCTTTCCGAAGCTTCGGCATCAAGGATTGGCAGCAGTTGTTGTCGACTTATCAGACGCGGCCTTTGGCATCCGAAATATACGTTACCAGCAGGCTCAGGAGTGTCCTTGCTCCATATCGGATAGCCTCAGCCCTCGCGTAGTGCGCCGAGCGATGCATACTGAAGTCTAATTATAAACAAGTGCATGCTTGTGTAGGATGGGTTGTCAATATGACATCATGCCCAAGCTGACCCGTCACTGGTCCGAAATGGATGCCGGGACTGCCCCAAAGCCTCTTCTATCCTGAGCGTGGCTAGATGCTTACCAAAGGCAGCAAAGGTCGAGCCAAACTCATTGATATGGTCACAGGGATGCCTGCGTGTCCACCGGCGGCTGCAGCGGTCAGCAAGATTTGGCGAGAAGCCGGCATCGTACCGAGACAGTTTGCGGAGCCGCTCGATGGCCTTGGGCTCTAGATTCACCGGGTCTGGGGTAGCCGACGGAGCTGGCACTGGAACCAAGTAACGTAATCTATGGAAGAGGTGGATTCAACGGTCGTATTCCAGCCGACCTTCTGAGTCCCCGTGCCGCCGGCCGATCAAGGAGACGGGGGACGCTTCCGAGGCGATGTGGCTTCCATGTGAGCTTGTCCGGAAAACTACGACGGCCAAATGCATATTTCCGAATCCTGTCAGCTCGTCAGTACCAGGGCACATCATTCTGCCAACTTGCCTTGGGGGCTTCAACCAAAGGGACCCTAAACAACCAAGACGCCAGCGTGGCCGGCTCTGGCGACATGAACACAACATCTCAATTGGGACACCGCTAGCGACTATGACGGGCATCGGAAGAGCCTCCAAGCGTGGCCAACCCTGTCTCGTTCGTGTAGCCAACAGCTCTTTGGACAGAACTCCGTAGCGGAGGCAGATTAAATGCGTCAACACGATGTGTCTGCCGTGGCGTGCAGCTCATATCGAGTCGCGCATGAAATTCGCGCCAAGCCAGTTGCGTCTGCATCAATGAATGGTCATCGACGTCTTCTTGGAATAAAATAACCGAGAAAAGAGTGGCGGTGATGACACACATGCAGATGCTTCAACTCAGTATACGGATATACCCCATTATACGCTTCGCCTGGGGCTTGCATGGTTGGTGGCCGCGGATGCCACCGTTCGTCCCGGACTTCTTTCAGCCCGAACTGACCTGGGGCCTTGCTCCATTGCCGTCGAGTTCTCGACCCAGCCAGCCTCGCTGATACAGCATCATGCCGGCAGCAGAAAACCCCAGGCATGCGCTGCTCACTGCTCACTTACATACGCAGCGTGCCTTGGGGTGTTTTCTTTGCGACCTCGTGAGCAATACTCGTCGCTGTGGCGGAAAAACCTGGTCCAGGGATACTTCCCTCGGTGGCGCCACCCTCACTGCTTGTACGATGATGGTATCGGTCCTGCTTTCTCAACTACGTCCTGTGTCGCTTCATGAGGCATGCCCCCTAGACTTGAGAAACTTCTCTTCTTGCAACGGGCAAACAGCGAGCACTCAGCAGTCCCTGACAAGGGAGCGAAGTCTTCACACCGCGTGGACAGCACATGCCGCTCCACAGACCAAGTAAATCTCGATCCGCGACCACGCTGCTTACATGCTTCGCTGCAAGTGGTCAGGGGCGTCTCCAAGTGTTTGTTAACTTACCAAGCGCCTCCCAGCCGAGCGTGTCTGTCATTGCAACGCAGGATCGGGGGGAGGGTAGATTTCCTCGGATTACACCGACGGCCTAACAAAACCATGCTTCGTCCAGTGGCTATGAATGCTTTCTGGAATAGTGACGGCGCATTCATGTAGCAATACCAGGGCTCTATTATTACCCCTTTTGTCCGTGCCTGGCCCATCTCAACCAACTGCATGGCTCGCACGTGCCAGAGCGATGGCAAATGCAGACATCAGCTCGTACAAGACGTGCGCCCTGGCGATATCGTCAAGTCTCAACGAAGCTTGGCCATGATGCTTGCTTAGCCCTCGCGTGGGCAGCAGGAAACACACAAGACACTCCATCACGCCTTTACATGGGCAGAGTGTCTTGTGTGTTTGTTTTGCATTTGCAACCCCCTTGGCCCGGCAACTGGTTCTCAATTACGGAACACGAAGCCCACACGGTCTGATTTTGCCACCTTGCTCACGTACCTATTCAAAAGGGCTATATCTTGCTTTCTTGGCCAAAACAGTTACACTAAGAATAGGACATTGCAAACGAAATGAAATGTTTTGGGCAAGGCAACAGAACATGACACCACGTTTTTGTGTCTTCAGCCAGTATGCATAAGAGCACTCACTGGCACATGCGGCTTGGGCCATGGCCCATCCCATGGGCCTGTATGACCGCACAGAGCCCTATGATACGTGGTGACTTGTGGACGGACAACCCAGGGTGCCTGTCGGGACACACCGACGCTGACTGGGATTTGATGCAGAGAAGAGCGTTTGAAATTTGCCGAGTTTGCTCAGGGACGAGCGTTACTGCTGCTCATACTACTCAAGTTGACCTCCAGCCATTCGGGGTTGGCGTCAGGCGGCTGGTACCGACTTCTTCCATCGTGAGGGCAATTTGCGGCACTCGGTTGAGCGTCAAGATGTACGAGTATCTTATGGACAGTGGTACCCGCCAAACACCGTTCTTGATTACGATGTATTCACAGGCTGTGCAACCATGAATGCCTCAGGAGCCAGCCCATGGGCAAAGGATAGCCTGGCAATTCGAACAAGACTCACGTACCGACGATGACATCCCGTAGAAGGGGTGATTGGTGGCGCGCGAACCTATTCGTCCACCCATCATCTGTCATTACCTCGGGCGAGACTCATGGATGCTGCAGGTGGATCGTTAGCAAGATTCACTCACCCACTTGGGCGTCAAACAGATGGATGGGATGGTCCGCTGTTTTCGGGATCTTTCCCTGACGGCGGGTTCTGTGTTGCCTCCGGGAGCTAGCCTTATACAAGCTGCAAAGAGTTGCTTCTGCAATCAAGATTTGAATGTACGGGATCAACAACCCCGGGTGCCTGCCCCAACCTGTCGGGTCGTGGCGTGCATTCTCTGCCGGGGCTTTTTGCCCCCAATGCTAAGGTGTCGAACCTCCTATCGACTGCGAAGAGGCATGACCGGGTCCCGTGTGGAATACAATGAAATATGCCCCCATCACTTTCATGTACGTAACCGTCCTTGCTTCCAAAACGACCACCGGGAACACCGCGACGAACAGACCATGCGTCCAATCCACTTTGGGATGTTTTTGGAGAAGAGACGGTAGGCCCTGCGCAGGCCGGACAAACGAGACGATAAACAGGGGGAGCAACGTGCCTCAGCTAGTAAAATTTGCTTCTGAGCGAGTTGATGGATGCTGTGTTTCGAGGAAGGGCCGGTCCGTGGTTTGGCAACATTTTCTGACAAACATAGGGGAGAGACCCGGGCGATGATGGAGTCGTGCAATCGGATGGGAATCCATTGGACGCATCGGACGTGATCCGGCGGGCACAAACAAGCTATCATCAGACTCAGAGTGTTTTCAGGACCTCTGATCCGTCGTACGGCCGACGTATAACAACAGGGCATAGCCGCAGCACCCCGAGCTATCCAGACTACTCCCTCCTCGCCTCAGCATCAACTCGGCTGCTTCCTCTTCATCACGTCCGGCTTTGACAGGACAGAGCCCGCTTTCAAAGAATAAAACAATCTCTGGCATCTACTCCTTAAGCCTTGCCTGCCCTCTCCGACTGCCTTGGCGCCTGTGTCCATCACCATCTCTCCCTTTCTTCTGAACAACCCGGAACCATATTGTCCAATTTCCGCCACAAACGGCCGTCTCCTTGTGTGTCATTTCTGCACGTACACCAGCAGCTGTCACAGTCGGAAGCTTGTGTCGAGCTTGACAAACGCTGGGCATACGTGTGACACCAAACTGCTGATCCTGCACCAACACCGTCATCACCATCACCTTCGTCACCGTTGCACTATTGCGTGTCTACCTCTGCTGCGACTGTGTCTCCAACTTGGGATCGCGTCCAAGGTCTACGAAAAGATTCAAACGTTGCTTCTTTTGACTGGTAGACACAAGTTGGGACATCACTTGGGCAGTCCTCCAGCGAAGACCGGCTCGTCGACATCGTCCCTGACATTTGCTCGCTCGCCACCGTTTTGGGCCCGAAAGCTTTTCAAAGGCGAGTTAGTCCATGGACTCTGGCGGAATGGACGAATCCACCTCGCAGAGAAAACGAATTGCTGTTGCGGTAAGTAGACTGAAGCTTTAGGGGCTCACTTTGCCATGGCACGGAAAGTCGACTAATGCAATGGCAAGTGTGGACGCTGCCGGCAGAGAAAGATTCGATGCAGCGGAGATAATGGTTCAGGAGATGGATGCACAAACTGTAGAAGTGCTGGAGCTGAGCCGTGTCAGTTCCTCAGAGTACGTTGGCCTTGCATCCGCAGCCTGGTAAACGGCCCTTACAAGATTGCTAGGTTTCATCTCAAGAAGTCCAAGGCGTACGATCGACCGGCCTGAACTACAGCATGGGCGTCTCCAGAAAGTATCCCGGCCGGAGTTCCATGGCATCTCCCGTTCTAGCGAGTCCGCCACTCTACACGCCCAGCATGATGAGTTCTGTCGGACACGACAGTTTGGGAGACCAGGGCGACATGGCTTATGGCTGCGGGCCGAAGCAGTATCAACAAGTCCACGAGTGGACGAACGGATATGGCGACGACCAATCCATGGACTTTGAAACGACTCATCAGGGGCCGCCGGGACATGACCATCCGTATATGATGGGTCAATATCGTCCGGCGACCAATTCAATGGTAGTGAGAGCCAACGGCATGGTATACATGGACACGTGTGGGGGTTACGGCTACGGCAACGCGTCTGGCCGACATGCGTCTGCGGGAGATGTCGGTTACTCTTTCGACAGCGCAATCCCTTGCTATCCCGAGTCGACTGCCGGCAACGGAGAGAAGGTTGTACCGCTGTCTTCGAGTCGGTCCAGACCCGGTTCTGTGAGCGCGATGGGTCGTCGAACGTCGGCCGTCTCAAGCGCGGCGGAGCATTCTGGACTCATGGACATCAGTGGCAGCAACTACCACGGGTATGATGGCGGTGTTTTGGCTTCCTATCATGGAGGCTCAATGGACCGTGGCGCGGACATGTATACTACTGCTCCGCCGGTAGATGAATTCGGCCAGGCAGCCTCGCTGAGATCTCACCTGTCGGGATACCCCTACCGATACACCGACACCACGTCTGAAGGTGGAACCGTGGCTGCACTGGACGACCAGCAGTATCTTGTGCAGGGACGCGGACCGTACCTCGGATCGATTTCACCGACGGAAAATGATCCCATACACTGTCGGGGGAATGCCTCTGCCGGCCTTCATAGCTGAAGAACCGTGTCTTTTCAGATTGAATCTGGCAAGATGGGCCGAGTCGGCCTCCTGGATCCATCAAGTGTGTTGAATTTGTTCTTCTTCTTCGTTTTTTTGTCCCGCATTGTTCAACATATTCATGTACATACATGACGAACTCATTGCTCGGCGTCGGTGTTGCGTACCACTTGGACGGAGGTACTTGGCAAGTTGCAAGCAGGCCGGGAAGGCGGGCAAGGGGAAAGCTTGCGCGTTGACTGACCTTGCTGGCGCTCGCATTCCATGATGGGAGACAACTCCATATCTGCTGTACAAGAGACGGGGAGACGGTACGGAGCCGAAACGGACACGGCGAACTAGGGCGGTCTGGCTTGCGAACAATAGAGGTCGTGACGCAGGACGTCAGGGCAAGGGCTGGGAGTGGAGAGATGTTGGTTGGACTTTGGGCTGTGTAAGTGAAGGGTGCGGACGGAAGACGGCAGGCTCAACCCTCCCAGCCGTTAGACCTAGCCAAGAGAAACAGGAGAGAAGCGTGGGTGATGAGGATGGAGTGTGGTACAGCAACGCGTTGGCCACATGGGAGCCAGATTCCGATGACGACGTGGCGGCGTCGCACGGGGAGTGGCGCGGCTCCGGGGCCAAATGCATGTGCCTAGCTAGATAAGTTATTACAGGAGCTCTGTCTTGCGGTGGAATGGCCAATTCACAAGCCAACGTACTTTATGAATCTCACTGGGACAGATGGGCGATTCGTGATTCCTGAAGATGCCACCAGGTCAACCATGGCCTAGGCTGGTGAAGGGCGGACCTGGACCTGGACCTGGACCAGAGTCACCAGACCAGACTCGATTGGGGTCGAGGTCAGGTCCCTTCCTGTTTGGGCCGCGTGCGGCGGGGTAGACCGGACAACTTGTTACTTGACAGCACCACGAGGGAGGGGAAGTTCGAATTCTACGTCGCCATCATAGGCGACTAGACGTACCTTGGGCACTGGTTATTTGTTTCTGCTTCTTGGTTTCCCTTCTCGACACGCCACGCCGGCCGTTGTCGAACTCTCACCGTGTCAAAGGGCCTCCGCACCGTCACAACACCACCGCCGCAACCACCAACTTGATCATCATCACCATCATCACCACCACCACAATGCAGGTCCCCCTCCTCCGCCTCCAGTGCGGCGTCAACTCGTACGAATGGGGGAAAAGGGGGAGCGAGTCTGCCGCCGCAAGGTTCGCGGCCGCCACGCCGTCGGATGGGCTGAGCATCCAGGCCGACAGGCCATACGCAGAGGTACGAGACATGAGCCGTCCGGCCGTCCCATGCTGCGCCCGCAGCTGCTGCAGACAGAAAGAGTATTTTGACAACAAGCTCAAATTCAAATAGCTGTGGATGGGCACTCACCCTTCAAACCCCTCGAAAGATGTCAAGACGGGCCGAACGCTCCTCGATCTCTGCTCCGAGAACCAGCAGCTCCTCTCGTCATCCGTGTCAGCCAAGTACGGCGCCAAACTTCCCTTTCTCTTCAAAGTCCTCTCCATCAACAAGGCCCTATCGATCCAGGCACACCCCAACAAGAAGCTCGCCGAGCAGCTGCACGCTCGGGATCCCCAAAACTACCCAGACGACAATCACAAGCCGGAAATGGCCATCGCCATCACGCCATTTGAGGGACTCTGCGGTTTTCGGCCCCTCGGCGAGATTGCCCATTTCCTGGAGACTGTAGGGCCATTGAGGGAGTTGGTTGGCGACGAGGTGGCCGGGGAGTTTGCCAAAATCATCAAGGGTGGCGATGAGGGCCGCAACAAGGCGGTGCTGAAGAAGGCGTTTGGAGCGTTGATGGCCTCCTCGGCGGAGCACGTCGCCAGGGGCGTCGGGAAACTAGTCGAGCTGGCAAAGTCGCAGGGCGCCGCGTTCGCGTCGGGCGGCGTCGAATCTACAAACGGCGAGGTCCTTTCGGAGCTCGTCACGCGTCTGCATGGACAGTTTGGCGAGGATATTGGCATCTTCGTCCTGTTCTTCCTCAACCTTGTCAAGCTGCAGGCTGGAGAGGCGCTGTTCCTCGTGGCGGATGACATCCACGCCTACCTATCGGGCGACATCATCGAGTGCATGGCGGCGTCGGACAATGTGGTCCGGGCCGGACTCACGCCCAAGTTCAAGGACGTCGCGACGCTCGTCGACATGCTGACATACAACTACGCGCCGATCGACGAGCAAAAGATGGCGCCCACGGACTACCCCTACGCGAAGTTGAACCGCGCCGCCTACAGCTCCGGCTCGGCGGTAGACCTGTACGACCCGCCGATTGACGAATTCGCTGTGGCTAGGACGGTGCTCAAAGGGGCCGGGGCGAAAGCTACGTTTGAGCCGCTCGAGGGACCGAGCATTGTGATTTGCACGAATGGCAAGGGCAAGATCAGCGTGGGACCGACGGTTTACGAGGTCGGAGAGGGACATGTCTTCTTTGTGGGTTCGACGGCCGAGTGTGTGCTCGAGGCCCAAGGCGACGAGTTTATTACGTTCAAGGCGTTTTGCGAGGTCGATGGCGGCAGGGAGAGATTGTGATTGTGATGGGATGGGACATGGAGGGGACGAGGAAAAAGGGGAAAAAAGGGACGATGCAATATTCCGTATAATCATGCCGTATGAGAAGAAATTTGCTAAAAAGGGACGATACAATATCTCGTATAGTAATGCCGTATGAAGAGAAATTTGCTACCACGATCTGAGCCGGTGCCGTGATGGTGTCGACTAAAGTTGTTGATGGGCGGTCGAGTTTGAGAGCGGCTCTCGCGAACCGGTCAAGAGGCAAGTACAGAGAACCCGCAGGGTACTTTCTTGGAGATGGCGGATTCCATGGAGGCGCAGACACGCGGCGGACCGGGTCTCGGGCCTCGGAGGCACAGTGTTCCGAGAGAGTACTCTGTACTCCGTACAATCCGGCACCTTTCGTGCGCCGCCCCTCCCGCTCCCACCAGGCTTCACCTCTTGCTGTTTTTGCGGCCCCCCCTGCAAAATACAATCGAGTTCTTTATCAAAGCGGGTTGGCCTTGCTTGCTTTTGCTTGCCTTGCCATCTCTCCCATCTCGACCCGTGCCCTTTACCTTCGCGACAAACCGACCGCACAGCTACCGCTACCACTTCCGCTTCCGCTTCCGCTTCCGCCACCGTCACGGCCGCCTTTTCCCCGTCTCCGTCTGCTTCGAGTCGCGTGGCTCCATCACAGTGCAGCAGCGAGCCCGCCCTTTCTCTTTCCGATATAGCCCTGGCCTGACGTGGGTCATTGATCGTTGCATCTATTTGCGGTGACATTTTCTGGCGTCGGCACTGCTTGCCATTGCCGTTGCCATTTGTCACTGCCACAGTCGCGCTGTCGAGCAGCACTTCGAGGGGTCAGAGGCTCAGAGCCCAGTGCCTACGAGACCGGGCACAAACTTGGAGAGGGCTTCGTCTGGACTTGCGGCAACGGAGCACGCGAGAAACGCCTGGGTATTCAAGCACAAGTGCGTGAACCGACTAACTAACCGTCATTGTCCACGGTGCTCGACCACCAGGCCCGCCGGGTGCTTTCCAGCAGCCAAGCTTTCGGCTTCCCAACCCGCACATCCATCCATCCATTCGGATCCGTCCTCGAGAAGCTTCCGAGTTTCGTGGCCCAGCCGTTTGCGCCTTCACTTTTACCATCAAGAAAATGTACGTCGGCTGTCTCGTTTATTGTTCTCTCCTTCTCTTGTCTGCCTTCTTTTCTATCAAGTTGTGTCTGGTTGTGCATACGAGCTCCGTCTCGGCTGCCGTGCGTACACCCGCATCCTCTGCTTGCATGTGCGCTTCACTCTTGCCTTCATCCATGCATGCGTGGCTGGGTTGCTTGCTGTTTGGATTCTATGGAGCGTCGTTACACTATTAGTTTCCATTGGCGCGCACATTGCATAGTGCACCAGCCTGCAAAGAGAAAGAGTCCATTGTCACCAAGTTTGAAATCTTAAATGCTGTGTTTTGCACTCCTACCCCCTCTTTCCCGTCTGCGCAGCTTGGTTGCATTTTGCTTCGGCTCCGTCTGCTTTGGTTCGACCCTGCAGAGCCGCGCGAGGGGAGAAGGGAAAAAAAAAGCAAGGGACGGGAGGAAGGCCAAAGAAAGACTTTGAACGACGAGCTACAAAGTAGAAGAGGCTGACTACACACACCGTCGGGCCCGAGTTGCGTGCGGACATATAATATAAAATTGGGACCGGCCACTGGCATTGGACCTCATCATGACTGACAAGAAGAGACAGCGCCGCAACGAGCTCGACAACCTCCGAGAAGACCTCGGCCCCTACTACCATCGACCGTCCCCTCGTCCCGACTCTGTCGACACGGTTAGCAACCACGACCGCACCAACAGCGGAGGCGGCGGCTCAGGCTCGGCGGCGAGAACGGGAGTGGGCGGCAATACTGGCAGCCCCGGCAGCAACATCATGTCACAACGCAATCGAAGTGGACGCGGCAGCAACCGCAGCAACGGCAACAATTCTCACGGAGAAGAGGCACAGATATGGGACTCGTGCAAGAGCCAGCTTGCCGAGATTGTCCTTGGCATCAACGCCGAGAACGACAACCTCTCGGAGCTGGTCGAAATGGACAAGAAAGTCGGTGCCGCCGACCCGGAAAGGATACCCAACGACTCGCTTAGGCAGATGGAGCAGCTGTGTCGAAATGGCGTCAAGTTCTCCGAGGCCAATGTCTCGAGCATCAAGGCAGTCATGGAGCAGCTCAAGATTATGCGCGCCGTTATCGTCGCCAAGGAACAGGCCGAGGCCAGCTCGTCGGCACCTACGGGGAAACGAAATGTGCGAGACAGTGCAGCTGCAGTCGCGGCTTCGTTGTACGATTTTGACGGAGCCGGCGACTCCCCCGTCCCCAGTCCCATTGGCGGGTCCTCGCGAAAGTACGGCGACCGCTCCAGCAACCGGGACAGAGACAGCATGCCTCCCAAGGCCGATGGTGTAGAGTTTCAGGGCTCGTCTGGGACGGGCAACGGTGGCGGAGGCTCAGGGTCGACTGCCGCTGCTTCAGGCGCTTCCGCCGCTGCTTCCGCCGCCGCCGCTGCTGCCGCGGCCGCCGCGGTCGCCGCCAGCAACAAGTCCAAAGTCGTCTTTTCCAAAGGTGATGCGGTGGCATTCAAGCCCAGGACTGGCGGAGAAGGTGTTTCGGACTGGATCATGGGTGAGGTGGCTCAGGTTCTAGGCGAAGGCAAGAGCCGGCGGTACAAGGTGCTGGACATCGAGCCAGAAGACCAAAGCAAACAAAAGGAATACCGGACGAGCGCAAGCAGCATGATTCCAATCACGCCCGAGAGCCAAGCGAGCACGCTCAAGGACTGGGAGTCTGGGCAGGTGGTTCTAGCCCTGTATCCGAACACGACGACATTTTACAAGGCCGAGGTTCACAGCATGGACAGCCAGGGACGAGTGGCTCTCAAGTTTGAGGGGGAGAACGACTCGACGACCCTTCAGCAGGTGGAGCGGCGGTTTGTCATTGAGTACCGGGCGTGACGCGGGTGGTTGTTGGGGTTGTTGGCTCGGGGGCGGAGTTTGCACAGCACGTCTTTCTTGACGAGCAAACACGGGGTTGTTGAGTCTTGCTATTTCCCTCTCGGCGTAGGTACGGAGTATGGGTTATCTGGATCTGGTTCGCGACGTGTGACAGCGGGCGTTGGTGGCAACATGGCATTGTTCTGTATGGCTAGTGTCTCATGGCTACCTTGAAGCTTCATTTTCCAGAGTGGGCATCAACTTACACGAGTGCGTATGCACATGTGACATGTGCATGGTGATTTGGGCGGCCATGTAAAATCATTGGCGACGACGCGGACGAGGCATTTGATGTCTTGCCACGCGACAAGCCGCCCTGGTGCAGCATCCTTTTATTCATTTACGTACGTACTCCGTAAAGAGGGCCTCGTACGAGGCACTCCGTACTTTCGACCTGATTTCCCTTCTCTCTTCAACCGAACGGGCATCCGGTATCGTTGCAACTTGCGACGTGCGACACATGGGTGCACGTTTGCTTTGATAATTGATAGACAGGGGGCGACCGGGGCTGCCTCTCTCCTCCCTCCCCCACCAGACCAAGAAGGGGGGTGTAGCAGGTACAAGCAGAGGTACATCATTCAAGGCAGGAGGCCCAGCGGACACCCGGGTACCTGGATCGGTACCCGCGCCCCAGGCACTGAAACACCAAAAACTCCCGGTCTGCTGCCTTCTGGAGACCCTTTTTTTCCCGACCTGTTTAATCTCTCCCCGTCTGCAGTGTTTCTTTCCCCCCTCCGTGCTCGCGACCTGCTCCCCTTCCTCTGTCTCCCCGTATAATCGATTGCCCGGTACGCACGCGGATTCACGAAACCACACCCGACTTCTCGCCCGTCGCTGAACCTCCCCCTTCCTCCTCGCCGGGAACCAGAAGCAGAAAGAAACGACACGCGTAGGACAGACGGGCAGGCAGGCCACGATTCGCGCACCTCGGGGCCATCATGGGCGGCCAATTCTCCAAGCTGATGGGCAAGGTGTTTGGGTCCAAGGAAATGCGGCTGCTGATGCTGGGGCTCGACGCGGCAGGCAAGACGACCATTCTGTACAAGCTCAAGCTGGGGCAGGACGTGACGACCATTCCGACCGTGGGCTTCAACGTCGAGACGGTCACGTACAAGAATGTCAAGTTTAACGTGTGGGACGTGGGTGGCCAGGACAAGATTCGTCCCCTGTGGAGGCATTATTACTCTGGTATGTGTGCGCGTGTGTGTGTGGCCCCCCAAAGAGGGAGAGGCAGCAACAAAAGGGAAATACCGCGTCGCGAGGACCCCGTTCGACCAACTGACTTGGCTGCGCTCCAGGAACGCAGGGTTTAATCTTTGTCATCGACTCATCCGACCGCGGCCGCATCGACGAGGCCAAGCAGGAACTGCACCGCATCATCAACGACCGAGAAATGAAGGACAGCTTGCTGCTGGTGTTTGCCAACAAGCAGGATCTCAACGACGGTACGTACGCCTTGCTTCCTTTTTCCCTCTGTCAATCGCGCGCGAGCCAGCGAGTCGATGCCGCCTGACGACGACGGCCTCGAGGAGCAGCACACTGCGTGCGTCGGGCTGTCACGGCGTCGACGTCCCAAGCTGGGCCGTGATGGAGCGAAGCGAGGAACCGCAAGCTGACTCGCAAGCAGCAATGGACCCGAAGCAAGTCACGGAAGCCCTGGAACTGTCCAAGATCAAAGACAAGGCATGGTACGTCGTCCCCAGCTGCGCCACCACGGGCGAAGGCCTCCTCGAAGGTCTGGGCTGGCTCTCGACCAACGTCAAGGCCCCCCCGGCCCCGGCAAAGAAGTAAACACGACGGACGGCGGGCGATTGACAAACGCCTGCCTGCCGGCCGTGGCACCCATCCGCGGCCCGCTCTGCCCCTGCTGCGAGCGCAGGAGCAAGGGCACACACATGGAGGCACGCCACGCGGCGAGACGGACCCCCAGTCGTGCTCGCTCACCACGGCCTTGCCTTCGTGACCGGGACGAAAGACGACTCGAGTATTTCCTCGCAGTCTTTCAAAGCGGGGCGGGCTGGCCGGACTTCGTACTAGATCTTCTCCTTGACGAGTGCTCTATTTCTTGTTCCTTGTTTTCTCTTTACCAAGTCGATTTCTCGCATCTGATCCGACTCTTTCTTTTGTACGAATACCCTAGCCGGGCGGAGGGAACGTGGAATTCAAAGAGCGACGTGTACGTGCTCGCAGAGAGCGTTGTAATGAATACAGATACAATAATGGGAGGAGGAGCAGCAAGCCGGGGGGGACAATATAGTAGTGACGACGAAGCGGTGATGAAAAATGATTGACTGCCACGTGATGACGTGTCGTGCCTGAACTGCCCAATGTGTACGGAGTACCGCACTGCACTGTCACGCGGGTCGGGTCGGGGTCACATCATAAAGTGACGAAAACGCCAACGTGGTCTCTGCCTCGGATCTAAATGCTATCCACGCTGTCCACGCTGTCCGATGCAGCGCCTGAAACTACGATGCTGGGCTCTCTCTGATCTCTGAGCGCCAGAGTGCCAGACTGCTACCATATAAATGCTGCTCATCAGGCCTACATGTCACCACCTCCCTCTTGAACGGCAAGCCCCTGCAACTAATCAAACAAACGGACAAAGACGGCGCATGCTGATGGACAGCACAGTCAAAGGGGTACCTGGTCGAGACGACGGCAGAGGTGCGCGTGTCTGCCCGGGCTGTGGAAAGACTCATGGCCAGCGGAAGCATCTGAGCCGGCATTCATCCGTGTGCATCTGCCGACCAGTGAATGCGCCACAGGGGCGTGTCGGATTGCAATGTACTGGGCATTCGTGTAGCGGCGTGCCGGCGGATGCTGGGTTCGTCAGGGCGGATGATTTGGCGCCCTGGTGGCGGCTGGGCCCGGCGTTGGGCGAGCGTTGGGTTCCGACATGGACGTTGCCTCGGTTCTGGCTGGACAGGGTCCCGGCAGAGGTTGCAGAAGCAACCCACGATCTGGCCGGCCGGCTGCCCAGGATGGGTGGGGGGGATAGCAATGCTGGTGATGCGTGACAACCCTCTCGCCGCGTCGGCTTCGTCTCCCACCACTGCCATAATCACGACAGGTCGTCCTACTCCTTGACGCGCTTAGGAGGCCGCAGCAACGAGTCGTCGGGCAATCCGCTCCTCTTGGTGCCGGGGAGACTGCTCGTGCGAATGTCGTTGTCATCTTGGCTGACCCTGCGATGGGGATACTCCACCTTGAGGCCTTCGAAAGCGTTGGTGTTGACGCGGTCGCCGGTGGTGAAGAATGTCGACTGAAGCGCCTGCGCAGCCGTGAGACGCTTGGTAGGGTCGTATTCCAAGAGCCCGGCGAGGAGCTTGTATCCCTCTGGACCGAGGGATGTCAATGACGGGGCCGACGACCCGCTTTGGGGAGCGTTGGAAATGGTGTTGTAGTACCATTTTTCGAGGTTGGACGTCGAGCTGCCGCTGGAGGAATGACCGTGGTGTTGGTGTTGGTGTTGATGCTGCTGGTGGTGGTGGTGATGGCCGTGGTGAGACGGCGGAGACTGCAGGGTGTTGAGTTGGCTGAACTCTGGCATCGTGGGCAGCAGCGGCCACTTGGTGCGAGTCGGGATGCCCATGATGTCGACTATCTTTTGCATCTGGTTCCTCTGGAAGGGCACCGTCTTCTTGCTGTCCATCTTGGCCTCCTCACCCTTAAAGATTGGGCGTAGAGAGAGCAGCTCGGCAAAGATGCAGCCCACGGCCCACAGATCAATGGCCGGCGTGTAGTGGTACGAGCCAAGGATGAGCTCGGGCGCGCGGTACCAGATGGTGACGACGACCTTGTCGCCGCTGAACAAGGAGTGCATGGGCTTGTCGAACCGCCTGGCCAGACCCAGGTCTCCGATCTTGACCTCGCCCGCCGAGGTGACCATGATGTTGGCGGGTTTCAAGTCACGATGCAGCACCCAGTTGGTGTGCAGGTACTGGCACCCGTTGAGCAGCTGAAACATGATGCTCTTGATGGTGGTCGGGGGGATGGGATGCCGCGGTTGCTGGGTGTGGTGGTGGATGATTTGCAGCAGATCGTGCTCGGCATACTCAAAAACCATGAAGATGCACTTGTCCTCCAGCAGCGTCTCGACCAGGCGGATGACGTTGTGGTGCCGAAGTTCGCTGCAGAGGCTCATTTCCCGAATGGCACTCTGGGAGATGCCCGTGTAGCTGATCTGCTCGCCCTCCTTGTCGGGCTTGAACTTTTTGATGGCTACTTCCTGACCGCCCGCCGCGCTGCTGGAGCTGGAGCCGGAGCCGGAGCTGGAGCCTGCGGGGAATTGTGACGATGATGTGGCTGTGATGTCGGAGGAGGTGGTGCTGGATGTCGTCGTCGTCGTCGTCGTCGTCGTCGTACGAACAGCCACGGTGCTGACACGGCTGACGGCCTTGTACACACGTCCATAAGTGCCACTACTGATAAAGCCGACGATTCTGTACCGGTCCATGACCCGAAGGCGGGGATGGAAGGCGCCGGGGCGGTCATGCGTATCTGCATAGCGGTGGTGAGCCGAGGATGAAGCAAACGGGAGCGAAGAGGCTGATGCCGCATGGTGGAAGTGGCCTCCATTCCGCATTCGCAGAGGCATCGTATCGTGCCCGACGGGGGACGGTGCACCGAGGCGAGGGAGAGAGGGGGAAGAGAAGCAGACACCAGCAGAGCAAGGCAAAGAAAAGCAAAGAAAAGGAAAAGGGATGCAGTGATGACGATGATGGGACGGAGTGAGGAGTCGACGGGCGTGCGTGCGTGCGTGCGTTCGTGCGTGCCTCGACGCGGAGACTCTTTTTTCCCGGCTCCTCACTCACGACAGAGTGGGATGGCGCGGTGACAGATTCAGGGCCGACTGGGCACCTAGTCGGTACGCATGTACATATATCTCTGCCTAGATGAGTAGACATATATATCTCATACATGTCGACGCAAGAGGAGGCAGGCGGCAAGCAGTTGGGTGGCAAATCAGACAACCATGTCGAGACAAGAAAAAAAAAAAAGGCCACGGTGTTGAGGCAGATGTGCCCAAATTTGACATTGCCAGAGTCGCTTCCCGCTCGCCTCACAAAGAACAGACAGGGCACATTTCCAAGACAAAAGCCGCTCAGCCCAAGCAGCCCACCCCTTCGGCCCCCCCCCGTGTGTATTTTTCATCTTTTGTTTTACTTTTGGCTGTCGGCTTTTTTGGCCTTGGGGCCCATGCGCTCTCAACATTGGGCTGTTCTTCTTCTCTGGCTTGACGCCACCGGCGTGGGAGACAAGACAGGGACCGGGACGACACAACGACAACATGGCAATGAATGTGTTTCAACGTACCTGCGAATGCGTCCTGGACACTCCGTTTCAGTGACTGGTTCCTGCTGATGACGTTGGCGTTTGGGCCCGTAGGCGGGTTCGTCAAGCTCATGCCGCCGACTCAGCGCCGAGGGGCGGAACCACAGAGACGGGAGACGGGAAACGGGACTCGAGGCCTTTCCTCGGGCCGTACGTGCTCGGCACAACGGACAGGGATGATATAGAACCAGAGACGCAGGGGCGCCAGGCCAGACGAACGGCGTCGAAACAGAGACGCCGGATACCCGCGGCGCCGCGATCCCTTTGCGGCGGCCCAAGCCCGACGGCGACGGCGTCGGTGTATTCCAGCTCGCACAAGGCCTGGACGGTGCTTCCAAGACGGTTGGAGCCCTACGGAGTATGCTAGTGTCAACGGTGCAACGGTCTTGTGCGGTGCTGCGCCGTGCCGTGCCGTGCCGGGACGAGGAATGACGGGTTGCGAATGACGAATCACTTGCCGCCGCTGCGGCGTACCAGACGGTCGACTCGCTACAGAGTGGTGATATCAGGAGGAGGCAGGTGCCCGATTCGGGCCATGGAGATGAGAAGGCGAGTCCACGACGCTGCTGCGAGCTGCGAGCTGCGAGCTGCGAGTCGGCCCAAGTGGAACCGTCTCCGTCGCGGAGCGTATCTCGAGCTGACTTTGCAACGGGATGCGGCGAGCTCTGTGCGCCGTCTTCTGTATCATGAGGAGAACATGTCTGACAATCGGCCTGCGATTTGCGGCTTGCGCGACGGCTGTTTCGCTCGGATGTGGTGTGGCAGGCCGCGCCGCGTCGCTCGTCGCTCGTCGCTCGTCGCCGAAGCCATCGTCGCGCAGGCAAGGTTGACGCGCCCTAGTCCCGAGCCGCATGACTAAGCAGGCACGGCTTGGCGTCTTCCGTCACGGTGCACAGTGCGCACAAACGGCCCAAGTCACACGACACTGGGCCGCAAACACTGCCAACTCGGCACCAGCATCTTCTTACAAGATGCAGCGCCGGCTCGTCGTTACAGCGGCGTACCACTCACTCCCGGGTGCCATGAATGCCGGAACTTGGCCTCGGCGCAGCTGCCCCATGACACGTCACAGACTCGCAACAACACACGTTCGCTCCACGGCCAACTTTGTTGTCGCGCCACATGGTTGAAATGATTCTACTCCTCGTGCGTGAGGCCGCCGCATAGCCTGTTCTACTACTCTTGCATCGCCAGCCGAGTTCCTCTTGACTTCATCGCGGGCCCAACTTCTCCAACACTCGGGGCCCTTGTTCGTCCCACTCCGCCTTGGTCACCCACATGTTCTCCTTGTCCGCCATAATGTTTGCCAGCACCGCGCCGCCCAGGAACACCATGTGTCTCCTCCTAGGCGGATCCTCTATCCGGACCTTGAACTTGCTCAGCCTTTCGGGGTTGCCCTGCAGAGCCCTCGTCAGCCAAAGCTGCTTCAGCTCCTTTTCCAGCCTCGACGGCAGCCCGGGGTACATGCTGCTGCCTCCCGACAAGACAATGGCCTTGAACAGAGAAGCCCGAATGTCCACATCGGCGGACTGGATCGTGTTGAACAGAAACTCGCCAAGGCCGGGGGACTCGCTGTCCACGAGGTGAGGCTGAAACAAACACTCGGGAGCTTCGAACCGCTCGCTGCCCACTCGAATGACACGCCCGTCGGGCAGGGTGTAATTCTCCACGAGGACCGTCGTGTCTTCGCTTAGCCGCTTGTCCAGCTCCAGGTCGTATGACACGTAGCACAGCTTCTCCTTGATCTGTCGGACGGTTTCGAAATCGGCCGTCCGGTTCAGAGCGTAACCGCGGCGGAGGAGCAGCTTGATGAGGTTGCGCGTCACGTCGCGGCCGGCCACGTCTAATCTCTTGGTGAGGTGGTTGAGCACAACAGACTCGTACACTGGCACGATATGCGTGACGCCGTCTCCCGAGTCGACGACGACGCCCGAGCTCAGTCCTGCACCGCTGCGTCAGCGAAACCGAACCCACCACGCGGAGCATTTGCAAACGTAAACGTGGAGCGTCACTGCATGCCGACGTACCCTGCGCGTACAAGGCCAGGACGGCCTGAATGGCCACGTAGACACCCCCGAACCCGTAGCGGTCAAACATGACCTCGCACATCTGCTCTCTGTTCTTGAGCGGATTCATCGGCGGCTCCGTCAGCAGGATCTTCTGCCCTTTCGTGTCCACCTTGAGCTTCTCGTAGAAGGTGTAATCCCACAGGTGCTGCATGTCGTCCCACTTCTTGACAATGCCGTTTTCCATAGGGTAGCTGATCTGGAGCATGGTGCGGGCCGCAGCCGCCTCGTCGCCGCACATGATGTCCTTGATGACGACATTGCTGTCGGTTCGTTCTTCAGATCGCAGGATGGGTCGGCCCACGATGGAGGGAAACTGGTGCTCGGGGAAGTTCTGCGCGGCATATCCGACCTTGAGGAAGCCGGTGCCGCCGTCGAGGACTGGCGTGCCGAGTAGCTTGCGTTAGCCACGGTTGCTTGTCACCGGCCAGGGCCAGCATCGTCGCAGCCGGCGGGGTCCGAAGAAGGGGGGGAGGGGATATCTGTTGTCGATGAAGTCAGGAGCAACAACATACCAATGGGTGGAGTGCTGGCCATCTTTGCGACAGCTCAACACTAGGACGACGGCTTGGTGACGAGCGAAGCCAAAGACGAGGGGTTTGCTTGCTGTGGGCAGACGTCGAGAGAGCTCGAATGACGGGATGGAAGCAGTACTTACTACCTACACACGTCGTCAGCGCCAGCGCATAGTGGGGGTTTTGAGTCGTCAGAGGCGGCTCGGCGGCTCGGCGAGATCACGTGACGCACCGCGCGGTGACGACGTGCCATGTCCGGCAGAGCAAGCCAGAATCGGCGCTGCGGGACTTCACACCAGTCTACGGAGCAGAAACGAGATGACACGATCTCTTCACAATGGGGGATTCGGTTTCGTCCTCCAAATCCAAAATGCGCATACTGCTCCTCAATCCCAACTCCTCCCAAGACATGACCAGCCGCATGGTCCGGGCTGCCGAATCCACACCGGTATCCAATGTATGAATGCTGCCGACACAAAACAAGGAGGAATTAACCTGCGGACATGCTGACTCTCCCGAGTCTGTGCAAGTGCACCCCATGACAGCCAGCTGTGCCGCCCCCTCCAGCATCGACGACAGCCAAGACATCCAATCCAGCACGACAGTCGTGTTGAGCGAGTTGCCGCCCGCAGATTTTGCCCGGAACAACTGGGATGCCATCCTGGTCGCCTGCTTTAGCGTCCACAGCCTCGTCCCAGCACTGTCAAACTGGTTCGAGGGACCGGTGACTGGCATCTTTGAAGCCAGCATCTTGACCGCCATGTCTCTGCTGGGACCCGGCGAGCAATGGGGAATCGTTACAACGGGCAGGTTCTGGGAGAAACATCTGTCTGATGGCGTGTGTGAGTTCCTGGGCGCCGACCCACGCCGCAGCACCAAATTTGCTGGTGTTGCCACGTCGGGCTTGACGGCGGGCGACTTTCATACCGTCTCGCCAGAAGAGGTCAGTGCAAAGTTGAGCCTGGCTGCGAAAGGGCTTCTCGAATCTGGCAACATTGCGTGCGTGGTCCTGGGCTGCGGCGGAATGGCTGGACTGGAGGATATCATCCGTTGCGCCGCCGTACATGTATACGGGGAGCAGAGAGCCAGGAAGTTGTACATCGTGGATGGTGTCAAGGCAGGTATTATGCAGCTTCATCAGTGCATAAATGGCGCGAGGACCTTCAGATAACGCTACGCAAAAGCCGCCAAGTGCAAAATCAACCAGATACAATTGCTTGCTAAACAAAAAGGCCTGTTGGACAGCAACCCGTAACCATAGTCAATCCAAACGGCGCGTTCGTCCCCAAACCTCATCCGCATCCTTCTTTCCCCTCGTCTCAGGTACCCGAGCTCCGACAAACATGGCACCCAGCGCAGCAAGCCCAGCAAAGAGGAAATATACCCAGCCAGCTCCACCAAAGGCCCGGTTCAGTGCGGTGTTGACAATGGGAAAGAATTGGGCAACGATAAATGTTGCCATGTAATTGGCGGCCAGGCTCCAGCTTTGAGTTGCTCCAACAGCCTCCTGTCCCACAAGCTCCGATGCCATGATGAAGGGTACCGGGCCAAGGCCGACTGCGAAGAAGGCTACAAAGGCAAGCACGGCAAATGCTGATAGGACCTTGGCGCCAAACACGATGGAGAGCGCCAAGATGAGTGAGCTCGAACCTTGTCCGATAATGGAGATGAGCAACGACGTCTTGCGGCCCAGACGATCCGGCAACGGGGCACACGCGATGGTCATGCCGAGATTGACAGCCGAGATGATAATGGTTAGCTTCCCCGAAGATACCGGAAGCAAATCGGCGAGGAGGGAAACAGAATACATGATGATGGAGTTGATGCCGCAAAATTGCTGCGTCACCATGATTCCGACCACGGCAATAATGGCAGGCCGTGTGTTTATGTCCTTCACAACCTCCATGAAGCCCATGTGCCGCCTTGAGCCAGGGGCGGTAGGAGACGGTGGCGCGGTTCCATCGGTCTGGCCCAAGAGACCTTCCTCCTCGGCCTCTTGAGTAGATGCGGCGTCGGCGGCGGCGGCGCCCCAATGGGAAGTTTCTTGGTGGATATCAAAACCGCTACCTCTGATGCGCTGCAGTGTCCTCTTCGCCTTGGTGGGATCCCCGTGTGCAGCGAGCCAAGCAGGGCTTTCGGGAACCACGAATAGGCCAAAAAACTGTGCCGTGGCTATGCAAACGCCGATACCAAGAACCCATCTCCAAGCATGGCCGTAGCTCAAGAAGTACCCCAAGGTTTGCGTGAGGATGATGCCAACATTGATAGAGACTTGAGTCATGGCGCCGAATAGCCCTCGCTCGTCGGGAGGAGACATTTCGCTGATATAGAGAGGCACGATGACCGTGGAAGCTCCAGCTCCAAGGCCCGAAATAAGACGGCCTGCAGACATGGCGAAGACGCTGCCGGCCAAGGCCTCGAGCGCAGCTCCCACCATGTACAGCAGAGCCGTCGTTCTCATTGCTGGTAGTCGCCCGCGCTTGGAGGCGAATGGCCCAGCCGCCAGGGCGCCAGCAAGTCCTCCGACGGTGAAGATTGAAGAGACTGTAGCAAAGGCAGCTTCACTCATGGGGATACAGTCTGGTAGCCAGCCGGAGGACCCCTCGGTCTTGCCCGCAGTCTCTTTGATCCAGCCGGCAACGCGAGAGGCAGTGGAGATGGACTTTTTCTGACAGGTGATGACATCTTGAGGTGCATTGAGCTCGGCCTGGAAATGGTCAATTCGAGGTCAAGTAGCGTCTCGTGATGGCGTGTCTGAAGGTGCAGCCACACAGCCAGAGCTGTCGTGGGACTTGGAGGTCGAGTTGCAGCCACTCGAGTCTGTGGCAAGGAACGAGTTGGGAGTCGGCACTTACGAGATGAAAGCCAAACTGCAGCGACGCGAGGGTTGCGACGCCGATGAGCACTATCAGATAGGCGGTGATGTCATGCAGGCACTGCCGGATGCCACGTCCCGCCATTGTCACTCTTGAGAGATTTGGTGATGATGATTGAGGAGGAGACGGAGGATGATGAAGGCGCAACGAGGCTGCGGGATTCACCTGTCACTCCTCGCTTCGTGACGGGCCCCACAATTTGCTTGATTGGGACATCAACCTCAATATGACATTGCACGCATGCCGATGAACGGCTAGTTACAAGACAGCTCATGACACAGTCATCAACCAGAAGATGATAAAATCCCGACATGTCTTGTGGGACCTCTGCGGCCTTGAGCTGCGAGGCTGGGAAGGCCTGACTGACTGTCTGTCGAGGCCGTCTCCAGCCACAACCACGGCTTCATGTCCAATTCGGCATACATGGCTCTCGATAGCTTGGCTACTGCTAAATCAGCGCTCGTTGATCAAGGTGGCTGGCATGATGGTCGAATCATTGTGCGTTCAACCTCGGCCAACGGTATGCTTATCTGTGACCTTTTCACGAGCAATACTGTGCTTGCAACGGCCAATACATGTAGTCAGCCAGCTGTCTACTACTTTTGTTGAAGAAGTAGGTACTCCCATGGGCGGTAGTCGCGACAAGGGCCATAGCAACAGGGCCTTGAATAACTCAACTCAACGAGTATAACAACAAGGTCCCTAAGTTCCCACGCAAAGACCCTCCGTGGCCAAAGTCGTGTCTACGCAGCGGGCCTGACTTATCTGTAGGCCTCGTGGCCGTAGCCCTTATGTAGCCGTTTTGTTGCTGGAAAACAACCACCCACCCAAGACCACGAATATCGCGGCGCGGTCTCGGTGCAATGACAGCGGCGGCAAGTCAGCAACAACAGTATCCACGCTCAATACCGCTTCCATCAATACCACTACCAGAGAGCCGAGTTGCTCTGATCAAATGGTCTCGTAGTATTCTCTTGGTCCAGTTGGCACAGGGCGTGCGCTCGGCCCATCAAGCCACGTGGTTAATCATCGCCGTGTGCAAAGTAAGCCAGAAAGAGGCCATATTGATGTTGATATTCACAGAAGAAGACAGGGCGAAGTCCCTTCTCATACACGCTATACTCCGTACTACGTGACCAAATGATGCACCCTCTTTTCCGTGCGATAGGGACGGGTGGGAGAGCCGCGACACACCGCGTGAACGTGACAGAAGGGGCCCAGAATCCCAGGCCATACGTAGCGAGTCTGACAAGAGGAACGGGATTGTTGCCGCCATCCATGGGCGCGGGGGCCAGGGCCGAGTCCATGCTTTGGTCGTTGTCGATGTTGCCGAGTGAGGTCACGCTGCACCAGTCACTGGTCAATGCCAGGTTAGCTGGCCTTTGAACGGATCTGCTGGCGGGCAAGGGATCCTGACACATTCGTCGACATGTCACATTTGCACCAATACTCCCTCGGCTGTCCGTAGTCCGTAGATCTGGATTGAAGGATTTCACTTTGCAAAGGGCGCGAGCAACGCGCCCCGTCTTTTCTCCGCCCAGACCTGCCATGGCCTTGGGTCCTGGGCCCCTTGAACAGCCGGCCTGTTGTTGCGCGCTGGGAGGAGGAGGACCCGTGGCCGCGTGGACCAGGGAGAATGTCGATGGCGGGTGGGTGGCACTGGATGCAATGTCGAGTCGGAAACAGGCCCTGCGCGGGAGATTTGACGACGTTCAGTCAGATGGAGGAATCACACACAACAATCGGGCAGCGTTTTCTTCCGAAATAGGTTCACGACGCCGTGGGGGCTGTCTGGACGAAACCGCCCGGTGTAGACGGCCTGGCATCAAGAAGCCGTCCAACAGGCGGTTTGCAAGCAGAAGGAAGACCCGAGGAGGCAGAATAGCACACACATCCGAGAGCGGGAACAAACAATCGCGCCGCAGACGACGGCGGTGTGAAGGCGGGAGAGACGTTGGGCGTGTGCGTGCCCGGGGTGCAATGCCACGGCAGATGGACAAAGTATGTAGGTCGAGGTACCCGTACATTGACGGTGGAAAGGACTGGGATTATTCTGCAGTCTGCTGGGGCCGGGAAACCCACAATGTTCGTGGCAAGATGTTGGTATTGGTTTGCTGGTATCGTCGGGTCAGGGTTAGGGTTGAGCTGGACGCACTGACGAACAGTAGGCGTCAGAAACGACGTAGATACCGCTCGGTCAAGAGAGTCGACCAGGTTGTGCCCTTTATAATTTATTACTCCTGCAGAAGCGACACCTTCAAGAGGCCCGGTGCTCTTGACAAATTGCTTCCCTCGGCCAAGAACGTCGCATGGATCATCACGACTCCCACGTGTCAAAACTTAAGCGCGCCCTTTAGATGGATTCGTCCCCAATTCTGTGGATACCATCTTCACGCAGTCGTGTAGTATCCCAAGGATCGTTTCAGCCACTAACGCGTCGCAAAGCAAGGCTACGTATTTTATTAATCTAGTTTTTCACCATGCAGTCTCCATCGCCTCCATCGCCTCCATCGGCAGACATCCAACTCCGTCAGTCGCGGCCGAAGCCGCTCATTTGCGACCCCCACGCTGGACGAGGCGTGGAACTGACCTTCTCTCTTTCTGCTTCTTGGTTCGTCCTTGTCAGAATCCGGAACCGCTCCCATGGCTCGAGACCCATATCAGTAAATGAAACCGGGTCATCACGGGGCAGTGAGCCCTATTAAAAGCTTGCAGTGCTGCAATGCATGTTCGAGTGAACAAGTGTAAACCCCGGACCAAAAGGGCGGACGGCTTGCCTCGTCCTGCAGCAAAGACAAGAACAAAAAGACCATGGCTTCGAAATCCGATGCCCGGGTGGCAAGCACACACTCTCCAGCACTACTCGAAGCACACGCCAAACAAGAAGCAGGTCATCCCGAGGACCTCGTTGCCCGCATATCCACCCTCGACAGAGCCTACCAGGCCTCGCCCCCCGATGGCGGTGTCCGAGCCTGGTGTCAGGTGCTCGCGGGACACCTGATCGTCTTCAACACATGGGGCTACATGATTAGCTTTGGTATCTTCCAGCCTTACTATGCGGAGGTGCTGGCCATGGATCCCTCGGCAATCGCCTGGATAGGCAGTGTCCAAATCTTCCTCGTCTTCCTGGTCGGCACCTTTGCCGGCCGAGCGTTCGACGCCGGCTATTACAGGGCTGCTCTCGTCATTGGCAACCTGCTTCAGCTCGCGGGCATTGCCATGACCAGCGTGGCCCACGAGTACTGGCAAGTGTTCCTGGCCCAGGGAATATGTCAAGGCCTCGGGTGCGGAGTCGTCTTTGCGCCCACAGTCGCCAATGTTTCGACCTACTTCTCCAAGAAGAAGAGCATTGCCATATCGCTCGGAGCTTGTGGGGGGGCTGTGGGGGGCATCGTCTTTGCCTTGATGGCACAGCAGCTTCTGCCCAAGCTCGGCTTTCCGTGGACGGTGCGAACGATGGGATTAGTCGTGCTGGTTTCGTCCGTCATTGTCTATCTGCTGGTCGAGCCAAGACTGCCGCCGAGGAAGTCGGGTCCCATTGTGGAAATGGCCGCCTTCAAGGACAGCACATATCTCCTGTTTGCCGTCAGTATGTTCTTCACGCTGTGGGCTGCATACTTTGCGTACTACTATGTAGGTCCTCTGCGCCGGACAGTCAACCCCCTGCCAGATTTGCAACGCATATCCAAGTAGCTACTCCGTACTTACTGCATCCAGGCCCGGGCGTATGCTCTCAATGTCCTGGGCGGCTCCCAGTCGACGTCCTTCACAATGCTCCTCGTCATCAACGCCGTCGGCATCCCGGGGCGTCTCATCCCGGCATTCATCGCCGATCGATACCTGGGAGCCGTCGACACATTCATTCCCTCCATCTTTTGCGCAGCCATTTGCATGTTCGGCTGGATAGGCGTCCGGAACGTGCCCGCAGACTACGCCTGGCTGTGCATCTATGGATTCTTTGGCGCCGCCATCCAAGGCATGTTCCCGTCTACGCTGGCCGGATTGACCAAGGACCTGAGCAAGGCCGGCACAAGGATCGGCATGATCTTCACAATCGTCAGCGTCGCAGCACTGACGGGCCCGCCGCTGGCAGGAAAGCTGATTGAGGTGAACGGCGGGAGGTATCTGGCCGTCCAGATCTGGGGTGGTTCGTGTCTCGTGCTGGGCGGGCTATTGCTGCTGGGGGCGAGGAAGGCAAGCAAGAAGGATGAGGGCCGGAAACAATGAAGCCGTGCACCATCCGGCACGCATATAGAGCACACACATGTAGAAACGATGGACGCGAGTAGCCAATTGACGATAGACTGAACCCTGCCGGGGCCGAGCCTGTTGGTGTTGTACGTAGTGCGTCTGGTAAGAACGGAAAAGCCGGTTTGTCGTGTGCCCATTGCTGATCCCCACTTCAGCTCAAGCCGGTTTTTGTTGAACGGCAGGCCAATGTTCAAAACCCTTCATTCTCACAGCCCAGCATGTTCATGTTCTCAGCACCATGGATATGCCAAAGCTGCACACGCGTGCGCCAGCGCTCATACTGGCGACAATTCACTCGCCTCGCTTCGAATCGGACCTCGAGCGCCGTCGACGCCAGAGTGACAACCACGCAGTTGCCAACCACCACGACACCGCCCACGCCATCAACACTGGCACCCAGCCTGCTCCAGCGCGCCCAGTCCCTCTTTGCCGAGCGTGAAGCCCTGCAGAAATCCCTCAACGCCCGGTTCGACTCGCAAAAGGCCCGCCGCGCAGGCGAGCTCGACCGCGTAGCCGCAGCCCTCGCAGCATGGCGGCAGTCGCTCTCGTCCATCCGCGACCTCCAAGCCATGGCGGACGACGAGCAGGACCCCGACCTGGCGGCCATTGCACGCGATGAGCTGCAAACCGAACAGGCAAAGCTCGAGTCGCTGGGAAAGAAGCTCTCCGCCAGCCTCACGCCGCGGCACCCGTTCGCCGACCTGCCGTGCATGATCGAATTCCGCCCGGGACCAGGCGGCCTCGAGGGGCGGTACTTTGCAGACTCCGTCTTCAAGATGTACAAGGCGCTATGCCTGCGCCGCGGCTACCGCGCCAACGTGCTCAAGTACGAAATGGCCGACGCGGCCGGCGACCAGTCGTCGTCGGCGGGGGAAAGCCCGCTCCAAGAAGCCATCCTCGAGATCCAAGACGCAGGCGCCTACGACACGTTCCGCAGCGAAGCCGGCATGCACCGTGTGCAAAGGATCCCCAGCACCGAGAGCAAGGGACGGGTCCACACGAGCGCCGTGGCAGTCTGGGTGCTGCCGTCGTTCCCAGAAAGCAGCAGCAGCGAAGCCGACGCCGACGGCCCAGACAGCGACTTCTACGTGAACCCGCAAGAGGTCAAGGTCGAGACGACGCGGGCCCGCGGTGCGGGCGGGCAGCACGTCAACAAGACAGAGTCGGCGATTCGAATGACGCACCTGCCCACCGGGACGACGGTGTCGATGCAGGACCACCGCTCGCAGCAGCGCAACCGCGAAGACGCCTGGAAGCTGCTGCGCTCGCGCATCGCCAGCCAGCGCGCCGAGCAGCGCGCCGAGGCCGCCGCCCGGCTCAGGAACAGCGTGCTCTCGCAGACGCAGATCACGCGCGGGGACAAGATACGGACCTACAACTACAACCAGGACCGGTGTACCGACCACCGCGCCGGCCTCGACGTCCACAACCTCCCCGACGTGCTGCACGGCGGCGAGACGCTGGATCGCGTCATGGACGCCGCCAGGGAGTGGCTGGTGGCGAGGGAGATTGACGCTCTCGTCGCCGAGGAGGAGGCCAAGGCGGCCGCTGCGGCCGTCGGTGCCAAGTGATTTCCGGCAGCACATGCGTGACGGTGTATTTATGTCTTGTACCATAATGTATACCCTGCTTCAATGTATAGAGGGTCTCTCGGGCAGCTTCCTATCCCGGTGTACATGGCATTCGCAACGCCCAGCAGTCGTCGGCAAGTGAGACAAGCAGACTACGTTGACCGAGTCGGTATATCGCAATATGACTCTCCGTGATTACACTAACTCGAGCCGTGTCAGCGCACGCGCCTTTCTCCCGAACCCAGACATCCCACAATACCGTGATACCATCGTCGCTCATATACTCTAGATGAGGGGAAAAAAAAAACAAAGAGCCTTCCCACATGCACCAATTATTTACCCATGCCCATTATTTACCCATGTCCCTGTCCTCCCGTGCATTGCGACAACGACAACCGGTTGCATGCGGAAACAAGAAACTCCGAGCCCCCATTGCAACAAGAAAAAAAAAATGCACCTCCGTAAGAATGAAGCCGTGTAGAAAATCAACTGTCCGTGTCCATGGTAGTCGTAATCATTGCCACCTGTCGCATCACATTAGACCCCCCAGGACGACCTTGCCGATGCTGGCCACCTCGGTCTTGACGTGAGCTCTGCTGTGGTCTTCAAACTCCTTCACCACGCCCTGCACTATGATCTTGCGCAGCTTCGAGTCGACCTTGGCGAAGAGCTCGGCCACCGGGGCGGAGCACTCCTTCGGAGTGGGCACCAGGGCCAGCAGCCGCGAGTAGCAGTCGATCAGGACGTCGCACAGCGTGGCAAAGGTCTCCACGAAGTCGGGCTCAAACGGGAGCGCGGGCGTGAGGAGGTACGTGTATTCCTCGCCGGGGAAGAGGTCGCTCTCGGAGACGGCAAAGTTCATGACCGACGGCGTGGTGTTGCCGGCGCCGGCGCCGCTGGGGTGAGGGAACGCGTGCGAGTCGTCGAGGTGCATGTCCGCCGCCGACCCGGAGCGCCGCGACTTGCCGCCGGGGCGGCGAAACATGGTTGGCAACCGGGCCCGCGCGTGGGCCGCCGAGGAATCGCCGTGGAGCTGCTGGAAGGAATCAAACTCCGACAGCAGCGAGTTGAGGCAGCGCAGGAATTCGATGGGCGTGGACGAGTACAGGTCGATGACGGTGGGGATGGAGAGCCCGAGGAGGAGGTAGTTTGCCGCTTTGCGGGCGAGCTTGCGCGGGTCGAGACACTGCATCCGCGACAGGTCCGGCCGCTCAAAGAGATAGGTGTTGAACCAGTACACCCGGCCCTCGTGCCTGCACAGTGAGAGTTAGTAGCTGCGTCCGTGGCATACAGCGTTGCTGCGTCCGTCGTTGATGTTGTTGCGGTTGTACATACGCCTTTCGCAGGTATTCCAGCGTTGATATCCTCTTGGCGGCCACGTCGGTCATCTGCTCGTGTATCATGCTCGCTTCGCTCTGCTGCCAGGTGCCGGTGGCGGTGTTATTCAGCGAGGCGGTGGCCCCGGCCGACATGGGAGGCGGGAAGTAGCCGCCCCCTGCAGCGGTGTTCGTCCTGCTCATGCTCGCAAGACCGCCGGCTGCGCCGCTTGGACTGACGGGGCTTCGGACGCTGTCGTCGACACCTCCCACGTCCCGCTTGTCGCGGTTTTGAAGCTTGGCTGCGGCGGGCAGTGCGTACTCGGGCAGTGCTGGCGGCGCGGCAGCGTCTGTGACAACGGCATTGGGGTTCGAAGCAGCCGCCGAGCCCACGGAGGAGCCTCTCCTACGCGCGGTTCCGGAGAGCGAGGCTTTGCGCGAGAAGGAGGCCTTGCGAGACTCCTTGACGGGAGCGGATGTAGGAATGGGCGGCGGGGGTGACTGCGGCGGGTGATGAAGCGGCTCGACGCTGCCGTCACGGGTTGATGGCCTCGAGAAGGAGCCGGGGTTGGTGAAGAGGGCGACGGAAAAGGGAGCGCCGGGGAAGACGGGCGTCGAGGAGGAGGTCGGCGTAGTTCGCTGCATGGCGGCGGCGGCTGTGTGACGGGACTGCAACTAATAAGCTTGGGCCGGATTCGGCGTCGGTGGATGACCACGGCCAAGGCCGACTGGGTGATTATTAAAGTTGACGTCTAGGCGCGGTGCGAAGTAGTGCAGTCCGGCACCGCTTGAGCGGAGAATGGCAACGCGGGCTGTAGAACGCAGCCGGGTGGATGAATGAAGGCGTCGTCAGAGAGTCAAGGTCGGCAGTGCAGCGGCGAGATCAGCTCAACTCCAGAGCCGACTGCTTAAGTAGCGTCGTGCTCGTATGTTTGAGCCAGCATCGAACCTGTAGTCTGGAGACGGGGGAATCTGAATTTAATGTAGATTCAGGAACATTGCATGGAGGTGGCGTGCCCCCCCCCGTCGACTTTTGGTGGGAGCCGCAGCGGATTGGGAGGCTGAGCTTTGACGTGAATTGGCACATGTGGAGATGGCGCCGCAACTCTATTGGCCACGCTGCGTGCCCACCACGTGCCCTGGCCGGGATGGTCCGGGATTCCTGGATTCCTGGATTCTTGTCGAGACTCGAAACGCAGGACGCCGCATGTCGGTACTCGCCATGCCCGACGTCACCACCGACCTAAATATACCTACCTACTGCCGCTCGTTGTTGGCGAGAATTGCACCGACAATTTTGACTGATGGCAAGGCGGAAAAACGCCGCCCCCCCGTCAGCCATGTCGCAGCTGATGCAAATTGCAGGGACACACTCGGCAGAGTCGGCACAAGAAGACATCAACAGTCGTCAAGGAGATGGTGATAATACGCTCATTTCGAGACTGCTCTGCCAGGGCAGGGTTACCCTGACAATGGCTGTCCTTTTCCAGGTTATGTACTTGGATCTAACTAAGCACCCTCCGTGTGACAGACGTCCTCGCAGCTCAACCCGGAGCAAACGAAATGATGAATTCCGCGAGAGCCTCAGAACAGCTCCGACTCCCGACCCAGCCTCGATGCAGGAGATATCCCCTCCGCGGGGACACATGGATCCTGATTCGGCGGATATTGCCTTCCCCTCCCCGTTTTCTCGTTTCATTTCCCCTCCCATTGACTTTACTATGCGCCTGAAACCCTGTTGGTCTGTTTCCACCACCGGTGCCGGGCTGCCCCTGGCTCGGCCGTGGATTAAGCTTTTGCAAAACAAAATCTTTGGATGAGATACGGAGAGATGCAATTTTTTTTATTTTTTTTTATCGCCTTGGCTTTAATTGCGCTTTCGTCTATTTGTGTGGGCTTCCTTTTCTTTCTCCTTCTCTCTTTACACACACAAACACACACACACACACACACACACACATATATATGTATGTATATAGGTTTACTTATTTTTTTCATGTTGCCTTGAAAAAGCCATCTCGATAGGCAAATAATATGCATTAGTTTCTTGGCATTGTTCCATTGCCAGACATGGCGATGCAGAGTTCGACCTTGTGAGGCTACTTGACCGTTAGATTGCATTGCCCTACCGGTTTCCCCTTCAGCTTCACTTGCCAAGGGTCTCGAATTTGTTTCTATATATAACTCAAGCTTACACGCTATTTACAGAAAAGTATACTGAGCGAGAACCCCACAGCTGCGGTGGCTACGGTGTCGGCAGCGGCATAATATTAGAGGCAGTGCTAGAACACACGCACCCTCCGTCCGGAAGACTCGTGGCCGGCGGCTGTTCACACGTAGCTTCGGGGGTGAACCCGGTAGTAGTAGCGGTTGTGGTCGACGAGGGCGCAGGCGGCACCACGTCAGCTTTGATGAGAACCGGAATAATCTGCCCGGTTGACAGGCCAAAGGGCCGGTGGTTCAGCGCGGTGAGCAACGCGGCAATTTCACCAGAGTGGCTCGTGACGCTGATCCATGTAGAGCCGTCGTGGGTAAAGACGTCGTCGAGAACGGCCTTGCTACGGGCGACCTGGTGGACCGGCGTCTCTCCCTTGTCGGCTTGCCATAGCTCGTCCTTCTCGGTGAAGCCGTCCTCAAAGTTCCATCCTGGCATGAATTCGGCAATCTCGGACTTGGTGGAGCGGCGGTCGCATGTGTGGATGCTAATGTCCTCGCGGAAGAGTTCCTTGATGGTGGGCACGAACGGGTGCTTCGGGGGCGTCTTCAGGGTGCCAAACGTCGTGTTGGCCGTTTGGAGACATCGCTTCAGGGGAGAGCTGTAGTATGATTCAAAGTGCGGCATGCTTTGCTCCTCGTGGAGCGTCTTGTAGAAGCTGTTGGCCTTTTGGGCCTCACTGAAGCCGTCTGCAGTCAAGACCGGATCGGCCCACGTGATGGTGCCGTTGCCTTCTAACTCAGCCCAGTAGCACTGGAGACTGACGTGTCAGATGTCACCATGTCCCGAGTTGAGGCGACGCGAGGCGAGAGGGCGTACTCACGTTCCATGCAGGCGTGCCATAGTAGCTCTCGGCGACGTTGTGGTAGCCCTGACCATGGCGCCCAAAGAAGACGACCTTGTACCGGGTGCTTTCGCCCTTGCCACAGTCGTGGTTGAGGTGATGAACCCACTCGCTGAAGCGCTGCCATTGCGACTGGATGCCGTCAGGGTCAAACTCGTCGTCCGTGGGGTATTTCCTGTCTATCAACCCAAAGTTGTGCTGAGCCTGCGTACGAAATCCCGTGTCAGCGCGAGCACTTGAGAGAAGGTGAAAAAAGCAGGGCGAGGGAATGGCCACGCCACACGCCATTGGGCTGATTCTATTTTTCTGTGTTTTTTAGTCTCCCTTGCACGTACATAGTCGAAGCCGCTTGGATTCGTGTCGGGATCGTCTTGGAGAAAGTAGCCTGCCACGGACGTGTACTGGATTTGCCTGCCCTTTGCCTCATGCCATGGCTCCATGGTGTGCGATGCAAGGACTAGCAAGGCTGGGAGGGACAAAAACTTCATGCTCGGGCTGACGGTTAGCAGCTGTGCTGTAGCCTGTACGAGGGGACGGCGCTGAGTTAATTGATTTATGAACAATGGAAGGCGATGCACATGTTGGAATGTTGAATGTCGACGACGCCCAAGCCGGCGCCAATGGATCGGCAACGTGGATGTGGGAGTGAGTTTTGGGCTTATTTGTTGCAGCCAGCCGTCAAGCTACTTCGGTTCCCACTGAATCGACTGGATATGCGTGAGGCAGCGTTGATGCACAGAAGACACTCGAGTCCCTTGTTCAAGCTGTGCGTAGTTGTTTTCCATGGACACCAAGTGAAGGAATATGGTATCCGGCGAGATGGATCAGTATCAGGAACTGCACGTGGCCAACCCGGATCACTCGGCCGTAATCAGATGCCGTCACACCAAAAATGGCGTAGCCAGAAGCCACGTTTTGTGTGTGTTCATCATTAGCCCTCGATCTTGACAGATGCGGATTAACGCGACGAGTCCGCCACAACTCATGACTCTCCGCTCCACGAGGTTTAATAAGTCGCCATCATCCATCAAGCAGTCGTCGCCAATGGATGCATCTGGTGTCTGACATCTGGCTCATGCGTGCTAGGCGGGCTGTGCCAACGCGAGCAAGGAGCACAGGGAGCAAGATGGGACAAAGGGGCTCCTGCCTCAATCCCTCATCAAGGGCCCCCTGGCCTTGGCCCCCTTACCGCCCGGCGAGTCCGCATGTGAGGTCCCCATTCCTAATTTGACTGGACCCGGACCCGGACATGGACGTCTGCGATGGACACATCTCCCAACGCAAAAACCACGATCCAACCGCAGACCTGGTTGTCAGCCGTATCGAAAGCGATTCACCACATGTGCATCTGTCATACCTTCCCTTCCCCTTTCCCATCCATTTGACGACTGTCGCTGCTACCCCACCATGAGCATGAGCGCAGCTACCGAGGAGGGGCAGCCACAAGGGGAGCCTGCCCCTGAGCTGCTCGACGGCCGTATTTGGGTTGATGGCTGCTGGGACTTCTTTCACCATGGTATGTCAACAAGCTCTCGGATGGGTATGCCTTCATTTTCACGGCTTACTTAATTGCTGCTGTTAGGTCACGCCGGCGCCATGGTTCAAGCCAGGCAGCTCGGCGACGAGCTGTATGTTGGCGTGCATTCTGACGAAGAAATTCTGGCAAACAAGGGCCCGACCGTCATGACCCTGGAAGAAAGGTATGGCGCCGATGGAATCAGTCCCAACTTTTGAGCTTGTCGTCATTCTGATCCGCGACTTAGATTGGCAGCCGCAAATGCTTGCCGCTGGGTCACCAAGGCCATTGGCCATGCTCCATACGTCACCGAGCTTCCTTATATCACGCACTACGGCTGTAAATATGTCGTGCATGGAGATGATATCACTTCTGACGGTGACGGCAACGACTGCTACCGCTTTGTCAAGCAGGCTGGTCGCTTCAAAGTTGTGAGGCGCGCTCCGGGCATCTCCACCACCGATCTCGTTGGCCGCATGCTTCTGTGCACAAAAACGCACTTTATTCATTCTCTACAAGAGATGCTTGTTGGAGAGGAGGGGTACGGAAGCCCCGACGAACGCAAAGCCCAGGGAAAGACCATGCTAGAGCGCATGAAGCTGTACGCGACAAATGAAACAGCAAAGGCCCCCGGAGCCGATGTGTGGTTCTGGAATGCCTCAAACCAGGCCAAGGCGGGGGACACTGAAGAAGAGACGGGAACATTTGAGAAGCTGCTCACTGGCATCGGCCCTCGGCCAGGACAACGCATTGTTTACGTGGACGGAGGATTCGACTTGTTTTCCAGTGGTCACATCGAGTTTCTGCGAAGAGTAGTCGTTGAGGAAGCGAAAGTGGCCGGCAAGTCGGACTGGTACTCTGACGAAGCCAAGAGCAAACGCACGAGCAACGGCGGCAAAGATTATGACCCGGCGTTTGTGGTTGTTGGAGTCCATGACGATGAAGTGATTAACCAGTGGAAGGGTGTCAATTACCCGATTATGAACATTTTCGAACGCGGTCTTTGTGTCTTGCAATGCAAGGTATGTGCTGCACTGTTGCATCGTGGTCTTGGCCAACGGACAGGCGAGACATGATGGCAGCAGGCTTCTGCTTGCCAGTGGTCCTGACTTTTTATTGTAGTACATCAACGCCGTCGTGTTTGGCGCCCCGTTCACCCCGACAGAGTCATACTTGAAGTCAATGCCATGGGGTGTTCCGGATGCCATCTATCACGGCCCGACGGCGTTTATGCCGCTGACGTACGACCCGTATACCGCGACCAAGAAGATGGGAATCTACCGGGAGATTGGGCAGCATGCTTTTGCTGAAGTTAATGCCGGCGAGATCGTGCAACGCATCATGAAGAGCCGCGACAGGTACGAGGCGAGACAGCGAGCCAAAGGTGTCAAGGCAGAGGTGGAAGCAGCAGCTAGACAACGTGAGATATTGGAAGAGGAGCAGCGCAGCAGGGAAGCCAGCACCGGTGCTGGGGATGCCGTTGGTCCCAATGCGTAAGCCGCGCGGACTGTGAAGAGCTGTGGTTGACGACGAGCTGCATATTGCGTATTGCAGCGTGCAGGTGAGAGCACAGGCGGGACATCAAGTATCACTGGCACATGATGCAGCGACCCATGCATTTATGGATCGGGTTTTTTTTTGTCTTGTGTTGTACTCGGACCGGATACTACGAGCCTCTTGTTGGATGGCTCTCGACAAAGGTCGTCCATGGCAGACACGAGGGCCAGGGCAGGTGAAGCGAGGGGCGGCTTGATTCACCCCCGGGCCACTTGTGCAAGCCGGAGAGAAGGAATGAAAGCAAAAGTGAACAGACAAAGATGGCTGGCAGCGTCGAGTTGATGACGAGGTTTGGCAAAGGCAGGGCAGGGCGGTGACGCTGTAGCAGTCGCTACCGAGTAGGAAGAGACACACGGAGTATCAGTGATTGGAACAAAACAGAGAGGAGAAGCTCGAGCGTGACGGATATCACTTATCAGCCTCGGAATGATTTGGACTCTGGGGCTGGATGGCAAGGTCAATGTTGAACCGCGGTGGTAAAACCATGGTCACGCGGGCAAGTGTGTGCTTTCAACTACGCAGCACTTATTTACGAAAGGAGAGTGTGGGAGGCGCGGCGGCCGTGTGCACTTTGCGCGAGCTTCCCGGCAGGTATTCGTGTTACCCAGGACGGTGATCTCATGAACGGAGAGCGACGGAGCGCGTGAGAATTTGTGTGTGCTGCCACAAGACAAGAGTCGGAGAGAGTGAGTGCGATGACCAAGGGAGACGACCTCTTGAATGAGGAACCAAGTCGAGTCGACGAATACAGTAGGCATCTGTTTCATTGGCTGTGGAGCAATAAAGCTTGTTTGACTGCGTTGGAAAATGGACTGCAAAGTGAAATCTGATGGTGTCTGGGTGAGCACAGCGTGGTGACGTGGGCGGTTGGCGGTAGGCGGTTGACCATTTGCATGTCATCAGACAGCTAAGAGCAGCATTCCTCCGTACTAGACCAGAAGCCCGACGTTTACGCAGGGCAGCGCGGCTATCCGCGGCGGTGTTTCGGTGAGAGCAATTCCGCCCTCGAGTGCTGGTTGGACCATCGTGGGGCCCCTCCCATGAATCGCAAAACGGACAACGGCATGAGCTCTATTACAGACAGGCCTTAGTGCGCCCTTGTGGTCTCGGCGAAATTCTAGAGACATTCTGGAGAAACCCAGACGCGAATGCGTGGGGGGAAAAACGGCTCACGAGCATTCCTTTTGTCCCGGGTGACTTTATCATGACGCACACCGCCACTTTTATTTTAGTTTTTTCTTCCCCTCCAAGGCTGGCTGAATCGGCGTGCATGGTGGGCTGGGGGCGAGGCCGGCAGGTGCAGTTGACAAGTTGACAACGATTGTGAGATGATGGATGGACGACGACTTGTAGAATGACGGCCACGACGGCAACATTCGTATTCAATCGCCAGTGCCTATCCAGACAACTCGGCACGCCCGCCGTCTCAGGTCGGGCCGACGGACATGTCTCCTCGAGCACGGCGTACTCGGTACCTACTCAATTGGATGGTCTGGCGCTGCCTGTGTACTTGGGCACTCGAGGAGCCTGCAGCCGTCTGTCTGCCTCGACTCCACGGCTCGGTTCCGCACCGCTTGGCACCGCTTGGCCCGGCCCGGCGTCGCACAGCTGCGGAAGCGTGGTTGCGGTGCATGCTGCTGCTGCTGCTGCTGCAGCAGCACAGGCCGAAGACCAAGACGGGGGTCGATCGAGCCCTTCCATTTCGTCTCTCCAGCATCGCAGGCGCGCTTTTTAAATGGGAATTGATTGAATTGTGCCATCGAGCAACCCCCCCTATTGCGTCCCCTCCCCGTCGTGCACAGGGCCCGACCGTGCAGACCCAAGTTGAGGTGTAAGCCGACTTGGACGGGCCTCGCGGAGTGCCGTGGAGGAGCGGCAGGCGTCGGAGGGCCTGGGTCGCGCCTACCAACCCTGCGGCTTTGGCGACGAGTCACCTGCCCACCTTGCTTTCCCGATTGAGCGAGCGCCCCCTCCATGGGGCCACGGGCGGGTCTGCCGAGCACGCGGGGCGGATGGGCGGCGGCTCTCCACGGAGTACCGAGTACATTTTTTTCCTGTCCCTTGGTTCCTTGTTCCATGTGCGGCCGCCGTGTTCCTCGGAAACCAGCTTGTGTTGGCCTTGTTGGCATCCTTGACGGCCCATTTCGTGACGTGCCGATGCGACTCGCGCACAGATAACCTGCGTCGGCACCTTGTATGCCCGGTGTCCTTGTCTGTCTGCCTTGCTCACTTAGTGTTTGGTGGCCCCAGCCATGCGGAAATGGAGGTGTCACGGAAAGGCAGGTACTTGCCTGGCTGCTGCCCACACACGGATGGGACGGTGTTGAAAGGAAAAAGTAAAAAAATAAAAATAAGAAAAATAAAAAAACAAGCCCGAGACGTCGACTCCACGCAGAAAGCACGTCACGTCAAAAAGACACGCGGCAGAGAGCAAGAGAGAGAGGGCGGGAGAGGAGGGACCGCGATAAGAAAAGACGGGGCGCGCCTTTCCAAGGCAGCCCAGCCCAGCCCGCTCACGCTGTCTCTTCTCTTCTGGGAGACGTCCGGCTCGGCTGCCATGGGTACGGAGTACTTATCAAGAATGAATGCTATGGGTACCCCGGCACCCGGTCCCTTCGGCACTAACATGAATACAGAATAACTTGATACTTCACGGCGCAGGCACGGGGGTGCTGCTAACTACTTCTGACTCGCTCTCTTTTTAAACCGCCCTTGTTCTTGTCTTTTCCTTCTGCCCCCCTCCCGAACACACTCTGCAAACACTGCATTCTTGCATCCGCGGACGACACGACAGGGGCGGAATCCGCTTCATGTCTTGTAAGTGCGATTGGGCCTTGTTTCTTGTTTCTTCTTCTTCTTCTTCTTCTTCCTCTTCTTCTGCTCCCCTTCTCCGCAGTTGAGCGTGGTTGGAAACCTCTCGAAAAACCAGACTTCCGCTGAGACCTGGCCAGGTCGAGAAATCCTCTGATCCAGAGACATTGCCACATCACGAGCACCCAGGCAGCAGCAACAAGTCACGAAAACACACGAGCGAGCACCACAATGGCCCCCTCCGCCGTCCCCCAGCAGGACGTCAACCTGACCGGCGCGGCCATCCAGCGCAAGGAAGCCAGCGTGCCCAACGGCGACGGCGGTCAAAAGGCGGCCCTGGACGCCTCCAGGCTCACCTACTCGCTGACCAAGTCGCCTCGACCCGTGCCCGACGAGGCCACGGCCAACGCGGGCGACGAGACTGTCGCCACCGACCACATGGTGACGGCTACGTGGAAGGCGTCGACGGGCTGGGGCGTGCCCGAGCTCAAACCCTACGGGCCCCTGAGCCTCATGCCGACGGCATCGTGCCTGCACTACGCCACCGAGTGCTTCGAGGGCCTCAAGGTCTTCCGCGGCCACGACGGCAAGCTCCGCGTCTTCCGGCCGGACCGCAACTGCGCCCGCATGCGCATGTCGGCCGGGCGCATCTCCCTGCCGCTCTTCGAGCCCGCCGAGCTGGAGAGGCTCGTGGTGGCGCTGCTGTCCGTCGACGGCCCTCGCTGGCTGCCCGCCTCCCGGCCGGGCAACTTCCTCTACATCCGCCCGACCCTCATCGGCACCCAGTCGCAGCTGGGCGTCCAGGCGCCCAAGGAGGCCATGCTCTACATCATCGTCACCTTCATGCCGCGCATGGACTCGCCCCCCGGCGGCATGCGCCTGCACACCTCCCCCGAGGACATGGTGCGCGCCTGGGTCGGCGGCTTCGGCTACGCAAAGGTCGGCGCCAACTACGGGCCCTCGCTCGCGGCCACCCAGGACGCTCGCCGCCGCGGCTTCCACCAGATCCTGTGGCTGTACGGGCCCCAGGGCGAGTGCACCGAGGCCGGCGCCTCCAACTTCTTCGTCGTCTGGCGCCGCAGGGACGGCCGCACCGAGATCGTCACCGCCCCGCTCGACGACAAGCTCATCCTCGACGGCGTCACCCGCCGCAGCTGCCTGGACATTGTGCGCGAGCGCATCCCCGCCTCCGAGGTCGTCGTCACCGAGCGCAAGTACACCATTGACGAGCTGGTCGAGGCGGATGCCGAGGGCCGCCTCCTCGAGGCCTTTGCCGCCGGGACTGCTGTAAGGATGAGCAAAGCAGATGCTCTGCTGCCCTCCCGTCGCCCTCTTTGAAAACCACACGTGCAGTTCCCCCCTGGCTGACTCGTCTTCCTTCATAGTACTTTATCTGCCCGGTTTCGCAGATCCACCACCGCGGCAAGGACATCAACATCCCCATGGGGCCCGAGGGCAAGGCCGGCGAGGTGACGACCAAGATCAAGACGTGGATCAGCGACATCATATACGGCCGCGAGCAGCACCCCTGGGGCGTCGTCATCCCCGAGAAGAAGGAGCAGTGAGTGAATCGGGGTGCTCGGGGCCGCCCGGGGACCACGGCAAGTCTTTTGCTCGCCTTGTAAGAGAGATCCACAGAGAGAGAGAGAGAAGCGATTCACGGATGGAGTTTGCTTTTGGAAGGGCACTTTTTCGTTTTTAATCACCCATGTTCGGTTAGAAGGACGGTTGGATTTATTTATGCCTTTGTAGTTGTCTTGCTTTTCCCGGGCACTGGTTGGGCGTTGGGGGCGAAGTGTTTCCAGCGCGGCGGGCGACATGCGTGATGGATGTGCAATGATGGTCATGAAAGTAAGAGCTTTTGCGGTGTTCCGTCTTGCTGGCCTCGATGCGGCTTTTGCTGGGGTTGCCCCGGCACGGTGCGCCTTGGGTAGTTATAGTTACTTGCGTACTTTGGTAGGCTGCTGGGCCCTGGCACGAATTAAGGACGCCACGCCTGCACGCAGAGTGGCCGTAGGGGACCGGCTCGCGCAAAGTAGCCCGTGTTGTACGCTTCGTCTCCTACGTTACGTCATTTGCTCGTTTCATAAAGTACATGGTTGGCAAACTTCGTGCCGCCGCGGCTGCGCGCGCGCCGTGCGCAACCCCCTTCTCTGCTACCTTGCAGTAAAAGTAAATAACTACTGGCTGTAGCGTCTCCCGCTGGCGCCGCCTAGTCCGCCACGATGGCCTTCATCACCTTCTGCGACTCCCTCCACAGCAGGTCACGATATTTCTTGCTGCTCGTTAGCCCTCCTGGTGGCGCTGGCCGGACAGCGGACGGCTCGCTCACCTTGTCCATGTGGTCCAGGTCGGCGGCCTTGTCCCTCACTATGCCGTCAATCTCGTGCACCAGGGCGTCCACGTCCTTTGACGGGTCTGGGTCGTCGTCGGCCGCTGTCGCCGTCATCGCCTTGGCTTCCTCGGCGACACACGCCGTCCACTCGGCGTCGAGGGACGCCAGCTCCTCTTCCGCGGCGGCCATCTTGTCCCGGAGCGCCGACAAGTGCTGCTCGATGGTGCCCCGCGGGAAGCGCCCAGAGTGGCACACCGTCATCGATAGCGGGTACGAAATGTTCTCGTACAGCGCGGCGGCGTCGCTCAGCGTCGCTGCAGACTCGGCGTGGAAGGCGTCTATCTGGCCGGACAGGGATCTGTGGACGGCCTCGAGGTTGCACGCGACTGACTTGTACGTCTCCTCGCCGCACCGGGCAAATGTTTCTGTCGTGCTTGGTTACCAAGTGCGCGGCAGGGCGAGGGCGGCAGGACTACCTGCGAGATTGTTCATGATGAATCTCCCCCCGTCCGGGGAGTGATGCGGTGCTGGTGCTGGTCGCGGGCCGGACACCGAGGAAAAGGCAGCCCGCAGCTGCTTGTATATGTCACTGTGCCTGCGGTGCGGCTCGGACGAGGACGCAGAGGCGTGAGCTAGATGGAACGGGTCCTCGCTGCACAGCCTGGCGCGGAGGGCGGAAACTGGCTTCTCGGCGGCCGTGGAGGAGCTCGCTTCGGGAGAGCAGTCGTCGAGTGGGCGGGCCATTGCGAGTTGGACATGTCAGATGGGACGGCGTCGGTGGGAGAGCTTGTCTGGCTCGGCCGAAGGCATTCGTGACAAGGCTCCGACAGCTGGCAGACGGCTGGCCGTCAGTGCCCGCGCTGCACTCCGCCAGGAAGACGGCAAGACACGTCATGGCCGTGTGTATTGATGCAGGCAGATTTTTCATCCTCACCCTTCCGGGCCGTCACGTCCTCAAGCCATCTGTATTCTCCAAGCCCAACGTGACCTCGGCCACGGATACAATGTCCTGCCAGCTCACCATGGCACCCTCGCCGACATCGTTGCACGCCAGCGTCTTGGACACAGGCCTCAGCACCTGGACCCAGCCGCCATCGCCGCCCCAATCCTCCTCGAGCGTCCTGATGTGCTTGGCCGTCAGCGGGTTCCTCCACATGGCCGTGTTCATGGCGACGGCCACGACAATCTTCTTGCGGACGCCGTCGACGGACCCGTCGTGGTCCCACGCCCTCACCACGCTGAGCAGCAGGTTGTCGCAGATGCCCGCCACCATCTTGGCCATGGTGTTTGCGCTCAGCGGCACAATCATGAGCAGGTCGGCCCATCGACGCAGCTCAATGTGCAGGATGGGCGCCCCGCGCGTCCACGGCCTCGTCCACTCGGCGGAGTCGGTGTAGATGCCATCCACGTTGGGCAGGCGCCGCACCTCGGCGACGCTGGGCTGCTCGTCCGACTGGCCGCTGAGGAAGTGCTCTGCCGCGGCCGTGAGGACCAGCCGGATGGAGAGGTTGCCGTGGTAGGCGAGGCCGTTGATGACGTTGGCGACTTTGATGGCGGCGACGGACCCGGACACGGCTAGGAGGAGGTGCTTCTTGCCGTCGTTGCGGGCGAGGGACACGTTGCCCGCGGGGGAAATGTCTGCTTGCGAGTCGGACACATTTCTTGATGCCTGCAGCATGGCGCGTGTGTTTTTTTCGTCGTCGTGTCTATAGAGTGCGGCAGGCAGTTGTCTTGACTCCTGATGGCGGGCGGCAGCGCGGCAGACTCCGACGTGAAGACGCAGGTTTTTTACGTCTTTAAGCGTGGCCAAAATAATGCAAAACTGGAGATGCAGCGCGGCAGGCAGTGAAAGTCAAAGGTCTATATAAGAATCAAGGTCGAAGTGTGCGTCATGAATCGTGGTGGATCAGTCACCCACCACGCCGTCCATCACTCAGTGGGACTAACCGGCAAGGGCGCTCATTTACACGAGCGCTGATTGGCCAGCTTGCCCAGCGCCCAGGGTCATCTTTCTTACATCATGATCCGAGAGGCAGCAACAGTTCCCAAGCATCTCAGCCATATTTCTCCCTGCCCACCGACAGCTTCATCGCCCGTTGCCGTTCCAGATTGGTCAGCGTTCGAGAGCCATGTTTTCCCGACGCGTCGCAGCCGTACGTAACACGACCGCCCTTCCGTGAAACCCATCTTCCTCCTCGCACGCACGAAGCATCTCCGTCCCTCGCAACCCCAAACTGACCCGTTGGTCGGCAGAACTTGCTACGACACGCCGGTCGTCCAGCCGTGCGAGCGCCCATCTCGCCCCTGACGCCCGTCCCGTTCCAGGCCCGCCTCCTCTCGGAAGCGACGCGCTCCGCCATCGACAAGGCCGTCGCCTCGGCGCCCGTGGTGCTCTTCATGAAGGGCACCCCCGAGATGCCCCAGTGCGGCTTCTCCGCCACCGTCATCAAGATCCTCGGCATGCAGGGCGTCAATCCCGACAAGTTTGCCGCCTTCAACGTCCTCGAGGACGCCGACCTGCGCGAGGGCATCAAGGAGTACTCTGACTGGCCGACGATTCCTCAGCTGTACGTCGACAAGGAGTTTGTTGGCGGCTGCGACATCCTGCGGACAATGCATACCAACGGCGAGCTGGCCAAGTTTTTTGAGGACAAGGACGTCCTCGTTATGGAGGGCGATGCGTGAATGCCGGGCAAAAGAACAGGACAGGTGACGCGTTGAGAGGAGACAACTAAACTAGATGGTGGTCCGAGGGGTTCTGTGTACGATTATCCTGGTGGCAGCGGGTGGGCTCCTGCGAGATACCAGGTTGAACACAAGTTTCTTATCTCTCTTTAGACATTAAATGACGGTCATTCTAGCTGCCGCTTGTCCCTTCTCCCCTGGACGCATTCCCGCTCGGCCTTTGCCCTACCACCTGCATTTTACAAAGGGTATGCTGCGCCGTCAGCTCTCATGTCGCTGCCCGCAGACCAGATCCGCGTCCCGTCCACGGGGTCAACGACGTGGCGTATAATCTGGCCGCGTCCAAACAGTCCCCTCGCCGTGCCGGTCACGACGCTTACCTTGTGGCCGAGCCTCTTAAGCCCCTCGACTGTTTCCTCGGGCATGCCTTGTTCCACATTCACCGTCCAGTCAATGGCGTCGCCGCTCTCGGGGAGCCCGCCGCCGATGCAGATTCTCGGGGCGTCGAGAGCCTGCTGCGGGTTGAGTCGACCGACGAGCTGCCCCAGCAGGACCTGTATATGGCCTTGGGGCTGCATGAAGCCGCCCATGACCCCGAACGACGAGTGGAGCGATCCGTCCTGCAAGTTGGTCACCATGCCGGGAATAATGGTGTGATACGGCCTTTTTCTGGGCTCGATCTTGTTGGGATGATTCGGGTTGAGGGAGAAGTTAGAGCCGCGGTTCTGGAGCGTAAAGCCGCACCCCTTGGGGATGATGCCGGTCCCGAAGCCCGCGTAGTTGGAGTTGATAAAGGACGCGGCGTTGCCCTGTGCATCCGCGACGGCAAAGTACACCGTGTCGCTGCTGGACAGGGCAGGTGAAACAAAGGGCGGATTGCCGTGTTCATGGGAGAGGACGGCCCTCGTTGGATCAAAGAGCTTGGCTCGCTCCGCCAGGTATTCCTGCGAGATGAGCCCCTGGACGGGGACCTTGGTGACGTTGGGGTCAGCGACGAACCAACTGCCATCTGCGAAGCCCAGCCTGAGGGCCTCGATCACGGCGTGCAAGTACGGGGCCGTGTTGAAGTCGTCGGGCCCAAAGGTCGGGATCTTGCCCTGCTTCTCCAGCTCCTGGATGATACCCAAGGCCATCAGGGCAATTATCCCCTGGCCGTTGGGCGGGTGTTCCCAGAGCTCGACGCCGTCAGTTCCCTGGCCGCGGAATTTGAGAGAAATGGGCTCGGCGGGCTCGCTGCCTGCCTCCAAGTGGTGCTCGAGGTCGTCGAGCTCCAACAGCCCGCCCAGACTCTGGACAAGCTCGACAAGCGCCTTTGCGATTCGGCCCCGGTAGAAGCCCTTCTTGCCCTCGTCGGCCAGGGTGCGGAACGTCCTGGCCAGCGTTGGATTCTTCATGATTTCGCCCGCGCGGGGGGCGCGAACGCCGGCCTCGGCGTTGGGGTCGACTTTGAGCATTTCTGCAAAGTTGGGCGACGCTTGCCTGAGACGGGCTTCGGAAGCAGCCCACTGCATTTCCGCCCAACGTCAGCAGGTACATGCACGAAGTAGACGGCGGTGGGTTTCAGCATTCTTACACAGTGAGCGGCATCTTCGTGCACGGCGAAGCCCTTCTCGCCAAGCTCAATGGCCGGGGCCAGAACACGCCCCAGATCGACCTTGCCGCTGCCAAACCGCTCGACGGTGTCGACCCATCCGGCCGCGGCGCCTGGCACCGTCACAGCCAGAGCGCTGGTCTTGGGGATTTCGGCATCATGCTTGTCGTCGGGAACGTCGAGGCCGTTGCGAACGGCGGCAAGGGTGGACCTTGCGCCGGCGCGACCAGAGCCGTTCATGGCCATGACCTGCCCGGCGGATGCGTCCCAGAAAAGGATGAACATGTCGCCGCCGATGCCTGTAGAGCACGGCTCCGTCATGTTGAGCCCGGCGGCTGCAAACCGCGCGTGGTTAGGAGAGACGACATCGCCGTGGTTTATGCCCGTGGTTTCTGGGGGAGAAGGGGGCCGGCGTACCAACTGCCACTGCGGCATCCTACAGCTCATGTTAACATGGGAGCTTGAGGTCTTCTGGGCTGAACGGGCGGGCGGTAGACATACAGCAGCGTTGCCTCCTGCTCGGAGCACGTCGAGACCGCATTTCGCGGCGAGCGGCTGGCTGCAGGCGACGATGCCGTCGGTGCTGTGGACTACGCTCCGCCGCGAGGCGAACTTGAAGGGGTCCGCGTTTTGGAAGCCGGACGAGCTGGTGGGCGGCATGACGGACGGACAGACGGCCGACGACGTGCACCGAGTATCATCAATTGATAAATTATACCAAGGCCGTAGTGCTTGCTACCCTTGAGAAGATGCAAAGAAAGGTTCAAGGGCTGAGGGGATCAAGGGGGTGAAGTGCGACGAAACGGCCGGGGACAAGAGCCCAAGAAGGGCGATTGGACGTTGCCGTGTTCCCCCACGTCGACGGCCAAGATGGAAGCTGTCCCAAGTGTCCCGCCATCGGCGCTGCGGGGGGATTCATTGACGTCAATGTTGCATGAACGGCGAGAGCGGGGGACATGTACCAGTACCGGGGTGCCTTTTCAAGTACCTACCTAGGTACCGGTACCTACATAGGTAGCTAGCTAACGTAGGCACCTCAGTACCTACTACTTGAGAGGCAACTTCTGAATGTCTGCTTAACCATCAAGAACAAGGTGCAGATGTGTCTCTCGCCACTCCTCTTGCAGTGTGGGATTCCTGAAGGAGCCTCGGTGGGATTCTTCTGTATGAGCAAAAAAAAAAAAAGAGCAAAGATATCCGCCTGCAACCCTTTAATCCCTTGTCGTCATTCGTCACTTATTAGTTGCTCCCCCTTATTCTCCGGACATAGACATTCTCCGTGACAAGCGTCATGCCATCCTCATGCATACATACGTGTTACATCTTGGCCCGGCCGACCTCCCTCTCCAGCTCCTTGACCACATCGTCAACGCACGCAACCGCATCGAGCGCCATGCCGTACCCAGCCTGGAACCCGCTACCGCCAGCGCCATAGTTGTGCACCAAGACACGGTCAGACCCTCCAACGGATATGGGCTCACGCTCGACCCTTGCTCCGCCATGGCGCGACGGTCTGGCGCCCGCAAACGCAGCTAGCATCTCGCATGGCCCGTCGCGCAGCTCGCGCGGGCAGAGGTCCTTTGTGCGGCTTATGATCGAGTCTGCTTCGTGGCCGTACGTAGACGGATCGCTACGCGCGCCGAGAAAGAAATGACTCATCATCAGCACGAATAGAGACACACTGTGCACTGTTGAGCAGACTTGCCTGTTGCCCTTTTGCATGAACCCGCCGAGGATGACGTTGCCATTGGACTGCGGCCTCGGGATAACGTACGTCTCGTAGTCTCGCCCGTGGCGCATCACGTTGCAGCGCATTAGGGGGGCTCGTGCGAGCACGACCTGGCCACGGGTAGGAAAGCACTTTGCGTCTTGGACGCCGGGAAGCGTCCTGGCCGCGTTGCCGGTGCAGTTGAAGACGACCTTGGTCCTGGGGCTGGCGTAGGCTGCCTGGATGCCGGGCAGCTTCTGGCGGAGGAAGCGCACGCCGTAGTGGTCCTTGAGGAGGCCGTGCAGATAGGCGAGGTGCTTGGGGGCGTTGACGGTGACGGACGTGCAGCATATGCCGTACTCGACGCCTTGGGGTAGTAGTTGCCGCGGGATGATTTTGAACTGGGATGCTGGTCAACGAGTGGGTTTGCCCTGTTGCGGCAGAACAGAGTCTGGGTAATGGATGCAAAACCTACGTCCTTGAGGTACTCCGACATGGAGTTGATCTTGTCGTGGGGCGGGTTGGCGTCCCAATACTCCATGGACTGCGTCAACGACACAAACGACTCGGTGGCGTGGTGAGTGGCCAGGTTTGTGAGGTGAGCGTAGCCCAGTTCATCCCAGCGGAGGGCATTCGCGTCGCCTCCCGATATGCCGGAGAAGTTGCAGCCGGCCCTGGAGAGGGGAGAGACAGGTCAGGTCCGGCTCGCGAGGTGGAAGTTGAACACGGCTGCGACAGCATACCAAGGCGAGGTGTAGGATGGCGCAGTATCGCCCGGGAGGTATTCGGCAACAACGGTTATGCAGCGGCCCAACCCACGCTTGCAAAGGACGAGGGCGACATCGAGTCCAATGATGCCGGCGCTGGCAAAGACGAGTTCACATCAATAGACCAGCAGACCAGATTTCGGGCTCACTCACCCCACAATGACGATCGAATCGGCTGAGGACGCAGCCATGGCCACGAGTTGACGAGGCGGGTTGATATTCGGGTTGCTGTCGGCAAGGTGGACCAAGTTCGTCTGGGGGAGCCCCGAGTGAGTCGGGTCTTTGATTGTGCCTCTGCGGGGAAATGTCTAGGTCAGGACATCGCATTTTGGGGCCGAGTCCGACATCGGTGCAACCAGTTGACATGACGGAGGACCAAGTCCGTCCCGTCCGCTCTTGGAACGGAGCAATGCCATGTTATCAAGTCAAGAAGTGTTCGAGAGGGCTAGTAGAAACACGCAGTGAAGGCGCTTTGCACGGTTTCTATTTTTCCTTTCTTTTTGTTCCATCCACTGTCACACGCAAACTGCATTAGGTGACCTTTGTCAGTGGGACGCCATGGCATTTGTTGAACGGTAAGATCCCAGTTCAATTCCTTGCCAGCCCAGCAAGTTTGACAAGATGGTCTCCGCAAACTAAGCTGGGGCGGCGAGTTGCGCCCTCCACTTCTCCGAGAAAAAAAAAGAACAGAGAGAGAGGAAGGAGAAAAGGGAGGAAAAAGGACCATCACTGAGCAGGACAGTTACAACTTACGAGAAAAGGAGTCGATTATCAACACTGCTAATTAATTGGACGAGGTCTGATGAGGCCGGATCGGGACTAGTGCTCCCGCTTTCGCCCCCGCAGCACCGGAGTGGAAATTGCCGGCCCCTCATCCGTCTCACCGCAACAACCTCTCTTCCTTCATCAAGTCCTGGAGTGCAGAGACATCGATTCGAAGGGCCGCCGTGAACTTGACCGAAATGTGGTCCGCAAAACTGCCCAAAGCTCGATTCCCGTCGCGCCCCGACGCCCTAGTGCCGCTCACGGCGATGCCTGCGCGACCCTTCTGCATCAGCGCACGGCTGCTAGCTGCCAAGAAGAAATCAACACCCGCCACGTCTTCGCAGGTCCACAAGCCGCACCCTACCGAGTCGGAAGAGGATGTCGCGGCCGATCGATCGCCCCTTGATCCCCTTGACGCCCCCAAAGCGGGCAACGTGAAGGCCGAGGCGGCAGCAGGCTCTGGGAAGGCGAAGTCATCTTCAAGCGGGCAGAAGCCGAAGACGGAGTCAAAGTAACTACGTAGAAAGAAAACACCACTGCCGCCATCTGACACGCCCTGCCCGGCCCGGCCACGGGTGCTGCAAGGCACATGGGCATTCATTCTACTCGGGGGCGTTTTGAGCAGGTGCACGCGCAAACTTTCTACACACCATGATGTCGTTGCTTTCTTTGGTGGCGGAGGGACAAAAAGAAGGTGAAAAGGAAGAAAAGGAGCTGCATTGAAACGTACTGCGTACGGGTTCTGTACCTGGCCTAGTATTAGTTAGTGTGATACAGGCAAAAGATTGGTTAAACATATCTTGTAGCCAGCACCATGGTTTCCAAGGTCTGGCGCAAATAATCGAAAGCCATGCCGAGAGTCGGCTGCACATGTTTCGGAATGCCCAGTGCTTGGTGATTCAGTTTTCTCTCTACGCCTCTGGCACAATCATGCTGATGCAGTCCGAATCTGTGCACTGCTGCTCCGTTTGGTAAAATAGCTCTGAGGTCCCCCTCCCCTCTCAAACCATGAACCTGAGTGTCCTCGGTCTCTCGGGAGAATAATCCAATCTTTTCAGAGTACGGAGTACAAGAACGGACGCCCACAATCCGCTCACTCCACCCCATCATCCCTCCACTCCGCCATCCAACCAGACGGAACGCGACCCCACATCCGGGATGCGACGCCCACTTGTCACGAGTCGTCCAAAAAAGCTGAACGACGGCAACGACTCGAGGCATTTTACTCTTCCTACTCCGTATTGACCACATAGTTTCGCCGCCACGCGAAGTGGCGCCTTCTGCAGCAGCAGGTTCAACCAGTCAGACTTGTCCAGTCGAGATGCGATCCGATCGGCGGCCAACTTTGGCAACTACCCCAGTCAACCAACCCCAGTAACTCTTCTCGTTTGACCTGACGGCTCCCGTTCTCCGTTATTACGACGTGCTGCTCCCTCACGAAGCCCAAAGCACCCCTCGCGAGCATGAAGCGTCCGTTGGTATCACCCCAGAGCGCCTGGGGCCGCCACCCAAAGAGAAATACGCTCGACTTGACCGTTTTTACTCAAGCGCCGAGGTGCATTTCTAGGTGGTGTTGCAGCTTGCTGGCCGACTCGAGTCGGAGCCGTGTTCCTGGCTCAGAATAAATACTCGCTGCTTCCTCCTCCAGGCCCTCTACTCCGTACAAGCACGGTTGGTTGGAATGACCGTGTTTTACCTTCCCACCAAGATCCGCTTTTCCCCAAGCCGAGGTTTGCTGGCCATCGTCTCTGTCAGAAAACTGCCGCTTGCCCTTTGCCTTTCCATCCCTCGCTATATGCCTTGTCGAACACCAAACGGTTTCGAATTCGCCCAACAACTCCGCGGCCATGTTACATGTCATTATTGTCGGCGCCGGAATTGCGGGGCTATCGGCGGCCATCTCGCTTCGACGCGCTGGTCACTGCGTCCACTTATACGAGAAGTCATCGATGAATAACGAGATCGGTGCTGCCATCACCGTACCTCCTAATGCTACCAGGTTCCTGACGGCTTGGGGGTTGGATCCCATCAAGTGGCGCTGGGTCATGTCGCGGCGCGTTCACTTGATTGATCCGTGTACACTGGAGCCGAAATTTGATTTTTACAGCGAAAGGTCGGCGGTTTCTGCTGGCGGTGTTCCCCTGTGGTTTTCCCACCGTGTCGATTTACACAATGCTTTAAAATGGATGGCTACCAGATCTGACGGTCCTGGTGTCCCGGCCACGATTCACCTGAACTCGCCCGTCATGGCATTCGTACGTTTTGTTCCGTAATGGACAACCATTTTCAACACGTGTCGCCTGTAATGCATGGACTGACAGCGTACTACTGCCAGGATCCTTCAAAACCGTCCATCAGACTCGTCACGGGTCGCGAAATATGTGGCGACCTCGTCATTGCCGCCGACGGTGTCCACTCCCTCGCTTCTGAGGCCATCTTGGGCCGAAAGGTTGAGCCCGTTGATCCCGTACACGCTAATTGCTGCTATCGGTTCCTCATCCCTGTTGAGAACTTAGAAGCAGATCCTGAAACTAGATTCTTTACCGAGGGCCGCGACGGTTTGATGCGCATATTTGATGATGCCGGCACACCTCGCAGACTCGTAGTATATCCTTGTCGAAAGTTTGTCTTCTCATCATCTCATGGACTTGCTGTTGTATGGAGGCTGACACGGCAAAAGCAATACCTTCCTGAATTTCGTAGGCCTCTTTCGTGAGCAAGACGCCCAAATTGACAAGAGAGAGAGTCGGTGCAACTTAAAATCTCGTCCTCAAGATTGAATCGCACTGACGGGTCCTAGATTGGCATGCCACTGTTGACCTCGACTACGTCTTGGATACGTTTTCCGGATATGACAACAGACTGCTCAAGGTCATCAGGTGAGCAAACTATTCCCCGAGCCAACGCAGGGATCACTACTGACTACGTACCAGCAAAGCAACAGATGTTAGGCGTTGGCCGCTTCTCTACCGACCCCCTTTACCAGCCTGGAGTAAGGGCCGATTGACACTGGCTGGTGATGCTGCACATCCAATGTTGCCTCGTAAGTTCAACGTCAAGATGATCAAGCGCTCCACCCCGAGGTCTGCTAACTATAGCAGTTCAGGGTCAAGGCGCTGCCCAGGGACTGGAAGATGGTTTGGCTCTCGGTATCATCCTCTGTGGCGCAAAGATGCCAAGCGACATCGAAAGGCGATTGGAGATTTACTACGCGACTCGACACCGAAGAACAAGCGTTATTCAAATTCTCAGCAACGTCAGCTCGGATCAGACAAGCTTAGTAAGCGACGAGCTACGCCATTACATGAGAGAGGACGAAATACCCCGTAAGTGTTGTAATATGGCTGTTCGTACCAAGTCCTGTCCATCTAATATTAGGTGAATCCTGAGCAGGAGACTACCAATCAATCATAACTCACAACTTTGGCTTCGACGTCGTGCGGACAACATTAGCAGCCATGAGGGACTATGACCCGTCGTTCAGACTCCCAGAAGACTTTTTTGAGGGTTCCGTTATTGGGGTACCCGGGACCTTGAAGGATTGCGTGACTGACTGACTTGTCATCCCTGTGAAGTCCTTTGAGGTTGGGTCAATCACATGGCATCGTTAGCGAGGCCTGTTGCTCATCACCACTCCCGTCTCGAACAAACTGGATGATCTCAACCCTCGGCCCGCCAAGCACCAGATACGAGCGCTTACCTACGACAGTCATTTGGAGAAATCACAGGTCTTAATCCGGAGTACGCCCAAGAGTATAGTTGGGTAAAAGACTGACTGTAGCTGACGTCCATGCCATATGGCATATCACAAAAGAAACAAGAAAAAGAAAAGAAAGTCCTCATCCAACTTGAGATGGCGTGGCCAGCTCATTTTTTTTTTCCATTTACGCCCTTGGCGCTCGCAACCAAACTCGAAAAAATTGGTCGGATTTCGGAACTCTGTCTGGCAATGTCCATGAAGCAACTTTCCTTTTCTTTTCTTTCGCAACAGCCTCGGCCATGATTCTTCCGGGCATAGCAACGACAACGGTAATCAGACACACAGACAAAGAGACTGGCACTAGAGCACTTGAAGAATAACCATGCGAGCCTGGAGCCTGCTTGACATTGGCCTCGGCGACGAGGGCAGCGACTTTGGCCGCATAGCCGCCCGTCTCCCAGATGGTGGCGAGAACGGTGGCGACGAGGAGCCTGGGATGCGCACCAGCTCCGACATGGCGTCGGGCCCGACGTGGCCCTGGGTGAAGGTGCCGATGCAGACGACGACGGCGCACGAGTGGTCGCGCAGCGGGATGGGTCTGGACATGTCGACGGCGTCGAGGGACTTGCAGACGCGCGTCTTGCGCGCCATGTCGAGCACGCCGGGGCTGGGGTCGATGCCGTCAATGTTGCCGCGTGGCAGACACGTCGGACGAGGCGTAGGCGCGGGCCAGGATTTCGTGCGCCGTCTTGGCTCAAGGTCGAGACCGGCTTGGGCTTCCTGGAGGAGAGAGCGTTGGAGGAAACGGGGCCGGCACGGTCACAGAGGTTCCAGGCGATGACCGATGTTCAGACTGATTCAGGTCCAGGTCCAGGCGCGAGCCCAAGGCCAAGCAAGCACGACTTGACCAAGACTCCCCCCCCCAGAGGGGCCCTATTTACACGCATACCGTCTCCAGAACTCCAATGATGTCACCCGGGTTCCAGTGTGGAGCGGTGCGCACTGCGCACGCCCGGTTCTTCACGATGCCGTGACGGCGGATCGTCCTTCATCTCCATTTCCGCCGTCAACGGTCCAGCAGATGTCCCGTTTCTCTTTATCCGGTCCCCCGGTGCCGTCCGAGCGTCTTGCCAGGGTTTGCTGTCTCTCGCATGCCCGCCCAAACGTCGTCAGACAGTGTGGAAAGGCAGCATCTCCGGTTGGACAACACGCCGCCGCCTGCGTGCTCGCACATGACGCCGGACGCATGCACGCGTGCGCGCCGTTTGAGTTGAGGCTGAGTCGAGGCCATTCATCCGCCTCGATGCTACGCTGAGGCTCATCCCCACCCATGCCCATGTCCGCCTGCACGGGCAGCCCTGCCTCGTGGCCGAGAGCATCTCGCTACTGGCCCGGCCAAGGTCCGACGACTACTCCGTACCAGTACAAGGTATGCTCGTCGACGTAGTGAGCCCCTGCAAGCCAATCAAGTCTGCTTGCGGCGAGGCGCGATTATCAAACAAAGATGGGATTCGGCACATGCAACGTGGTGATGTGATGCCCAGCTGCCGCAATCGCTGGCCACGTTGGCAAATTGACCACAAGAGCGCCAATCCATCAATGTCGAAAACATGTCGTGCTGGACGGGACTATAACGGAGCGGCTATTTGGCCATTGACGACGTGTGCTGCTAACGAGGCCTGACTGCCCGAGACAGCCGGGCCATGGGATCAGTCGAGAATCGGCGCTGCACCCAGGAAGATGAATAGTTGTGAAAAGTCATGATAGAAAACGAAAGAAAATATCAATAAATGTACAAAATAAAACAAACATGTCGCCATACACGCTCGTGCTGTTGTTACACATTAACATGGCATATTTCCCATGATTGAAATACAAATACCGCTCCCGTCTGCCATCCGCCTCGAGCATTTCCATCTCCCTCTATATTTGCTCACATATACGACACACACACACCACCACCACCCCCCCCTTCCTTTTTAAACTCTTAGACACACAATCTACACCTCCCATCCAAAAGGCGGATACGCGCGGTACGACCCGTCGCAGGCCTCGGTCGTCATGTATCTCGCGCCCAAGTGCGTCTGGCCAAATATCTCTCGCCCTTGGGGGTCGAGGATGCGCAGCGTCAGCTCCGCCGCGCTGCCGAGGTTCCCCCACATGACGCGAATGGGATAGTAGGTGCCGCCCTTGAGCCTCCTGTTGACCTGCTTCGGCGCGTTGTCGCCCCAGTAGAACTGGCTGATGTCGGCGTTTTCGCGAGTCCACCCCCGGTACGCCTTGTCGCCGAACCACATGAGCGTGATGTCGTCGGACCGGTACGAGTAGAAGGAGTACCAGCCGTCCTGGCAGGCGTACAGGAAGGCGCGGTACACGAGCGTCGCGTCGGCGAGCGTCCGGTTGCTGCCCGTGTCGCGGATCTTGATGCTGTCCACGAAGCGCGTGTCCACTGGTATTTGGCGCTTGAAGTACAACGGCTGGAAGGTACTGTAGTCTCTGCTTGCGTCGTTTCTGAACGGGTTGGTGTACCGGGCGCACTCGATGCCCGTTGGGCAGGCTGGCGCTGGGCAAAGCCGCGCGTTTGCGTCGCCGGGGTCTGCCGTCGACGTTGGTGTCGTCGTCGTCGTCGTTGTTGATGATGATGATGATGATGATGATGACATACTCGTGGCGTGTGTCTGGCTTGTTGGGCTTGGGACTGGCGTGCTTGATGCCTTGGTGCTCGACGGCTGGGGCCTGCGTGTAGTTGTGGTGCTGGTGGTTGTTGTTGTTGTAGATGCGCTTGTCGTGCGGCTTGAGGAGGTGGTTGTTGCTGTGATTCTTGGCGCCTCGGTCTCTGACGCTCTCGTTTTTGTTCTTCTTGTTTTCGTCTTCTTTTTCCCTTTTCCTGGTCCTTTGCTTTTTCGTTTCTTTTTGCTTGACACCTGGGGGCTGCTTGTAGAGGCAGGCGATGAGCTTGATGCTTTCGTGATTGTAATTGTGGACAGGCTTGACGCCTTGATGTGCGTTGGCTGTGCGTTGCGGCTGCTTGTCGTCGTGGATGGGCTTGTCTTTCTTGAGCTGGATGCTTTGCTATTTGAAGCAGCGGGTAGGCTTGGCTTTATTGGGACAGGTGCCTTGGTGCTCGATATCTGCGAGCTGCTTGTCGTCGTGGATGGGCTTGTCTTTCTTGAGCTGGACGCTTTAGACTTGGCGATAGTAGATGGGCTTGCTTTTATTGAGCTGGGTGCCTTGGTGCTCGATATCTGCGAGCTGCTTGTAGTTGTAGATGAGCTTGTCTTTCTTGAGCTGGACGCTTTAGACTTCGCGATAGTAGATGAGCTTGCTTTTATTGAGCTGGGTGCCTTGGTGCTTGGTATCTGTGAGCTGCTTGTAGTCATAGATGAGCTTGTCTTTCTTGAGCTGGGTGCTTTGCTATTTGCAGCAGCGGGTAGGCTTGGCTTTATTGGGACAGGTGCCTTGGTGCTTGATATCTGTGAGCTGCTTGTAGTTGTAGATGAGCCTGTCTTTCTTAAGCGGGATGCTTTGGTATCTGCAGCAGCAGACACTCTCGTCTTCGCTAAGCTGGGTGCCTGGGTGCCTAATAGCTGTGAGCTGCTTGTGACTGTAAAAGGGCTTGACTTTTGTGGGCGTGATGCTTTGGTGCTTGAAAGCTGCGGTCTGCGTGTGACTGCAGACGAGCGTGTCTTTCTTGGCCTGGACGCTTTAGTTTTTGGGACTGTAGACGAGCTAGTCTTTCTTGGCCTAGATGCCTTGGTTTTTGTGACTGTAGACACGCTTGGCTCCCTTGGGCTTGATGCCTTTGTGCTTTGTAGCTGTGAGCGACTTGTGGTCATAGATGAGCTCGACGCCTCCGCGTTTGCAGCAGCAGATGCGCGTTCCTTGCTGGATGCCTGGGTTCTTGAAAGCCGTGAGCTGCTTGTGACTGTAGAAGAGCCTGACTTTCGTGAGCTTAATGTCTTGGTGCTTGACGACGACCCGGTTTGTGATGGTTTAGCGCTTGTCCTTGAAGTGATAGAGTGCACCGTTTTTGAAGTTAGTTGGCTAGGGGAGCTTGGGGCTGGTGACTTGTTGGTGATTGATGTCCTGGTACGAGATATCTGGGCAGTTGAGGTTTTGGCACTTGATATCTTCTTGGCTGGTTGCTTGATGCTTGACGTCTTGGTGGCTGATGTCTTGACGATCGATGTCCTCATGCCTGATGATTTTGTGCTGGACGCTTTGTTGCTCATTGTCTTGGCCGTCAATATCCCACTAGCCGATGCCCTTGTGCTTGGAATCTTGGTTGTTGACGTCACAGTGGCTGACGTCTTGATGCTCAATGCAGTTCTGCTCGCCGACTTCGTCGTAATTGATGCTTTGCTGCTTGATGTGTTAACTTTCGATGTCCCAACACTCGGTATCTTAATGCTCGGCGTCTCAGTAGCCCATGTCCTGATGCTAGATGACTTTGCGCTTGACCCCTTGGTTGTTGATGCTTCAGCACTTGATATTGTGGTGCTCGATGACTTCGTACTCGGTGCCATGGTCGTTGATGTCCGGGCGGTTGACGTCTTCACACTTGATACTGTCTTGAATGTCTTGTTGCTTAACGCATCACCACTCGGCGCCGTATTACTTGATGCTTTGCTGGTTGGCCATTTGGTGGTTGAGGTTTTGGCGACTGCCGTCCTGATTCTAGATGCCTCGACGCTAGTTGACCTTGTAATTGATGCTTTGGTGCTTGACACAGTACTCGATGACTTGATACTTGGCGCCCTAGTGGCCGGAGCTTTAGTAGTCGATACCTGAGGAGTTGATACGACACTGGTCGATGAATTGACGTTTGGTACTTGAGTACTCGATGATTTAGTACTTGATGCTGATGCTGTCGCACTCGACGATGTAGCACTTGATGCTGTAGATGCTACAGTGCTTGATGCTTCAGTACTTGATGCTTTAGTGCTTGATGTTTTCGTGGTTGATATTTTGGTGGTTGACACTTTGGCACCTAGCATCTCAATACTTGACGCCTTGATAGTTAACGTTTCGCTCCTTGATATCTTGGTGCTCGGTTCTGTGCTCGATGCCTTAGTAGCTGAGGCCTTGGTAAGCAATACTTTTAAAGTCGAGGTTTTGGCACTTAGTGCCTGAGTAGTAGATACTTTAATAGTCGATGCCTTGGTACTTAGTGCCTCAGCACTTAATGTCTTGGTGCTTGATGCCTTGTTACTTGATGCCTGTGTACTTGGTCCCTTTGTGATTGACGCTGGTAAGCTGCTTGTTGCCGCAGACGAGCTGGTCTTTATCAAGCTTGACACCTTGGTCCTCGATTCTGTATTGCTTGATACCGTAGTGCTTGCTGCTTTGGCACTCGATAGCCGCGCCCTGCTAGTACCCGTAGATAAGCCCGTCTTGGAGCTTGATGTCTTGGCGCTTGAGCTCTCAGTACTTGACGTCTGTGGGCTGCTTAAAATTGTAGATACACTCGTTCTACTCGAGTTTGATGCCTTCGTACTGGGAATCTTGATGCTCGCAAGAGGCGATGAGCTCGATGCCTGGTCGGTTGATCGGAGTAAGCTGTTGCTAGCAGACGAGACACTAGTCCCGCTTGACATCATCGACTGTGAGCTGCTTGTAGTTATTGATGGACTTGACGCCTTGTTACTTGATGCCCTGGTGCCTGACGCCTTGTTTCCTGACAACTCGGTGTTTGTTGGCTGTGGGGCTTTTATAGCCTCAGACGAGCCCTCCGCTGTTGAGCTTGGTGCATCGGTGCTTGATTCCTCGGTGCTTGATAACGGTAAACTGCTTACAGCCGTATACGTGCTTTCCTTTCTTGAGCTTGATGCCTTGTTGCTCGTAATAGCAGCCATGATTTCAAGACGTGGTACCTGTGTTCCGCTTACGGTAGGTGGTGAACCTGGTGTTTTCATGTTTTGTGCCTCGGTGCTTGATTGTTTGAGACTTGATGATTTGGTACCGCTCGACGCCGTATTCCCTGATGCCTCGGTACTTGAAGTAGGTGAGCTTGGTGCCTCCGCGCCGGAAAGCTGTGAGCTGCTTGTGGTAGTCGATAAACTCGACGCATTGACGCTTAATCTTTGGGTGCTTGATAATTGTGAGCTTCTCGTAGCCATGAATGAACTTGCTGTCCTAGATCCTGACACTTGAGTACTTGATGCCTTGGGGTTTGATACTTGCGATCCGTTTGTAGCTGGAGATGAGGTTGTTTTTCTAGAACTCGATGCCTTGTTCCTTGTTAGTTGTGGCCTGCTCGTGGCCGTAGACAAGCTTTGTTGACTCGGACTTGATGCCTTGGTTCTTGATAGCCGTGGGCCGCTTGTAGTCACATTGGAGCGTGTTGCCTGAGAGCTTGATGCCTTAATGATTGATGGCTGTGAGTTGCTCGTGGCTGTAGAAAGGCTTTCTTTTCTTGAGCTTGATGTCTTGGTTGTTGATGGCTGTGAGCTGCTCATTGGACTTGTCTCGTTCGATCTGGGACGCTGGGAGCTCGAGAGAATTGTGCTGGAACTTTGAAAACTAGAACTCGGTAAAACGAATGAACTCGACGGTATCACTGTTGACTGTGATTCTATCGTGAACACGGATGAGTTAATCGCGGAAGTCGATTCCTCTGCGTCACTAGAATCGATCAGGATGGGCGAGCTGGGCTTCTTAAACCTTGAAGACGCGGAGGGGCGTGAGAGATTTTGCGGCCCTGTTAGTGGCATAGAGGACCCTAAATTTATGATTCTCGATGATTGCAAGCTACTCAAAGGCACAGTGGTGCTATCTGCCAAGATTTCTGAGCTTGTTTTGGGAACAAAGGGAATCGATGTGCCCGCCGGTGTCGTTGAGTTAGACCCTTTCTTGTTTGAGACAGACAAGGATGACCTCAGAGTCTGTGAGCTTGAAGGTGTCATACTCAGTGACTGTGAGCCGTTTGAAGACACAGACGAGCTACTCGCTGGCGTCGACGAGCCTGCTACACTAGAGGTGATTGAGGTCAATGAGCTGGGCATCTGCGAGGTTGAAGAATATGCTAAATCGCTTATACTTGTAGATCTCGTCAATGGCATCGATGAACCCGAAATCATTGTAATTGATGGGCTTGAAGTACTCGTGGCCGTGGCCTTATATGAGCTGGACTGTCTTGAGTTCAGCTGCCGCGAGCTCGAGGGAGGCGCTGTGGAATTTTGATACGGTAAAACATTCGGTGCTGTAGACGACCTGGAGGACGTAATACTTGGTGGTGGTGAGCTGCTTGCAGGCATAAATGAGCTTAATTTAATCGGACTGGACAGAGTAGACAAGCCCTTTGAGACTGATGTACCTGGCATTTTCGAGCCAGAGGGTGATGCCGAGAGGATGAAAGGCAGGGCGCTGGATGACTGCGAACTACTTGTGGAGAGAAATGAGCTTCGTAAGCGTGAAATGACAGATATCGAGGAGTTGAGTGTCTTTGAAAATGAAGAAGATAGTGGGGAGCTCAGCTTTTGTGAGCTTGTTGGTACTTCTGAGGAACTGGAAAGATGCGCCCTGAGTGACTCGGAACTGTTGATAGGTATCGAAAATCTCGTCTGACCAGAGCTTGGACTTGTCGAGCTCAATACAGCTATTGAGCTTGATGAGTTTAAACTGCTTGGAGTCGGAGTTGAGCTTGGCCTGCTGAAACTGGATTTTTGTGAACTCGGTAGACTCGTCGAGCTTGATAGTTGAGAACTATGAGCTGACATCAACGATGCCCCTAATGTGGATGAGTTCAATCTTCCCGCAATGATTGACCCTGTCAAGGATTCTAGCTTCGGTGGGATTAGCTTGGTCGGGGTGATTGGTTTCGTTGAGCTTGCTTTAGCAGTACTACTTGCTATTTTTGAGCTAATTGTGATCTTCGAGCCATCTGCCTTCAATAAGTTTGCTGGCATTAAAGTTTTTTCGAGCATCGACGAGCTGTTCAACGATGATAGGTTTGTCTTTTCTGACATTATTGGCTTCAATGGGCTCGCTGGCATCAATGAATTCGCTCTGGTAGAATTGATTTGTTTCCTTGAGCTAGCTTTCATTATTAATATTTCTATGCTGGAGCCGGCGGTTTGCAAAGTTGGTAGATCCACGGAGCTTAGTTTGAGAGCACTCGTAGCTGACATCGACGAGTTCGTTGTCATCTTGGACCTCACCGGTATCGATACGCTTGTCGCCATGAAAGAGCCTGCTCTGGTCGAATTAAGTAATCTTGTTGAGCTAACTGACACCGTTGGCATTGCTCCCTCCGAGCTATGCTGAGAACTCTTATACGGTATCGAGGAGGTTGCCTTGGTTGAACTGATTGGCTGTGTTAAGCTGAGTGAAATTGATAGGCCAACCCGCACTGATGAGCTGACTAGCACAAATAAATTCAACGGCGTTGTCAAGTTTTCTTTGTCGAAGTTAGATGGGCGTATTAGGCTCAATTGCGTTGGCAAGGTAGAAGGGATTGACGAGCGGACCGGCATCGACGAGCTTGCCGTGCTGGATGTGGCATTTTGCGAATTTGATGGGACAATAAGGCTTGGATCTTGAGAACTCCTGGCTGGTACTGACAAGCTACGTAGCGGCGACGAGCTGGTTGTCATTGACGGGCTCACTGACATGGACGAAGTGAATGGCGTCGATAGACTTATTTTGCTGGAACGTATCGGCGCTGTTGAACTGATCGGCATGGAAAAGCTCATAGGCATCAATGGGCTTGCCCTGCTGGAGCTGGTATTCTGCAAACTTCCTGGAGCCATGAACCCCGTATGTTGAACGCCCTGAGCTGCTGTTGACGAGCTAACTGACTTCGTCGGGCTCATTGACATTGTCAAGCTATGTGGAATTGACGCACTCAAACTTAGCGACGAGTCCACTGGCACGGAAGCGTTAACTGGCTGAACTAGCATCGGTAGGCTTCCTTTGCTAGAAGTCATCAGTTTCTCTGAGTTAACGTGAATCCATGAATTAACAGGCTTTAGCGAGTTGGTTGGCCTCCATGAGCTAACAGAAGTTGACAAGCTCACTAGCATCGATGAGTTGCTAGGCATCGACGAGCTCACTGACATTGTCGAGACAACTGATGTCGAGGAACTAGGCCGCATTGATAAGCTCACTGGAGTTGACGCACTTGGTGGCTTTGACGAGCCCTCTGTCGTTGACGAGGTGACTGATATTGACGAGGCGACTGACGGCAAGGAGCCAACTACCAGTGATGAGCTGACGTTGATCAATGGGCTAAGTACTTTCGCTAAGCTCACTGATACTGGTGAGATAATTGGCGTTGATGAGCTCCATGAGCTTGGCGGTTTTACTGAGCTCCTCCAAGTTGATGAGCTGGCTGATATTACGTGTATGGGAATCGACAAGTTGCCTGTCATCAACGGGCTTATCGGTTTCGCTGAGCCAACTGGCGTTGACGAGCTCGCAGTCACGGGGGGGTTGCTAGGTATCAACGAGGTCACCGGTATTGACGAGGTGGCTGACATTGAGGAGGTGACTACCACCGATGAGCCCACAGACATCGAGAAGCTAAGTGCTGTTGTCGAGCTTCTTGACATTGATAAGCTGACTGATGTTGAGACTCCTGGCATCGGCGAGTTGCCAGTCATCGACGAACTTGGCGGTTTTGCGGAGCTTACCGACATCGATGAGTTAACCAGTGCTGACAAGCTCACGGGTATTGACGACACGACTGACATTGAGAAGCTAACTATCACTGAAGAGCTCACGGATACTGATGACTTAACTGGCATGGATGAGCTTGCTTTGCCGGAACTACTAGGTCTCCCTGAGTTGGCCTTTTGTGCGCTTTGTGGCGTCGTAGAGCCAGGTGTTTGGGGATTCGAGGACAGCAATCCGTTCATTCGCGTAGATGAGCTTGCTCCGTCTGAGCTAATTAGCATCGACGAGCCAGTCTTTTGAGAGCTTGACAGAATTTCGGAAGGTCTTGGCTTCTGGGTACTCAGTGGCATCATATACGAATCAGACACCTGTGTGTGGGAGAGTCGGTTGGCACTCCGAGTCTCGGACGAACTGACTTGGCGTGACGGAACCGGCTTCTGGGAGCTCGTTGGACGTGTGAAGGAGCTTGAGGTTTGTGAGGGTTGTGAGCTGTTCGGCTGCAATGGTGAACTGGAAGAGATCGTATTCAGAATAATTCTGCCATTTGCCGGCTTCCCCATAGCAGTGCTACTCCAGCTCGATTCGGAAGCGCTCATCAGTGACGCAAACGTCTCCATGCTTGACCACGATTCATCAACTGTACGTGTCGACGTAGCACCACTTGATACGCGCAACTCCAATGAGCTCGCGGGTGGTGCCGAGGAGGCAGGTGCTTTCACACTGGAAGATGGTTTTCTTGAAGGCCCCGCGGATGAAGAATCACGTTTTGATGATGCAGAAGCCGGGAGGCTGAGCTGCTGCGACAAAGTGGATGACTTCGAATATATAGGCTCATAGGTGCTTGAGGGCTGCTTGCTACTTTCGGGGTCAGATGAAGATGCCTTGCTTGAACTGGCGGCTAAAGAAGACCTAGGTTGCTGCGAGGGGCTGGCAAGCTGCGATGGAGCCGGATTTGACGACGTAGGACTAGCTGACGCTGTTGTCAAGCTTGAGAGAGGTCCAGAAGAACCGTCGGTTGTGGATGTGCTAGACGGTTCCATTGACACTGCTAAATTTGGGGAAGTCAAGGTATTTGAGACCCTCACTCGCTCTTTTGAGGACGAAGCTGCACTGTGATTCTCGGCCGTGCTCGTTGAAGACTTGGGGCCGAACTGTGATCTTGACATGCTCGGTTCTTGACCTGAGGATATACCCAGAGCAGGGCTCGCGAGCATCGCGGAAGTTTTGAGTCCGTGTGCGGAGATGGACGTGACATAAGTCTCTGGACCAGCAGAGAAGTCTGCCGTCACCGTAGTGCTACTATTTGTAGTTTTAGAGCTTGTAATTGTGGGGGTACATTCCTCCGTGTAAGAAACTAGAGGCTGAGTGCGAATCCATTCGCCATGGGAAGACTGGCGTGGCACTTGTGACAGGGTTCTAGTTTCGTCAAGGGCCATTATCGGTTGCCCTATTGGCTTCACAGTAGGAACCGCCTTTTCATTACCCTCGGTAGGAAAAAGCTCTTGAATATAGTCATTGTCCTTCACAACTTGCATACAGCAGGCTCCCGGTTGGCATGCTGCTGCGGGGAGTTGAGAGGTACCCGGTCTGAGAAGAAAGAGGGCAGAGCAACGGTGCTGCTCATATGGTAGATATGTGGTGACGGTGTGGACAATGGTCGTTACTGTCCATCCATCTTGTCCAGCGGAAACTGATGTCCCGAGGAGTGCAGGAGCCAAATAGGCATGTGGCTTCATGGTGGCGGATACAGAGCCTGCAAGTGGCCGTCACCTCGTGGTGCATCCGATACCTGGCGAGGAGGGTTTGTTGAAAAGATGGAAGCTGAAAAAATACATACAAGGAGAGACCGAGAGGCTGAGTGGAAGATGAAGGAAATATAATGTACAGTCGGGGGTCTCGAGGTATATCATGGAAGAATGGTTGGTTTGTTGGCGATTGCCCGAGTTTCCACCTCAACTCACGGCAAACTTCATGTTGCAAATTCCAGCTTCCTCGAACTCACGTCCATTTCGGCCGCAAACACGGAGTGAAATCTGTTTCCACGCTTTCATATGTTTGGCAAGTGTAACGGGACTCGGATGGACTCACGATGGGTCTCTTGGCGTAGGATTAGCGCCGGCTGCAAGGTACCGAACTTGGGGATTTGTCCAAGTACATGGTCTTCCAGAATATCTTGGCTTTGAATAAGACCCATCGATGACGTCTGTGCTACAATTGGCAAAAAGACTCGCTTCAGATTGGTCCGAAAGGTGCATCGAGAATATTCTCTTCAAGGCTGGTATAGTAGTGGTCTTCGGCGAAGCGCTCGAGATTTACTCTTGATAAGTGTGTGAAATCGGACACAGGAACGAGTGCTCCCGGCCTTGTTCTCTCGTTGAATCAGAGCTTCATAGGCTTTGGATAAGGCCGTCGAACTTGACGCAAGCCCGGTGTAATTGTAATTGCACCATGTCCAAACTGATGCCAAGCAGGTGCTACCACTCATCTCCGAGTTTGTAAATAGACTACTAGCCATGGCCACGATGCTTCTCAAGAAGGACAATAAAGGCAGGCCCGATACGCGTCGTACACTTTGTACGTAGTAGTTGTCCCACGTCCGAATCTTTTTCGGCCAGCCGAAATGCACGCAGTTGCCGTTCTGGACGTGCTGTCTGCGCCTTGCCCAAACCGATGCGATTCGTACTGCTAGCTTTATTAGCCCTAAGGTATAAACTAAAAACATCATGGCAGGCCGCGTCCACGTTGTGCTAGGCGTGTCCTATGGATACTCGCTTGCACGTTTTTTTTTTCTATGGAGACGTGGAGATGCGCGGGGCTTGGAGTTTTCGTGAGCGGGGTTTCAGAAGTACGCCGTCTGTGCCTTGATGGGTAGACACGTGCGATAGGCCAAACCGTCGCTTGGTATCCGCGGACTGCCCGATGATGGGGTTTTCTCGAAGGTCGGGAAATGGAGACGGCCTGGGCCATGGATGAATCCTTCTTTCATTAGTTTTGTGTGACACGGTTCGTAGATCCTGGTCACGCTGACTAAGGCGGCGTCGGTGCGCTACCCTATAGCCTGCTGGTGTCTTCAAATCGGCAGTCTTTGCACATTAGGTAGGAACGTGGTGCAAAAAAAAACAACAAAGAAAACACACAGCTGACACGTCTGCTATCACGCGAGGCACGGTTCAGCTGGTCAAGCGTCAATGTAGGCACGACGACGGAGCACTAGCACTGCCGCTGCTGCTGCTGCTGCTGCTACGACCCTGCCGCCTGTTTTGGGGTCGACGCGAGCCACTCAAAATTTTGTCCGCCATGGAAATCGTCGAAGTCGTCGTGACCTGGATCCCACAATGTCCCTCTCCCTTGCCTTGACCCGACGACTTGGTCCTACAATACATGGGTTGCTCATGGCATAAGACCACAATCCACATGGCAACTCCGACGGGGGTGCAAGCTCGCCAAGACGGCTTTCAATACTAATCTATCCGCCGACTGGCCCGGGTTGCGTCAGGGTTCGCCGGCTTGGTCGAGCACCTGTCCCCCCCCCCCCCCCCCCTTTGGATTGGCCTTGGACTAGCCGTTGCTTGTCTCGTCTTTCTTGCCCGTCTTTGCCCGTCCTTGTTCGCCTCCCCTTGTTCGCCTCAGAAAAAAACAAAAAAATTAGATTGTGACGCACAGCTTCACCATCTGGTGGTCTCGTGCGTCTGTCTTGCGGCAAGCAGCCCGTCCGGACCAATCGTCATTGTGGATTGGATCCCCACCGTCATCGGTTTGAATCTCGACTGGCCTCGTCCGAGATGGCCATGCCTCATCCAAGGTGGGTTGGTTGACCACTTTCCCCTCAGACCACAAGTGTCGTCCTGGACGAGAGAGGCAGAGCCGCCCTCTCGTGGCATGCGATTGCTGTGTCTCGCCCGACCCTGACCCTCTTCCTTGACCTCTACAATGTCCTTGCTTGACTTGGCTAACGAGCTGCTGGTAGCCGTGGCCCAGTTCCTCGACGCCGAGCGAGACATTGATGCCCTTGGCCGGTCCAACAAGCGACTCTACAATCTACTCATCACCCATCTGTATCGATACAATGCCCGCAACTCCAGGGCGTCCGCTCTTGTGTGGGCAGCCCAGACTGGCCGAATAGAGACCTTGCGACGCGCCATTTCCGTCGGCGTCAGGGTCCACGAGTTTGCGCTGCTACCCATCGCCTCTGAAAAAGGCCATGTCGACTTTGCCAACCTGCTGCTCTGCACTCCTGGGGTGGATGTCAACGTGATCAACATGGACGGCTGGACGTCCCTGGCGGCCGCCTCGAGGCAGGGCCACGCCGACGTGGTCAAGCTGCTTCTCGCTGCAAATGCACATTTACAGACAAACTACGCCGGCTGGACGCCGCTCAATGTAGCTGCCAACGATGGCCACCTCGAAGTGGTGAAGCTGTTGTTGGCTGCAGGCGCAGACGTGTCGGTCCCGAGCGAGTTGGGTTGGACACCTCTAAAGTCTGCTGCCGGCAATGGACATCTCGACGTCGCAAAGCTTCTCCTAGCACACGGAGCTGACGTGGACGCAACCGCCGAACAAATGTGGACGCCCTTGCATTCCGCCGCCAATGCTGGACATGCCCATGTGGTCGAGTTGCTACTGGACCGAGGAGCGAACACGGCTGCTGCAACTGCAGATGGCTGGACCCCTTTGACACTGGCAGCCGACAAGGGCATGGCAGAAGCAGTAAAGACGCTTGTAGCAAAGGGTGCCGACGTTGCTCTGGCCTGTGGCAATGGATGGACACCAATCACGCTTGCTTCGGACAGTGGTCATGTGGCCGTCGTGCAGATTTTGTTGGAGAAGGGTGCGAATGTAAACTCGACATGCAACAATGGCTGGACCCCCTTGGCCCTCGCTTCTGGAGCTGGCAACGTTGCCATGGTTGAGCTGCTGCTGAACCTTGGAGCCGATATTCACGCAACCAACGGCTCCGGCTGGTCATGTCTCCTCATCGCCTCAGACAGAGGTCATTGCGACGTTGTCAAGGCCCTCCTCGCCCACGGCGCCGACGTGCTCACAGCAAACCGTAGCGGGTTAACGGCCTTGCATGCTGCCTCAGAAAACGGCGATGTTGAAGTAGCCGAGCTGCTGCTTGCCAACGGCGCTGATGCAGCAGTAGGAAATAGATGCGGTTGGAACGCTGTTCACATTGCTGTACACAACAATCACCTGAAACTCGTCGAGCTGCTCCTAAGAACCCCGGGCATTGATCTTGACTTGAGGGACAACAACGGACGCAGTGCCTCATACCATGCAGCAATGAGAGGAAATGCCGACATGGTGGATCTGTTCCTAGCAAGGGGGGCGTCACTGACTATACCAGATGCCTATGGCTCGGAACCCATCTTCTCGGCCGTCAGAAATGGCCACGAAGCGGTTGTGCGCCGACTGCTAGCCGCGCAATCCTATTCGCTGAAGCATCTGGATGGCTTTGGACACAACTTGCTTTGGTGGGCTCAACGAAGTGGTAGCCTAGACCTACTGCAGCTCGTCCGGCAACACGTCAGCCTGCACCATGATGGCGTCGAGTTGGATGAGGACATGGAGCCCGAAAAGGTTCCAGCCAAGTTCGTCGAAGATGCCTGCTGGTGCGAGGTGTGTACTCGATGCACGGTACTCGGCACCGTCTCGTACGAGTGTCCCATGTGCGACGGTGGCTTCTTTCTTGTCTGTGCCGAGTGCTATGAAGCCGGCGCGCGGTGTCGCGATAACAGTCATGACCTTGTCCCCCATTCTTGCAGCAGAGTAGCTTAAGCAAGAAGCAGATAGGGTCAAAGGCCCAAGCTTGTGCCGCGCTTCGAAGTAGTAGATGTCTTGGTGTTGACGAGGCTGTTAAAGATACCCGGTTCTCAGACGTATTTTGTATTCTCTTTAATGGAAGTAGTCAGGATTCAAATGAATTTCCTGCAACGAGGGTTGGACGAGAGAGCAAGTATCTGAACACAGGGCACATAAAAAATGGCTTCACACCCTGGTAGAAGTTGCACACCACGCCAGCTTATTGGGACTAAACGCACACTCTGTAAGCTTGACGAACAGCCCCCGGGACGCCTTCATCCGTGGTAATGCGCTGCTCAGGACAGGGGTTACCGAATATCCATGGTAGTTACAGAGTAGAGCCAGCAAGGTGCATGGTCCAGAAGAGCCCCTGCCAACAGCATCCGTCGAATGGCCGGTATCGGAGTGCGTAAAGGCAATCAACGAACGATGCATCGTCCAGAACCGTCAATCGCAAGTCCCAACGCAGCGTTCAAATCGGCCTAGCAGGTCATGGAGAAACACATACGCAATCAACTCTCTTTGAAGAATCCACCCTCTTCTCCAGCGCACTGCGTTTGCCCTCTGGTAACGTACTACTTGCGGGCTTAACATGCAGTCCTTATGAGGCATTTCATGGCCGTTGTGACGCGAAGCTTTGTGAGGCCCCTCCACAGCCTCCTGTAACAAATAGTGAGCGGCGTTCCGGTGACACCCGAAACTATCTAGGACATACGGTGGCGGTGCTCGTCAAATGAGGCCGGCCAAGCCTAGAAGCAGGCCCTCCAAGGAGTAGAGGCCAGCTCCTGAGTCCTGATACGGCACCCTACATGGAACCAGAGAGATGGTGGAAGATGGCATCGCGGCATGCTGAGGAGAACAAAAGAACATGTCGTTTGTTCCGTCCCTGATGGCGTAGGCTGGTAGTTTTGGGACCATGATGCTAGCACTAGCAGCTACCTTCTAGACGTGATCAGCTGGTGTGAAGTAAAATTTGAGAAAATAGGGTAGATTATTATCAAGTAAGGTAGGCTAAATAAAGGGGAAGGGGACAATCAGCCAGAACCAGCTGACAATTGGGGATGGGGATTACGGGATATCGACGACGGCAGCGTGAGAGAGGGCGGCAATGCCATGTATGGATTACACTTTCCGGATATTTCTGTATTTCAAAACGCCGTCGCCAAGTTCGGCGGGCTCTCAAGGTCGACCTTGGCGCGGACATGGTAGATGCCGATGCGGCCGTCGCTGTCGCCCACGACGAGGGATTTGCTGTCCGTCGAGAACGCCAGCTCCGTGATGCGGCCAAGGTCGTCGAACTGCTCCAGGCCCGGCCTCGGACCGCGATCCCGGGCGTGGCATTCCGGTCCGGCCAGCACCAGATTTCCCGCGACGACATGACGTCGACGACGGCGATGGTCCCCCGGGCACCGATCGCGGCGCCGCTGGCGTGGCAGTACGCCACATACCGACAGTCTGGCGAGATGCACGATGTGCAGTTGGGGATGGCGAACGTCCTGGTCGAGCTTGCGGCCAGGTCCCAGACGAGGACGTTCCGAGACGACACCTGGACCGGTGCGAGTTTGTAGTTGGACCCCGTTGCGGCCTGAGCTGCTGGCGCCGGCACCGCGCGGAACGTGGCGGGAATCCAGATGGACACGACGACGCTGCCGTACGTGGCGAGGTCGGACGGGATGGCCGTGTCGATCTCGCGGTGCTGCCACGGCCGGGCCACTCGATACGGCTTGCTTCCAGCGAGGCCGTTGTCGTGCGTGTGCCATGCCACCAGCAGGGTTTCCCTGTCCGGCGGCGGCTGTCCCCGCCGCGGAGGCCGAGGACCAGCGGCGGCCACGAGGAGCGGGCTCGTCGGCGACAAGGCCAGCTCGGGGTACTGCGGGACAAAGGGCAGGCTTGCCTCGGCGAGCCTGATGGATTTCATCTTGACAAACGGCTTCTTTCCCGTCGTTGCCGCGAACAAGTCGATGACGCCGGTTCGGCCTTGGTACGTGGCCAGCCGTCCCCATACGCGGTGGCATACCTCCACCTTGCCCACGGACCAGCGGTCGGCGTTGTCGAGGGTCTGCAGGCGTTTCTTTCTTTCCCAGTTCCATATCTCGACGGATCTGCCGAATCGGGTGGCAATGGCAACCAGGCTGGATGTCTCTGATAGGATGGCATGGCTTCGGATGAGGTAGTCACGCGAGCGGGACTGCGCTTCCGTGTACGACGAGAACTTGATGACGCTTTCGGTGCCGCCGGTCGCGAGAGACCACACCTTGACAATGTTGTTGCCGTGCTTGGTAGCTAGTGTTGATGATGTGGACGACATGTCCAGGTAGTACACACTGTTGTTGATGCGCTTGTCCTGCGACACCACCAAGCTCTTGAGACACAGCTCCAAAGACAATTGTGAACGTTGGTCACCATGCTGAGCTTCAGAAGGGGCCGAGTATTGCGTAGACGTTGGCGAGGTGAAGGAGAATGACGGGGTCGTCCCGGCCACAAGGCTTCCTGACCCGTCGGAATAGTGAGACGAGCGTCCGCTGCTCTCGACAGATCGTTCTGATGGGCGACGTCCAACGGATCCCGAGGGGCTGTTGGCTGTTCTGAAAGGCAGCGGCGGAAGAGGTTTATCCCCCGCCAGGTGAAGGCTGTAAGCCGGGTAGTTTGCAGACGAAGCGCAGGAGAAGGTGCGTCGACTAGATGGGCAGGATTCTTCGTAGTAAGAAGAAGGGCGCCTGGGTACCGTGTCGATGGCGCTCTCTCCGTCCGGTCGATGGCTGGGGATGCCCGGCGCCGATTGACGTGATTGTCTTGCCGCAATCTGAGGGTCATCGTCGTTGCCGTCTCTGCACTCGTTCTCCACCGCGGCCGCGATGCCGCCGCTGATGAGTGCCCTGAGGCGGCGCATTTGTTCCCGACGGGTTGGGGGAGTTCCTGGACGCACGCGACTCCTGTTTCATCTTGCGGGGGAAAAAGATGCAAAGTCAGTTCTCTCTACGTTTGGATTCCAGTCTGTGCAAACGGACCCCCGTGGCGGGGATTCATGCCGTCCCTCGCGCCGCAGCCCGTGGCCAGACGAGGAGGAAGAGAGAGGTAGTACATGTATGCATATATCCATCTGGGGACATCCGGGACGAAAGAAACAAGGCCTTACCAGTTTCACGGTTCCACTGCGGGATGGACGTGTTGACTCCGTCGCAGGATCGCGGCGCGGAGAAGAATGCTTGATCTGTCTTGGAGATGGCCGAGGTCAATTCTGATATTGTGTAAGAAAGAGGCTGCCGAACACGACGATTCCCAGGATGACTTTGCTGTCTGGGGGTACATATGTTTCTGGGCTACGTAATACGGGGTATCTCGCTTCACTTGGTATTTATCCATCCGACCGGGAGTGAGAGAGAAGGTTATCCCCAGTTTCGTTTTGCCGTCGAGCAGCTTAATCCCGTAGATTTTTGTGGAGTCCTTCCACCCCTCAGTGAATTGAAGCAACCTGGGTTTCAATGTTTTTGGGCGAAGACGAGAAGTTTCGGCCCAAACAAGCAAGCTGCATAACGTCGAGGCTTCTGGACCCGGACGACTAGGGGCGTGGCACGGGTAAAGGTCCGGGGCTGTTGAGTGATTGGAGAAGATGGGCGAATGGCCAATGGAGTCTTTGCCTGAAGCAACTCGTCAACTTCAGCTCTTGAGCCTTTCACCAAGACGCCACTGCGCCACGAGAACCGGGTCTCCCTGAGCCAGCAAAGCTGACCGGCGGAAGCAGTGTCTTCCTGACGACTTGCTGGTGCAGACGTATGTTGCAGAGATTGTGTCAGCGTTGAGGGGTCTCTGCTATGGGCTATTGATGGCCTGGTAGCCGCGCGGCCTCGGAGTGAATCTCTGAACGGGGCGAAGCAGCGCCTGGCCGTCCGCCCGGTCGGCGAGCAAGGTGGATGAATACTTCGACCTAACCTACCATGAGCCGATAACAGCGACTAATGTCTGATGACCCAAGACGGCGGGCGGCTAGGCTAGTCCCTAGCCAAGTTTCCGCCACGCCATGTGCCAATGTTGCGACCTTGTCTGGCAAGTCAGGGGTTCCTGAGTAAAGGCATGGATCTTCCTGGGGAGAAGCAGGGAAGTAGGGGTGCGGAGTTGACATTGTCACAAGTCTTGAGTAGAAGGACCTAGATTCTGGACAAAACTAAGAGATGCTACGTAGTACTACGTACTACAAGGTTTGCCTCTTCCCTGCCAATGCAGTGTTAATAATTAGCATGCATAGGGACCCCAGGCCATGCATTGCACTCACAGCACTCATGATGAACCAACAAGGGTTCGACTGGTACAACGCGGCATGATGATGACAAAACTCCACTCGGTCACGGAAAACAAAAAGTAAACGAGGTCCATCAACTTCGGATGAACAGGTTTGCCCAAGCCTCGGGTCAAGAGGGTCTGACGTGTTGTTCGTCCTTGTCGTTCAGGCCTCGACGTGATGGTGAATGCTGCCCCTAAGACCCGTCACGGCTCGCACATGGCGCATCGAAAGAGTCCTGCACGCGAGAACCCGGTCTCAACGTGGCCTCGTCAATAATACCTATGTCCGTGTTTTTAGGCAGTACTATTAGCTTCCTAGACCACGGTCACTCTAGCGGCAGTGATCCGGATCTTCAGACCACGGCGGGGGCCGTACATGCGACGATCGCGATCGAAATGGCTGTACAATGAGTAGGAGCCGCAAGGATGACAGTGGGCTCGTATATACCGATGGGACCTTTATGACACCATGGACAATCGAAGTCTGATAGAGTCATCTCGCCCGCAGACCACGAATTTTCCTTCTTATCTTTCTTTCTATTGCCTTGGGCGTGGTTTATGTGCGATCCGCCTCATTGTCCTCGTGGCTATCACACCAGGCCTGTTTCAAGATTTCGAGCGCTGCGTGATGCCACGGTCTTGCCTGTACCAGATGAGTCTCCCGGGGTATATTTCCAGTGCAGCCGACACCAGGGGCCGCAACGTCGTAAGCCAAGACATCAGAAGCGAAACATGCAGGTCAATGCGCTGGTATCAATAACGCCCTTCTTTAGGCTGTTTCTTGGCAAGCTCCAGAACCCTTTTGTAGCCGTGAGAGCAGTAGCCCACGCTGATAGTCGGGAAAAGAGGTAATCTGTGCACGAAGTCGACGGTGAAGCCATGGTTGCAGACAGGCGAGAGAGGTTGACGTTGAACAAGAGGTAGCGGGCAGATTACCGTCTCTGTGGTGGCATTAGATCCTCTCCAATATCCACACCAGGCAACGGAGTAATAGGATCTGTACGGAGTAAATCGACGTGCTTAATCTCAGCCCGCTCGGCACCGTTGTGGTCAGGTGCCACATCTTTAATTATGAGCTAAAATTGCTGGACTAAGCTGAAGAGTAGTATACCTCGGAAGGCTTGGATGCCCAAACGGTCCACGGCGCAACTGTACAAGCGACTTGTTGCAAGAGACTGCTGTTATTACTCGTGGGGAGTGATGAGAATTTTGACCGTTCTCGCTGGGAAGTAACTAATGCACCAAAAGATGCGCAGACAGAGGACACTCTTCATGTGTACTAATACCCCCGTACATCCTGTGCGACAGGAAGCAATCTCCACATGGCTCCTCCTGCCGATTGTTTGCCTTCTGGAGATATATTACGATCGGGCTTGTTTGAGAACAACCAGGATACACTTCCAACGTGTGAGGAGCCTGGAAGGTCTTGCCAAGCGTCTTGGCTCTCGGTCAAGCACTTCGCGTTTCCGGTGAGGCAAGCCCGTCAACCGCATTCCCGCCCGTTCGGCAACATCGGGAAACCGACAAAATTCGACAAACCAATCGGGTCGTCGACATCGTCTCGGGCGCCATGAGGTCGTTCAAGAGGTCACAGTGGCAGTGCCAACAGTGCGTGCTTTCGCCTCTTTGTCTGGCTTCTCGCATGCTCCTCGTCTGGCTCCAGCTCAGCTTCGGCACTCGACCAACTGTATGTGCTCCGAAAATGTCACCCGTGACGCTTGTATCCCTTCCACTTGGACGTGCCGCACGTATCCGAGCAGCCTGTACGTGTGCTATTGCTTGTCCACCGAGCCCTGCCTCCAGCAGTTCGTGTAGATGCTGTCCTGGTCATGTGGTTCTAGGCCGCTCAAGGCCGGGTGAACGCCCTTGCCATTGTCGTCATGAGCACTACCTTTGCGTGGTCACCGAGGCGTCGTAGAGGTAGCGGCTGGTGATATATTAGAACGACTTGCGATGTTTCCAAGAACTTGATAGTCCATGGGAAGCATTGTATGAGGCATCAACGCCGAGCTACGACGGCAGAGGGAATCCGCAATTGATCTGGGCCGTGAGGGCCGATGGATGGCAGTCAGGAATGAAGGCAAACAAAAAAAAATTGTCAGCCTTTCTGCAAAACAGCCTCGATCTCGGCCTCTCGCGTCTCTGTGCGCTGTTTGTGCGGGTTTAGTTTTGTTGCCTGAGGAATTAAAATTCTCCATCACCAGGAATCGCGACAAGTCCCCGACAGGGTCACTTTTCCCGTATCGAATTTCTGCAGCAAACCTTTGCAGCTCCGCATGGCCTGCCGACACAGCGCAGATAACAAGATCAACAAAGGCCGCGGTGTAGCAGTCACGACAAAGTCCGCCTCACCAGCTACGTCAGACTTTTAACACGCTGCGGTGCTTGGTCGGGTGCACAGCGGGGGACTTCTCGGCAGTGTGATTGATATCTTTAGGGCAACGCAGCCAGACCCTGCAACGGGCACCACCATGGCCATCTCTAGTATGATTCATCTCCAGCCCTTTTTGCGCATTCCTCGTGCGGTTGCGCCATCGCCTGCGTGCAGTGGCGAGTGGCATAACCACCTCGCTGACCTCGAAACCGTGCTACTTCGCAAAGACCGCGACAACTTGTATTGGCCAGATGCTGCCGAAACCGCCGCGGGCATGAGAATGACATCCATGACGACAATGGAATAGGCAGAGGATGCCGTCGACTACTATCAGACCCGGGGCCAGACGCCAGATCGCCATTGACTCGCCCGCGCTTTGGCTCGCAAGATTCCTGACGCCCTTGCACTACAATTACGTGCGACTGGACAAGTATGGTAGAGCCTGCCACTGAGGCTCTAAATGTTGTACCTTATCAAGCAGGGCGTCATTGCTACACAGACGGTGTAAACCATGCGGAGTTTCTCACCGGGACATGTCAATGTCCGTCAATCAAAGTTTCAGTTTACGCTTGGGACACGTCGTGACAGACGGACTCTGATATTCATCTTCGGTGCTCCGACGCCTGGACCGATTGATACAAGATTGATGTGTGATTTATGTATGTGTATGCTGGTACGTAGAGTACCCTCGTGGCAAAAAGGGATTCTGACGCTCGAGTGAAGCAAAAACAGCGGATGTGCTTATACTCTTACGGCTCCAGGGAGAGGTTATTTTTCATCTTGTCACTGGCAACGCGATAGGGCACCCTCATGGGAAGTGCCAACCCTAACCCTTTCTGAGTAGCAGCACTCGCCAACCCCTTGACTCGGAGTCCATTCCCGTGTTCCATCCAAATCAATCAACCGCATGGCTAGGTTTTGCCGATGCATCGTGGTATGCAAGATGCCCATCTCAGAATTCGGCACTTGGTGGTGTTTTGAGAAGAGAAATGGCACAAAATTTAGCCATGAGAATTCGAACATGGCAAGATCCGACGGATGGTATGAGTATTGCTCCTTGAACCCCACGCACAAGGTTGACCCAGAACGACTGTAACCTATTGATACATAATTGGACAAGCCCTGTACAGCCATTACTGAAGAGTTGGTCATTGGAGCAAGTTGGTAGTGATCAGTTGCCTGCTCTGTGACTATATCGTGCATACGGCAACGCACAATAGCCAAAGGACACAAACTGAGGTGATGTTTAAGATGCAACGAATAAAAGCGCGAAGACCTCATGTGCGGCCGACGACGACTATTGGGCGTGAAGGCCCGCCTTGCTGCCTCCTAGCATGAAGCCAAAGTGACAACATTCGCACCACGCGGGATATGCGACTCTATGTTAGCTGTGTGGCCACAGGTCAACACCGGTGATTATCCAACAATACACGACAAGAAAAACGACGTGTCGTGCGGGACCTGTCCGTGAATGCCTGGGAGATCTGGCCAAGAGGCGGGAAATCTGAGCTGAAGTTGGCAAGCATCCCCTCGTTCTTCCTGGCGGCTGGGGTTGTGAGAACCAGGTGTGCTATAAGCGGTAACGGGCGGACAAAGTGCGACTTGAATTTCAGTCTGGGCAAGAATCGAAGCCTGTTTTGGGTGTTTCATGATGGTCAAACGAAGTCAGACAGCCACAGTAGCAGTCTTCGCAACTGTTACGACAGTGAAGAAACAGCCACGGCTCCGGTACGAGTTCTGGTTTCAGGCAGATCGGAACGTCGTGCTGCCGCTCAGGCTTCCGATTCCCAAGTAGTCAAGGAGCGCACGGTCGTGCCACACCAACTGCCGAGCCAGTTGAACAAGAGCTGATCAGACGTACGGGGATGGAGCCAATGCGTCTCCGAGTCCCTTTGCAATGCTACCAAGCGACCGCCGCCGGCGGTCCGTGGAGTCAACCGCGTCGGACGCGCGCAGTCTAAACAAGTGGCTTCAGCCATTGCCGAAGGCAAAACCTCAGCCCAGGATCCTGCTCGCTACTTCACAGCACAAATCTTGGTACAAAGCATGGTGTGGTTACTTTGTTACGAACTCTAACCATCTTGCCTCGAGCCAATATTGGAATGGGCATTGTAGACGATTTGCGCATCAGAGGGAGACGGATAGCACGGACAGGCCGAGCGCATGGCTTCAAAAATGGGGAAACAATGCATTACCGTCTTTTGTACCGGCTGCCCCCAGGATATCATCTGTCTTGCCCCTCGACCTCGTAGGGAAGAAAAAGGAAGAAAAGCAAGTTCCCGGCACATGTCGGTATTTTGTGATTACCATGGACGACGCGAAGCCTCAGTGCGGTAAACAGGGCGACTCTAGCCAACATGAATACGACTTGACTCTCCATGTGGTTGGCCTCTGTATGTCATGAATCCGACCCCGGCCGTGGTCTCGTACTGGATCAACTGACATTGGGAACTTTCAGTCGTGGTTCTATTTGTGTCATGCCTAGGTAATTATCATACCTCTAAATCCATCGTCTTCTGCGACTAACAGCGTCCTAGGATGCGGCTTCCCTGTTGCGGCGAGAAAGCTCAGATGGCTCAGGATCCCGCCAAAGATTTTCTCCGCCTGCAAACACTTTGGTACAGGTGTCTTGATAGCAACTGCGTTTGTTCATGTGAGTGGCTCTACACGGGGCATGACAGAGCTCCGAGTACATGGGCGGACTTGTTGCTGATAGCAAAGACAGCTACTGCCGACGGCGTTTACGAGTTTGGGAAATCCCTGTCTCCCCGACTTGTTCACCAAGGACTACCCCCCCTTACCGGGCGCCATCATGATGGGCTCTCTGTTTGTGCTCTTTGTCATTGAAATGTGGCTCGATTCCAAGGCTGGTGACCACTCTCACGGTGGCCCGACTATGGCCGGCGTTTCTGGCCATTATCAACATGACGCAGCTCAAGCACGTGCAGACTCACCAAGACGGCAGTATAATTGCTCTCAAACAGCTGAGCAGCGTAGTCTCCCCGTGGTGTCGGGCGAGAAGCCGCCCACGACGGGCTCCCACCCGACGTCACTCGACGAAAAGTCAGATGACGAGCAGACTCTCCAAAACGACTACGAATACGACAAGAGAGGCCGCAGACTGTCGAGAATGCCCACCTGGTCCGTCGCCTCCTACGAGCAACATGCTCGGCAGCACACGGAGCTGATGAACACACTTCGCCGGCCCGAAGACGGAGAAGGAGGCTTGAACATGGCGGACGAAGAAAAAGCCCAAGACACAATCACGGTATCCAGCGTGGACAGGGACGGCGAGCCCGTGGACCGAACTCTCTTGAAGAGGATGTCAACCAACATTACCTTGCTCGAGGGGGGGATCCTGTTTCACTCTGTTTTCGTGGGAATGACGGTGTCCATCACAGTAGAGGGCTTCGTGATTCTTCTCATTGCCATCTCGTTTCACCAGCTCTTCGAAGGCCTCGGCCTGGGCTCCCGCATTGCGGCCGTGCCGTACCCCAAGACTAGCGTTAGACCATGGGTCATGGTGTTGGCATTCGGAACCACCGCACCCATCGGACAGGCAATCGGTCTGTTGGCGCGAAACACGTACGACCCCGAAAGTGCCTTTGGTTTGATCATTGTCGGAGTATTCAATTCCATGTATGCTTTCCTTGGAGGCGAGCATCCCCCGGGTCGAATGGCTAGGCTAATCGGGCACAGTTCCTCTGGACTACTGATCTACGCTGCGCTCGTGGACTTGCTGGCGGAGGACTTCCTGTCCGAGGAAGCAAACCGGCTGATGCGCACAAAGGACAAGGCCATGGCCTTTGCTTGGGTTCTTCTCGGAGGTGAGTAAGCAATCAAGCAATGCGACCGGGCAATTGGGTCGAGCTAACAAGTGTGGCGTGCTTGTGCAGCACTCGGCATGTCCGTCGTGGGTGCCTTTGCGTAGGTTGGACACGGCCACGAAAGACGGGCACAGAACGACACGACACGATTCGCAGCGAGGGTGTCACCGCATAGATTCATGTTTTATGACTTGCGGCATTGAAAGGCAACGAAAGCGTGTATCCGTACACGAGAGGTTAGGGCGGGTGGCGGCCTGTGGGCTTGAGGATGGCATTTGAAGCGCAGCTAGCTGCTTGTTCTTACGCATACCGGGGTCCGGAAGCGCTGAGCTTCAGAAACATGACAAGCTGCCCAGCCCACTTGTAGGAACTGCTTGCTGTTTCTCGACTCTTCTGGGAACGCATATCGGTCCGGCTTCTTCCCACACGCCGCGAAAGCTGGAAGAGAACCATCCATCTGGGAAAAGGACCGTACAAGAACATACGCAGACGGTGGCCCTGGCTACTGCGCATCTCCGCGTGGCGAGGCCGACGGACAACATCGACGCGCTGCTGCCCTTTTACCGCGACGGGCTCGGCTTCGAGGTGCTCCTCCGATTCAAGAATCACGACGGGTTCGACGGCATCGTGCTGGGACACAGGGATGCAGCGTACCATCTTGAGCTCACAAGCGTGACGGGACACGAAGCAGGGACGGCCCCAACCCAAGACAACCTCCTCGTCTTCTACCTCCCCGAGCCGGAGCCGTACCGTGCCGCCGTGTCGAGGATGGAGAGTCGCGGGTTCAGCCGTGTGGCCACAATCCCTACTGGGATCGAGGCGGAACGGCTTTTGAAGATGCCGACGGCTACAGAATTGTCCTGGCCAACATGGCCGCACCTATTTAGTCGTCTTTGCGCGCGGGGCAGTGTTGTTGGACCAGCTTCACACAAGCTTGAGATTTAGATGAGAGGATTACAATGTATGAGCAGCAGCTGCACAGAGGTCGCCGCCGGCCGGCGCAGAGGTGAAGTTGACTACTTTGTGTTATTCGACTCGTTTCAACCTGCCGCTTGTGACGTCACAAATGTACCCCGCGAAGGCACGTCGAGCACAAGAACACTATTCGTCAACGCCTGGATATCACCGAGAACGCTCTGCTTGACGGTCGCCACAGGGGATGAACAAGAAGTGGTCTCCGTCCACTCGCCCTGATCCGCGCGAAGCCTTGCGCCACTGCTCCTCTGAAAAGAAGCCATGTAGCTCGGCGTTGTTGCTCGTGATACTCTGCCGGCCGCCTGGGCTCTTGCTGCCTTGCTTTCCGCGCCCTAGATATATGTGGACTGGCAGCGATGCCGTGTCCCAGCATCGAGCAGAGTACTTTGAGACGTGGGCTTCCGTCACGATGGACCTGTGACCCAAGGCGTGCCTGTGCTCGGGCGAGGCCGTGTAATGTGACAAGCATGAAGACGTTGACGCCGAGGAGATTTCCGGACTTACGTCCTGCATCGCACTTGAAATTGTTTGGGTTGCGTACATTCGCGGCTCCCGACACTGAACAGTGGAAGCTCTGCGTCAAGATCCGACAAATGTCCCATCTACCCTATACTTCTGCATCGTAGCCAACGCCAGGTCGCAGCACGTCGCAGATGAAGCCACCGACGGTCGATGATTCAGTTGACCTGCTGCAATCAGGTACTATTGGCCTTGGAGGTTGTCGTGTGTGCGGCGCGCTTTCAGATGAGTGTCCTGCATCCTGCTGGCAGAATCCTGCATTGTTAAGTGTTCACCGTTTGTGCGCCTGCCGTTTCTGAGGCCTCAGCTTGCGACTTCCTTACAAAGCAATTTTACGTCATACTTTCGAAGGACCGACCACGGCCATCTGACGATCCTTTATTGAATCGAACCTCCGTTGCATCTTTTTAGCAGCGGCAAACGGACAGGCCTTTTCTTCGCATGTACCGAGTGTGCCGCAGATGCCACGGGCGACAAGACCACATATGTGGCCACGGCCAGTTGGCCATGAAGACGCATGTTCAGCTTGATACGGAGACCTGACCAGAATATTGTTTCGCAACTCCCTTGCCGAGCTCATATAACTTACATGTAGCTTACTTATTGTTGTTGCAGGGCATGTTACCAACGTGACATCGCTACGGCAGCTGCTTCATGGCTTCCATCTGATTGGAGAGCCGAGAGCTCCATGCAATTCTAGGCCCTTGGCTCACTACTTCGAGTCGCAAAGGAGCGCCTACTACCACCTGCTATGCTACGATGCCGTACAACAACTGACCATGTATGCTGATGGTCAGCAGGAGCCCAAAGGAGCACGATGCAGATAAACACACTGCAAGTGTGTATGCGTGGATGCGGAGGCACATGGAATGACGAAGGCGCCGCATACCATGGCGAGGGAGAGGATAGTTATATTCTAGACATTTGCCCTCCCCTCTCCATGGACTGGCCGTTGCAAAGCCCCCAGCTGGCACATACTCTCATCCTGGAGCTCGCCCTGCCCTGCTGAAAGATCTTTACTTGACATTGCGACCACCACGGAGTACAGGCAGCATCATGAGTGCCGAAGGTGAGCAAGGACCTGCTTCATCAGCACCCTCTCACTTTGCATTCGTCCAGCCGACCGATGTGCAGGCAGGCTCTTTGACAACCAGCACGGCGTGATCGGGGAAGTCGAGGGAGGAAGCGGCCAGATTCAACGGTACGCCGACGGGAAGCCCACAAGATTCAACTTCAAGAAAAGCTTCTCTCGGGCACCCAACCTGCAGATCACCCCCATACTCACCGACCGCCAAGGAGCTTTCCACAGCTTCTATCTCTACCTGCTCCATCCCTCGGGCGGCCCGCCAGTAGACAAGGACGGCTTCTACCTCGGAATCTTTAGCGACACCGGCAACAAGGTGGACTTTCAGTATTTCGCAAACAGCATCTTCGAGGCGTAAGCTGGGAAGAACATGTACCTGTCCTGTCTGTCCCTCGGCAGCAGGGAACACGTGGCAGAGGAGAGAAATGTAGACGAGACAACATGGCTGGTCGAGCGAATGCTTCAACGGGAACCCGAGAGTGCGAGCAGATGGCAACGAATATCAAGGACTGCACACCTGTATCCAGAGGAGCCCCTGAACAAATAGTCCAATCGAATGCCTCCCGTCTTCATCTCCCAACGCATGTATGTGATGCACAGTCTCGATCGACTGCCCACCTCAACATCCGTTTGCCCGCGAAGCAACTTCTCCGACGCCATGTCGAGCACCGTGCTGTCCGGGACAAGAGTCAAGAAGAAGAAGCAGCAATATCGCTCCAACAAGACCAGCTGGCAGTTGCTACTCCAAGATTGCCCTTGCCAGTGGCGATGACGCTCCAAATATGTGTTGGCGGACTGGCAAAATCCATCCAATATTCGCAAGCTTGGGTGCTGCCCGCAGTCCAGCTTAAAGGGCACCTTCAACTATAGCGATAGCTATTTTGGCGCATCTCATACACACAAGACTCTAGAGGCAGCAGGGAAAGCTCGACCGGTAGCAATCAATCGCAGTACTAGACGGGACGAACTATCGGGAACGGCATACCCAGAAACATGAATTCCCACGACCATCGCCAGCATCCCATCTAGGCCGTGGCTCGGTGACGCAACCACCCGCCGTGTTTACTGCAAAACACGTCCCGCGGAGCGCCGCCGCATGAGAATCTCTCCGCCGTCCAGCCCTGCCCCAACCTTTGGCACCTCGAGTATGCCGGCGGCAACCAAATCCGCCGCCAGCCTGGCAATGAGCCCGTCGCATCCCCTGGCGGCAAGGACGTCGATGGCGACGGGCAGAAACTCGGTGTGGTTCGTGATGGAGCTGAACTCGGGGACCTGGCCAAGCGGAAAGACGCTGTCCGGGGTCTCGGCAAAGATGGATATGTGCCCGTTGGAGAAGCCAAACGGCGGCACCGGCGGGTTGATGTACGCGTTGCGACTGACGAAGCGGACCGCGCCGCCGACCAGGAGGAGGCCGCTCGAGCAGGTCCGCGCTTCGGGGCTCCGCGGGAGGATCTTGTCGTTGAACCAGTCCATGAAGAGCGTCTTGTTCCGCACAGCATCCGGCAGGATCGAGTCCGGCTGGGAGTCCCCCCAGCCCCAGCGAGCCAGCGGGACTGGGTTGACAAACGGCAGGCGGCCGTCGTGAGCAGCTTGAGAAATGTTCTTGTCAGGGGCCGTGTATCGCGCAGGCGGGCTCCGAGTCCGTTCTACTCACCTGCATAGTCGCGGTAAAAGGGCTCGCGGACAAGCCTTGTCTGGTCCTTGGCAATCATCGCCGCGTACGTGGTGTTGAGGAGTTGCGAGAGGCCCTCGCCCCCGGCTGACGGTGGTCCCGTCGTCTCCCACTCCTTGTCCAGATCCAGGACCGTGGGCGTCGTACCGAGATATTCGGCCAGCTCGGAGACGAAGCCTTGTATGACCAGGGAGCGGGACGAGTTGTCGGCAGGCACGTCCAACAAGCGCAGCTGGGCAGGGTACTTGGGCCTCTCGCCTGCGAAATCCGTGTAGTTGTCCCCGTAGAGCGCGGCATTGGCGGCATTCCACAGGAAGGGGTCGCGGGCCAGGAATCCGGCCGTGTCCAGCCTGGGCGACAACGGCATGACCTCGTCGAGACTGACGAGGCCGTGGGAAGGACGGTTCCCGAAGACGCCCTGGAAGATGGCCGGTCCTCGAATCGAGCCCCCGGTGTCGCTGCCGACGGCTAGGTCTAACCATTCGTACGACGCCATTGACGAGCCCGCCCCTGCGGACGACGTGGCCGGGTCCTGGTATCCGTCTCCTCGGGGGTTGAAGGGGGAATGGTAATCCACCCAGTCTGCGGTCGGCGTCTCTCCGTTGGCGAACTGCGACGTCTTTTGCACGCCAACGATGACGGCGCCTTTGTCAATCAGGTTCTGCATCGCCGTGCCCGTGGTGCCGGCCGCCGGGTACAGATGATACCACGCACGGTTGCCGCAGCCCTTTTTGACGCCGGCCAGGGAGTAAATGTCCTTGACTCCGACGCGGACGCCGGCCAGAGGCTTGGCTGGAGTCTTGGTGAAGTACAGGCGGGACGGGACACCAATCGTTAGTGAATCGGCCGCCGGGACTTGCGCCGACAGCGTCTGGAAGCGGCCGTCCGGTCGTTGCAGGAGGGACTGGGTGAACGAGCCGGCAAAGTCGTCATAGAGCCGGAACGCCTGATGTGCCTGTCCGGTGAAGACGTTGACGAAATATGGACCCGAGGGTATTTTGTCAACGACGTCCGGCGAGAGCACGAGTGATGAGACTCCATCATGGTAGCTCCAGCTCCCGCTGGCAGACTCCGTGTTGAGATTGGAGACGACGAATATGTTTTCGAGAAAGGCGGGCTGCCAAACGTCGTCCACGGTAGACCAGTTCCGGGACAAGCTCTCCGGGCTCAAGTCGGTGTCTGATATCACCGTTGCGGGGATGAATCCGAGCTGGTTCGGCAGGGTCTTGACATCAAGCGTACCGTTGACAACCTTGCCCTGCGGGAAGGGCGAAACAAAATAGTTGATGGCGTTCAGTTGCAAGGAGACTCCGCCCCCTACCAGGGCACACGCAGCAGTAGCTGCCAAGGCGAGCAGCAGCAACGTCTGCTTGCGAGCCATACTGTCTGATATCTGGTCGTGCCGGGGACAGTCACCTTACCGAGGGCTTGGGGAGAAGCTGATGCAGCAGCAGCATTTAAGTAATATGAATAGCGCCATGCTTGTGAATCCTGGCACGTTGTCATTCCCCGAGTCTGGTCGCGGTTGGGTTGCGCAAGGACTGGCCCGGAAATTCAAAGGTCGACAAGAACCAGCTTTGCAGAAACCTCAGCACTTTGAAATCACCCAGTGTTGCTTGCTGTCCGTGTCGGTCGTTCAACTACTCCCCTCCTCTCCAACTGAACGGTATCCAAATACTGCAAAAAGATCGGCATGGCGAGCCAAGCATCTGGCAGGGCAACTTGACGCTACGCAGCCACATGGAGGTTTGATGGCTGAGAAGAAATGACGTGTCGTTGGAGCTGGTCCGCCACCTCGGTCCTGACGCACTGCTATGACCGGGAAAGCAGGCTTGCCAATGATGTTTTCAACTGTGCTCCGTACTCTGCAGTGGCGGGCATCTCGTGGATATCAAAGATCGCAACCCGTTTTCGTCAAGCACTGTATACCACCAAGTCGAGATGCTCACCAGGCTTTGAGTGACCGTGGGCGGCAAGTCTGCAGCTTACGTTGATCGTTGGGGTACACAGACGCAGTCGCGGGTCGAATATGTATATGTCGTGGAACCAGAGGACCAACTTTGGCTTGAAGCATTCGTAGTTACTCGGTACATTAAATAGTACATGACTGCATGGGACCAGGCTGTCCCTGGTTTTCCAAACATGTCACTTGCAAGATCTGCTTTTGATATCGGATGTGACGACCGTTTGTATCACAGTGGCCACCAATCAAACGTGTTAGGTTCTGTGTCGTAGTCGTACCGTTCGTCTTGAGCAGGTCGCCGTGTGAAGAAGTATCCGTGGTGATGCATACCGCCGTGTAACGGAGGAACTTCCGGCGAACGCCTTGGCCGAGAAAAAGAAAGGAGAAAGGGTCGAGACGGTCCTGAACCCAGTCGGCAAGGCATTTACTCGTGAATGCGAACCACCTCGGGCATGCGTTTCGGCGACCTACATGCAATCCTCAACACGACGTGACAGATTCCGCCCACCATCTCAGATGACTCCATTTGCTGCTTGGGCCACGTCATGTCCGTGGCTGTGGATAGCGAAGTCTCGATGCTCGTCAGCGAAGCCATCGAGGATGATGCTCCCATGTCTCGACGCCGCAACGCCACCTCAGTTGTGCATTCGAGTCGGCCCGTCCTTGACCACACGTAATGTGGCAAAGAGAAGGCCCGTCAAGGGGAACAGATGGGACGTCCTGTTTATGGCAGTCTCATAACCCCCCCTATTGAGAAAGGGACGGCCACAAATGCTACAGCGCTCATTGAGGTGAACAAACCGGGCAGCGGCGGCGCAAAAACGTCTTGACAGCTCCCATCATCGACTGACGGCAAAGGAGGCTTTGGTGTCGCCGGCGCGCGCATTGCGCATTGCAAGCCGTGGACAAGCCTTTGAGGCTTTCAACATCCAATCTCCTGAGACCCATGTGCGTTCTCGCATCCAAAGATGCCCAGAATCTCCGTGACTCGTGTTTTGTCTGACACACTTCTTGTCAGGGACCTTGGGCGTAGTATTTGGACAGGCGGTCGATAAGTTGACGACGCATGGTGCTCCTCTGTTGTAGGCTGTCCAGACCACATCAATTTTTCCTCTTGTCAACCCGTCTCAGCTCCATCAACTGAGCTGGGATAATTCTGGCTTTCGATTGAATTTCTACATGTCCCCATAAAGAGTTGTGTCCCTCTGACTTTCCAATAAACCAGTTGACCTCTCGAGTCAAGGCAAGTAGGGGGTCTAGGCGCGTGTGAGGTGGTATCAAATCAATGACCCAGAGGCCCTCCTGCTATCAAATGACTTTCCGAGGCCGTGTATCATGATGGGGAGCTGAGTTTCGCCGAGACGGCGTCGGACTGCACGTGCCGTAAGAGTCGAGTCACGTCTGGCAATAGACTCCGCCATCACAGCTACCCATTTGTCAGGGGTTTGTCACTGTCCAATGGTCCAGAGGCTCGTAGTTGCCATTTGTGTCTCAAGTTTCGCTCACTTGCGTTTGAAGTTTGGCCTTTGTCCTCCTTGTTTCACTCTTCGGCGGTGCGGGCCCGGCGGAGGAACGGGCAGAAAACTATAAGAGGACGGGCACGCGACGCCGACCTTGGCTCCGGTGCTTGTTCACTGATGCTGTGGCAAGTAGATTGAGTTTCAGGCTGTGATTCGTAAAATCAGGGGCAATCTCCCACGGCAATTGTGTCGTGCTTTTCAGGGCCTTAACATCGATCTATGTAGAGTAGGGTGCTTTCCTTGTAAGTTACAATCATCACAGGCATCACAAAGCTCCATCTCATTTGGGCTTGGCAGCATGAACTGAAATCTTGGCAACTGTACCTTTTACAGGCACCCACGCGCCCCTTGCTCGCTGATACATGATAAACAGGGTTTCAACAGGGACAGAGAGAGGTTCACATAAACTACAGCAGCTCTGCTTGAATTTGCCTGTAGTGTACTCCGTATGCCTAATTTAAGCCTAGAGCTCGTCTTGTGCTGGATTGTGCGTCAAATCTACACCAAAAACATTGACCCGACCCTGATTTTCTGAACCACAGCCTCGGGGCTACCCTACCAAGGTTTTGACATCTACCCTTTTGCTGGGGTTCCCCGGCCACCAAGGTATCGTGCGCAACCAATAAAGCAGTTCAGCGAGGCACTCGTGTAGCAAGTTCTTTATAAATTCGATACACGGGTGGCAACGTGTTCCGTAAACCTCACAACACCAGGCAAGTATTGGGCCTTGCATAGCCTCGACCCGTCATGAGATATCTACATGGTCACGTCCGGCTTTTGCAAAGCCCAGCGCTCTCCGTTTGCAAAGCAATGGGATGCAGATAAAACACTTCGTGGATAACCGAGGGAGCTTTCCACGAGGACTTGACTTTGAAGCCCCCCATGAGACCAGTCCGACTTCTCGCCGCTTTCGCCATCTCGGCCGTCGTGGCTTCGCCAACCGGCAGCCGGCCATCTACCCGGTCAACACCTGGGCCCGTGAAGGACAAGTTTGCGCGCTCGGAAAATCCTCCCAAATGTCTGCTGAAGCCTGCGAGCGATGCTCCGAAACACGGACTTCAGAAGCGCGGGGTCCAACAGAGCTGCAGCCCGTATGCGGCCAAGATTGCCAAGGCCTTCAAGACTTGCTCCCAGAGGGCCGCGAACTCGCTTAGGGTCCTGCAGGGCAAGGGAGATGCCAACGAGAAGAAGAAGCAGGAGTTGATGAAGAACTGGTTCGACAGCGGCGCAAATGACCAAGAGACGGTCAGACTGGTCACAGCCCACTACGCCCGGATCAAAGCCGAATGCGACCAAAACGGCCGCGGTCGTGTCGGCGTCCAGTGCGGGCCCTGTGGCGAAGGCATCGCCGGAGAGACATTCAAAGGAATGGGCCCGATTACACTCTGCACCGTTGCCTTGGAGGACAACTCTGCCGCGACAGATATTCAGGGCCAGGACCTCGGCGAAGTTTTGCTACACGAGATGGACCATGTCGTCGGGAATACAGACGACATTGCATACGACGTGCGACAATGCAAGCAGCTGAGCAAACGGCAGAGCCTCGACAATGCCCAAAGCTTTACCAAGTTCGCTCTGGCTACCGCAGTAGGCGACAACACGGGCGGGCGCGATGATTCCCCTGGATTTCCGGGTGTCGATCCGCCCCAGCCTGGTCAGCCTCCGTCTGGTCCGCCGCCTCCGTTTCCGCCGCCTCCGTTTCCGCCGCCTTCCTTTCCGCCGCCTTCCTTTCCGCCGCCTCCCTTTCCGCCGCCTCCCTTTGATCCACCTCCCTTTGACGGCGGCGACGGCTTCGGTCCGCCTCCCTTTGTTCCACCTCCCGTTGGCGGCGGCGACGGCTTCAGTCCCCCTGCCTTTGAAGGCGGCGACGGCTTCGGTCCCCCTGCCTTTGAAGGCGGCGACGGCTTCGGTCCCCCTGCCTTTGACACCGGCGAGAGCGGCCTCAGTCCCTTTCCCGTTGGCGGCGGCGATTCCGCCTTCAGTTCCCCTTATTGAAATATGTTGTGTAGTTGAACTCAACCTATGGTCCACCGAGACCGGCTGCATACGCGTCACGTACAAAGGGTCCGGCAGAAGGCTCAAGGCACGAGGGGGTTGGAAGCCCAAGACCTAGACAGATGCCTCCGTCACTGAGGCCAGGCTGCACACAGAGCTTGTAGGTCAGGTCCTCGGATTAAACCCTTGAATAAGACCTCGGATACTGCACGAGATTTATCTGTGAGTAGAGACATATTTGCTCTGAGCCTTCGTTATCATGCCCTCGTCACATCAGGCCAAAGCAGGCTGATAGTTAGTGAATGTTATGTCCAACAGACTCTTGTTTCAATTGACTCGGTGGATGTTTATGCACTGCCATTTTAAGGCTCTGGAGTCCTGACTGGTACGGCATGGTGTTTCGACTCTCGAGCCAGGGTTAGGGCTACCGGGCTGCTCCACTTTTTGCCTCGGGAATCCAAAGGCCGACAAGAGTCCGGCCACCTCGTCGTCAAACAGCCACCAACTTTGCAGCTGCAAAGCACATAACGTTACCTACCGCGCGGTGTCGTCGTATAAAGCGTCACTCCATCTTCGTTTCCCTCATCGGAGTCACAGCTGATCGAACCGACCTGCTCGATGCCCCAAGGCTTCCTTGAAGTTTCTGCAGTTGTTCGTGGGTTGGGAATGACGCAGACGAGGGTCACGAGACTCGGCATACCGCCCATTCCTCAACGGCCCCCCGGGCTCGCAAGTTGCGCGCTCCTGGTTGCGCTAACTTGTTGTGCATGGCCTTTGCCGGTCCCTAGTGCTTCGTTGTACCTGAAGTCACGTTCTTGAAGGGGGTTCTTTATAAGCTCTCTGGTGTGTGCCTTTCGTGAGCTTCTCCCCATGCTGCCAAGGCTCTTCATCGTCTTGCCTGTCACGGGTTCATCTTGGTTCCTCTTGGACATCTTGGTGGGCTCTCCTTCTTGTGCTCCGCAGGCTGATCGATTTAATTTGCAACAAAACAGCCTCTCGCGCAAAGCCTGGAAAAAACTCACTCACAAAGATTCGCGGAATACATGAGCCCCTTGGCCTCCGGCAGACCGTGTCCAGGCCAAGGAAGCGCACCTGGGCCAACGACATCGCCGAAGCGAATCACCATGGCGACCCAAAACGCTACGTCCCAGTCGCCCTCCGATCCCTGCGTCATTATATCCGGCTTCGTCGCCATTGGAAAGACGTGGCTTACCGAGAACGCAAGCAGCGCCGGATTATACGATTACAACATCTTGGATCTGGACTCGGCCCAGTTTCCGAAAGATGCTGACGGAAGGCGCGGACCGGAATTTAAGCCCGCCTACTTGGCAAAGGTGAAGGAATCCATCGCACCAAACACAATCATCTTGGTTTCTACCCACGTGGAAATACGAACAGCACTGGTCGAGCAAGGCTTGAACTATGCCTTGGTTTATCCCTCCGACCACTTGAAAGAGGAATGGATCTCGCGTTTGCAGGAGAGAGAGGAAACTGAAAAGCTGGTTCAGGTCGTCCAAAACCTCTGGCCAGACATGATGGACGGATGCAAGAGCCAGAGCAGCTGTCAACACTTTGTTCTCGGGGAAGGCCAATATCTATCCGACATAATCGGGGACATCATTCGGCATGTGAAGCCAATCAAGGATCAGCGTCAAGGGGTGCAGGCAGGAAATCGACCTACGACACCCCACGGCGACATTTGAATTTCCCTGACAAGGTCTTCAAACGCCCCGTCTCTGAATACGAAATCAGCCCAGTGTCCTGATTTTCGGTAAACAGCCTGAGCACTGGTACTTGTGACTGGGGGTCTGCAGCACGTGGATTTTGGCCCCTTTGCCGCTCATGAGGCTGGAAATACCTTTGTTGAATGATGAAACTGCAAAATACCACCCAGGCCCATCTTGCATGGGGCTGATGACGCTGTCGAGATCAGTGAGTTCTGTTCAAACGTCACCACATCAGAGAGGGGAAGTAGCTGCGAGGAGAGTCTTCCATTTATCATCCATATGGTCAATTTAGAACAACGGCACCCGCTAGAAGACCTAGCGTTGAGCAGTAGGGGAAATGACGTGGCCTCTGAACAATCTCATGCACAACCAGTTTGCCCTGTGGACGATTGACAACCAAGGAAACGCTTGGCATTTCGCCATGTTTACTGGTCGGGTGGTTACGAGCTCTGCGATTGCAATCGGTCATGTGGCCAAGTTCCCGGTTTGAATACGCCATGATTCGGGCTGAGAGACAAGCCACCACCAGACACGCGGAGAATGGGGGAAACGTTTCTGCCACCACCAAGGTTGCCTAGTTGAATTGGCTACATACCTTGGATGGCGTCGGCATCTTTTGTATGACGGGTTCGAGGGCTGCAGCCGCGTTGTGACGTCCCACCAACCTTATTCTAAGGACATTGTTAAACGTCATCTTGCTTCCCACTGGGATGAATGTGTAAGCTCTGGCGGCGGATGTCACTCGGATCCCTGACTCGCATTGTTCATCTATTTCAAGCAAATCTACAAGTTTCGGTTGCGAATGGGCCGTTCAGCCGTTCGTCTTTTCAAAAGCCTCCTCACTCGCAGTCCGCGGAACGGACGCACACCCACTGGGCCTGAGAAGGTCGGGCTCACGGCCGGGTTCGTGATGACGATGCATGGTATCGTATCGGAGTAGCGGGAATGTGGGTTGCTTAGCCGCCTCAACGCAGAGCCACATCGGTTGGTTGTGTCAGAGATGGGTTCAAATATCGGACCCGAACACGAAGCCTTTTTGTCGGTGCTATTGACTCTACGGCAAAAAAAGAAGATGGAGATGAAATATTAAAGCTTGCATCTGGGAAGAAATGTAGGTGAGATCAGGCGACCAACCAGAAAGGGCAGTAAACTGGCTAAACACATCCGTGACTGGCCAGCCACGTCGCGCGTCGTGCTTCGGCGGTTCCATCCAACACGATACGAACACTTGTGAAACCGAGATTGGTGGGTGGAGCCGTGGAAGCGATGCATGCATTCCTCTGCCTAGAGCCGAGCCAAGAGCTGTCAAGATAGCACGGAGGCAGGGCAGGGCCATCAGACGCGGTTGACCTGGTGGAGAGTCGAGACGAGCTAGTACAGGCAAGCTGAACGGATTGCAGATTCTATTGTCTAGGTGCCGTCGATCCTTTGCAGGGGCGTTTTCCCCGTCGTTGATGTTGGGCGCTCAAGTGTTTCTCACCAAGCGAGCATGTTTCAGGGAGCCAAACATGTCAACGTTACCCACAGGGTCATACGAGAGCCATCAGGACGATTGACTCAGTTCAATGCCGCGACTCACAAGTGACGGCAGAGGTTTGTGTCGCAAGTAAGTGGCATCCAAGACCCGATGCGGCTGGTCATGACAGGTTGTTGGCAGCGGTGCAAACAAACAACTGACTAGTCGCAGACTCGTAGCCAGAGCTAGCTATCCCATTACGCCTTTACAGGTTAGCGTTCCCCCGGCGGATGATTGATGACCTATGCCCGTTTCGGGAAATACGGGCTCGACCGGGGCGTGAATCTTTTGTAGACTGAGGCGAAGTTGAGCGCCAGCGGCAGGATTCTCGTATCTGCCATCATGATCCACGACTCTGTCGCAGCCATGCCATTGCGCCACGATGGCGGCTCTTGGCATTCGCTTCGCTTGGTGTGCGTGGGCAAGATGCGGGAGGATCCGTGCAAATAAATGCCCGTCCCGTCTCCGACGTTGTTGTCCTTGCAGCATCCGCGGACACGCGTTGGTGACTTTTGACTTTTTGAGAAGAAACAAACAGGAACAGACGTCGTCTTGGCCGCTGGACTGAAGCGCATTTTGAATATTCACTGGAGAGGAAAAGGCCGGTTCTGCAACGCCCGAATCCGCGGCTGCCCGATGTGATGGGGCTGCTGACCCGGAGGGCGTCAACGTCATCGTCAACGTCAGGGTCGCAACTTGTTGGAACTTGTTGCGTGACGTGGGAGAAGATTTGAATCTCGACAGTCGTTTCTCACAGACAAGTACTGCAGCAGCATACCGCGCTGCCCAGGCTCGGGGACGGCTTCACGCTACGACGACTGCTGTTTGCAGCCATCCACACGCCAGTCTCGGGGCGTCCGCATCGAGGCAACGGATGCTTCCAGTCCGGGCGGCGCAAATCTCGACGTGCACCAGGGACAACTTTGCGATTTGAGGAGGACTCGTCTTGCCTCTTCTCTGTTCATCATCTTCAGTTGTTTCATCTCCCCTTCATTCCTCTGATCCAAGGCGACCTCTCTGTCGCGACCCGCCGGCGGACCGACTCGCGACCTGACCTCGTGCAAGACGGACGCTCACTCGACCATGGTCGCGCCCATCTCGTCGCCGGCGCTGGTCGCCATGGCCAGCAGTGTTTTTTTCGCCGGAATCGCCAAGGCGCAGTATAACGTTGACACACGAGGTACGTACGTACGGGCCCGTGAATCATGATCCAGGCAGGCAGGCAGGCAGGCGCCCGTCTTGTGAGGACGCTTTGAGAGGACTCAAGGAGGAGGCGGGCCTGTTCCAACTTCTAACCACCTTGCGCGTCTAGACAACATCATTGCCTCTTCCAAGTCTCTGGCCTTTGATCTGATGAAATTCTACCGCGGCAACCAGTCGGGCCAGATCCCGGGGCTGCTGCCGGGACCTCCGGCCTCGGGCACGGGCGACTACTACTGGTGGGAAGCCGGCGCCATGATGGGGACGTACATGGATTACTGGAAGCTCACGGGCGACGCGACGTACAACGACGTGGTGACGCAGGGCATGCTCTTCCAGGTCGGGCCTCAGGAGGACTACATGCCGCCGAACCAGACGCTCTCCCTCGGCAACGACGACCAGGGCTTCTGGGGACTGTCCGCCCTGCTGGCCGCCGAGAACAAGTTCCCCGACCCTCCTGCCGACCAGCCGCAATGGCTCGAACTGGCCCAGGCCGTCTGGAACACGCAGGCGGACCCGAGCCGCCACGACGAGACGTGCAACAGCGGCTTGCGGTGGCAGATTCCCCGTACAAACGCCGGTTATGACTACAAGAACAGTGAGTTGGGTGCCAGTCTCTGCCTGCTCCGAAGCTCTGGCGCTCACCAATGTCCCTCGGACACGCAGCCATCGCGAACGGCATCTTCTTCAACATGGGCGCCAGGCTCGCTCGATACACGGGCAACAACACGTACGCCGACCGCGCATCCGCCACGTGGGACTGGCTCTGGAACGTCAGGTTCATCGACAACGACAATTGGGCCGTGTACGACGGCGCGAGCGTCAACGAAAACTGCACCAAGATCCAGAAGATACAGTACTCGTACAACGCCGCCGTCATGATCCAGGGCGCCGCCTTCATGTACAACCGCGTAAGAAGAAGAACCCCCCCCTTTCGCGCGAAAGCCCCCCTTGTGCGGACTGAATGAACCCCCCGCTCACACGTAAATGGCCGGCCGCGAAGACGAGCGACGACAAGTGGAAGACGCGTCTCGACAGCCTCCTGGATGCGTGTCTCAAGACCTTTTTCCCCAAGCAAATCGCCTACGAGGTGTCGTGCGAGTTCGCCCTCGGCGGCAGCGTCTGCAAGACCGACATGCTTTCGTACAAGGGCTATCTGTTGCGATGGCTCGCCGTCGTGGCGCAAATCGCGCCGCACACGGCCAGCAAGATCCTCGAGCCTCTCCGGAAGTCGGGCCAGGCGGCGGCGGCGCAGTGCACCGGCGGCTCGTCCGGGCGGCAGTGCGGCTTCTACTGGTCCGAGGGCAAGTTCATCGACCCCAGCGTGGACAAGACGACGGGCGTGGGCGAGGCCATGGACGTCCTGGCCGCCGTGTCGTCGATGCTGATGGAGGACGTGGCGCCGCCCGTCACGCACGACAGCGGCGGCACCTCGAGGGGGAATCCGAACGCCGGCGGCAAGGACAACGGCGAGCGCGCCGTGCAGCCCGTCACGGCGGGGGACAGGGCGGGCGCCGCGATTCTGACTGTTTTGCTCTTGGGCGGCGCCGTGAGCTTGTTTGTGTGGATGAACTTTTTCGATCCCAAGGTTGCGTGAGGCGTTGGGAATTGCGAGCATTGCTGTAAATACATGTGTGTGCGTGCGTGTGCATAGACGGATCCATCATCAGGTCGCAACGCATGACGAGCTGATACAGATAATCGACGCGCAAGGTGAAGCTCAATGCTCCAACGTCTAATGGTCGGCCGTTCGGTCACCGTACTGTATATGGCGGCGCTGGCGAGAGCCGTCGCGACAATGAGCCACGGCACGGCACGTTGGGGCAGAGTTCGAGACACGGCTGAGCGCGCTCCCGCCACGATTTCTCCGTCCACGTGCTGTGCGCATGGCCTTGGCTTTTGCATTGTCATGAGACGAGACGGGCACAAGGCGTGGGTCGGGTCGACCTGCTCTTCGGGTTTTGCTGTCAGCCTGAGTCACCTCCCGTGTGGTCGAGGACGGCGGGATGTGATGCACGCGTCATGTCTGTGATGAGGCTTTCTCGGCTCGTCTTGCCCACGCGTCGTTCTAGCCTCTGGCCTTGTTGGGTCCGGACCTGTCGTGCTGCTGACTGTCAGCTAGGTGACGGCACGAACCCCGGGTGGTTCTTTGATGCCGAGTGCTATAGATGGCCTCCTCCTCCTCCTCCTCCTCCGCCGCCGCCGCCGCCGCCTGCCCCTTCCTGCCCTTGCATGCGGCAAGATACTTGCGGAAATGGATGCAACTGTGTCTGCCTCGCGAGGTCTGATCCCAGAGCCCCAAGGCCAGCTCCCTGCCAGTCTCGCGACCAGAGGGGCTGCGGCTGCGGTCAGATCCAGCAGGGCTTGTGGGGATTCTGCCTTGGATAGTCGGACACAACTTTGAACTGGGCGGTCATCTCGCGACGTGTCGGCAGCAGTCAAACCTACCCAACCTCAGGCAGGGTGCTGATACGGGTGAGCCATTGCGGGCTCTTGGGGGGTGAAAGCGACGGCCGTTGCATGGAGTTCTCCACGGTAGTTTAAGCTCGGCCGGCCGTCGACGGGCGACTGCCGTTCTTTTGCTTGGCACGTACGGGCTTGGACTTTTTGGTTTGTGTACTCACTAGGCAAGGCGTGGTGAAGAGCAATAGACTCGTTCGCGCATAATATCGTGCGGTCTTGAAAAATCTTAGTTCCTGAATCAAAAGGACAAAGGACCCGGCTACCAGGGCAAGATGCCCGTGTGCGTGACGGGACTTGGAAGACGGAGGCATGAGGCATCAAGGCATATCTGGTGCAGCCGCGTCATGAAGCTTTACTTTATCATTTCTCAAGTGCCTGGCCCTCACTCTCATGCCGGGGGACTTGGGGATACCTGGACTCGTTGTTGACCCAGTCGACGAATGTCTCCCACGGAGCAGCGAGGACGGGCACAGCAGTCAACAGTAAGAATGCAAACTTGGGAAGCATTGTAAGGGGGTGCCGGGTCTGGGGAGATGATGGAGAGATGAAAGAGGTGACTGATGGGTGAAGCGACTCTGAAAAAGGCTTGCCAAAGACTGCGCAGCAAGGGCCGTGGATGACGGCGCCTTTTTATATGTACATGTCTTTTTTTTGTTTTTTTGTTCCCAACAAGCTGCTCATCCTCGCGGTTCGCCGCAAAACCCGCTGCCAGCTTGGATGCCTTGTGGGCTCGTACAACACAAGGATGTAAGATTCCATCTCGACAGCGCTGTATCTGTACGAGTTAGTTGCGGCCCCGTTGGCCACGGCCACGGCGCATGCCAAGCCCGCATAAAAATGGGTGTGAGTACATGCTGCAGCGTGCCGCGTAAGCCTATTTGGTTTATAGCTGAAAGACAAGACCGCAAAGGACAATGAGCAAGAGGGAAGCCCGGCTACTTGCTAATCTGCGGTGCCCTACTCCCTGCAAGAAGTGGGCAAGACGCAAAGTCGTAAATACTTCTCACCTAGTTTTATGTAATCGAGTGCAGTTGGACAAATTCAACTGCGATTCGCTTACGTTGGACAAGCCCTATTGGGCTGTCGCGGGTCCCAGCCGACCTAAAGGGTACGTAACTATCGGATTGTTCCCTCGTTCCCACGCTGCGCTGTCCGTCATCCCATCGCCTTCATCCTCTCTTGGCGACCTTTATTCCCGCCACTGTTCAGCTATCGACCCGTGCTCTGATCACGGCGTCGCCAGTCCTCGGTCGGCGGGACCGTATTCGCGCCGTGAAGCACCGGGCAGTACGGGCTCTGCGCAAGCTTGATGTCAAGAGTCGAGACGAGCTCATCTTGGCCGCAAGAACATTTCTTCATCCCGGCCAAGTCGGTCGTCGTGCCCACGCAGGAGAGCAACGCCATGGCCTGTTTCTGCACTCGTCGCTCACCAACTACATCTGCGGCTTGGCCAGCCGCCCCTTCGCGTGCAGGTTCCAGACCCGAAGCGCCGTCACGACAATGGCAATCTCGCACCTCTCTCCCGGGCGCCCGTCCCTCGCGCTCCCCAGCAACGACAGCGTGAACGCGTCCCTGCTCGCCAGCGCCGTGTGTGCGGAGCCAAGCATGGCGACAGCCTCCCCGTCGACGTGAGCCTCCTCTGCACGGGAGGCAGAGGCGCCGGGCGCCGGGGCTGCTTGGCCGTTTCGCCGGCCGTTTCGCCGTATATCGTTACCCTTTTTTTTTTCGTCCATTTCCACAAGCAGGTGGCGAGGACGCAATCGATTGCGCATCGCGAGGCATGTCACGGCCGAGCTCCACGGACGTGAGCTCCATGGATGTGGCATCGCACACACCACATCCCCCAAGGTTTCTTCTGCAACGACTAGAAAGACAAGGCAGTTCTTTGCCCGCAACTCCATTTCCTCCATTCAATTGGCTGCAACCCTCCCTGCTTTGTACTGGTGGTTAATAAAACAGGAGTTGTGTATGGCTATCCGTAGTGGCACATTGGCTGACAGGCGCCACGGGGCGTCATTCGACACCCGCCACTGCAGATCATCCACAGTTCCTCGTGATAGCACAGGCATGGCGAGAGTGCTGGAGACCGAGGGACGGGCGGAGGCGAGGCGAGGAGATGGCCGTGTCGCGGACGCGCCGGAACCGTCGGGCATGGATGACCTGGCATAACAGAGGCTCAGAGAGGCTGAAAGGCAGGATATCAACTCGGGGAGCAACATGAAGGCCATTCAAGCCGACGCATAAACCGTGGCAGACTCGCCGGCTGAATCTTGATGGCGTGTTGAGACTGCCGTTTTGGCCGCCTGCTGACCGGCGAGTGGACAGCTTCAAACTTCCACTGCAGATGGGCTACGATCTGAGGGAATTGATTTACTACTTGGCGGCTGGAAACGAAAATGTATAGACTGAAAGCTATGGTGGCAAGAGTAAGTAGATGGACGAGGTGCGTACCAGAGTGCCAGCCGCAATCAAGAGGCACTCTGCACTATGGGCGTCGATTAGATGCAATATCAAAAGTGAGGCGGCGCAGGATGTCAAGCGCAATAAACAGTAAACAATTAAGTTCGGAAACGCAGACAAACCATCGTGTTCCATGGTAGGAAAAGACCCAAAATAAAAATTTGTAAGTTACAATTTGGCAAAAACAATCGACAGAGACAGGATTCGAACCTGCGAGGCCGAAGCCAAGTGATATCTATGGCTAGGTACCCCTCGATCTGACGAATCACATTCAAGGCCTAGCGCTTCAAGTCACTCCCCTTAACCACTCGGGCACTCTGTCGCGGATGTGCGGAGGTCGGTCCAAAACGGCACTAACAAGGTTTCAGAGGGTTTCATAAATTCTTTTGTCAACTCCGACTACTCCGTAGCACTGCACGAATATGTACCACGAGTCGACGACGGAAAAAAGTCGCTTGGCATGCACCCCTCCGGATTGATCGCCGTCGCCTTTTCACTGGGCTTCAAGGTCCTAAGCACGGGCAACACGCATGCGGGCTTGGGTTGTGACTTCCAGCAACTCATGTACTCGGTCATGACTCGTAGACACAAACTGGACTAGTCGACCCAGAGCAGAACGTAGAGCTAGGATAGTATGACGCCCCCGTACCAAGAGACGGGGACTGAGAATTCTGCGCAGCGTGCTTCATCTCGGGCAATCTTTGAGCATGATGGCAGCGTGGTGCGTGGTGCGTGGTGCGAATCGTGTTGTGTGACTGCCGTGTTTCGAAGTGAAGGGGTAGTTACTCGTTAGTGCCAGGCAGGTGACTCTCCCTCACTCTCTGGCGGTCATGAAAATGAAAATTAAAGACAGACGGCAGGGCCCAGGACAAAGGGAGAGTGACGTGACATGTGGGTCGATGGGACCAGACGAGTCTGCAGAGCTGGCACGGAGCACCAGACGCCTCGAGTGCTGGCCGGCCAGCCAAGGGGCCCCCAAAAAGGCATCAGTCATCACCTGTCATGTCACAAGGCCCAGCGTCACTGGTTGTGTTGTGTCGTGTCAGACTCGACATGTCGACGACCCCACTTCCACTTGCCTGCCCACCTGCAAGTGGTCAGCCCATGCCGACAATTGACTCCGTCGTGGTCCATGGACCCGTGGATCATGGATGCCTCCCCTGCTCCCCAGCCATCCGAATAACATCCATCGCCCTTCCCCTCTCCCTGCTCCCTGCAGCCCTGTTTCGTCATCAATCTCCTCGCCCCCTCCCAGTCAGTCATCGGTCATGCTTTCAATCTTTTGCCTGTGCATCGCATCCGCATCCCGTCGCTGAGAGACCTCTTACCTGCGACCCTTTTTGCGCTTTGTTTCGTGGCATCCTCTGCGTCGACGACTTTTCTTGTTTAGACCAAAGTTTAACCAAGACGCCTCACAAACGGGACGACGGGTCGGTCCGCCTTCCCCCTCCTCTCACGAGCCATGTCCCGATACTACCGGGACAGCGAGTCGGACGATGATCGATACAAGCGGACCACGGTCACCAGGTACAAGGTCGGCCCCGACAGGCACGGCGAGCGCTTCGAACGAACTGAACGCATCCAAGTCGACGACGACCGCCGCTCCAAGTTTTCCGCGCGCACCTCGGGCGACCTTCTCGATGCCCGTGCGCCCCTCTCGCCCGATCGCCCGCGCTCAGCCTTTGAACCTTACAACGGCGACCGCTCGCGCACCGTCTACTACGAAAGAGATGTCGAGCGCGACAATCACCACCGAGACCCGGACCGATCCCGCATCACCGTCTTCGAGAGCAAAGAGGCCGACAGAGACTGGGACCGGCGCTCGCATCGTGGCCACAACGAAGACGAGCTCAAGATTGAGAAGCGTGTAGAGGAGCGCTTCGACGACACCCACGGCCATGACGTCGAACGCTACCGCAAGGAAACCGAATATTACGTGCCCCAGTCGCCTCCGCCCCCTCCCGTCATCATCCGTCAGCAGTCGACGGAGCCTCAAAAGATCATCGTCCAGGACCCGCCGCCCGCTCCCATAGTTGTGCCCCGCCAGCAAAACCCTGGTGTCGTGGTCTTGCGAGATCGGGAGGAACGAGAAATGGTCCGCAAGGACCGCGACTCCTATGAGGACGACTACTACTACCGCCATGAGCGTCGCGATGTCGGGCCCTACCGGGGCGACTACTACCGCAATGACCGGGAGAGAGACTATGCCATGGCTCGGTATGGCCGCCGAAGGAGAGACGACGGCTACGACAGCGACGACGATGAATTCTACTACCGTCGCACCGTGCGCCGAGACCGTAGCGAAAGCCCCCACCACAAGCGACATCTCGCTGAAGGCGCCCTCGCCGGCGCCGGCATCTCCGCCCTTCTCACCAGTCGCCGCGATGAATACGGCGACTTGCCCGATAATCGCGGCCGCAAGGTCCTGGCCGGCGCTGCCTTGGGCGCCCTGGGAACCGAAGTGGCCCGTCGCGCCCACAGCGCCTATGAAGATAGATTCGGTGACCGCCCCGAGTCCCCCGACCATCACCATCTTCTGAAAAAGGGGCTGGGCGTCGCTGCCGTGGCTCTGGCCGCCGCCGGAGCTGCCAAGTACTACCAAGCCAGCAAGGTCGACAAGGAAGAGGCTCATCGTGGTCGAAGCCGCACTCGCGGGGGATACTACTCTGCCGACGATTATTCCCGTTCCGTGTCCCGCGCATCCCGCCGCAGCAAGAGCCGACGGCGTAGCATATCTACGGCCGCCAAGGCCGCGATAGGAACCGCCGCCACCGCCGGGATCATCAAGCACTTCCGCGACAAGTCCAAGTCCAAGTCCAGATCCCGCCACGGCAGTCGCTCCAGAAGCAAGTCTCGGCTTCGGCGGGTCGCTGAAATTGGGGGGGTTGCCGCTGCCGCCGGCGTGGCCAGCAAGCTTTGGGCCAACCACAAGGAAAACAAGGAACACGCTCGCAACTCGAGTGCAAGCAGCGACGATGAGTACTACCGCCGCCGAGACTCGAGAAGCAGACACAGGAGCCTCAGCGGTAGCAGGCACCGGAGCAGGTCGAGGTCGATGGCACGATCCCCCTATTCGCAGCCTGGTGCTGATCCTGAGCTAGGCCTAGTTGAGTACGGCAACGACCCTTTATATCCCGAGTCCCGGGACGAACTGGCCCGACGACGTGGTGAGTCGGACGCTGAGGACGGACGCGGCGAGCGACGCAGACGCAGAAGGCGCGACCGCTCCGTCTCGGCCTTTGGATCGGATGACGAGCACGAGAGGAAACGGAGCAGAAGCAGAGTAAGGGATGCCGCTGCTGCAGGGGCTGCCGCCGGCGCTGCCGCCATGGGCATCAAAGAATTCAAGGACAGAAAAGACAGAAAGGAACAAGACAAGCGGCACAGAAGGTCCAGGGAAAGGGAGGACCACGGAAGACGTAAGTGCGCGACCCGGTGGACAGCAGCACACTTTGGCAGCCCAATGGGATTTTTTTTTGGTTTCATTTTTCCTTTTTTGTTTTTATTTCACCAAGCACGAGACTGACCATGTCCCGGCAGCACGTGACGAAGATCAGCGAAGAGACTACTTCGACGACCGTGCACGTCCACGCTCACCTCCAACAGCATCAGGCGGCGCATACTATCCGCCGTATCCTCCAACCCCCGGCGATCCGCCAATGGCGAGCAACGGCAACCACGCTCCATATCCCGATCATATCGGCGGGGCTCCTCCGCAAAGAGAGTACCAGCCGTACGTGCCGCAAGACTATACAGGTTACGCCCCTCCACCTCCACCCCCTCCGGCGGGTCCACCGCCGCCTCCGGAGCCTGGCTTCCGGGGTGCCGGGCATCCGCCGGGGCCGGCTCCTCCGCCCGCAGGCCCGCCACCGACTGGTGGAAGATATCCGCCAGACCATGTGAGTGCTCAAGTCCGAAGCCAAGAAAGCCCCATCAGAGATGCAGCAAAGAGTGCGTGAAATCGTGCCTGGCAGGAATTCGACGTTTGAAGAATCCCAGCAACGTTTGCCGGAGGGAGCTGACAAGACACTCCTCTAGATGGTGTAAGCAGACCGTCTGGCGCTGCCGCGAGCACGGGGCCGCCAGCCGCTTCGAAATCAGTATCATTCATCCCCTTGTCTCCCCAAAGCTCCATGACAATGGAACGGCACAGAAGAGAGCAAGCGGAGGCCTCAGAGGGCGAGGGCTCCCGTCGCACCAACAACCTAGACCCAGACACGGCGTACAATGACGAAGGAGACATCTCTCCTGGCAGGGACAGGTGGGGCGACTCGAACCCGAACCATCAAATGTCGTCCCATGCAAGAACGCCTCCGCGGCCCTTGGTACGGCGGAGCAGGCGACTCAGGGACGACTCGTCGGGGACCGATTCAGGGGACGAGGTCGAAGTTCTGCCAGACCGGTTTGACTCCCACGGCAGTCCTCTGGACGGACGACACGTAGGCGAAGACGGGTGGACCACGAGACGGGGCGTGTTCAGACGGAAGCCGCAGCGTCCGGGGGGCTGGGATGTGCACGGAGCGTGGCAGGTCAGCGGCACGGACGGGCAGGCCGTGGACAGGCTCGTCAGGGACGTGACGGGGGCGCTCGAGGGCCAGAAGGGCTTGATGGGCGTCATAGGGCACGTTTTGGGATCGGGACTCCTGCAAGGTGCTGAGGAGCAAGGGGGCGGCGGCAGCGGCAGCGGCAGACGGAGACATGAGGATGGCCATGGCGACCATGACGACGGGAGGGGGAGACGGTACGGAGTGCGGCGGTGATGGGGGGATGACGAATGATGTAATGACCGACGTGTGCGTCTGTTGTGAATGGTACTTGCTTGTTTATTTTTCCGACTTGGGAGGTTTTTTTTTTGCGGCGGATTCGTGGGATAATGCAGTGGCTCGGTTAGCCGTAGAGTCTGGAGTATGAGACACATTGACGAATGTTGGATGGTGCCATGGTCTGTGGGATTTGCATTGCGGCGACGACGCATGTTATGGTTCCAGCTGGGCAGACGACAAGAGGGCTCGCAGAGCATGGCAAAGCAGATATTGCAAAGCAGATATTGCACGACAGACCAGAATACCGAACATGTAGGGTACAAACAAGACGGATTGCAATCGTGGCGACGACGAAACATGACGCGCGCCTCGGCCTCCCTGATTCCGCCTCTCCCCCTCTGTCAACGACAAACGGCAAACGACAAACGACGACCACGACGCAGCAGGCGGGTCTACTAGAAACACCGCTAGAAATCTGAGGTAATTATGGTCTGTTTTTTTAATAAAAAGAAAGGAAAAAAAAAATTTCGTCCCCAGTCAGCACAGCACGCAAGAGTTGGCGGGGGGGATTCGGGACTCGGGATTCGGGATTCCGGCTTACCTGGGTGGGCGTAAAGGTGAAGCGCTCGTAGGCCTCGGTCGGGACGGCGGGCCCGCACTCGAGCCTGGTGGCGATGAACATGTTGCTGAGGGCGGTGGCGGTGTGCCAGTGGTCGAGCTCGCCGCGGACGTTCTGCCAGAACCACTTTGTGGACCAGGCGAGGGCGCAGGTGCCGCAGTCCTTGGTGACGGTGCTGACGGTGGAGACCTGGTAGAAGACGATCTTGTTAGGCCTGATCATGCCGCCGCCCCAGACGGCGGTGGAGCGGGTGCAGCCGGGGGAGGTGACGCCGGTCGGGGTGATGGTGGTGGGGCCCTTGTCCGGGAACGTGACGAACATGGTGCGCCGGTAGGTGCCGGTGCCGGTCTTGGTGGTCGGCGGGGCGGTCGGCGTGTGCGGCGGCATCATGAAGCCCGTGCCCTCGGGGCCGCCGCACACCAGCTCCGTGATGGTGAAGGGGTAGTCGACCGTCTGGGTGTCGTAGACCTTTGCGTAGTCGAAGCCGCGGTGCGGCGTGGTCCACACGATGGCGCAGTGCCCGCACTTGTGCGTCAGCGTCGTCGTCGTCGTCGTCGTGTACACGTCCTGCGTCCACCGGGCGTGCGTGTCGCCCACCCGCGTCCACCACGTGCACGACGGCGCCGCCGTCCCGCGCGGCCACGCCGTCCCGATGCCGAAGTCGTAGTGGACGTAGTCGTGGAGGAACCTGATGCTCTCCCTCGTCTTGACGGTGCGCTGCTGCGGGTCGCCCGGCATCGTGGGCGCCGACGTCTCCGGCCTGCGCGCCGCCGGGGTAAAGGACACGGTGAAGTCGTCGACGTCGCCGTCGCCGTCGTTGTTGTCGTCGTCGTCGTCGCCGCCGCCGCCGCCGCCGCCGCCGTCCTTTACCCAGCTTGCGGTCGCCGTGGGCGGCACCGCGTCGTCCCAGTCGCCCGTTGCTGCTGCTGCCGCCGTCGTCCGGGTCGCCCGGGCCGGCGGGTGGCGCTGCCTGCGGTGCCCCGGCGTCGCTGTCCGCGGCGCCCTGGCCCCCACGAGGCCCAGGAAGAGCGCGAGTGCTATGGCGGGCTGCATTCTCGTCGAGGCGTCGGTGGTCTGCAGCCGATGGTCCCTGGGCGTGTGAGTGGGAGAGGCGGGCCATGGGCCGACGTCGCCCTTTGCCCTGCCTTTTATAACCTCGTCACGGGTGCTCACGGGAGCAACTCTGAGCCGTCGTCATCACTATGTCAAGCCTTGCTTCGCTTCAGCCCTACCGGACCGAGCTGCCTTGAGATCTGGCCTCGTACCCAAGACTACCGCCGCACCATGTCCCCCCGTTGGCGGGATAAGCCTAGCCCGCCCTGCCCTAACTTGCTAATGGGAAGCTACCGAGGCCGAGCTGACGCCCACGAGGCGAAGAACCGTGCCCCTGGGCAAAGCTAAAATATGGACTTCATCACCACTACGCAGAGCACCAAGTACGAATGCAAAGTCTACCGGTCCGTCGGCTGTTTGATACAGGGATTTGCCGAGGCAGACGCGCCCAACTGCTTCACCCCGCGACGGGTTTGTCTATTCAAATCCCTTGCTTGAAACCAACAAGCCGCAGGACAGTTCCTGTCATCATCTTCCAACGAGAGCCGCTCCTTTGGGAGTGAAATTTTCACACACTGCCAGGGCGGAAAACCACACCGTTCTTGTTGGCGTCAAATCATCCTCTTGCCGGTGCCATCTTGAGACACGTCGACGGTCCGCATCGACACCATCAGCGATGCGCTCACAGAGGGCGCTTGGTGTATGAATGACGCGTGTTATTACGGCTGCAGCAGCACTTCGCACGTATTCGTCTACATTATGGCCAGTCTATATGATACCTCTATGCCGACGTGTCACATCCCACCCCCGTCTCTTACATCATAACTCATCTCGTACTATTGCCGGCTCCGGTCGCCCGCTGTCCTTGTGCAAATCAACGCCGTTCTTTGCCCTCCACTTTTCCCACAAGGCCCAAAATTCATGTTCCATCTTCTTATCCATTTGGTCGGGGAGAATAACCTCGTACGTCACGTAGAGATTCCCGAATTCATATTTGTGCGACTCGCTGTCGCCTTCGTCATGCCATTTGGGCATGCCTTCGCCGGGAACGGTCTCAACGTGACCGCTCTGTACGACCTGGCCGCGGCTCCGGCCGAGACGGACAACATGAGAGTCGAGGTGAGTAATGTTGCGAGTCCAGTCGCCCATCCACGCCTCGCGAAGGGACAGGACCTCGGTCCAGTACAAATCGTCACCCTTGCGACGAAAGTAGGCACCGTCGACATTGTCCGGGTTATCCTCCGGTGCTGGTTCCTTTTCCGCAAGACTGACGACGAGGTCGCCGGCAACCCAATCGGGGCTCTCATCGGCTTCGTTTTCGTACACAATCTTGGATTCACGGGCGGCACCCCGTTCAATCTTGAGAGTGACGGTCGTTGGCTTTCTTTCGACTCGCTGGCCATGACAGACGGGACACTTGTGTTTGATGCTCTTGCCACGACCTTCACAGGCATCGCATCTCATCTGCATCTGCTGGAACATGCCTGGGGCGAGCTGTTGCCTGACAATGCGGACACCGTGTCCCCCGCAAACCGAGCATGTGTCGACTTGTCCGTCTGCGCTTCCCGTTCCCTCGCAGGTCTCGCATATGTGTTGTCTGTTCCACTGGAACTCGGTCGTGGCACCGTTGTAGAAGTCGCGCAGAGATATGCTAACCTTGAATTCGACATCTTGGCCGCGGGCTTCTCGGGATGAACTACCGAAATGGCCATGTCCGCCGAAAAATCGGCTGAACAGGTCGAAGGGATCGTGGCTACCTCCGCCACCGCCGCTGTTCTTGTGTTGCTCGATGCCTTCGTGGCCGTGGCGATCGTAAATCTGGCGAGTTTCGGGGTTGATCAAAACTTCGTATGCATCGGATACTTCCGCGAATTTCTTGGGAGCGGTTTCGTCGCCCCTGAACTTCCGGTTAGCGCCATGCTCGCAAGAAATTCGTGCCTGCCGCAGTGGGGGAGGAGCCTACGGGTTCTTGTCGGGATGATAACGTTTCGAGAGTGTGCGATATGCCGACTTTAGTTCCTTGTCCGTGGCGTCTCTACCAAGACCAAGAACCTGTTCGAGTTAGTCTTCCACGTCGCAAGAGTGTGCCGCATATTTACACGCCTTGTAGTAATCCTCGGCACATGTCGCAAGATGAATCAGGGCCAGCAAGGCGAGCAACGCAAAGCTGCGAGCTAACATGACTGCGCGCGGCTCCAGCCGGAGGGTTTCAGATGCCAAAATACCGCCAGTCTGCTGTCAAAGGAAAATCTAGTTGGTCTGCATGCAGCGCAATCCGCAGACGGCGGGTATTGGCAACGGAGGTCGAACGAGGGTGCGAAATGAAGGATGTTGAGAAGCGTCGACCGCAGCGACTGCACATTTATGAAGCAGTGATCAAACCAGCGTGTTAACATGGGCATGGGATTGGACGTTATCAGACCCTGGTCGGTCCAAACGTGGAAAGCACGACCCGAGGGGCGGTTCAGGAAATGTCTATTGGCTGCAAGTCGTAGACCTTCCCCACCCATGTGGACTGGCCGCGTCTGAAATTCCCGGACTTGTCGTGGCGCCAACTTCAGCCTCTCCTCCATCTTTTTGTCAGACAAGGGTGCGTCACTTGGCTCGCTCAGCGTCGGTAATTTCATTCGCCTGTCATGAGTGCCAAAAAATATGCCTTCGTCCCCATGGATGATGACGAGGTCGGTCCTCAGAAGGTCTCCAAGGAAAAGAAGCACCGGCACAGACGTGACCGCGGTACGTACGAAAAGTCGGCATCTAAAACCGGTAAGCCTCGTCGACAGAGCAGCCGGTCTCCTCCGAATCCACACTCTTCTTATCCAGTTCGCCCAAAAAGCTATCGCCGGCGCGGTGACGAAAGAGACTTTGACGATCAATGGGCGGATGAGGAACCGCCGTCCGATGATCCTGACGCGCGGCCACAGGACGATGAACCCGAGTTCAAAGAATCCGCAAGCAAGCGAGTCAAGTTGAGTCGCGATGACCGTGAGAAAGATGGCGCGGATTTGTCAGATGGAGCCAAGGAGGAGCTTGCACGACAAAAGGACATTGAGGAGCGCGAGGCTTTTGCCAAAAGATTAAAGGAAAGGGATGATGAAAGATCCAAAAAGAACCTGCGAGATGGGGACTCTTCAGCCAGACGGAAACTGGCAGAGGATGCTGCTGCCAGAGACGCTGCTCTGCCCGATCTGCGAGAAAGGTCGCGTCAAGAATACCTCAAGAAGCGCGAAACCGAACGGCTTGCGTTATTGCGACGACAGGTGGCGGAAGAGACTGCAGAGCTCCGAAGCGGTGTACGGCTGTCTGAAAAAGAGAAACTGGAGTTCGCTAAAAACAGGGAGATTCTGCGTCTAGCTGAAGAGAGGTTAAAAATTGATGACCACCGCGACGGTTATTACATGCCTGAGGACTACATCACAGAAAAAGGAAAGTTGGACAGAAAGAAAAAGGAGGAGGCTCTATACAAACGATACGTCGAACGGGATGAATTTGGCCAAGAGAAATTTGTCACGGAGCATGAGGAATGGGAGCAAGAACAGGCCGCCAAGGCCAAAGCTCAGATTCAGCGGGCAGAGATTGAAAATGAGGACTATGATTATGTCATGGACGACCAGCAATATATTCAGTGGAGTCTTGACTCGAGAATGGCCGGTGAGGGCAAGACCAAGGAGCAAGTGTTCCTGGAGGCCCAGATTGATGCCGCTGAGAAGAAAGCCCTTTCGATTCAGGAGACTCGCAAGAGTCTGCCCATCTACCAATACCGAGACGAGTTTCTGGCTGCATTGGAGCAGTATCAGATATTGGTCATTGTTGGAGAAACCGGCAGCGGCAAGACGACACAGTTACCCCAGTACCTACGTGAAGCTGGGTACACCAAAAACGGGATGAAGGTAGGCTGCACACAGCCACGTCGAGTCGCTGCAATGAGTGTCGCCGCTCGTGTGGCGGAGGAAGTCGGCGTCAAGGTTGGAAATGAAGTTGGCTATTCGATCCGTTTTGAGGACTGCACCAGTGACAAGACAATTCTCAAGTACATGACAGATGGCATGCTGCTCAGGGAATTCATGACGGAGCCAGATCTGGCTGGCTACTCAGCGCTGATGATTGACGAAGCACACGAACGAACAGTGCACACTGACATTTTACTTGCTCTGGTCAAGGACCTGGCGCGAGAGAGAAAGGATCTCAAGCTTCTCATATCGTCGGCCACCATGAATGCAGAGAAATTCGCCAACTACTTTGACGATGCACCCATCTTCAACATTCCTGGTCGGAGATACCCCGTTGACATTTACTACACGCCCGCTCCCGAAGCCAACTACCTGGCCGCGGCCATTACGACCGTCTTTCAAATTCATACGACGCAGCCCAAGGGGGACATCCTCATCTTTCTCACTGGCCAAGACGAGATTGAGGCTGCAGAACAGGAGATTACAGAGACAGCGAAAAAGCTCGGCAGTAGAATAAAGGAACTGGTCATTTGCCCAATCTACGCCAACCTGCCATCGGATCTCCAAGCCAAAATCTTCGAGCCGACGCCTGAGGGGGCTAGAAAGGTGGTTCTTGCAACAAACATTGCCGAGACCAGTCTGACTATTGACGGAATCGTCTACGTCATTGACCCTGGATATGTGAAAGAAAACATCTACAATCCTGCTACTGGCATGTCAAACTTGGTTGCTGTGCCCTGCTCTCGCGCATCTGCCAACCAGAGAAGTGGACGTGCTGGCCGCGTAGGGCCGGGAAAATGCTTTCGCCTGTACACAAAGTTTGCGTACATGAACGAGATGGACGAGTCAACTACGCCAGAAATCCAGCGAACAAATCTCAATGGAGTTGTCCTGCAGCTGAAGTCGCTCGGCATCAACGAGCTGCTCGACTTTGAGTTTATGGATCCGCCTCCAACTGAAGCGCTGATCGGCGCCCTGAATCAGCTGTTTGCCCTGCAGGCTCTCAATCACAGGGGCGAGCTTACCAAAATGGGCCGTCAAATGGCCGAGTTTCCCACCGATCCCATGCTGGCCAAGGCTGTGCTAGCTGCTGACAAGGAGGGCTGTGTCGAGGAAGTGCTGTCGATTGTCTCCATGCTCGGGGAGGCCTCCGCCTTGTTCTTCCGGCCCAAGGACAAGAAGATCCATGCCGACAGCGCCAGGAACAGATTCACCGTCAAGGATGGCGGAGACCACGTCACTTTGCTCAACATATGGAATCAGTGGGTGGACAGTGACTTCTCGCCCGTCTGGTGTCGCGAAAACTTCTTGCAACAGCGATCTCTCACCCGCGCTCGTGACGTCCGGGATCAGTTGGCGAAGCTCTGCGAACGAGTCGAAGTGTCCCCATCGACATGCGGCGCCAACAATCTCCGGCCCATCAAGCGTGCCATTACCGCCGGCTTCTTCCCCAACGCCGCACGACTGCAGAAGAGCGGCGACAGCTACCGCACAGTCAAGAACAACACGACTGTGTGGATTCACCCCAGCAGCGTGCTCATGTCGGTGGACCCTCCCGAGAAGATGATTATATACTTTGAATTGGTGCAAACTACGAAGGAATACATGCGCGGCGTCATTCCCATCGAACCAAAGTGGTTGGCTGAATTGGCACCACACTTTCACAAGAAAAAGGATGTCGAGGCCATGGAGGAGAAAAAGATGCCCAAGCAAAGATAGCATAGAGCACGCTTGTCACTGGAGCGTTGGCTGTGTGACACATTTAACGAAGTCATGAATGCACATATACATGTATTGTTTATTTTTAGGACTGTATATCCCCTGGGAGCGTTCGCATGTCCGTTGTTTGGAGAACTCAAAACCTACAGTTGGCGTGAGGGAAGGACTGCGACAATTGCCGCCCCCATACAAGTCACAATACACTCACTCCCGATACCCACGAACACGGCGGACGAGTATCATCGTGCATTTATTTGTTCGAGACCACTCGGCAAGGCACACGTCACCGCCGCATCAGCCGTTTGGTTCTTGGGGCTCTCATGCCAGATGAAAATTCCCGAGCTTAGTCGACGCTTCTCCTTCCACGGCCCAGTGTCGGCGTGTTGGTCATCGTCGATGTCGGACTTGGAGAGTCGCAGTCCACGACACATCACCATGTGAGCCGGGAACAAAAAGAAAAAATTGCAGCAGACAAAGAGCCATCGCTTCAAACAAATCTATGCCGTCAACGCCGTCCCGGGAGAGCGGGATAAATGTAAAATACAACACACCACCATGTTTTCATCCTCCGCAAGGCCTCACCACCGTGCCGTCGCCCTAGGCACCGTAGCCATGCTTGGTTCCCAAGACGCCGTCGCCGCCGTTGCTGCTTCTCCTCCTCTTGCCCACCACCTCGCGGAACCACTCGCTCAGGGTGAAGCCCCAGTGTCCGGCTACCAGCACGCCCGAGAGCACATTGATGAGCTTGACGACAAACATGAGGATGCCGTCGCGGTCCTCGTTCACGGAGAGCAGGATCGGCTCAATGTCGTACTTGACAAAGATGCCGGGGATGTTGAATTCGGAGACGCCCTTGCTCTGCTCGGTCACGGCGTACTGGTTGGTGAAGATGGAAGTGGAGCCGACGCTGTACCGGGTGGGCACGACGGAGACGTAGTACTGAAACTTGTGGAAGTTGGTGTCGGCAATGTTGAAGGTGCGGTCGAGAGGGTTCACCAGGGAAGGGTAGTACGGGCCAAAGGACAATTCAGAGATGATGTGTGAAAAGTTGAATTCTGCAGCATCATCTGTCAGCAGTTTTGCCGGCTGCGTGTATGTTTGTCCGTCTCTCTTGCTTGAACATGTGCAGGTGAAGGACTTGGCGGGTATCCAAAGGCAAAAAAGAAGAAAAGAGAAGAAAAGCTACTTACGCGAGTGGTCCAAATGGCTGCCCTGGCCCCGATACCCATGGCCCCTGGCGGTAATGTGAAAATCACCCTGAACCTTGTTCAAATCCAGGCTTCCGTAGATTCGGCAGCTATCGGGGGCGCCTTTGACTCGGGGCGTCTTGGCCCATTTGGCCCTTCTCTGGCCCAGCGCGACGATGTCGTGGACGTGTTCCTCCCCGAAGCCCTCGTCGTCCAGGTCATGCCAGCCGGCGCCGGTGACGACGCGGCCCTCGCTGTCTCTGCCCAGCTTGTGGACGCCCTTCTGGTTCACCCACTGCGACCAGCTCGTCTCATCCTTGTTCAGCTTGGAAAAGGCCAGGATGCGATCGCCCGCGGCGTCCTGGACGTTGACGTGTAAGTCGCCGCACTTCATGAGGATGACGGTATCGAGGTTGATTTGCATGGAGTGCGAGACTCCCTTTTCGACGGCGAACGTGTGGGATTCGGAGCCGCGCCACCACCGCGCCATCTCGGCCCAGAGCAGGAAGACGGACACGACTGCCATGGCCAGGGTCCATTTGCCGCCGCCCTCGGTGCGGGTGACGTATTCGGGTTTCGACTTGGCTGCGGGGAGGCAGGGTGAGTACGGGGCCGAGGCGTCGGATGCGTTGGGCGAAACTTACGGAAGGCATCGAACGCGCTGACGATGCTGCCCTTGGCGCCAAAGTTGTCCTCGTCGAGGCCATGCTTGTCGAAGTGATTCATGGTGCATGCGACTCGGGGAGAGCGCGCGGTACGGGCCGGGGTCGCAAGCGAAGATGACGTCTGTGAGGGCTGAGGAGAGTCCCCCTGGTCCGTCAGAGCCCCCGGATACGCAAGGTTGAGCGTGCAGGGTAGGGTTGCGAGGGCGGTTCGTGGCGAAGGAGCCGACGTTGAATGTATGGACTCGATGGTAGTTGTTTGCTGGCAATAATTTACTGAAAGGACAGCATGACAATAAGCTTGCACAAGGGAGTACGTGTTCCAGATGGTGATTGGCTGACGTGTCAGGAACGGGATCAAAGTCGGACCGGGAAGCGGCGTGGGTCCTCCGTGCGTTCAGGGCAGGGCGCGAGGGCGGCCGGAGGAATCCACAAACGCTCCTCCGGAAGAACTGTTGTCCCATTCCATCCACGTTGGACCCCCCAGCAGGGCGTCGTCGGTCGTCGTGATTGTTCAGCACCGGCAGTGGGCAAAAAGCGATGCCGGACGGATTACATTGAACACTGGACGCCAATATGCAAATGATTCGGATTGTTCGCGACCAGGGGGACGGCGCGTCCGACTATCAAGACCGAGGACGTGGAACGCCTCTTCCATGGCATGGCGTGCGTGGCCCCGTCCCGGTCTTGGCAGAAACAAGGAACAGGACTCTTGGCGATCGGGTATCCATCCATGCTTGGCACCGATCCTGTCTCTGGGGATGTACGGAGTAGGGAATATAGACTTGGCAAGCGAGTCACTGCCGGATAACTTGTGGATGGATGCTGCACTCTGTCATGGCATTCATTGCACGTGCATCTTCATCTTTCTCCCTCTCCCAGACGTCATGGCGCTCCTTTCCAGGCCGCCGCCGCCGCCCGTCGGGCCACTGGTGTCCCCCGAGCCAATGACTGACTGCGCCGTACTAGTGCGAGCATCCGGGCGCTGCTGGCTGTCAGCAACCAGATGTGGCCTCTCCTAGCATGGAGTACGGAGCACGCAGTGCCGCGTTGCCATCCCATGTTCCAGGTTCACAACCAGTCCTCCCCGTCCCCCCAGGTTGGGTTGGCCATCCCCCCTCCTCCTTTTTTGACCACACGGACTCCCCGTGGACGCTCCAACCCGACACAGCCGTTTCGCTCATTCACTCCACGACCTTCAACTGCCATCTCGCCTCGACGCACTCGTCCGTCATCGTCATTCTCGAACTTGACCTCCTCCGCTGCGGCGACTGGTCTGACAGCGCCGCCCTCGCCGAGTACGACGCCTCACCTCGTCGCATTTCACACGGCAGCGCATGTTCGAGAGTACGCAACGTCACGCATGGACACGTCAGTCTAGCACCTACCGTGTCTCATCAGCTGTCTCTCGCTCCGCCGTCACTCGTTTCGAAGTTCGCCGGGATAAACATCGTCGCTCGCCTCATCTCCACCTGGAATTCGGGCATCGCATCATGAAGCCGTCCGCCTCTCCGCGTCAGGCGGGCGTCATGCTCGTGGCGGCCGCCGCCTTGGCTCAGGCACAAACATCGCCATTCTCTATTGACAGCACTGGTAAGACCACGTCCATGCTCACGCCGCATCAGACGCGTTCCAGGCCCGCACCAGGCCGGTCCGTCACCTACCGCACTGCTAATGCTCCTCTTGTCAGCTGCCATCAAGCAAAGTTCGTCCACTCTCGCCTGGGATATGCTGCAATACTACAAGGGCAACTTGACCGGTCAGACGCCCGGTATTCTGCCCGGTCCTCCCCCCGCGGGTGACTACTACTGGTGGGAAGGTGGTGCCATGTGGGGGACGTTGATCGATTACTGGTACTGGACAGGCGATTCGACGTACAACGACGAGGTCATGCAAGCAATGCAGTTTCAGGTCGGCGAGAACAAGGATTACATGCCTCGGAATGTCACGGCGTCGCTGGGCAATGACGACCAGGGCTTCTGGGGCATGGCCGCCATGTCTGCCGCCGAGAATGCCTTCCCTAATCCGCCATCCGATAAGCCGCAATGGCTAGAGCTTGCACAGGCCGTCTTCAATACCCAGGCCAGTCCTGATCGCCACGACTCCACCTGTGGCGGTGGCCTGCGATGGCAGATTCCCTTTGCCAACAACGGATACGACTACAAGAACAGCATCGCCAATGGCTGCTTCTTCAATATGGGTGCCCGTCTGGCCCGCTACACGGGCAACAACACGTACTCGGACTGGGCCGACAGGACCTGGGATTGGATGTGGCGCATTGGGTTCATCGACAACAAGAACTACGCCATCTACGACGGTGCCAAGGTCGGCAACGGCTGCAAGGATATCAACAAGGCCGAGTTCTCTTACAACAATGCCGTCTTTGCAGAAGGCGTCGCCTTCATGTACAACTACGTAGGTCGCAGGTCTCGGCTGTCGAGGGGAAATGCAATCACTAACCCGAGGTAGACAAACGGAAACGCAACGTGGAAGGCAAGACTGGACGGACTCATCAAACACGGAATGGAGACTTTCTTCCCCAAGGGCATCGCCGTCGAGGTTTCGTGCGAAAATCCCGGAACCTGCACCACGGATATGCTCACGTTCAAGGGCTTCTTTCACCGCTGGTACTCGGTCATCACGCAACTCGCGCCCTACACGGCCGAGACGATCCGACCAGTCCTGAAGACCTCTGCCGAGGCTGCAGTCAAGCAGTGCACAGGGCCGCCGCTGGGTCGCCAGTGCGGCTTCAAGTGGGCCAGCGGCGTCTACGACGGCAAGACGGGCGCCGGTCAGGAGATGTCAGTTCTCTCGGCCGCCATGTCCCTCCTCATCCCCCAGGCCAAGGTGCCGTTGACGGAGAAGAATGGCGGCACATCCAAGGGTGATCCCAACGCCGGCGGCAGTGGTGACAATGCTCAGAAGAAGAGCAAGCCCATTACAACGGCCGACAAGGCCGGCGCTGGCATCCTCACCATCCTCGTGTTGGGGTCTGCTTGCGGCGTCTTTGGTTGGATGAGCGTGGGTGCGTAACTGGCCCGACGACATGGAAGCACGACAACACCATAGAATGAGTCGAGGATTGTTTGAGCTTGGCGATTTGGTTCGAGATGTTCACATAAGGTCCGGCAAGACCACTTTGCATTACCCGCTATTTTGAAGGGCTTGGAGAAGACGGAATGATTTTACGGCGTTGGGAGGAGGGGGTGGTTATTGGGATCACAACAGGAGCTTTCTTCACAACCTCGACGCTGGCTTGGCTTTATCTTTTTTTTTTGGCCTTGTGTAATGATTATTATCTTTTGTTTTTACGGTTTACTTGGACTGGCAGCCTTGTGATCGACACCCGTGGTGGGCTGTCCCGGGGGGGGGTTGAGCAAGTGTCGACTTTTCTGGTTGGCTGTACAGCACTGGACGGCGGCCGGAGGCTCGTGTGCATGGGTGCATGGCACGAGACGCCGAACCTAGGGCATGGAAAGATGCAGCGTGGGAGTTCCCGATAGCAATAGAGAGGATTTGTGCATGCTGGCTTCGGTAGAGACGGGTTTTGGCGGTGCGAGCGAGCGCGGCTGCGAATTTGGTGCCAAATTCCGTACTACCGGTTGACACGACAACAGTACTCCGCATCGCCGCAGCTAGCCGGCGCTACGGGACCGACCAATCGTTGGTGGGCGCAGCACCACGTCAAGAGGCCCGCGGGAAGGGCGAATCAAGCAGAAGTAATAATCATAACAATAAATAAATGCGTAAATATAAATTAAGGAAAAATTGTTCAACGCGTGTCCCTGTCAGGGGCCAATGGCCACGCCGTCGAGGAGCAGCATGTCGCCTCCCCGTTTCGATGGGGTAATGGAAACTCACGGGCTCCACCGCCGCCACGCCGCAAAGAGCAAAAGGGGCGAGTTGATGCGTCGCGCGTGACGAGAGCCGCTCGCCTTGGCAGCAGTGCGATTTCCTTCCTTCGTGTCGGGTGACCTGGCTTTTTTTTCTCTGACAAAGTGGGGCCCGCCTCCCGGCGAGTTGCCCTCGTGCCGGACGGGTTGTGGTATAAGAAGTGAAGGGACTCCCGGGCCCGTCTGCCCGAGCACGAGCACGAGCACCCTGGTGCAGTGGTTGCGAGAGAAGACAGGTTGTCTCTTTTCTTGGCCGTCGCGGCAAGGAAATCAGTCAGGCCGAGACGAAGCGTTCCATCCGCCGCGCTGCTGCTGGCTTTCTACTGGCGGGGTCCCGCCACCGACCGCCGACCGCCGACCACCGACCACCGACCACCACCGCCGACCACCACCGACCGGACCGGTGGCCCAGAGCCCAGACCGACGCCGACGACGGCTGGGCATAGCAAAACCACCCACCGCACCAAGCACCAAGCCCAGGCGACGGCAATGCCGGCGTCGTACCTCGTCGCGGAGCCCGCCCCCTCGGCGACGTCGTACGTGCGGTGCGGCCGCGGCGGCGCGGCGTCCCTCGACGACGCCGTCCGCCACGCTGCCGCCCGCGACAGGGCCGCCGTGGGGTACTGCGGCCGCGGCGGCGCCGGCAACGTCTACCGCCGCGGGGAGGGCGATGCCCTCTCCGAGTCCGAGTCCGCGGCGTCGTCTTCGGCTGCCGACACCGTCCGCGGCAGCGTCGCCTCCGCCTCCAAGGCTGGGCTGTGGGGTCGCGTCACGGCTTGGGGACGCAAGTGAGTCGACGTCCTGCTTTACGTGTGTGATGGGGGCTTGGGGAGAGGGGGCGGATATCTGGACATGTCGGATGCGTGCTTCTTCTCCCGGGAGGTCGGCACGAGCGGGTCGGCACTCTTTCTCTTACGGGCTTTTTTCTCCTTAATACCTGGGCCGGGGGGGGGCGGGGGGGGGACCTCGGAGCATGTCGCGGCGCGCATGTGTTTTTTTCTGGCGAAGAGTGCTTTCCTTTCTTATACCCTCCCGCCGAGGGCGGCGTGTATCGAATTCTGAGCAATGAGCGTAATGAAATCTCCCGTCGGGCCTTTGGTTTGTCCCCGTGGCTCTTGCGGCCGTTGAAAGACGCTGCCGTGGTGTGGACTCGCCACGCCACGCCGCGAGCCCGTCTCTGAGCTCCGTCTCTCCCTGACCGCTGTGCAGGATGTGGCCGCGTCACGACATGTTGCTCAGGCACCATGGTTCGCTGTCGATTCTACGGGCGGGGTGTTCCGAGACGCCGGCGTCCATCAGGGTATCATTAAGCTGCTCTAGACGGCGGCCCCCAAAACAACTCGGCCTCCCCGCTACTGTCATTTTCATGTACACGTCTCCCGTGCGCCCTGCCCGCGTCGTCCCGTTCCGTCGGCGCGGGCCACGTAGCTTCAAGTACAGGTCGCCCACTGACAAATCATGCAATGCTCGCTCAGGTAAACTTTGTGTGGATAATCTCGGGGTTCTCGTGCCAGTCGTCTACGCTCACCCACATCTGCGGGCTCGTCAGTCTTTGGCATTCACCGGCTGGCATCGTCGAGCAATCGATGGCCGACTTACCTTGCGGAACGTGCTCAGTCCGGCGAGGATACTTCCTCCGATCCATGTCGAGTATTTTCGCTCCGGCGGCGCGAAGATCTTTATCCTCATGTCCTTGACCGCCAGCTTCTGGAGCTCCGTCAACAGCCGGTCGCCGAACCCCTTGGTCAACGTGCTCCCGCCCGACAGCACAATGTTGCCGTACAGCGACTTGCGCAGGTCAAGGTCTGTCCTGTTGATGGCGTCCACTACAATCTGGTGGACGCCGGGGTATTCCAGCCCGATGAGTTCGGGGTCGAACAGGATTTCTGGCGCTCTGAATCGTTCTTGGCCAACCTGTCTCCCCCCCACCCCCTCGGGTCAGCAACCTGGAATATGAGAGACGCAGAGACGAGGAGACAAGACGTGTAAGTGTCGAATTACCTTCAGCTTGTGCCCGTCGGGCAGGACATATTCGGCAAACTTGCTCTCGTTGGGCTTCACGCCAATCCAATCCCTCTCCTCTTTTCTCGGGTCGTGCGCCACATATGACACGCTCTCCTTGATCAGTCTCACGACCTCTTTCTCCGCGCTCGTGTGGAAGACGTAGCCGCTCTTTCGCAGCAGCGTTTGCAGGTGCTCCGTGACGTCGCGTCCCGCCACGTCAATTCGCCGGATGCTGCTGGGCATGGCGAACCCCTCATATACCGGCACCGCGTGCGACACGCCGTCGCCGGAGTCCAGCACAATACCAGTTGTGCGGCCGCTGGCGTATAACGACAAGACGGCCTGGATCGAGGTGTGCAGGGCGGGCACATTGAATGTTTCGAATAGAATCTGTGCAGCGGTGTCACGGTTGCTTCGGGGGTTTAGAGGCGGCTCCGTCAGCAAAACAGGATGCTGGCGGCTTTCCTGTTAGCGAATTCCCGAGACTGGCCCTGCTCGAAATCACTCCAGTCGTAGCGTACCTCTTCGCTCAACGTCTTGAGCCCCTCGCCGTACACGTACTCCCATATCCGCTCCATGTCATCCCAGTCTGTGACAATGCCGTGCTCCAGCGGATAGCGAATCTTGAGCAGCCCTCTCAGCTCACTGGCGGCCTTTTGGCCGATAAACACGTCGCCTTCCAGGGCACCGGCAAGGACCCTGAGGTGCTTTGGCCGGCCCACCCACGACGGGAAGAAGCATTTCGGCAAGTCATCACCGGCGAAGCCTGCGCGAATGGTTCCCGACCCATTGTCCAGGACAATGGGGGCGTTGTGTAGTATTTCCGTCATCTCGTGGGACTGGTTAGATTTGAGAGTCCGACTGGTGCTGATTGACTCGCCGCCTTGCGGTCAGGAGACAGACGGTTCGCTCTCTTGGTTCAGCGTCCTCGCGAGCCCCCTGGCCCGATGTCGTCGCGCGCGCAGTCAGAGCGTCGAGGCTTACTGCAGGGCGAGACAGAGCAAAGCAAAGACGAAAGCCCGGGAAGGCGAAGAAGGAGGAGGAGGAGAAATTATGTTGCCGAGTTCGGGTCTCGTCAAAACCAACAATATGCGGGTTGGTATCGCGTTGTGGGCAGCCGTGTTCCACTATCGCTACGGACAGACAGACACTAATGGAGCTTTGCTCTGAAGTTTACACGATACGCGCGCTGGTGCTCGCTGTGCTCGGTACGTACCCGGCGGGTGCGAGCTACTCCGGGCTCCTCAGTGTCTCATTTCCCAAGCTTCAGGAGGCGCCCCCTGTTGTTCAGCGCCGCCCCCGTCACGTGCTCTGACGGAAGGGAGACGACGGGCAGGGAGCTCCGCCTGACTCCTGAGGCAGGAACCACTTAAAGTGCCGCGCGTGGGTTCGCGTCTCTCTCAACGTGCACCGCGTCGTCGACGTGCCAACAACTTCAAGGCACATCTGGCAGTCCTTGCAACGAACCCACAGACGCCCGTCCATGAGAACAAACTTGTACAACCTTGTGGCTGCAGCAACCGATTCTGGCTCTTCTGCGTCTATCTGAGCAGTGAAACCACCCTTTTGCCCATTTTCCGGTCGGCATTTGCTCTTTGATTCCACCCTCTGGCCCCTCGACGTCCGCAAATTGCATGGCGGTATAAAATCACCCTTCCTTTTTCCCATTCACAACCAAAATGGTCAAAGCCAGCGCGCCTGCGGTCAGCGCCGGCCCGGGCATCTACAGCGCTACGTACAGCGGCGTAAGAACCACCTATCCTTTGGCAAATCCATCATCTTCGCCTTCACTTTCCACACACGCGGGCAGCCTACTGCTTTGGTTTCTTTTGTCGAGCAACTCGACCAAGACGAATGTCTCACGGCCCCTCAAGGGATGGGCTGTTCGGCTTTCAAATTTCTCATACGCATGCTGTCAAAATCCTCTGACTAATTGTCTTCTCAGATTCCCGTCTATGAATTCCAATTCGGAGCCGACCTAATGGAGCATGTTATGCGACGAAGGCATGATGATTGGATCAATGCAACTCATATATTAAAGGCTGCTGGCTTTGATAAGCCAGCCCGTACCAGAATCTTGGAACGAGACGTACAAAAGGATATTCATGAAAAGATTCAAGGAGGATACGGCAAATATCAAGGTTGGCCATGCAAGGCTCGCCAGTCATACTTTTTATATAATTCTCCCTTGGCTGACGAAGCAAATCAGGAACTTGGATTCCCCTCGACTCTGGCGAGGCCCTCGCTCAACGCCACAGCATTTACGACCGACTGCGACCCATATTCGAATTCGTCCCTGGAAATGAGAGTCCTCCGCCAGCACCCAGACATGCAACCAAACCAAAAGCATCCAGGGCCAAGCCGGTCCCGCCTCCGCCTCCAAAATGGGGTGCGGGTAAGTTTCACAGCTTCCATATGATGCAGCGTTCCATCTCACGCATGATACAGGCGCTGTAATGGCACGTCACGAAGAATTTGACAGTGGAGACATGATGATGGGCGAGGACGACACGCCGGACAACTTGACCGTGGCGTCGGCATCTTACATGGCAGACGACGACCATTTCGACATGTCCCACATGTCAACGGGTCACAGAAAACGAAAGAGGGAGGAGCACATGCAAGACCTCACGGAACAGCAACATGCGGTATACGGGGACGAGTTGCTGGACTACTTTTTGCTCTCTAGAAATGAGCAGCCCGCCGTCAAACCCGACCCCCCGCCAAACTTCCAACCGGACTGGCTCATCGACGCCGAAAACCACACTGCTCTGCACTGGGCGTCTGCCATGGGTGATGTCGACGTCATCAAGCAGCTGAAGCGGTTCAACTCAAACATCGCAGTAAAGAACATACGCGGAGAAACTCCGTTCATGCGCTCTGTCAACTTTACCAACTGCTACGAAAAACAATCATTTCCTGCAGTGCTGAGGGAGCTGTTCGAAACGGTAGACTCCAGAGACAACTCTGGCTGCACAGTCATTCATCACGCTGCCGTGATGAAGAATGGCAGAGTCTTCAGCCCCTCTTGTTCACGGTACTACTTGGATCTCATCCTGAACAAACTGCAAGAAAACGTGGATCCCTCCACCTTCCAACAGATGCTAGACGTGCAAGACAATGAGGGCAACACGGCACTCCACCTCGCTGCTCAGAGAAACGCTCGCAAGTGCATCCGCGCGCTCCTTGGTCGGAATGCATCAACAGACATTGCCAACAACGAGGGCATCCGAGCCGAGGACCTGATTATGGAACTCAATGCCGCTAAGAAGGAACGTGGACCGCAACGATCGTCTTCGCCATTTGCGCCCGACTCACAGAGGCACGCCTCGTTCCGAGACGCTTTTGCCGACAGCAAGAAGAAGCCGCCGATATCCTTCCAGTCAGCGGCCGCGACCACAGTGCAATCACGAATTGCGCCGCTGCTCATGGAAAAGTTTCAAGACTTGGCCAAGAGCTACGATGAAGAATGGCACGAAAAGGACGTCGCGGAAACGGAAGCAAGGCGCATCCTGGCAAACACGCAGGCGGACCTGCACTCGACGCACCAGCAAATTGCCGAGCTCGAGGCCCAACTCGAGACGGACGACGAGGCAGCCAAGATGATGGGGGAGGCCAACAGATGCAAACATCAGGTGTTGTCTCTGATAACGCACCAGAACAGACTCCACGTTCACCAAGCGGTGGAAGGCGACATGAACAGGGCCAATGGCGACAATGGCGAAAACGACTCGTACGACGAGAGGCTGTCCCTCGCGCGTCAGCTCAACTCACTAATCAGCGAGCTGCGGCAGGCAGAAAGCGACTATGTAGACGCTCTGAGCATGGTGGGGACAGGAGACAAGATTGAAAAGTACAGGAGACTGCTCAAGAGATGTCTGGATCAGAAGGACGGCGAGATCCTCGATTCGAACCTGGACAGCCTGATTGAAATGATGGAGGAAGAGAGGGAGGTGAATGATGTGGACGGCGCGGCAGCATCGGCAGGCGACCCCATGGACTTTGGCGTTGGCGGCGTATAGCGTACGGCAAGACCAGGGCAGGGGCAGCTTCATGATGTATTTTTCGGCGGCAGCATGTCTTTGTGATATCCTGGGTGCCTGCCGGTCGAGACGGGGCACGCAAAGTGATGAAGTGATGATGCGGCGCAAGCTTGTTTGTCATGGCAGCGGCGTGTTGGTGGTATTCTCGGGCTGTATTTTTTTTCCCTTTCTTTTGTCCGGCAGCGGGCGTCGTGGGATGAATTTTACGACTTGAGGGTCCTCTTTTTTTTTTTTTCTTCTCTGGTTCCCCTCTCTAATCTCGGGTGTTTATGGACTGATGGCACGATGCGCAGAATAGGTGGTGCAGAGCACACAGCATTACATGCAGCATATCGGGAGCGCAGGGTCCATACCTAAGTACCTAAACGACCTTGCGTACTTAAGTAGGTACCTGGGTACGGAGTACGCAAAGTAGAAATGCGATGGCTCGATGTGGGCGCAGCTTACGTGCATGTGGCGCCTGCCGAGGTGGTGCTTGTCTTGACTCTTGACGTCGGGTCGCGTGATGCCGTGATGCCAGCGCCGCGCTGCATCGTCGGGGAGGTGGCCGCGATTGTCAGCCCTCGATGACGACCAAGGCTGCGAGGGAGTCTATGCCGGCGGGCGGATGGATGGACGTTTTAGGTGTGCCCTGCTTTGCCTCTATTTTGCTCTTCCTTACTGTGCGTGTGCGTGTGCGTGTGTGTGTGCGGTGTGTGTCTTGGTCATATTCTCGTCCGGATGCCGACAACACGAAGCTGTGACCAGCATGTCGATCCTGTCTGGACTCTGGAGGCGGCTGGACAGCTGGGCAGCTGGGCAGCTGGCCGGGGCGGGGCGGGGCGGGGCCATTTGCCAGCTCGGGGGTGGTGAGCCAAAATTGCCGTTTTCGACCGTTTGAGCTTCGTCCCGGGGTGTCGACCTGCATGGCGGCGTCGTCAGGTGAGTCTCCCTCGGGTCTTGAGTATCGTGGCGGAGAAGGGGGGAGATGGAGGGCGAAAGGTGGATTGTTTCTGCGGAGAGCCGCTGGGGGGGGGTGTTTTTTTTTTCCAATCTCATTTTCTAGTTTTTCCTGGGGACGAAAAAGGGCGGCGTTTATCTTCAGTCAATGCTGTGAGTGTGAGGCTGGCTGAGAGAGAGACAACGACGGGACTGCGTCGGCTGGCGGGCGGGGGCTGCGGCGGGAAGAGGCGTGTTTGATTGGGCAAGCTAGCAAAGGGGGAGGCTCTGCGAACCGGCGGACGGGCCCGGAGGCTCTTCCGAGGGCCTTGCCTTGTTGGCCGCGTGGGAAAGCACAAGGGACGTTGGGTCGGACGGATGCGGCGGCGACGGTGGTGGCAACGCGCGTAGTGAAAGCGTCGGCCGAGGATAAGAGTCTCAACATTGGCATTGTGCTCCGTGCATCGATAACACTATTGCGTGACCGCGAGAGAAATACGGCCCCCCATTCCAAACATTTTTACATTTTACATTCCGATGGGGTCGACGGTGTGGCCGGTATCAATGGTGTCGGCGGCGTCGACGTGAGCGGCCTGACCCTGCGTCACATGCGTAGTCACGCCACCCAAAGCTTGATGCTGTGGCACCACCGACCGCCGCTGCTTGGGTACAATCGAGCGCACAAGGCAGCTTGTGGTGGGGTTGTGCACAGGACAGCAAACTCGTCGTTGTTTCCAGCAGCAGTTTGTGACTTGTGTTGATGGGAGATGTTGTCAGAAAATGAAGGACTTTTCTCGTCCCATATGCTCTCTGCAAAATCATCTCTTATTGGCTCTAGCTGCCCTTGCCATGTCACTCCTGGCTAAACTTTCAGGGTCTGGATTGTACATGCGTGGCCGACTCAGCTGCCATGAGTTGGATCGTTGCCCAAGCAAAACCCAAATCGGTCAGATCAGTGGGGACAGTCGGGCAGCGGACAAGGGAGCGGCGGTCCGCCGGTACGGGTGTGCACAAGTACTCCGTACATTCTCCGTACTCGGTGCGGGAGTGCTGAGGCAGACGTTCTAGAAGACGGAGAGTCGTGCTTCAGCTGGTCAGGGTTGGTGGCTGGCGTGGCTGGCGTGGCTGGCCAGACACATGCATGGGTCGCCGATCGGCCAGTAGGACTTGAGTGCCGTAGAACGCCCAAAGTACCTACGTACGTACTTGGTGACTCCCAACTGGGACCCTCTGGTCGAAGCCCTGCGCGTGATTCGCTACCGGCGCCAGGGACTGCGGGTATCGTCCCCACCCGCCGGCACCTGCAGCCACATGCAGTGGCAGTGGCAGCTTCAACGGCTGTTGCTATTGGGGCTACCAAAATTGCTATTGGGGCTACTATCGCCCCACCACCATCCAAATTCGGTCTAGTGGCTAGCTTCCCACACCCCTACATACATTTTCACATACACCCACATGGTTGCAGCCGCCCTCAATTAAATGTAAAAGTAGTCAATTGATATTAGTGAATTTTTCAACAGCGCCGGCACGGGCGGGCTCCAATTCGCTCAAAAACGCGATTTCCGGTGTTTTCGTTCAATGTGTTCACTTTCCGGCCCGTCAATTATTCCGGGGCTGTTGTGGCTGCTGCCTCAGCTCCCAAGGGGTCATCCATCGAAGCTGCTGCTGCCCTTCCGGCTGCATTTGAGGGATAATTTCCTCAATATCTGGCTCAATCGCCTGTCCCTCAATTGATCTACCTTAGCTGTTATTCACATAGTTATCCGATCGCTGCGTAGACAGGATGTCGAGTCTTCGGCGGCGTTGTTGACTTGCGGCTCGCTCTGCGAGGTCTGCTTGTGTTGCAGATTGACGGATGCTTGGATTGACTCGGCGGCGGCGGCGGCGACTTTGAGAGCTTGGTTGAGGCAATTAAGTAAGCTGTTAACTGTTATTTTGATCTATATTTTAGTGTTTTTAGCGATGTTGTGTTGTTGCAAGAAGGCTGCCTCATGCGGCAGCTGCAGCTGCAGCATGTGACGTTTTTTTTTTTGTTGTGCGCTGCTATTTTCGTGATAATCGCTGCGTTGCCAGGGCGTTGTATGTGAAAATGTATGGAGGGGTGTGGCATCTAAGGGTGTAGGTCTGAAATCTAGGTGGGGCGGTAGCCCCAATAGCAATTTTGGTAGCCCCAATAGCAATAGCCGCTTCAACAACACAGCTCCAACAACTCTTTGTGCGATCCACCGCTTGACGGCGAGAGGCAGAAGACGGGAAAAAAAGGACAGAAAGAAATAAAGAAAGAAAGAAAGAAAGACAAACAAAGCAGGGACCCGCGTTACGATGGGCCGAGACTGAGGTTCAGCAGTGACAGCTCAGATCGCCGCTTGTTTAAGAGGGGGTCAACGGAGCTGCGCTTGGTTCATAGAGCAAGAGCTAGCTACTCTGTGCTTCCCTACCTGCCTGGGTGCCTAAGTGCTTAAGTAGGGAGGTAGACACCCGGTGGTAGCAGGAATGGTGACAAGTAACTTACTCCGTAGACAAGATCGGAAGCAAGTCATTGGCAGTCCCACCTTCCGTCAATATAACAAACCCGGACATGTCCGCGGCCACATGATCCCGGCGAGTCAATCGGCAGGCGTGAACCACGCACTCCGCACCGTGGGCTCCTTCCGCCTGCAGAACATTGGCCGGCTCGCACGTCACAGGAAGGTGCGATGCACAGGCACGTAGCCTTCATTATCGCGTCGGCACTCTTGGTTGTACCAAAGGACCACGACGATGCAAAAAAAAAAAAAAAAAAAAAAAAAAAAAACCCTTGCTCTGGCATCACGCACTGCAAACTGCCACCCCTCCATTGCGGCAGAATGGCCAACTGCCGCTCCCCCACCTTGTGTCGTCCTCCAAACTCCTCTCTCCGTGGCCTAGAAGCGAAAAGACTACGGCTTTATCCGGCCGAACCGCAGACACCGCCACACTGCACATCGGAGATGTATCGGGATGCCAGGTCGGTGGTTGGATAACCTGGCCGCGACGTGTTGACCAGGTACGGAGTGGTTTGGTTATTGCTACCACCATCATTCTTGCCATCATTGTTAGCCCGGATCAACCCAACTTCGGCAGATGCCCCAGGTTTCACCGCATACCCGTCGCATGCCATCAACGCACCAGCACCAGGTCGGTCAACTTTAAAAAGACCAAAAGAAAGAACAAAAACCGCCAGACTCCGCCGGATGCCTTCTGCCCGTCTGCCGGCTGCAGGCTGCGGGCTGCAGCACGCTTTTCCCAGCCAGCCAACTTGGTACTTCGTACCATGTAGGCATGTACATACGTGCATTCTCGCCGAACCCCACCGCACCCGCATTCGACGCATGGTTCGACCGCGTGCGCCTTGGCTTGATCCGACCCAGCTGAAACCACGACAATCTGTGCCAGGCCCGCGAAAAGGGGCCACGGGTGATGATGAGTGATGCGACAACAGGCAGGCAGGCAGGACAGCGTTCCCAACCACAGACTCTTCACTGTGCTCGGTACATGGACGTCCGTTCCTTTGCACACGCCCCGTTCTTCCCCGACACGGCTTCGCAGACATCAGCTCCTTTGGCAACAAACAAAACACTGTGCTGTGCTGTGCTGTGCTGTGCTGTGCGCAGCGTCGCCCTCCCTCGTGCGAAGACGCAGCTTGTTTGGCCTCTTGATTCCATCTGAAAAAAGATGTGCCGCCAGCCTCGACTAGAATAAGCCAAGTCCTGTCAGTTGTTGTGGTCATGGCCCGGCACGACGGGCCTGCTCAAGCAAGGACCGAGACAGGGGACACTGTGCTCCCTGGCTCTGCAACAAGACCATTTCAGCTGGGAGCTTGCGACAATCGCCTGACACGCCTAAACAATCATTTCCGGAGAGCCAGGAGTCCGACAGACAATCTCCAGCAATCGCAGCTGCTACGGTAGAGCTTGGAGCTCGGGCAGGCGCTGCGACAGCATTGAACCCGGCCCAGCCGAGTCGGGCAAGCCAATTTTGTCATTAGCCTTTTGGTGCGACGCCCGCTGAAAGGCCAGGGTATAGGGCTCCGTAACCCGATGGCTATCGGCTTGGCTTGGCTGGTCTCGTCTCGTCTCCATGCTCCATCCAGTACTGCTCCCTACAGAGTGCGAGGGTGGCGGGCCCGGAATGGCCTTGACAGAATTCATGTCGCGCTTTTTCTGCCTTTTGCGCGCTGGACCTGCTGCAGTCGCCGGGGTCTTGGTTTGCTGCTCCTCACGAACCAAACCAATCCAACCTTGATCCACAAGCCACTTGGCCGTTATTTCCTGGCTCGTGCGAAAACACATGCGTGCGTACGCACAGCGCCCGGCACAGAGAACATCGGCCTGCGGAAACGTGCATGCTGCCATCTTGCAGAGGGGTCAACGGCTACTACACTGTCAAGTGGACTTTGATGAGACGACAAATCACGCCGGCCGGTGCGCGAAATGCAGTCATGCCTCATACCGGACAGCCGGAGTCTGTTTTGCTTGGGCTTGGGTGCCTGAAGGGATCAAGGCCAAGCACAAGCGCAAGCAGGTGCCAGGGCGTGCGCCCATCAACCCGCACCCGTCACCCTCGGCTCCAACACGAGAGAGCTAAAAATTCCCCTAGGGTCGAGCTTGTGTTGGACGGCGTTGCCATTCAGAGCTGAACGATGTGGCATCCGCGGCCTGGCCTTGACACGCTACCACTTTTATCGCCTTCTCCCAAGTGGGTTCAGAGCAAACTACCGAGTGCCAGGACTAGCGTCATGGGCTTGGAGGGCCATGGCCCATGACATAAAAGGTTCTACGCCCCAAACATGCGCTGCTTCTTGGCGGAGCGGCTTTTTTTCAGAGTGATTTTCTTTCCGCAGATCCTTTTTGGGTTTCCTTGGGTTTTGAGATCCAAAGGCACATTTATATTTCACGCCAAGCCGAGTAAACGAGCTCCTCGTTGCGGACTGCTGGGCCATCTTGACAGGAATACGACGATACTTTACTTGCTCTCGCATCCATTCCCACGTCCAATTCAGCTTGCGGCCCACAGTGGACTGTATCGATTTGAGACGGCAACTTTGTTCAACGCTCACCGAGTACATTGCATCTTGGTCTGCAAGCCCATCCAAGGAAAACCTTGACATCACCTTGTAGCAACTGGCCGCTTTTCCCGAGGAAGGAACAGGAAAATATATGACGACAAAAATAAAAAAAGGTAGCGCCGAACACTGAGAGACAGTGCTGGACTGCTGGTACACAACAAAGAAAGTGTTGCCGCCCGGCTCCTTTGACAAACACCACGAGGTGTTCGGCGCGCGTCGAGGCTCAAGCGAGGACGAGATCCAATCGTCGCGCATCAGTAGGGATTCGACAGCAGCAGCCCGCTTGCACCTCTCACATGCTGCAACGCCCCCAATTCTCTGTCAATCCCCATCATTTCCCCGATCGCAGGGTTGACGACAACCGCCCGTCTGACGTGACCAGAATCCAAGTCCGCGTGGTGGACGTTATCCGGGACCCCCTGCGCTGACGACGCCAACCTTCGCCACGCACGAGACTCTGGCGGCAGCCATGCCAGCAACACTGTTGACCAATCGTGAGACAACCCCGGCCAGCGGTTCTCTGACCATGGCCGACTACTTGAAGGCGCAGCAACCCACCTTGGACAAGATTCGGACCGGTCTTGCCATCTTTGCCGTCTTTACCATTGTCCGTTTCGTGTTGCAGCATTCGTATGCGCTGGCACGACGGAGGAGAAGACTGCCGCCGCAATCTGCCAGCCGAGACGTCTCACCTGCGCCAGCTCACTTGCAGTATTCTCGTCGCCAAGCCTGGCACCTCAATGAAAAGGCCACCACCGACAACATGAAGGGCGAGCACTCTGTGACCAGAGACGGTCGTGGCACGGCTACACAGACCAAGCTCACCACCGTTGACCCAAACCGGTCCCCTGAAGCTGAGGCGCTCGCCAAACAATTCATCTCGAGGCTGCCCCCTGCGCCACCACTAACACCACCTCAGCTGAGTTCGGCCGTCTTCACCATTGCCCCGGGCCGACCTCATGCTGTGGACAGTTTCATGCGCCAGCCCAACCCGGATTACATGAGCTCGACCTCCTCGGTTGTACCACAATCTGATGCAGCAGATGCGCCAACTACGCCTCGACGACGATCTTATCAAAGAACTCTGCCCATTGGGATTCCCACCCCACAGCAATCCTTCGAGGCTGCCGTGGACTCGGCAAACCCCCCCTTGTCGCCCAGCTCCTATCCGCCGACGAGCCCGCTTCTGCCGCCACCTCCCCCAGGCGCCGCCGAGGCTTTCGGTGACGGCCAGGCCCAGCGCCCGGTGAAGATCCAGGGCGAGATTATTTCAGTCCTGGACAATGAGGGCACGGGGTGGACTCGGCATACCCGTGTCTACGGTGGCGGTGTCTGCCTGGCATGCGCTGCCTCTGGAGGCGACGATGCTGGTGGTTTCTATGGAGCGACAGTCACGCCCGAGGAGATGCGGCAGGGTGCCTATACCCGAAGAAGCAGCAGCGTCTTTGTTCAGTCTTGAAGAAATGTTTGAAAAAAAATGTTCCTTTTCAGAACCGACTTGCAATGCGAGTCTGACGGCCAGTTTTCACGACGTCGATGACGACAGCACGTTTTCTGCAGAGGGGCTCTTTTTTCTAGGTGTTCCACGTTCAGGGCAATCTTTGGCCTTTATGAATACGTTTCGAAGTCGAAAGTATTTTGTATCACGGCTGGGCAAAAAAAAATTAGCTTGTCTAGGCTCGACAAAGAACGTTTGCGTCTTTGTCGGGCCGTTTTTTCGGGTGGTATTTTCAGGAGCAAGATTCCATACTATTTTTTTTCTTCCAACGATTCAGAGAGCATGGAAAGACGGGGGAAAAGATGCGGGCCGGACATTAAGAGAGGGACAGGGACGACTTGATACCATCTTGGGGCGCTGGAATTGCGTGCGCAATGGGAGGAAGCCTGTAGATGTTCCTTCCCCTTGCAACATGCCATGATAATGACCGACATGACTATTTCCGAGACTACGCCCTGTTTCCCCCCCTTTCTTTGGCCGTCATGTTGTTCCAAGTGCCTACATCACGTCGAGGCGCGGTGCGTGACGCTCAGCCGCTGTCGGGAAGAACTGCCTGCCTGCCCTGCGAAGGATTTGGGCGCGACTCGTCGTGTCCCCCCGTCAGAGTCAACCGGGCAGACCTCTTGCCCGTGTCCCTTCCAGGCGTCATCACGTGTCCTTGTATAGGTAACCAGGTCACACGTGGGCGTTGATGTGCCGCTGCGCTGCAGGCAGTCGAGGGTCTTCGACCACAAGGAAGGGAGGGACTGGGTACATATCCCGGGGGGCTGGCCGAGTCGGACGGGGCCGAAAGGGCTGGGCCAGCCCGGTTGCCCGGTGTGTTTGGTTCCATTGTGACGGGTTGGCGAAAAGAAGCATTAGGCGTCAGGCATCAGGCGTCAGGCATCGGGCGTTGAGGCGGAGGCGGGACCGGGGGGAAGGGAAGGCGGCGAGGCATAGCGTTCTGACGTGAGGGAGAGGGATGAGCAGGGTGATACTGGCACGCCAACGGCTTCAGGCTTCAAGCGTCCGTTCTCGTACTGCCTTCACGGGGCGGCAGGGCCACGAAATGCAAACGCCCGCCATTGCAGCGGTGCTCGTCCGCGGCGACGAAAACAGTCAGCTGTTCCGTCTGACGCGACGCAGGGTCCGACGGCGTCTCGGGGAGCTCCATCTCGGTCGGGTCCGACGAGTCGCCATGGGAGTTTGGCTGAAGCTGGGCTTGTCGTGTCGGTACGCCCGACATTCTGGCGGGCAAAAGCTGGCGGAACGAGTCAAGACGGCATATATGTCAGTTTGCGGGTGCGAGAGTCTCTTGGACGGACTCGGCTCTACGTAGATGGCGCGGGAAAGCCGGCTCACAGCGCACCATCCAGCAGCGGAGCGGAAACACGGAAACACGGAAGTTCCACCATGATATTCAAGCACTGCCTGGGCGTGCTAGCGCCGTCAGAGGAGGCTTACGAACGCCATCTACACGTCCGTCCAGGACGGACGGCGTCAACGGTTCCGCAGGTTCTCGACACAACAGGACTCCAGCCCCATTCTGCGCAGACTCGGACGGCTCGCCCGCTATCCGGTCAGACTCGATGCCAGCGTTGCGTTTCAGAACGACATGCCTCGTTCAGGGGCTCGTGTCCGCCGACCCGGAGTCTCACGGCATCGCCATCACTCATCATTGGCTGCGTCGGCGCTTGAAGCAGTTAGTCATGGTCATCTACTGGGAGGAAGGGGGGAGAAGGGTCCTGTTCCGGCTCAGTGGTGACTTGGCGCGGAGTACCGTTCCTTGGTCGCTCTTGTTCCGCCATTTATCTTGAAGGCTTTGGAAGATGATGTGTTAGTCAAGGGAGAAGACGGGTGAGATGAGAGGGTAGCTGAGGACGTCTGACCTGTAGGGTCGGGCGGGGTATTCCGTGGTACAGGGAAAAGAGCGTCAAGGAGCAATTCGTGGTCGCTACTGGATCATGGCCGGCGGACAGTCTCGAGATGTGACGATTCATGTGAAGTCGCAGTTGGTTATCTACCCTATAGATCAATGCCAGGCTTGACAAATCCAAGCCTCAACGTGCGAATTCCTGCCGGGGTTGGCCAAGTATACTGGGATGAAATTTGAATGGACTTTCCAAGAGAGAATCTGTCGTGCCGGAATGCCGACTTTCAGCTGGCCCATCATGGCTTTGATTCATCCGTGCTTCCACGACGATATCCGTCTTGAAAACCACCCAGCTAGCTGTGTGATTGGACCTGCTCGTTGGACATGCAGACTGCTCTTTAGCCCAACCCCCGGAACCACTTAGGCAAGTACATGGGCGTGTCAAAAGTAGTCATGCACCTGTGACTACAGAGTCACTCCAAGTACTGTATGCGACATACACAGTCTTTGGCGGCGAAGAGACGAACCACAGTCTGGCGTTGGCGGGGACACGATGGAGGGCAGTCCAGTCTACCTGGGGCTCGAGGCTCCGAGTCGAGAGACCCAAGCAGCCGTGCTGATGACAAGGCTGGCCGTCGTTTTCCCGTGGCCACCATGCATATTTGCTTCAATCACGCACACGACACCTTTCCCGCGTTGACAAGACAGTGACACAGGCGGTTCTGTGTGTCGTCTGTCTATTCTTGCTGCCGAGTTGACCCGTCTCGATGTTGGTGCTGTGCTGGCGCCACCTTGTGCATAATCGTGTTGTCCGTCCGACTCAGCCGCAGGACAGCACCGCTGACTGGCTGGGAATGCGACCCGTTAAGCGCCGAGCCAACAAATTCCTGCGGTTCGATGGTTGGACAGCCCCCCCCAAAAAAAGAAAAAAAAAAGTGAGAGAGGGAGAGACTACCCAGAACAACGGGCAGCATATTTCGTTTCCGGAGACGTGGTCGTGCGAGGGAGTGGAGAAATGTGCTAGCGAACCCGGGCGAGGCACGTATATTATGGACAAAGTGCCGAGTATGTCACCCAAGATCCTTGGTCGCAATAATCATAATAACCACTACTCCGTAAGCTTTGGAGCAAATCAGCCCATGGGCCGGATGGAGATGTAGCTTCTTTCAACGGCGACGGACATCATCTGGGCAACTTCCATCTCGGGCGACCCCCAAGAAAAGTTGACCATTTTGCTGGCTTGGCCACAGCGAAATACTCCAACCTCATGAGTGATTTCCATGTGGGCGGGCAGTTGATCGTGTCCCTACGGCAATCGTAGACGCCGAACAGAAAAGAACAGGGGTCATTTCCCGTGAGACGTTGTGATTTGGTGGGCTTGTACTCCGTAGCCGCCTCACGGCTGAGCCGTCGTGGCGTGGCATTGTAGATTACTATCCTGGTTGCCCGTCACTGCTTTCTGGCGCCTCCTTACGACGGACAAGTATTCCTGGGCCCTGGCTTGAAAGTCTCCATTGACAGCGCCGTCTCCTGTCACCGAAGCACAGGCTAAGAGAAGGCAGGCAGCTTTGCAACTGCCAACGAGCCGAAATTGACACTCAGCTGGGCCATGGCCCCGCTAGCTGATTTAAACAAGGAACTTTCACCCCACAGGACCAAGAGGAAACTTGTTGGCCATGGCTGCCCACCTTCATTAGCTTGCCCGACGGTGGCGTTGACGCGTCCAATGCGAGCATGGATCGGCGGGCAGGGAAATGAAGGGTGAGCATGGCTTGCATGGTAAGTGGCCGCAGGTACGGGAGTCATCCACACTAGAGGACAAGGGCACTCAACCCTGATTTTCTCGAAAATGGAAGGGCAAGGTATGGTAGAGCAAAGTTGGCCAACACACCCACACTCCGTAAGGAGTACACAGGATGAAGTGCCTCTACACTGTACGGAGTATGCCCCTCATCATTGTCCATGATGAGACTTGTGAAGCACTCGGCGCCAGGAGCAACGGCAAAACAATACGGAGCAGTAGTGGCGAACAGGTGAAATGCGAAAATGAAAAGCCTTGATAACGGCCCTCGAGACGAGTTCGGGCGTAGACTGACTGTGCAGGCCGTTGTATCTCGAACGCAATTCGTGCGCGACTCGTTGGCGTCGTTTGAGACTCACGTTCGGTCTGGAGGTCGGGTGGGCCTGTCTGCTTGTTTGATGAAGGAATTCGTCAAGTAAAGGCATCGCAGGCATAACGGACGTACTCGGGGTGGGAAGGACAAGAGTATGTGATAACTTCATCATTCCGGATGTCAGTCCGATTAATAGCCAACCCGGACGTCCATGTCTGACGGCGCACGGAGCAAGGATGGGAGTTGTTCCGGCGCTGACTGGGGGCGTTGCGTTCTATCGTTGATGAGGAACAAGGTTCGAGAGGAGGGCAGAGAGGTGTCTCATGGGGCAGCATGTTGGCTTGACATTTTTGACGTTTGACAAATGAAGCTGCGTCAGCCCAAGTCTACTTACGTGCGTACCTACGGAGTACCTAGGGGCTTGTTAGGCACCCAAGGTACGGAGTACTTGCGTAGCCGGGGAGGAGCCACCGGAAGCAGGCACTGCTACAATAACCGCAACCGCCCGATTGGCTTAATAAGCTAGGTACCTGGTTAAATTGAATTGCTTAGGTGCGCTTCCAAGTTCATGAGTGGCCGAGCACGGAGCACGGAGCACGGAGCACGAAACATCGCGCGGATGTACACACGTACACAAGTACACACGTATGCATGAATTTCGGGGTGGCGGGAAATACAATACGTAGTGGCTCATGACCGAGAGCATGGGGTACTCCTACTGTGCGATGGCTTATTGGAAACAAAGGGGAGAGATGCCACCACGGAAGCCGGCTGTGCCCGCACTATTTGTACTGCAGAAACAGGCGGCCAAAAGACCAGGCTGATGAGCGTGAGTGCGGGGAATTGCTTGTTTTTTGACGCGGTGTTTTCCTTGCAGCATAAGTAAAGTACAAAGTACGAGAGTAGTGGCTTATGTGCCTCCTTGTACGGAGTACAATGCTCACGGTACGGGAAAGAGGCACAGAGATGCCTACCCTAGCCTCTAGGTACCTTCTCCGTGCTACCTAGCTTGATAAATACCTATTTGGATGCGCAGGAAAAAAGTGATTCGCACGTCCGACCACGTGCACGTGCCCAAGTGCAGGCATCTGTCCACACCCCACGCCGGGCACTTGGTAGCAGTTGGTAAGTGGCTCCCTGTCTGTCCCCAATGATACGTGTCAATTTGCATGGTCCTCGCGCTTTTCCAGTACTTAAGTACGAATCGTGAATACGTACATCACCGCCAACGAACTGGAACTCGGTACTCCGTACAGACACCTCGGTACGTGCACTGGTGCCTGCTACCCAGCACGAATACCCGTACTTCGCAATCAGTACAGAGGGCTAGTTAGCTACATTGGGGATTTTGGCGTTTGTTGGCGACTTGGTTTTTCCTTTATCCTCGGCATGGAATTGGCGATGCATCGAAGCCCCCTTCGGTAGGTACCTACCCCGTGCTCCCACGCTACCGAGTAATATGCTCACTACCTACTTCTAAGTACTTAAGTACCTAAGGTACTTGATAAGTGCAAAGCACTACGTAGTAGCAATGAGGTTGAGTGCTTAGGTACTTACTTACTCAAGTAAGTGGCGAGCCCCCGCAGCGCGTGTGGGATAAATAAATGCCCTGGCGTCAATGCCATGCCCTTTCATCTACATGTCGGCGCGACCCCGCGTCTTGATCTGCGACCATGCACGTTTCGGTCTTGGAGCATCGATATCGACAAGCGTGCTCGGTAGATCTCGACCACGCACAGCCAGGGTATTACTATCACACGTTTTTGCACGATTGACACAGATAGAAAGAGGTTTCAAAACCATTCGGCACCCGCACCACACATGATCAACGCCTGGGCTTTGCAGCTACGGCTCCGTGCCTCAGTATGCATGTGCAGCAAGTTACTTGGTATGCTGGCCCGCCTTTGTGCTCGTACATCAATTGTCCTCGAGAAAAGTGCCGCCCTGTGACGGCTGAGACAGACAAGGACGGCAGGGAGGAATGTGGCTACTGACCACTGGTACGTACTTCTCCGTAGTCAGTACTCCTGTTACGGAGTAGCGAGTACGGAGCACCGCCAATAAGTCGCCAAGCTGGCAGGTGGACTCCTGCCACCCGCATCACCCGCCGCCTTCTTGTGGCCACAGCATACTTAGTACTATGTACTTCTGTACACACCTTCCCTATAGGCGAGTAGCCCCTGACTGGTCACTTGGGTACTCGGTGCTTCTGTACTCCGTACCGAGTGCGCACGCGGCAGACTTGGTGGCCCATGTTAAGCGCCGGCTGCTGAACCCTCGTTGGTCGCTCAGGATAATGACATGACCGCAACATGTTGAGGCCCGGCTCAGGCCTGTGTTCTGTGTTCACATTGTCAAGGTGAGGCGAGCAGGGGCTCGCCGCTCTACACACTAGACCCGCATCGTGCCGTGCGTGTCACGATTGGCCAGAGTCGGGCACTCGCCGCGCGACACGCAGCAGTGAGGCGCAAGGAGAAGGAAGGGAGGTACTACTCAGAGAGCTGCGGTGCGGTGGTGCTTCGATGCTGACTCTGGCGCTCTACAGTAGCGCTCATGCTACAGCGGACGCTCCAATCGACGCGGCAGATATGAACTAAGAACTCTAGCAAAACTTCTCGACCTCAATACTCAAAGCACTGGTGGCTTCATGCGGACGGTGGGTGGACCAGGTACCTGTCGTCCCGTGCGGTGCACCAAGCCGCCAAAGTACAGGGCGCCTCCGCCGTGCTGGCACCTACCAAGTCATGGTACTATTGGCTTGACTCGACATGGGACGTGGGAGAGCCCCCAGGTCCTTGGTCCTACGTCCTACGTGCCCCAGGTCCCTCCATGTCCGCCTCAGGAGCCCCAGCCGAGTCACACCCCCATCTGCCTTTTTTTTTTCCCTTCCTTGATCCTGCGCTCCCCTTCTGCTGCTCGGCTTCTGCTGCTTCTTTTTCCACTTCTATCCCTTCTCTCTACCTTGCCTCTCGTCTTCCTCGTCCCTCTCTCTTCCTTCTCCTCGTCCGCTTCTCGCCCGTCCCCCCCCCCTCTCGTTCTCTTTTGGCTCGTCGCATTTCAGCCTCGTTTCTCGAGCTTGTCTCCGTCCCTTGGGTTTCGTCACTCTCTGCCTCCTCGCACGCCACCATCGCTCGCCCGTCGCCACAATCACGGTATCAACCAGTCCGCTTCGGGGCCCGAGTCAGCTCTTGGACATAACCAAGAACGCCGGAAAGCCAAAGCAGAGATAAAAAGAAGGCGAAGAAAGGACGAAGAGGCGCTATAGATTTGGAAAGAAAAACAAAAGTTGGGAGTCCCTGTCTTACGCGCACAAACCTGATATTTGGAAGGCAACCCCAACTCCCAAACCCGACAGCAACAACCAGCAGCGTCACACTCCTACATGTGCATCATACTTTCCCTTGGTTTGGACCCTCCCCGATAATTCTCCTGTACTTCTATTCTCGGCTGCCTATCGCTCTCTCGGCACGAGCAACACGCTACTTGACCGCACTGGGCTTTGATCGTTTGGTCAACATCGTTCCTCACGCACGCACCCTACACTCGATCCGAGATCTCTCAGCGTCACTGCATTTGTCGATGTCACTTATCTCTTGAGCACCTGCAGCAGCTCTTTTTATTTTAAATTAATTTCTGCCTCACCTGGTACACCTTGATTGCGCCCAATTTCGGTCGATTCTAAAACTACAAATCTGAGTATCGACAACAATCTACTTGGAACCAAACAAGTCACAACGAAGTCTGGACAAACTCGGTTACGTGGCGAGAACGTCATTTGAATTTGACAAGTTCTTGTCTGTCTTCTAGTTCACACGCTGTCCTTTCTTCGGCTCAATTAGCGGCACAGTGGGAACACGTACTGTCAAAAATAATATTAAGCAGGAACAAGCGCAAAAACTGAACTCGTCTCCGCGTCTCGTTCCTTCTGTTCGTCGTTATTCCTGATTTTTTTTCTTGCCTTCGACACCGATCTCTGGGCCTCGCTATCTGTTAGTCTCTTTTACATATTTTCACTCTTTGGGCAGTGAAGATAATCCAAGCAAGCAACTATTGTCTGTTTTGTCTTCACGTTCATATTGAACCCTCTTTCTTGGATTCTTCACTTTTTTTTACCGTTTGCCTCATCACCTTGGTCGTTTTTGCGCCCCCACGACGATTGTGAATCTCCTGACCCGGTGGGAGGACGATCTTGGCAATAAGCACCCCGAGGTATCATACACGTCAAGCGGCACCCCGCTTCGCATTCTTGTTTTTTTTTTTTTTTAAACCATTCTCATCTCGCCTTGTTCATCATCGACATAGTTTAACGGCTCTTTCGGCCGCTGGTTTTCGGTATTTTTGTCCGCGACTTCGATTCTTCTATATTTCTGAGCAATGGACGCAGGTGGTCTCGCTCAGATGACTTCAAACTCTTTCAACTCGGCCAACGGGTTACCGATATCCGCCGGCGGGCTAGCCTCTCGCCGAGGCAGCCAAAATATCAAGCCTCTGACCTTTGACACCGTTAAGCAGGGCAACGGTAGCAAGGATGGTGCTACTACGCCTCGCACAAGCCGCTCCCATCTACTTGCCGGTCTACGAACAGCTCCAAAATCCGCGACGGCCTCTACGTTTCCTACATCGCCCGCTTCAAATGTTACGCCTCAGCAATATGCTAGACGCAGTATGGCTACCAATCTGCATGAGTATGGTCAAGACAGTGTCTATAATACCGCTCCTAAGACGGCATTTCCCCAGTATGGTAACATGCAGGGTATTTATCAAAACATGATGGGGAACCAGCAATACACGGTCGATCAGGTTCTTGCGCCGCCCGAGCTTCCCATGGACGAACAAGCCCAGGAACACATGGATCCCAATCTCTACTCTCAGCTCGTCGCTACCAACTTGTACCTTGCTCAGCAGCAGCAGAGGCTCCAGCAGCAACTTAGAAATGTTCAAGCCGCCGCTCAGCAGTTTCAGCAGCTCAACCTCAACAGTGCACAGCGTTCGCACCTCACGCATCAGCAACTAGCCCTTTACGAACAACAACAGCAGCTCCACAACCTGCAGCAACAGCTGGGGGTGCAAGCCGCCCTCAGCCAGGGTCAGCAGGTCTACTACAGTCCTGTCACTGGCCAATACTACGTTGATAATGCTATTGTTACTACAGCAGCCCAAGTTGGCTCCCCATATGTCGAGCAACCCATGTCGCCCACATTCTCTCTTCAATCGGTCCAGCAACGGCTTCAGCAGCATTTCCAACAGCAGCAATATCAACAACCTGCGCCAGGAACCCCACGAGTTCAGGTCTCCCCTCCTCCCGATAATCATCAGTTGACGTTGCGCGCCGGCTCTCCCCCCAAGCAGCACGACTCGCCCTCGGACGTGACACCACTGCCCCCTCCGTCTGCCAACGCATTTCGCCGTGGTCATAACAAGGCCTCATCCCTCGCACCTGTCAACAGCACCTTGGCTGCGGTGAGCCCCTCGGGCGACGCTCCCAAGTCTGCGGGACCCAACACGGCCTCTTGCCATATGACGCCTGTGACTGGAGGCTACGGGCCTGGTCAGGCTCGCGCTGGTGAGCATCCAACGCGACAGCCACGGGGCCCCCCATCATTGGATGACCTCATGTCAAAGCCCACTACCAAGCACGAGGGCAGCAGGAACTTTGCTGCTCGCACGCGTCGATCTGCAGTGCATAATCTCGTTCGTGCCGGCCTGGAGCGTCGCAAGGGTGCAGACAGCTCTGTTGGCAGCATGAGCCCCGTTTCTGAGACTGCTGAAGATTTCTGCTCACCCATTACGGATAATGATTCAGATTCCGGACGAAGCGGCTCAGGTAGTCTAGCTGGCGAGGAGGAATGCACCAGCTCTCGAACCTCCGCTAGCGGCAGTTGGGGAGCTATTGGCTCGGACCGACCTAGCTCTCGCCAAAAGGCCCGGGGAGGTGCCGACGGCGCCGGCAACAGCAGCCCGACATCATCGGGCGAGGCTGAAAGCACCTCTTTTGCCACCGTGTTCAAGAATGGCGCCTTGCGTGCTACCAAGATGCAGGAGACGGCTGACGCTCAACGCAAAACCCACAGATTGGTCTTGACCAGCGCCGAGAAGCGTAAAGCTACTCCTGCTGCCTAAGCCCTTCCCTGTGATAGGGCCCAAGTAAAAATTGGTATACTGCACATTCACATGCATGTTTTTTACTTCTTCGCTCCATTTTGTTAATCACTCCTCACGATGCTACGCGCCCGGAACTCTGATCACGATTGCTCTCGGATTTGCGGATTTGTTTTAATACTCCTTGCATATTTGACTCGGTCGAATGACGTTTTAACGTTTTCGCGGTCTTGTTTTCGCCTTCATGGACGGCCTAGCGATAAAGCCTGCTCATCTGCATCGTCAGAGCGGCCGCAATGACGCCTACAATTTCGACGGACCGTCACAGAGAAACTTCGACTTATTTTTTAATTCATTTCATCATCATTCGTTCAAGGCGTCTCTACCGTAACGACTTATCAGGGGCATGCCCCACAGTATCATTCGATTGTCTTGCAAGAATGGGAGACGAAAATTGATCACACCCTGGATGCTAAGAAAAGAAAGAAATTAGTTAATCTGGGAAGCTGGGAACTCGGGACTTGTCGGTGCGACACAAATCGAGGTCCGCTGTCTCTTGAACAGAACAGATTCAGAATTGGAGGATTCTGTTGATGACACATGCTCCTGGCAATGGAGACTGGGACTCGCAGCCTGCCATCGTTGTTAGATTTAGCATAAACAAGAACCTACTGTAACATTCATTGCGTATTCTTCATTGTTCATCGATGCTTGCCCGATTCGGTTCTGCATTGAGGGCTCGGGAAGCCACGAGTGCGTCTGCGGAGGAACGGCTGCTGGATAGCGAAAGGCACGGCCAGGAGCCCAAGGGACGGCGGGCAGATTAGGCAGATATGAGGATGTTTGTCAAGCTGCTTGATAAGCCTAGCGCCATGATGTAGATTGATGGCCACGTGTTTGTTTATTCTCTTGCATGTGATGGACGCGCCCCCCCTCATATAGTGCGTCGTCTCCATGCTGTGTGTCTCCCCTTGAAAGCGGTAGTAGGCAATCAATGTACGCGGCGGCCCTCTTCACGCCGCACATGTCCTTGGAGGTTGAGATGGAAAAAAAAAAAAACAAGACTTTTTGCTTCCTGACAACACTGTACAGCCCCGCTGATGCATGCCCTTCCCGAAAACAAGCAAAATCCCATCTATGCACCGTTTGCTGCCCGCAGCCCCCTTCCCAGCCGGAGTTGCACTCTGGCAAAAAAAGGAATATAAACATGTATACACGTGCGCGCCCGATCCTCGGACTGCGAATCGCTGTCATTGCTCATATACACATGACTTGTTGCTGACCTGTTCCCGTCACATCACTTTGCATCTCTATAAGACCACTTCAATTCGCTTGGTGCTCTCTGCCGTCGCTTTGGCCCCCCTACCGGCGCAGTCACGGCTGTTCCGTCGCGCGACGAGTTTGGACGTGATACGCTTGCTGCTGAATGGCCGTTGCCAGATGCGCTGTTCTCCTTGTTGCTGGCGCTGCTGTCGCTGCGGACGACCATGGGCGGCGCGAGATCACCTCTCAGAATGGAGAACGAAGCACCCGAAGGCCGGCCGGCGAGGGATGAGGTGTGCGGGAGGCGGCTCTTGGACGGTCCGGTAGACCCGGTGGTCGTGGAGCTGCTCATGGACGACGTCGAGTCGCCGCTGACGCGGCGGGGAATGCCGGTTGGTACCAAGCCGGTTGTGCTGTCGCGGCTGCGGGGGCGGTGGTAGATGGCGTCGCGTTCGAGAACCGAGGCGGCTGCCGTGCGGCGGGGACTGGCGGCCACCTCGACGAATGCGCCTGCGTTGCTTGCGAGACTGGTTCTGCTGCGATGGGTGGGCGTCTGCGGCGTGGATATGGACGGCTGGAGGCTGGGAGGGGTGTAGCTCGTGTTGCGGCGCGTGACTCTTCTCGATGACAACGCGGAACTGACTTGCGGCGACGCTGACGACGGGCCACTGTCGTGGCGCAAGAGGAGCATGCCCGAGCTGCCGTCGATGTGAGACTTGACGAGTTCTGCCGCCAGGTTGCGGACGAGGACGGCGGAATCAGTCTCGGCCAGTGTCTGGATCGAGTCCATGAGCGACCGAACTTGTCTGCTGTTGAGAGTGCGAGATCCGTCGCCGCTGCCCAGGCCAGGCTCACAAGCGTCCATGATGATGCGAACCAGTCTCAGCAAGTTCAGTCGTACGACGGGTTTCTTGTGGCCCAGTCGTTGGGCAATGCCGGCAAACATCTCCGGCTTTGCTAGTGATGCCGCTGTTGACGGACTGAGGCGCAGCAGCTTGTGAAGCGGTTCAAGCAGGTTCGAGTCAAAGGCGTTGAGTTTGTTCGTGCTGAAGCAGCTGACGATTGCTCGCGTAAAGTTGCCGTCAATGAGATGATTTTCCACGTTGGCCGTCTCCTCCTGGAACCATACCAAGATTGCATCCAAGGCGGTGACCTGCCAGTACTGGTCGGTCAATAGGGACACGTAAAAGTCAAGGCCCTTGTTCTGCCACAAATAGCGCCGTCCCTTGGACCCAGAATGTGCCATGTCACACAGGATGGGCAGAGCAAACTCCTTGGGCGGGCGGTCGGTCTGCATGATTCGCAGCAGCAAGGGAATGATGCCTCCGACAGCTGCGTCTTCTTGGCGTTCCTTGCTGAGCCGGCAGAGATTGAACAACGTATTGAGTACTTGGTTAGATATTTCACGGAAATGCTTTTGGCCCTTCTTCATGCTGTAGCTAAGCAGGTCGATGAGGAATTCTATAGCGTCTGCCGAGTGAAGGGTTTCAATGGTTGTCGAGAGCATTGACAAGTTCTTGATGAACTTGAGCATCGTGACTTGGTGGATTGGCATCATGCGTCGTAGGTCCTTGAGGACGCTCTTGAGAACCTGTCGATCAGCCACCACCTCTTTGACATAATTTTCTGCCTGGCTGAAGAGGTAGAATATGTTGACGATTCGCCCCTCTATGAGCTCGCCCAACTCATCTTCATCTTCCTCATCCAGGACTCGGTGTAGCACCAATGCCAGGGGGTACAGAATTTTGCTTCTGGAGAAAATCCTGCAAAAGTCGTTCTTCGGGGTCGGGCCCTGTAGTTCGAACACATTCCAGATGCCGTTTACTCCAATGAGCACCAAGTCTCTGGCGCCGTCATAGTCCTCGTCCAGAAACTCGACTAGAACATTCAAACCACCGGCGGACACAAACATTTGAAGGGTTAAAGTACTGGTTTGGTACATTTGCCGCACAAAAGCAGCCGCCTCAAGTCTAATTTCGTCTGAATATTGGCGAGCTGCAAATTTCGTAATGATGGGTATGCCACCCACGAAGCAAAGGTTTTCCTGAATTTCTACATCGTCGAGAATGATCTACATCAGAGTTAGAACCGCACTGTGGACGAGAACCCGTCAACATCAACATACCGCATTGACGACTTTGAGCAACTGCAGTATCATATACTGCCTGGCCTTGACGGTGCACGGCTCGAGAATCTCTAGGATCGGTAGCAAGCCGTGCGCGCTGATAATTAAATTCTTCACCTCCTTGTTTTCCCACAGTAAGCCCAGCTAGTAAATAATTCGTTAGCGAGCGCCAAACAGTGGAATAAACTCGATGTATAATCGGCGTACCAAGTCTTCAGACACTTCAGATAGCGTATCGCCGGCCTCAGTCGTCTTTAGCGAACTAACAAGGTCTTCAACCTTTTCTGCTAAACGAGCGTGCCTGTCTCTCGCAATGTTTGCTTCTAGGTCCATCTCATCCCAACCAGGGTCCATGGAAGCAAATGGATCATATTCTTCTTCATCATCTCCAAGCCAGGAGTTGCTTGAAATCTTTGATAACAGCATCAGACCACCATCTTCAGAGCTGCGCTCACTTTCTTCCTTCTCAGCTACAGAGTCACTGGCGCCAAAAACATCAGAGAAGTCTTCGTCATCGTCCTCGGCGAATTTTTGAATCTCTATGGATGAGCGAGTGCGGCGCATGGGTCGATCGGGGAGTACGGAGGGCCGTGAAGGTGGCCTCTTCCTGACGCTGCCGTCGGGAGCCTGCATAGAACGGGGAAGACTTGTCAAGTCTGACGGATGAAAGAGTTGGGGTGCATCGGTCGCGCGAGATCCCTAGGTCAGGAGCATTAGTCAAACGGCCAGGTAACTTATTAAAAAAAAGGTTGAGCCCACCCTTCTGACTGCTCTGTTGACTCTGTGACTGAAGGCTTCATCATTATCCACGAACAAGTCGGAGAAATCTTCTACACTCTGCTCTCGGTATACCACGTCTAGGCGAGGAGGTAGCTCAAACTTGCTCCCAAAATGGCCTTTTGACGGCGATTTGGAAACAGAGCGAACGGGGGCCTGTGCAGTTGCTCTACCCAAAGATTTTTTGCGTTGGTGGGACTTGGCATTTGTACTAGGAACTGACGTCTTCTGGATTGGCCGAAGAGTCCGGTCCTGAGTTTCGTCCCGTTGCTGAACAGGACCTTTGATAGTAAGCAGCTCGCCCTCAAAGTCATCGTCGTAGTTGTCGGTATCTATTCTCAGGTCATTAGTAGATGCAAAGGCCTTGAGCTTGTCGCTTGATAGTAGACCTCCAAAGTTGTCCTGGGGTTTCAGGTGAGGCAGATGCAGTGCGCTTGGTGAGATGGCGGTGACGAAATCGTCGTCCCAATTATCGTTATCTGCGAGAGGGTTAGTTCAGGCGCTGGACACTCAAAGGTTTGACATGACGTATAATAAATATTGCGCCGGTCAGGGGTTTTTGAAAGGACCAACATACCTGACTGCTCTGCCGTTTTGAACGCTTCAACACCAAGTCTGGGTTTACCAACCCCCATTGGACCTTTACCAGGGGTCCCGCCGACGAATCGGGACGACGTCCCAGTGGTATCGGACCCAGTAGACGATCGAAGTGCAGGCTCGGAGGAGTTCAGAGCTTTGTTCCACTGCTTCACTTCTTCGACTGCTTGGTTGAAGTTGTCGGGTGCCTTGGATACCGGTGCTTCAGCTCGACGGCAGCCAACAATCCATGCATGCCTCAACAACTTCCGAGCCGACACACGCAAGTTTGGGTCTTTTTGGAAACATTGCATGAGAAAATCTCTTGCAGCCTGGGTTTTTTTTTTTTTTTTTTTTTAAAAAAAGGCCGGGGACGGGTGGGGGCCAGCGGAATACGTACAGGTGATATGCCCTCGGGCAGGGGAGGATGGTCATCGTTGACAATTGCGAAAAGCGCTGGCATGGCTGCCAGGTTGTGATATGGCGGTTTCCCCTGCAACAGCTCGATCACGGTACATCCAACACTCCATATGTCAGAGGCGGAACTGGCACCAGACAGTTGAATGATCTCTGGCGCCATCCAGTAGGGAGTACCAACAACTTGAGCCTCTTTATCCTGGCCGCCTGCAAGTGTGCTAGTAGAAACGCCAAAATCTGCCAATTTGACCGTGCCATCCTTGGTGGTAAGAATATTGGCGCCTTTGATATCTCGGTGAATGACGCCCTGGTCATGAAGGTACTGTAGACCTAGAAGAACCTGGGTCATGTAGACGCCAACAAGGTTTTCAGGAAATTTGCCATAGGCTTTCAGTATCGAATGCAATGAACCATTTTCGCAGTACCTAGAAAATTGTAAGCTCCAGGGATTGTCGTCGTCATTGACACGTCAAAAAGAACCCACTCCAGGATGATGTTGAGGCAATCCGTTGATTTTACGAAGCCAATATATTTTACAATATTGTCGTGCTACCCATATGTTAAGAGATTTTTAGCCACGGAGAGGTTTGATGTAGAATAAGCCTACCAGAAGATTCTTGAGCAAGTCGATTTCGCTCTGATATCCCTTTAAGTGAGCATCTCTATCTCGTAGCTAACGTGACGCACAGAAGGCTGAACGCACCTCAATCATCCGCAACTCGCTCTTTGGCAAATCGACCAGCTTAATCTGCTTGACGGCAACAGCTTCGCCAGTACTCCAGTTGAAGGCCTTGTAAACGGACCCGAATGCCCCTTTACCAATACATTCACCTAACCTCTGGGATATAGTCAGCAACGGGGGTTGAATTGGAGAGGCTGCTCGACATGATGCCCTCTATTCGGGCCAGACTTGGCCATCTACTTCTTTGGCAGAGATGACATGGAGGGGAGGGCAAATTTGGACTGAAGACAGGCAATGCCTTCAACGGTTCGACGCACATAATCTTTCAGTCCGGGATCCTGTACCGCTGAGCTCTCTCGCTGCCGTTCCTTTCGGGAGGGGGTGCCAGGCATGGCGGATCGTTCCCTGGGGGCCACGATGGCAGCGTGAGTAGCATGACGGCCATTGTTGGCGTGGTACTGCCGCTCGGGCGGCATATCTCTGAGTGGTGGTGTCTCACCGCCCCAGTGAGTGTGCCGCCGGCGTCAATATATGTCTATCGTGTCTGGCACAATGTCTGTCGTGGCAAGGTTGGACAGAGGCGAGGTCGGGATATTCGGACGGACGTGGTTCGGCGAGAGGCGGTTGTCGCATGCTAAACGATTGAGCAAAAGGGTCTGGTTGACATTTGTAGCAGTGCCGGGGAGGAAAACTCGATCATCTAGCTCCCTTTTACTCTGGTCGTGGACCGGCAGAGATCGGATGTGTGTTGCGAGCGTCGGCTCGGAGCGGAGAGAGAAAGGGAACAGCCGTTACGGGATAATGGGAGGCAACACGGATTGAGTACACGGCGGGGTTTTTTTTGGGCGAGAATTGGTCAAAGATTGGTCTTGGTGGCGATTTGCTAGTAGGACGAGGCGATCAAGACGGTCAAGAGGTGGTCGAAGGCCGCGGCTCAGGACGGGAGACTGAGGGGTGACCGGCGAGAAGGGAGGGTGTTTGGGACTGTTGTTGTTGTTTGAAGGGCCCTAAAGTTGGTGAAACTGTCGAGCGCGGAAATGGCTTTTTGGAGGAGGGGTCAAGCCTCAAGCCTCCAGCCTCAAGTCTCGAGCCTCAAGAGTCAAGAGTCAATGGTCAAGGGCGCGGTGGCACGGGCAGCTGGTTTTGGCCTGAAATGCAACTCAACAAGCTGCCAGACTTGTTCGCACTTTAACAGGTGCTTGATGAGCCGATGGAATGCAGCAAGCGCATCATGCAGGAAATCGGAACGGGGCCCGGCGACAAGATTGAAGTGATCAACATTGAAGCGTGCGGCGGGTGGTGCCTGGCGGGTGGTGCCTGGCGGCTGGCGCCCTCGAGTCCCAAAGTGGTCAACTAACTGGTCTCTGGTGCCATTGGCTGATTATCAGTGGCTGCACCTGGATGGTCACTGGTCCCTCACCCGGGACCCCTTCTAGGGACCCCATCTCTCCAGATGTCCAGTCCAGTGCTCTGTTGGGGCGGTGCTGCGCGCGCGCCATCTTGAGTGGCGTCCAAGCCCGTCTTGGCAACGGGCATGCTTCCGCTCGCCTCCTCCTGAGTCCTTGCAACCCACGATGCTCCGTACTCAGGACGTACCATCAAGCCTTCAGCCATGGCCACATCCGAACCGTTGTCATGCAACCGCCGCCCATGCTTAACAACGGCCAAGGGGATCACCAGCCGTGTGGCCGTTCATGCAAGACACGTACCAAAATCCCGGCATCCCATCATGATTAGTCGGTACCTTGCAGCCATCACATCAACGACCCCCCACCCCTCACTATTGGGATTGACCGCTTCGAAGGGCAATCTGCAGTCTAATACCACGTGCTGACCGCTGTCTCGAGTTATACAGGACGCCGACACCGATGCCAATGACTTTCTGACCCAAGCTGCGCTTGCTTCCTTTGTCATGTCATGTTGCCCCCAGAACCGGCCATTTCGCCAGTTTGATTTCAGAAGACGCTTCCGGGGTCCAAAGCGTGTTCCAGTTGTTTTGGAGACTGAGAGATTTCCCACAGATTACTTTTGGCCACCTGGACTCGCACTTCGGGAGAGGAGAGGATCGCACCCACAGCCAGTCAGAGAGTCACGACTCTAGAGTCCGCAGGCGTATCGGACGGATCAATATCTGCATTTACGCCTCCGCACTCCGCTAGCCGATTATCCATCATTACACGTTCAAAACAGCAAGACGGTAGGATTGTGGGAAATAAAGGACACCAAAGCTTGTCTGGCCGAGTTCGTCTCGCGGACCTCCAGCCAGGCTGAGCACTCGATATCTATGAAAAGAGCTCGTCTGACGGCTTGGAGCACTTTGGCTCCATTCGCATATAATACACTTTGGTACAAATGTCCTTGGTTTCTCCTTTGCGGCCAGAGGCTTCTACTTATGTAGCAGCCCTCTGCCCTAGGTCTTGTGACCGAGCCCTTGTGTCACCAACGTCCATGTAACAATATCTGGGTACGGAGTATGTGAATTGCCACACCACCATCCATCTCGGACACCGTCCTCTGACGAACAAACAGTCATGACATCGATGAAAATGACATCGATGAAATTTGCGCACTGTTTCAGCATTGCAGATAACACATTACACCATGACCAACACAATCATTCAAAGGGCCCTTTTTCCCTCCTTTTTTTTTTCCAAAAAAGAAGAAAAAGAAAATAGAAAAAGAAACGCTTCGAAAACAGGGCCTCACGTCCAAGTCCAGTCGACATTTTGCTCCTGATCTGGCCAACTGCGGGAAGAATAATTCTGGGCCAGCTTGTCTTCGCACGAGACACATCGTGACCTCAAGCGCTCAGCACACCCTATGGAGAGCACGAACTCGCCAACTCGGCCCTTGGAAAAAGAACAGGCAGGCTAGTTACTCAACGTTGCTCCGAGACAAGCTTCAAACACGCCGCACATCAAGTCACACACCGTCGCTCCTAGCCTTGGCAGCCTCGTCATGTGAATGAACTCTGCTGCATGGAGGGCTCCGGCTGCCGCCGAGCAGTCGTGCGACCCTGAACTTCCGTGTAACTATCGCCATGTGCGAAGAGCAGAATAGCTTGGCCGAGCCAACGGACCCGCTCGAGGTTGGGTATCGCAGCGCGTGGGGCGCCTGATGCGCTTCTGCCGCCATCACAAGGTAATCCCCAAAGTTACGTGTAACTGCACGGCCGTCCAGGAGCGAAGGTGTTTCAGCAGTCACCAAGCCTTTTCATGACATTCATGAGCGCAACAGCATCTGAACGAATGGCGTAGCAGCCCATACACAGATCAAGTCTGGCACTCCACGCACATCTTGCCGTTCCGCCATCGTGAGCACCCAATCGTCGGGCTTCACGATGAGGGAGAGTCATGCCGCCGAGGTGGTCTGTTGGGCAGAATCTGCTGCCTCGACCAACATCGTATACTCTGAGCATGCTCTGTGACCTCCTGCTCGACAAGCCGGCAGCTTCCTGTGCAAGACGGCAGACATGAATATAAATACGGGCTGAGGATGGTACATTCTTTGGCGGTTTGCTTCACTCGACCCAGACTCGCCAGCGCTTCTAGCCCCTTCTCCCTCCTTCTTTCTCCTTTTTGATCTCATACGCATTACGACGGACCCAATGCTAGCTTTTGGCATCGAGATGGAGCTTCTCTTTAAGCCCAACGAGGCGCTTGTGCGGAAGCACATGAGCGGCCAGTGGACTGCCGGGCTTGACCACAGCCTGATTCGTCCCAGGCCACCCGCAGTCGAGAGGCTGTTCGTTCGGCTATTGCAAAGGAAGTGACGGCCGCCGGGATTGTCGCCGGCGTAATATCACAGGACTATCAGGCCTGGTCCATCATGGACGAGCCCACGCTGGACGAGAGAAAGGACTTTTGTATACAAAGAGCACGTCACGCTGCTACTGCAGCACACGCAAGGATCCTGTATGATAGCGCAGCAAGTTTTGCCACGGTGAACACTGCATCCTGGCGCGTGCCAGGATGTTGCAGCAATATATGCCAGCCTACCCGCTTCATAGCGCGTAGTGCATTGCACTACAGTCTTGGAATATACTGCGTTTTACACACCACCCGAGGGGCATTTCGTGCCCTCCAGACAAACACGTTTGCTCGGCTGCATGCCGTGACGCCCTCACATACAATCTAGACGGCGCCTCGGGCCATCGCTAACAAGAGCACACTGACAGGGCGGCTCGAGATCGTGTCCCGACGCATAGGATCCAACGTCGACTGGCGAGCCGAGATCAGCACCGTGTTCGACACGCTCAGCAGAATCGGGGAGATCAAACTGACAACAGGCTGCTCCATGCACGTCCACGTCTCCCCCTCCGCAGGCAAGACCCCGTGCACACCAAAGCAGATGCACGGCATCCTCAAGGCCATAGCGTACATGGACCACGCCATCACCGACATTGTTCCCGGCTCCCGGAAAGAAAACGAGTGGGCGGCGTCCAACTTCAGCCCGGGCAAGTGCGATCCAAGCACTGGGGAGCTGTACAACGACGTACCGCAAGACACTTGGGAACCTCTTTTCCGGGAGTTTGAGAAAATCAGGATGCTCGTCATGATTTCCACCAAAGTCCTCAACGACAAATTCCTGTCGTGGAACTTCAAGCATCTGTGTTCCAGCTGTGGAACGGTCGAGTCTCGACGCCCGCCGGGCGTTGGTGATGCGCAACGTGCAATATACCGGGTTGCCGTCACGTTGGGTTTTATCCAGCAAGCCATCTGCTACGACTGGGGTGACGTGAAGTGTGACCAGGAACACGCAGATGTTGGGTTTCTTGGCGAATTCATTGTCCTCGGGCTCAGCAGACTGGAACGCACATGTCAAGGGATCATTGAAGTAATGGGGACGGACGCGTCCCAGTCCCCGCCGTCCACGTGGGCAGAAAAAGCAGCCATCGACGTGAAAAAGAAGGAGAAACTCCTCAAAGATGGCAACTTCGTGGCCAAGGCAAGTCACAACTGAAGCTACATGCACAACTGACTGCTCTTTGGTCCATTACTCAGACGCCTTGCAGGTCAATTCTCGACCAAACACTCCCGTATCTGGCAGCGCTTCACCTTGAAATGGCCGCTCCGCCGACTCACACCAGCCGTCAGTCAGCCACGGGCCGGTCCCATTTGGTTTTGGTCATTTGAAGTGGCTTAAAAGTTGGGATACAACGGAAGCAAGTCCCCAAGAAATGCTCTGCAATTTGCACAACTCTAGCGGTTTCCTGGTTTAGTCAGTGACTTGCATATTATTCTATACAAAAGTCTCCACGTCGTCGCAACGGAAGGCCGAATCAAACGTTTCAAAGTTTTTCGGAATTGTTAAACGGCATGAATATGAAAAATTGACCAACACAAGTAACGGTGTCTGGCCATGGAGGCGTCCTGAAGGGCTGCGGGAGTTCCCAAGTAACTCGGAAGTAGGTGACGTGAGTGGTCCGGACGTGAAGTTGAGCCAAGTCGTAAAGCTGGCCCATTTGGACTCCTGCCGACGCCACAGCTGGGATGAAAGCTTTTCCGTAGATGTTGTGGGCGGCACTCAAGTGAGGAGGACTATGATCCGCGCCTAAGTAGCCGATGCCTGGGGGCGCTGGTTGCGATACCAGCATTCGTCTCCAGCTAGCTCCCCTAGTTGTGAAGCGAGCTCCAGCTCTTTGGGGTGATCCACATAGAAATACAGTGAAGTCCAGCCGGGAATCAATGAACAAATCACTTTGCGAGGATTTGGAGTCCATGGCATTGCGTAGAAGCTGTCACACGACTTCCCGTACTCACACGACTTCCCGTACTCAAACCCTCGACCAAAGTCAAAGAAGCAGTTGCCGAACTTCTTGACGAGAAGATGGTCGAGGACCAACTTGGTGAGCTCGGACGCGGGCCCGGACCAGTTGGAGCAGGGGCTTTCGGCCTCATTCACGCGCTGTGCACGGAAGGCAGGTAGCTGTTCAGCAGTTCAGCAGTAGTGGTTCGAAAGAACAGCTTTTGTTGCAACACGGGCGAGTTGGCTATGACATTGTTCCAGACCTTGCTAACTCGCTGCACGGAGACGAGCAGTGTCGTCATGGCGAGATGGAGGAACATGTTCTCCGAAAGCTCTGTGAGGGAGAGCACTCGCTCCATAGTTGGCGGCAACGAAGGACCATGCGGATGAAGGAGGAGCGAGATGCCAGTTTGAGGTTAGGAAAGACGCGAGGGGAAATACGCCTGCCGTCTTGACTCTTGGTCCGACTCTGGGCCGACAGTAGGGAAGGAAGTATCAGTGCTGGACCTTGCTCCGCCATTACTAAGCGCCAGGACCAGCTGACTGGCCACAGCAGGAAAATATAGAGTTTTTCTTCTTTTCTTTCTTCTTTCTTTCTAGTCTTTCTCTTAAATATTTATTTCTATACGACTCTCAGGGTTGTCCCATCTCGTGACGGCGACTATCCAAGAGCAGTCCTCATCAAGAGCCATCCCTCTTCGGCTTTTACTTTGTTCCTTTCAGTGGAAAGCAAGGCGTTCCTCAAGGCACAAAACTTTGATGAACCATGCCAGCGCGATGGGCATCAAAACCGCCAAGGGGCTGTGACTGAACCCAAGGCGGGGAGGAGGGTTACACAGATGGTCGTTGCATAGGTACGGGGTACTGTCTTGACTTCTTGAGCCTGGTTGATTACGCTGCGTGTACTTGGTAACTACTCCGCACGCCATACCAGGAACACGCTGTTGGCCCACAATTGATTTCATCAAAAGACAATGTCAGAGCGAGGTCTGGGCATTCACGCCAAGGCTGATACAAGCAACGCTGCTGGACATCGACACCCGAGCCCCTATTCCTCGTCCGTGTTGGTGATAAGTTATAACCACAAAGTCCACACCTAGTGCATGCACCACGTCAAGCAACCAAGTTGTTACCAACTGAAAGTTAGCCACCGTTCCCTGGTTCGGCCCTCTCGTCGTGGAACCAGGACCCCAACTGGTGCTCATTCACTGTTGTTCTGTGTAACGTCCCTTGACACGAGGCCAATGGCATCACCATGAATCCTGACACAAATCAAAGCTCCGCAATTTAACCCCTCCTTTTATAACACAAGGAACCCCGGCTACTCCGTGACATACCCGTGTTGTGGGACATACACAAGTCGCCTCGAAAAGACTGTCATCAAGCTCCATGGCAAGTCTGCCCGTATATTCAATCCCATTACTCCGTACAGCCCTGTCATCAAGCTCCATGGCAAGTCTGCCCGTATATTCAATCCCATTACTCCGTACAGCCCTGTCATCAAGCTCCATGGCAAGTCTGCCCGTATATTCAATCCCATTACTCCGTACAGCCCTGTCATCAAGCTCCATGGCAAGTCTGCCCGTATATTCAATCCCATTACTCCGTACAGCCCTGTCATCAAGCTCCATGGCAAGTCTGCCCGTATATTCAATCCCATTACTCCGTACAGCCCTGTCATCAAGCTCCATGGCAAGTCTGCCCGTATATTCAATCCCATTACTCCGTACAGCCCTGTCATCAAGCTCCATGGCAAGTCTGCCCGTATATTCAATCCCATTACTCCGTACAGCCCTGTCATCAAGCTCCATGGCAAGTCTGCCCGTATATTCAATCCCATTACTCCGTACAGCCCTGTCATCAAGCTCCATGGCAAGTCTGCCCGTATATTCAATCCCATTACTCCGTACAGCCTTCGGCCAACCATTCAACCATCCAATGCACCAATTTCTATCTCTTCACCATTCGCATGCGCTAACAGCACCGTATATAATACAATCATAACCTCGTTCAAGACTTCCGCAGCGTTAATGTATCCACCACCGCTTCCTTGTTTTGCATACAAAGACTTTTTGTGTCGGCTGTCATTATCAGACTGTAGCCGATGCATGACGCCTGTAACAAAAAACAGATAAAACGCTTCAAATGTTCTGTCGCAGAGTACCGCTACTCGTCGTAATAGATTCTTCCTGTCCGAGAGTGCGGCTGAGACCAGCATCGGCCCACCACTCGTCGGGGATGTCTTCTCTTCGGGCAAGACTTCGAACAATGCGTTGCATGCCGGCCCAGTCGTCTTCTGAGGCCATTGGATTCGCCAGTGTGGGGAGATTTGCGTCTTCTGGGTTCTGTCCAGGCCCCTCAGGACTGACGTCTTCTTGACCAGGGGCCTCGACCGAGAACTGACCGAACCAGGCGCTTTGTGAAATGTTATTGGTTGGTCGAGGCGGGCGAGTCGGTTCGATTGCTTGCCCCTGTCGCTCGTAAATAGTCAGGGGCCCGTTTGCTGTGTTGATTTGTCTGGTGATGCGGCTGCCAGGTGTCAAATGTCCCGCGATTTCCATCCTGTGGTCTCCGGTATTGAGAGCAACTCGGTTTGCCCGCGTCAATTCCAAATCCCTCATGTCCTGTCGGGATCGCCGAATGCCTGCGAAATCAGGATGCTCGTAATCCGGATCATCGATTTCCAAGTCTGAGTTTTCGCATCCAGATTCGCAGGGAGCGTCCAAAAGTGTTTCGCCTGTAGTATCCGGGGCTGAGGTAGGTGTGCCTGATGACGGTCCAGCAGTTTGGGAAGCTGCCAAGGATGCAAAAGATGACCCTGCACTCGGTGGTTGTGGATCCGGTGTGAGCGTGGACAACAGTGTGTCCCAACCTTCGGGGCTTAAGCTTCTCTCTCGGTCACCAAGGCCGTCCATACCCAGGGCACCGCCTCGCATAGGCATCATCTGGCGGGCATTTAGGCTTCGAACCGTATGAGGGTCAAGCGGCGACAAATCTCCGGACCGAGCAGTTGTCGACTCCTGATTTTGGCGAGGATGCGATCTGCGGGGCGGAAGAAATCGAGGTCCGTCGGCGACCCGGTTCATCTGGGAGTGAGGAGCTTGCTGCGGACGGCTCAACGACTGATTCACACTTGCCAAGATAGGAACGTTTTCGGGAAAACAACCTACCGCTCTTGATCGCCTCACATGCGTCAAACGATGACCGTCAATGGCTGACCACCAGCCAAGATCAACCCCTTCAGACATATTTTCGTGTTCTGGAGGTGCTGATCCTGAAGTGGGATTGAATAGCGAACTCATGCGCTCTTCGAGCCGCTCCCTGCGACGTTCATCACTCCCACTCATCTCCCGAAGCACTCCGCGAAACATTCCTGATCGACGATCTGCCCCAGCCGCCTCGGTTGGATCTTGGGCTCTGGACAGCGATGACGCTTCAACCCATGGCAGAAATCGCTCACGCGCGCTTCGCGACACAGTTCGTTGCGCCGAGCTATAGATTCGAACGCCCGCGCGTCTTATGCCGTTGCGACGATCGCGGATCTCCGATCGGCTCAGGCGTCGCGAGTCGGAGCGCGGAGGCGAGGTAGCTCCGGTCTTGATGGAAGTCTTGTTGGCCAAGTCTAATTTGACTGGTTCCACAAACAGGCTGTGCAGGTTTAGGCATCAGTTTCGGCTCTGAATGATACGAGAAACCGGGACCGTGAGAACAACGAGAACTAGAGCAAAGAACAATGCAGTTCCGCGGTCGACGGTTCATCTGACACGTGTTGGGCACAATGCTTTACATTGCTGTACGCGCGTGGAAGACATTCGCCTGAAACAGCGCGAAGCAAGGGAAGGACAGGGACGCGATGAATACATGATACATGAGGTGGAATGGCAGTGATGGCGAATGTACGAGCGCCCAGGTCACGACCGGACACCACTTGACCATAGCATCTTGTTGGAGGAAATACTTACGGGAGACCCATGATACCGCGTGGTAAGCTTCAACGTGTTCCTACTGGTGCGGCTGGAGGAGCTTCTTGGCATTCGCGATGCCCCTGCGAGAATGGCCTGACTAGGCGTAAGCGTGAGGATGGGCAGATTGATTTCGCGATCGAGGGTGCTGCCACCGTGAACCGAGTGCGGCAGCGAATGTGAGGCGTCGTCAAAATGGGAGAAATCAGAAATATCAGCAGGCCAAAATAAAGGAACAGGGAACACACACAGGATCGCAAGGCGCGTTCGCGTGATGGCAAAAGACGGGGAAAAGGTTTGATGAAGATGCTGAGGGATAGTTGCTCAAGTTGGGAAACGCTCAAGGGAAGGTGGAAGGACAGGGGATGTGGAAAATTGGACTCTGAAGCCGCTGGTCGCCTCACGGGGTACTCCGTACCTTTATTTTACCGGCGGCGCCGTTGCAAGTGCGTCGGCGCTTGCGACTTCCCATTGAACAACCATTTTTCAATACATGCATCATGGACATAGTTACTAACATATACACTCTGGAAACACCATGACTACTGTTAGTGTCTGTGTCATCATACTAATTGGCACGGCCTTGCAGGTGGGTCCTGCATGATCCCCGCAAGTCACTGAGTGTGGCTGGTGGTGGAGACTGTGCCACGTACTCGGTGCCTAAAGCGGACAATTCATACTCCTGTGGCTGGTCGCATCTCGCAACGTAAAACGATTTTTTGTTTGAAGCTCCCCGCTCAATCTGTTCAACCCTGGGGCTTGCTGCTTCCACTCGACAGCTCCTCAGCACGATGCCGGCAGCCAGGGACATCCAAAGAGCCCTAGCTCGCATCAGAGCCGTCATGCCCGCCCAAAAGCAATCGGAAATGGGCCGTCGAAATATTAAGCTCGGACTGGAACGCATCAGTCGCGTTGTTCCAGACGAGCAAAAATGGGTCGGCGTCCATGTCGGTGGCACCAACGGCAAAGGATCAATATGTGCCCTGCTAGCCGGCATGTTCAAGCTGTCCGGCATTAGCCACGGCACGTACATCTCTCCGGCGCTGCCAGAGCGTCACAACGGCATTACAATCAACGGCTTGTACATAAACAAGCGCATGTACGAAATGGAGCTTCAGCATGTGGAGGAAGCGTACAAACGCGTTGCTTCTGGGTGGACGTTTGCCGCTGGAGACGACCCAGGTGACCTGACGCCATTTGAGCTCGAAACTGCCGCGGCATTTCGCGTCTTCAACAAGATGAACGTGCAGTACGGCATCGTCGAGGTCGGTATGGGCGGAGCAACAGACGCCACGAATGCCATGAAGGAGAAGGCCGTCACCATTATATCCAAGATTGATCTCGACCACCAGGAGTACCTGGGCAACACCATTGAGGAGATTGCCAAGGTCAAGGCGGGAATCATGCGTCCCGGAGTACCATGCATTGTCGACCACACCAACCCTTCTTCCGTAATGGATGTCCTCCGAGACCATGCGCAATCTGTGGGAACACAACTCAGCTTGTCATCCAAGGCATTGCCTTTCCTGGACTGCCTCGACAACGACAGATTTCAACTACAAGACTACGAGCAGCAGAATATACTTTGTGCGGCTCTCGCCTTCCGAAATCTCTTTCCTCACCTTCATATCGACGTCAACAAACTGCTGTCGCTGAAACCGCATCTGCCTGGACGAATGGAGCAGGTCTACGTAAGGGGGCTGACGGATGATACGCGGCAAAGTCCAGTACTGGTTGACGGAGCTCACAACATGCTGGGAGTGGAGGCATTGGCCAAATACGTAGATGGCTCTCTCCGACATACCAGCAAGCCAGTAACATGGGTCATTGGGCTGTCATCCAGCAAATCGAAGCCCTTCTCAAGAATCATTGAGACCTTGATCCAACCGCACGACAATCTGGCATTCGTGGAGTACGCCCAAGGCCCCAATGACCCTCCTCCAGCACCAGCCGAACTTGGCCGCAGTGTGGCCACACAGGTAATTCAGGACGAGTCTCGCATCTACGACGGTGAGCCCAGCGTCGGCAGCGGAGTACAATGGGCGTGTCGCAAAGCGGGCGAAGGACCAGTCGTCGTAACAGGAAGTCTCTACATGATCCGGGACTTCTACAAAATGGAAGGCGTAGAACCAAGTAGAAAGGTCAAGACGAGGCGGCCAGGTCGGTCGCAGCTCTGGCGTTACATCCAGTTGTCTAAAGAAAGACCACTGACATCTGACGAGGCTAGGGAGTTCAAGCAAGCCAGAAGACATTGGTATCTCTCCCCCATGAACAGCTCCGTCTTTCGAGATGTTCGCAACGGCGGCGATCCCGTGTCTCCCCCAATTCCAGAGAGCATTCGAAAACAACAGCAAGCTGCCGCGCATCATAAAATCCAAGCCGACGGATACGGTGGTGCGATTCGCAGCGCGAGGAAGGATATGGAAGGGAAGGCACCTGGCAGCGAGGAGCTTCCCAACATGTTGGACAATCTTGAAAAGCGCCACCGCGAGCATCTGCGTGCGTACAACAGCGCCATGTTCAAAGTGCGAGGACACGTCGTTGACCCGGAGAAAAGGTACCTGAGCCACGAGGATATTTTCAGACGGCCTGACAGGCGGAGAAGCAGGGTCGCCGCAATCCTAGCCGGGGAGACTACAGCACCTGTCGAGAAACCTCAGTTATCGAAGCGGCAGGTGTTTAAGGGGTGGACGAGGAAAGGCAGTCGATCTCGGCGGCAGTCAGAGGAGGGTGGCGTGCAACGCAGTCTCTCACTGGGGCAGTGCGAGGAAGAAGCACGAGAAATAGGAGAGAATCAGGACTTTGCACATACGACGGACAGAAGCAAAACGCAGTAGGTAGAAGTCCACCTTTTTTTTTTCGCCCTGGGACCAGAGACGACGGATATTCGGAGATATGTACGATAGTAATACCCCAGGTGACAGGGCGAGGCAGAATCATGGCGTGTACGTAGCGTCTGGGTAAGACGGACGGTGCATTTAACGGACGGGAAAATCTCATTCATGGCCATTGACAAGACGCTACGACAGGACAAGTGTGAGCGAGCGAGTCTAGGGTGTCCGACACGCGATAACTACGTCTATGTTGAAAGAGGATGGATGGAGGGCATATATTTGTAGCAACGGCAGTTGGGAACAAGAAAGAAGGGCCAAATTCCGCGCCGTCAATACAAGTTCCGTTACGCTTGAGCAAGAGTACACGCGTACTCTCAACAAAGAACATTTTCGTTCATACCACAAGCGGCTGGGCCGGGTCAAGCAATGACAGCACCAACCTTTACGAACAGCTCCAGATCAATGACACAAGACGTGCTTCGCGGCACACAAGGCACATGCACGGTGGGCGGAAATATGCACAGATAATTATAACCGCGAAGCCATCCCGTCACCCATTTCCCCCCTGCTAATGTAATGGTACGGAAGGTCTAGTTTTAGT